ACGTCTGAACAAGGCTGAAGATGTTATTGATGAGTGCGTATGTTTCAATTTGGTGGCGCACTTGCCCAAGACGAGACTCAGGCTCAAGAACAAGGACAATAAGAGTTGCGTCCTCCTTATCATGAAAGACATCACCATATAATCATGTCCAACATGAATACCACAGTGTTGACAAGTAGCTGCGAATAGCATAAATATGATGATGTGATAAGAAAGAAGTGCCAGACTCTTCGCCTGCCTGCTGCTGAGAGCAGACAGCCCAAGGCGCACCACGAGGAGGTGGTCTGGTTGCGCGCCCCCCACCTGGTTTCCGCAGACTCAGAGGAGATCTACCTGGGCCCCAACAGAGAAGACTCTCTGAGCTTCATCCCCACTCCCCACATATCATGAGCTACTGGCTAAAGTTGCGCCAATCAATTTGTGGAAACATGTTGAACAGTTTTACCTGCTGCTTTGCGGTGAGGAGCCAAGGAAGAGAGGAAAGAGAGATCCTTTTATACGTTTTCAGAGGCATAATGGCTTGCATTCTTTTCTTTTGTCACAGCCTTCGACAGCATCGAGTCATTGTGGGACCTTTTTCTCATATGAAAAGATCTTTGCGATACCTAATAAGCTTTTATATTTGTCTGCTTCATCTTCTGCTTTCCTTTCTGTCTTGACAATCTTGGACAATCTTCTTCTTCTTTCTTTCCTACCGTGGTCTGTGCACTCTTTCCATCCTATCCTAATGTCCTGATAGAGTTTGTTTGTTTGTTTGTTTGTTTGTTTGTTTGTTTTTGGTAAGGCTGCAAAGAACTCAAAGTGGAGCCGCAACCTTAAAAAATAGACCCTGAGAAAGACATTCCCTAACAGCCGTGCTCTTTTGATTGTCAGGATTTTCATGTAAAGTGCATCTAAACAGGATCCACTGCTATGTTGCAGATGCTTTGTTACACATCCCACCCTATCAAGGCAGATCGGCCGCACTGTCGAAAGCAACTGATGCATGTTCCATCATGCTAATATTGGTGGCTAGTCACTAAACACCAGGTACGCGTGAGGAAATTCAATGGTGACTTTGGTTCTCAAACGAAGTGTTCTAGAGCCCAGTAAAAACTAGGTGAGATGCAAAATCACTGTGTGGTCTCTTCAGTCATTCGCTCATTTTTAGGTACACAGGCTGGGGTCTGGTGCTTTTTGTTATAATGTACTTTATGAATTTTTCTTTTTTCTTTTTTTAAGGCCCTAATTTACAAACCTCTGGAATACATTGCTCATTTAATTTGCAATTCTCAACTTGTTTTGAAGTAACTCAACGAAGGCAAGAGAGGTATTTGACAGTTGTAGAAGCCAGTAAAGGTGTGAAAGCCTCGCTGCCAAGCGGTGCAGTTCAGCACTGCAGCGATACGAGTCCATCTCCCTCTTAGTCAATAGCTGACTATTTTATTTTCTCCCTAATACGCGAGGTACAGTCCGTAATACATCAAGGATACATGCAAAGAGGGATAGTAATGTATTACAGTGGCAAAATGGTGAACAGATCCGAAACCCAAAGGGGTTATAGCTGATCTTCGCCCGACTTCAAAGCAGATTCTTTAAGATTATTGATTTTCCCATACCTGGATATCATCAACGGGGTCCAAGTCTAAAGTGTCCAGTAGAGGTAGTCCTAGGAAGAATGTTTATGAGAAAATGCATGGAAAGCAAGAGATTCAAGCAGTGCGGACAAATGACATAGGAAAGTGAATTAGCAGGCTCATTGATGCTCTTACAAGTTTCATTCGGAAGGTGGCGGACCAAGTCTGGCCTAATTGAAGCCGTAGAAAGAAGGGAGCATTGGATCACCATGTAGCGAGCATTGAGAAAATAAAAAATACTGTTTGTAATAGCTTTGAGAGACAAAAGGTAATTTTATTAAAGCAATTAAAACAAACCTTCCAAAGGCTTAGCACTATATATACTGGTATATGAGTAATTTTGTCTCTTTTTTTTTTTTTTTTTTTTTTTTTTTTTTTCACAATACAAAACAATCATATGAAATGAGAGTTTTTTTTTTTTTTTTTTTTTTTTATATATAATTTTTTGAGGGGAGTATCCAGGCCATTTCCAGTAATACATGGCCTTGCTTATTGCTCTTTGGATACTCTTGTTGTTTCGTACCCACACATGAACATTGAAGAGGTCAAGATGAAGGTAGTTGAGGTTACTGGATCATATATAAACGTTCTATGTACTCTGCTAGGATTGCTGCTGTCATACTTGAACGTTCGCCTCCATGACGAGGTCGACGAGGCACCATTATCTTTATTGGTTGATCCCGAAGTCGAAGCTGCTGAGGTTTTGGTGGCGTCATGCTTGACGCCACTGTTGTTGCCACCAATATTGTTGATTGTATTTGGTTCAGCCTTCTTAACAGCAACATGATGAGAAACGAACCCTGAGGCGGCAACAAAGTGCGATACCGCAATAGCTGACGATGGAGCAGTCGTTGTTGCTGTTACTACTTTTGTGCTCGAGCTTGTCATGGTATAGTGGTTGTCTTCTATTTCCTCTTGTCCTTGTGTCTTTTCGTTTCGCTGTTTCTTTGACACTTGAATATCATGCTGCAAAGGGCTGCCGGAAGGCTCTTTGCGCTTCCCTGTGGAATATGATACCGTAGTAGTTGATGATGAGGTAGTCAGCGTTGTTATTGTAGTGCTTGTCGTGTTATATTGGTTATCTTCTATTTCTTCTTCTCCCTGTGTCTTTTCATTTCGTTGTCTCTTTGAGCTTTGAATGTCACGCAGAGTAGGGCTGCCAGAGGGTTCTTTGCGTTTACCAATGGTATGCATTTTTTTTTTCTGAATGAACTATTGGGAATTCAGTTGGTAGAGAAAGGAAAAGTTGAAGAAGTGTTCAGGTTGTTGAAAGCTAAAATCAAGCCTTAAATAGGCATATTTTGTCACGTGAAGCCAATAGTTACGCGCGACGCGTCTATCTTGCCCATGTGTGGGCAGTCATTTTATGGTTTAACATGTCAACTACTCGTAGCATTTCTCTTAAGCCCGAGTCTTGTCTTGGCAAGTGCGCCACCAAATTGGAACATGTGCACTCAATAACATCATCGGCTTTGTTCAGGTATTCCTTCCTACAGTCACTGAATGGATGCCTCCATTTTGACAATTCGATCGCAACGTGCATCTTCAGTCAATGAACATTTCTGAATTAGTCGAATTAGTCGAAGCCATGAGCATCTTTCTTGGCAAAAAAAAGAAAAATAAAAATCTCGAAATTGCGTACGGGTCTGCAAGGATTTTCATGTTGTCTTGCTCAAGCATGTATAGGAGAGCATTGAGCTAAAGTATGGGTAAGAAGAGGATCTAATAGGTCCTGGAGGAAGTACCATACTGTCTCGACCAAAGTTTATCATTGCAAAGATGCGATCATCTTCAAACTATACAAACCACCGCACCATCAAGTGTGCTCATCTACTTTTTGACTCAATTTACTCGCTCAGTCAGGGCCTACAGTTCGGTCATACCAGTTAAATATTTCTATAAAGATGGAGGCTCGTATTTTCCCTTGGGTTAGAGTTTTTGGGAGTATCCTAGATCAGCACCTTGCGCGCCACAAACACGGCAGTCCAGGGCAATGAAGTTGGTCTGTTCTTCCTGGTTTGTACGAGAGTCAAGGCCTTGGCTTCGAGTGGCATAAGTATCTCCATCATACTCTGAATGTAATCAGTAGCTTTCGCAGATTCAAATCGATTATTACAAAGATGCAAGGAAACATGTCACCCAATTCGTATTCAACAGTGCATTGTTGGAGAATACTAGTTTGAGCACAAGGTTGTAGAGACGAGATAGCAGGCCTAATAGCTAGAGGGGCAGCAAGGGAGGCAAAGATGACATTGGCTGCAGAATGGGGTCGTTACAATATCGATGGTATTTCCATGTCTGAAGGGTGTTGATTAAGCAACGTATTTCCTTTTTCACAAGATCAAAATGGTCTGTACTCAAAAGGGCAATGGCAAACCAAAGCGAATCCGGTGTGATGCCGGAGACCAAGTAATGACTTTAAGATGTCTTCAGGATGTCGTTCATGAAGAAGCCGTATATTGATCATACTCAAGAGCGTCTAAAACCATAAATCGGCTCTAAGTTCACCGAAAAACTCTTTGGTTCTCTCCTTTCAACTAAAGTACGAAAACAAACTGAGCTATCGGCTGTCTCTACTAGATTTCGAACCAACAGGTATGAACGCTTGTCCTTTGTACACGTCCCTATTGTTGTTCCTGTACTAGACCTTTTTCTCATATGAAAAGTGTTTTGCAATTTGGCATTCTTTTTTCTTTTCAAAACACAGCCTTTAAATGCAGTGCAATCATTTTGTCTGTTTACCTACTTTGCTTCGATACTGTGAAGAATTATCTTATTGCCAATAATCCTATCTGCTTTTCTTCTTTTGTCTGTCTGGACGATCTTTTATTCTTCTTTCTTTACTAGAGTAGTCTGTGCCTACAGTTTTAATTGAGTTAATGCATAGCGGAGTAACCCCCAAGCAACCTTTAAAATAAAAAAAGTTGAAAGACACTGTCTTGCTAGCTTGCTGCCTTGAATGCTTGGATATTAACTTAAAAAAAAAAAAAAAAAAAAAAACAACAACAACATATATATATATATATATAAAGAAATTGACAAAATTGAAGCGTTGATTGCACAGTCGAGTACACTAGATTGTTGCTAGATTGTTGCAACTTGAAGATGTTTGTCAATATTTGCCAAAGACAGATACAAAATAAGGAAAAAAAAAAAGGTCTCTAGAACAGCTTTACCGTCTTTACGTTTTGCAACTACGCTTTACGTAGCTTAGTATTGCAGAAAGCTGCGCACGAATCTTTTAATGAACTAATATTTATGTGTCGTCTTATTAGAAAGAATGAAGCTTCAACATCACAGGCATGCGAGAAGTGTCTTGCAAGAAGAGGGAAAGCTGGCAGCAAAAGATTAACAATCAACGCCGCCATGGCCGCTTGGTTGCCACAAGCTTGCTTTTTATTTAAACCAAACTATTTTCTTTAACTACTCCCAGAGCTCTTTCAACCATCAAATCAGTCAAGTATCCCAAAAAACGATCCAAAGTCAGTTAGTCAGTCCAGATTGTGGCTAACAGCATCAGTGTCCCTTCTTTGACGCTTAAGGCTGTCTTACTTATTTGGCTAAAACTGCGTTTGTCTTGAGTGCCTCTGAAATTGCCAGAGCTGCTTCATCCCCAACTGCGTTGGCATCCAAGTTCAAAGTCATCAAAGTTGCATTGACCTTGAGTGCCTTTGACAGAGCCAAGGTTCCTTCCTTTCCAATTGTGTTGTTATACAAGTCCAAAGTCGTCATAGTTGCATTGGCCTTAAGCGCCTCTGACAGTGCCAGGGCTCCCTCATTCCCAATTGAGTTGCCGCTCAAGTTCATAGTCATCAAACTAGTATTAACCTTGAGTGCCTCTGACAACGCCAGAGCTCCTCCATCCCTAATTGAGTTGTAACTCAAGTCCAAAGTTATCAAACTAGTGTTAACTTTGAGCGCTTCTGACAGTGCCAGAGCTCCTTTATCCCCAATGAAGTTGAGCCACAAGTTCAAAGAGGTCAAAGTAGTGTTAGTCTTGAGTGCCTCTGACAGTGCCACAGCTCCTTCCTTTCCAATTGAGCTGTTCTCCAAACTCAAGTTAGTCAAAGCTGTATTAGCCTTGAGCAAACTGACAAGACCTTGTAATTCGCTGGCTCCAATCGATCGAGCCTTCACCCCAAAGGTTAGCTTATGAAGATGCGCCAGTTTTGCGGGTCGTAAACTGAGAAGTTTCATGAGATCCTGAGATAGAGTAATATGGATTGTTTTCATATTACTGAGCTCTATGATGCAAATAAGCCATTCATATCGTGCGGATATTGAAGAATCTTTTATACCGGCATTCCTTTGAGCCCGTGCAAGTTCGAGTCGAAGATTCGATACACTCGACACCTCCAAAGCATCCTTAAATGCTTCAAGATCAATCTCCGTCCAATCCCAGTCAAATGTGATATCCAACTCGTAAACTCGTATTGACCTGCTTAGTGCATCGAAGAGCCCTTTAGCTCTCTCTCTGGACCCCAATGTGATAGTTACTTTACCAAGGTATGAGTCGTACTCACCCTCGTTCATCCTCACGGCATTTTCGAGTGCTAGCTGCTCTTTTTCTTTATATATCGAACGACAGCAGTCGAGACAAACCCATTTGGCACGCCCTGTTTCGCTCATTGATCCTGTACAAGTTCCCAAATTGCCTGTCTTCATCATTGGTTCGAAGGGATGTCCACACATTTTGGAAATCTGATCCTTTCAGTCCATCATAGTCATCGATTGTAGCAATGTTGCTCAAGCCTGGATCCTCCTTAGAGAGTGCTTCCATATAGTCGATTGAACAATCGATACCAGCATCCATCAAATTTGGGGATGGTGCCAGAGTTGTAGACGAAGACATTCTCAGCTTGAGCCACTGTAAGAGGATGAACATGTGCTTTCCGTACTTGCGGAAGAATTCTGTGCTGCTTCGGATCTCATATCCATCATGTTTGGTGATATGGAGTGGCTTCTGACTATTCTTGCTTGTCATTGCAGTGTGATCTCCACATTCACATAGGAAATGAACACGAATTTTGTTCTTCAAGACATTCGTTGGATCCCACTTGGTGTGATCGACAGGTAGAATGATAAACAGTCGAGGAATTACGTATTCGTGGAGCTCAACGTTCTGCTTAAGGATAGCATGGACATGCTTTTGAAGGGTAGCAAGCTTGTCAGGGCCTTGATGTTGTATTATGTCATCCTTCTCCTTAGCTTCCAATTGTAGTTTAAACATCTTCTCTTGTAGTTTAAACATCTCGCTGTCCTTGTCTTTGGCTTCCAATACCAGATTAAGCATCTTGTCTTTCAGTTTATGCAGCTCGCTGTCCTTTTCTTTGGTTTCCAACAGCAGATTAGCCACCTTGTCATCCTTCTCTTTGGCCTCCAAGAGCACATCTGCAACCTTCTCAAGGTTAGAGTTGATCACCTCGATATATGCATTGTTGCGTGTAGTAAGGAACGAATTGAAAGAGTGAATCAAGTTTGATAATGGTAAAAGAGTATCCTGAGAGGCCTGCTTTGACGACTTTCTCAATGTAGGCAAATGGATGAGGGCGCTGTGATTGCTGTTGTTATTGCAGCTGCAATTAGTATTATCGATGTTGGTATTTGTGCTGGTGTTGGTGTTGATACTGGTGTTGCTGGTGTTGGCGTTGCTAGCTTCGGTGCTGCTGCTGCTACTGTCGCTGCTGCTTAGCTGCGGCGCTTCTGTAATGACATCCAGGATCTTGTAAGGATAGAATCCAATGCATGGTGGCTCGACTCTAACAAGAAGACAGATATATGCCAGATTGAGCTTCATTTATTTTCAAAAGATGATTGATAAAGCGCACCATAATCAGTAGCATACCTGTTCCCATTAGGGTCTATGAGGAATGGAATAGGAAGTTCCTCCAGCTTGAATCGCTGTGCATCTGGAAACACATCCCGAATGTCTTGCAGACTCACATGGCAGGCTGAGTTGCCATTGCTTGCGAAGGTACTTTCTCAATTATGCCAGCCCTTCGGAATTGTTGGTATTGGTGCTCTGTCATGTCGGTAGCACTTGGATGAATGAGGACAGAATGAAAGGTTTTCTCATTTCTCTTTTGAGTAACGCATTAATCCTATTTCTTAAAATCTTGGCCACTTGCGCGTGACAAGAGTGAGAAAATACATGTCTTCCAAAGCTTTTGCAGATGCCTTTCACTTGACTCCCGCAACTCACTTGGCTTGAATAGATTGTTGCGCTGTATCTGTTCAGACAGATTCTTTAAAAAATAAAAAATAAAAAATAAAATAAAAAAAAGTGGACGCACAATTATTGATTGAAGAACTATATACTACACACTAGGAAATACGGAGACACTTCGTGTCTAAAAACCATCCTGTAGACAATCTTCCGAGTCCATATTCCAGGTGAGCCTTTTACCTTGCCAGCGGCATTGTGCCTTGTTATCCCCAATCAGTATTTCAAGAATATTAACATCTATACATTCGTGGTTAAGCACTGGGGGAATGGCCATCCCTTAAGCCTATTGAGGAAGACATATACCAGTGTATTTAAGCATCTGTCCTTGGAATCTATTGATAGTCATAGATAGGCTAATTGAGATAGGCTACAAGTTGTGGTTATTTATTGAGATTTCCCAGACTGTGAAATTTTGCCATCACCATGATGCTTCGCTTACTTCTATGATATAGAATGGAGCAACAAAATCATTAACATTGGCTTCACCTTTACTGCCTTTTGCACCAGGCAAATGTTCCTATTAAATTTATTGATTTATTTGAAGCTTTGTTAACCATAAACGAAGCTCTTGGCTATACCCTGCTCGTTATACTTGGGACCTGGTTATGGCATTGGGCTATTTTGTCATTTTCTTTCGATACACTTTCTTGCTTTGATCCTCAGCGTTCCCCTTCACGGTTTTCTGCTCAATTACTCGTACATATAAAGCAAATAGCACCAACCTACTTACTTTACAATTTGAAGTGAGCCTTTTTAACAAAGAGTATTTACAAACTCTCGCCATAATTCACCGAAGGGAGTTTTATATGTAGTTTGTAGTCTAGTAATCGCCTCATAAGAAAAGTGACAAATACAGCAGATACTCAAGCGATATGGTTGCAGCGATTAGCATTTGATTCTTATTCCGTTTTTAAAGTTACCACAGGAAAAGATACGACTATTGATAGATAGATAATGAAAAATGGTATCGCTACATAACCTCACAATGATTATTTAAATTATAGTGGTTATCACTCGAGCGTCAAGGCAAGCAAACACTCAATAGCAGACTGAGCATCAGCACATCCTTGGTCGGCTGCTTTGAGATACCAGTCGAGAGCTTTCGAATTGTCTTGCGAAACCCCTTCGCCATGAAAATACATGTAGCCTAGACTGCTCTGAGCGACGGCATTCCCATAGTTGGCTGCTTTGAGGTACCACTCAACAGCCGTCGAATAGTCCGTTAAAACCCCTTTGCCATGAGAGTACATATAGCCTAGGTTGCTCTGAGCGGTAACATTTCCATGATTGGCTGCCTTGAGATACCAGTCGACAGCTTCCGAATAGTTTTGTACTCCTTCGCCACGGGAATACATGAAGCCTAGATTGTTCTGAGCATCAGTATGTCCTTGATTGGCTGCCTTATTAAGCCAGTAGAAGGCTTCCGAGTAGTCTTGTGAACTAAGGTACATGTAACCTAAGTCACTCTGAGCGGTGATGTTACCTTGGTTGGCTGCTTTAAGACACCAGTCGATGGCTTTCGGGTAGCTCTGTGGTACTCCTTTGCCGTGATAATACATATAGCCTAGATTGCTCTGAGCGATGTCGCTTCCTTGAGCGGCTGCCTGGAGATACCAGTTCACAGCAGTCGAATAATCCTGTGGAACCCCTCTGCCATGTTGGTACATGCAACCAAGGTTGTTCTGGGCGCTGGCATATCCTTGACTGGCTGATCTGGTGAACCAGTCGATGGCATTCGAATAATCATTGGAGGTTCCTTTGCCATGGTATAGCACGTAGCCTAAATAGTTCTGAGCGACGGCATCTCCTCGGCTGGCCACCAGGGATAGCCAGTTCATAGCATCTGAATAAGCCTTTAGATCGCCTTTGGGCTCAAGGATTCTTTTTAAATAGCTCCGAGTAACAGAACTAGCGGGGTCATCTGGAATATCAGTAACACTGGGAATATTAGGAAGTGTCTCGTCCACGCCTCTCGGCTGAGTCTCTCCACCAACCGGCAATGCCGGCAACTCTGCTCTTTCCTCAACTGTTGGTCTTGCCGAACTTGTAGCTCCGTAACTTGAAGCATGTTCTGAAGTAGCTGCAGTGCCATGCCTTCTGGAGGGTTCTTTCATACCTGCCTTGGGGCTTTTGGCGTTATTGCTGGCATAGGACCCTTTGGCAGCCGGTTCTTCCTCTCTCTTTTCTTGGATCGTTGTTGAAGCTGAATATGACTCCCTTGGGATGCCAGCTTGAGAGGGGATTACCACATCCAGTATGGCATCAAGCTCTGCACGTATTCGAAGTGGCTTTATACTATATATGTTGTTGCAACATTGATATGGGTTTGAGCTAACACCAAACATAATCTAACACTAAAAAGCAACGGATGTCGTAGCTAGCGATCAATTATTATGCTTATTCTTACTATTCAAAGCTATCATCCGTGAGGAAGGATATAACTACATTCTCTTGTTTTATATGGGTTGCATCCTTGTAGGAGGATACAATGTCGTTCCAGAGGATGATATGCTGCTGTGTTTTATGGTCAAGTCGAGCTTCTACGTATTGGATATCTGACAATGGAGCGGATGATGCATCCAAGCTGACTAGGCGAAATGCCTGAAGCTTTTTCTCTGTAAATATCATGGCTATTAGTTTGTGGTCGCGACAGATGAAGAGAAGATAATGAGAACAGGAAAAAGGAGGTTGAGAAAAATGGCAATAAGGAGGGTATTTATTCAAAAATGACTAAACCGAATAAAAAGAAGTCGCGACTCTTTCCCACGCAAACGATGAATTAGGGAAGAGGGTAATGTCAATTTACAATTGGGTTTTCCGCAATGAATTACCGCTTGCTAATCATTTCAACGGAATGGCTCAAGACGTCTCATTCTTGATTCAATCAGTGAATGTTGGATTGTTATATCGGTCGCTGACCACAAAGCGCTTCTTGGCCTGTTGACACCAGCACTGTTGCTTTCGTCTCTATGTATTATTTCAAGGGGGTTCTGCAGGTGATTGTCTACTTGCGGCCCCAGGATATCCTATCAGACCAGAACCACTAATGAGCGGCGATTGTTCATAAAGAATATGAGTTGTTATAACATTGAGATGAAGTATGAATGCAAACAAGGTTCTTTGGCAGCGAATGGTCTATATTTAATGGGAAGCGAGTGCAGGAATGGACACTACACAAAGACGGTTGTTATCGATAGTCATGTCCAGTCAGATACAGTGCCGTTTAGTCGAAGAAGCAATTGCTTTTGTCATTATCAGTATCATCAGATCCTAAAGACGCGTCGAATTCGTGGGCCGTGGAGCAACCTAATTGTGGACATTGTTTTCTATAAATCTAACATATTAATCTAGGATACACACACATGTAAATAATTTCAATTTCGTGGTCACGTCACTGACCTCTGGCAAGCCCTCAATTAATTCGCACCATCACAGCGCTCTTTTCGAAAACCTCTTCTCGACATCAACACTAACCAGCTGCATCTACTCATACAAGCAACATGGAGTCCTCAAAGACCATCGTCGTCGATAACGGCACTGGGGTAATGTCCTTCTATCATCCCATCCCATCCTTTTTCTTCTCTTCACTTCTCTTTTGTATTTCTTTCATTCACAACCATCTTACGCGAAATAAAACTAGTCTCACTGGAATTATATTTACTTATATTGCATGTATTTCTTTACGAAGACAAGTTGAAGGCAGAAAACAAGATGAGGAACTTTAGGACGTAAAGAAGTGCATGAAGAGTCGCTGGCTTTTTTTTTTTTTTTTTTTTGTTTCAATTGTGGCATTTTATATTATCTCAGCAACAGCTCTTTTCTCTCACTCAATTCCTTTGTTGACAATCAAAGCTTCGGCATGGGGCCAAACGCAACCTATACCAGTGTCTATTCATGCTTTTTATCCTAATGCTTTCTTTTATACTTCTCTTTTTTTATTAAAAAAAAAAAAAAAAAAAAAAAGTTTTGCAAAGTCGGATATGCTGGATCAAATTTCCCAGAATATGTTTTCCCCTCAGTGGTCGGACGTCCCATTCTACGCGCTGAAGAATCCATCGGCAATGTACGTGTCAAGGATATCATGGTTGGAGATGAGGCTGCAGAATTGCGTTCTATCCTTCAAATGAGCTATCCAATGCAGAATGGCATTGTCAAGAATTGGACTGATATGCGACATCTTTGGGATTACACCTTCAATGAGAAGCTCAAGATCGATCCACGCGACACAAAGATCATGTTGACAGAACCTGTTATGAACCCCAAAGCCAACAGAGAAAAGATGGTTCAAACCATGCTTGAGGAATATGGTTTCCAAGGTGTCTATGTGGCTATTCAAGCCGTCTTGACTCTTTATGCACAAGGTTAGGAATCAAGGGAAAAAAAAAAAAAAAAAAAAAAAAAAAAAAAAACAGGCATTCTCCGCTGCTCTTGCAAAAACTCTTGAATAATCTCGACTAGTTTGATACTTGTAATTAACGCGCTTTTTTTCTTCTTCCCCTTATTCTTTAAGCACTTACAACGGGTGTGGTTGTCGATTCTGGAGACGGTGTCACGCATATTGTACCTGTAGTCGATGGATATTCTCTTCCTCACATTACAAAGAGGTTAGATGTTGCTGGACGTGATGTCACTCAGTACCTTATCAAGTTGTTGTTGCTTCGTGGTTATGCCTTCAACAGAACTGCCGACTTTGAGACTGTCCGTCAGATCAAGGAGAAGCTTTGCTACACTAGGTGCGAATTCTGATCATTCTATTGGGAATCAACTAGGACTTCTTTATTATTGCTATTCTTATTTTAGATCATTGGACATCAAATTTGATGCTAACATTATGGTTACCTTTTCAACTATTACTAGTTATGATGTGGATCAGGACCTTAAACTAGCTAATGAGACTACTGTCCTTGTGGAGAGCTACACGGTAACGACAAGTTTTTGGAGAAAAACCAATGGAGTTTTTATTGTGGTCTTTTAGTATTTTGATGGAACGACTGATATATAATGTAAATATTTGTCTGGATGTATTTCTTTAGCTTCCTGATGGTCGTGTCATCAAGGTCGGTTCTGAAAGATTCGAGGCTCCCGAGTGCATGTTCCAGCCTCCTTTGGTTGATGTTGAGCAACCTGGAGTTGCTGGTATGGACGCCATAACCATGTGTCATTATCAATTAACCTTGCTCTGCCTAGTGGGATCTTTTTTTTTTTTTTTTTCTTACTAATTTTTTTATCCTACATATTCAATGCGATTTTTAGAAATGCTTTTCCAATGTATTAATACTGCTCCCGTCGACACACGTCCAGAGTTGTATAAGCACATCGTCCTTTCTGGTGGATCTACCATGTACCCTGGTTTCCCCAGTCGACTGGAGAAGGAACTCAAGCAACTTTATCTAACAGAAGTCGTAAAGGGCGATGTCCAGCGCTTTAGAGTATGTCTTTACTGTTGCTATTGCTATTACTATTATTATGGAGCCAACAAAGAGTTCATTACTAAGAGGCTGATCTTTTAATAATCAATCTAGAACATCAAAATCCGTATCGAGGATCCTCCTCGTCGTAAGCACATGGTGTTCTTGGGAGGAGCTGTGTTGGCCAACATTATGCAGGACAAGGAAGCGTTCTGGGTCACAAAGCAAGAGTGGGATGAGCAAGGTATTCGTGCATTGGATAAGCTTGGATTTGTTTCGTCAAACTAAGAGAAAACGAAAGAATAAATAAAACAAAGATTAGATTGGGCAGACAAAAAAGAAAAAGAAAAAGAAAAAGAAAAAGAAAAAGAAAAGAAAAGAAAAGAAAAGAAAAGAAAAGGAATGAAAAAGGAACGAAGCAGATATACCTAAAAAAGAATAAAACTTCCTTTATTGCACTTTAAATAAAATATAAAATATTTTTTTAAAAAAAAAAAAAATGGGAAGGGTTTACAAGCTAAATGTTAACAGTCATGTGTAATTTATGCATTTCAGCAATAGTTAAAGATAATATTGTACATGTTTATTGGGAATCCAAGCAATGAAGCTATGTCTAAAAAAAAACATCTTTTTTACTATTTTTATCATTTGAAAGAAGTTTTCTGTTTTTTAGTAAAATACTCTTTTTTTAAAAAAAAATAAAAATAAAAAAAAAAATCAAATGTGGATTACTAATGGATGATTCTTACCTCCATATCTACATCTTCATCATTTAAAGGAGTCGAAACTTCAGAATTCTCTTCAGAGCTAATGCCAATGACCGCTGTCGTCTTTCCAGTCCCACTGTTGCTACCAGGCCATTGTTCCTCAATCGCTTTTGCAACCAATCCGTCATCGTCCGCGACCAATGTTCCTGCTTTCCATGCGCCATATTTAAGTCCGATTGCCTTGTTCAGTTCAAACTCTCTGGCCAGGTCCTGTTCATTGCCCTTCCAATCCTTGTAAAGCTGCAAATTCTGACGACCAACAAGTCTCATAGTTTTGATACGAAGATCATTTCCACTCTGCATCCGATATTTGATAAGAATAATAGCAATAATAATAATAGTAATAATAGTAATAGTCAGTTAAACATGGACGAGAGATGTGCATAAATTTGATCTACATTTTACATTATGCGGAAATAAATCATGAATAAATAAGAAAGCGATTTTACCCATAACGGTAAGAATTCCTCAGAGATCTCTCTGAAATGTCCAATGCCATACTTCTCAATCCCCTTTATAAGAAGTTCGCGCTCCTTATCTGTCCATTTCCTGGCCACTTCAACAGGTTTACTGCCTCTAGGCGGACGGAAATAACTTGATAAAAGAGGAAACAATAATAATGATGGAAACAGCAATATAGTTATGATTGTTATCTTCAAGCCGACGCGTTCTCCTTCATCCCTGGTTAACAGATACTCCAAAAAAAAAAAAAAAAAAAAAAAAAAGAGCAGGTAAATGAACGCTACTTCTACTTACTCCTGGTTAAGAGTACCATCAGGATGGATCATGTTTTTAGTAATAGGGAACTCATCTCGAATGCAAAATTTGAGACGAATTTCATTAATCCGTCTCTGTCGTGCATCAAAGACTCGTTCTGGTTTTGGTGATGCAGGAGAAGGAGAAGGGGAAGGAGAAGAAGAAGAAGAAGTGGAAGTGGGATGAAGAATAGAGGAAGAAGAGGGTAACTGCTCCTGATTTATTTCCATGATGCCGGATGTTCAAAATGTGTAGACGATGAGGATCCTTGTAATGGCAATGTTGCTTCTTGCTTTGATTTCAGAAAAAAAGCATTCGTGGAGCGCGTGTGAAACGCGATTGTTTTGATTTTAATTTAAAGTATGACTGTTGCATTCAAATTAACGTTGATCTGCTCAAGACTTTGCACATTATTATCCTCTCGGCTTCGCCTCCTTTTTGCGACTTTCTCTTTTGAAGAACTGAATAGAGTCGCCTCCTCTTCTTTGATCCAACGATGGAAATGAGGAAGTGCCAGGTGACTCAGTCAAGCTTCTTAGAGTCCTATGCTCTAACAGCCAAACAGGCTGGCTCTGTAATCCAATCGAGGCGTTAATCGTTAAACAAGACGTCAACAAGAAAAGGTATACCCCAAGATCTTCGTCTAATTACACTACTTTTAATAATTCTGCATGGACTCTTAGTCGCGGTGACAGAAATACCTGAATGGCGGTATGCTGTGGTCTGCTCTGGACCGAATCCACTGGATTCCAAGTATTATAAGTTATCAAAGATGAGCGAAAGCTGATTATTGAACGGCAAAGGAATCTGAAATGCAAGTCAAGCTTGACTTAACATATGGGACTTCACTAAGCGCCAGTGTATGAACATTGGCTTTGTACTGAGAGCTGGAGCCCTAAAATCCAGACATGGTCCTCGTCAAACGAAAAGGGCTGAAGAGTGAAGAGCTGCATGTATTGTAGAGTTATTGAGCACGTTGACACATTGGCATGGGCTAGGTGGCAAAGTTTTTTCTCCTTGTCGTGCATGTATAAAATTTCACGACGTGGACATGCTACAGAGACCTGAACAACATTCGTTTCTATAAGTGGCCGTCATCCTTCCATACTTTTGCAGCATGGTCAAGATTCATTTAAATCCGTTGGAGATTCCAGTAATCATCTTAATTATTGGGAGATCCCTCCATCGAAATGAGCTCATGAGATGTCTTCGCGTCTCCAAGGCTTTTCATGATTCACTTATCTCCGTATATAGAAGAATAATTGTCGCGCCTGACCGAGCCTATCCTACTGGTGAAGTCCCGGAAAAGCGCAAGAAGTATATTGAGGAAATTGAATTTCAACATGTCTTACCAAAACAGTTCATGTCATTACAGGGTTGCAATCGTCTCCGGCTCATCGGATGTCTCATGGATGAACCAACCCTATGGAATCTCTCCGAACTGAGTCCACTATCGAACTTTATCAAGACTCACAGCTCTACAATCGCCAGCTTTACCTGTACCGCTCAGTTTTTCAGCAACGCCAGGCCAAGTCCAGGATTCTGGGAAGCACTACTGGAATGCACCCATCTTAGGATCCTTATTATTTCTCAGGTACATGTAGATAGTGATACAGTAGACGTTTTCTTCAAGGTCTGCAAGAAAGTAAGGCGCTTGAGTTTGGATCGCATGTCCATCTCTCAGCTGCCTGATAACTTTCTGAGCGGCGAATTTAATTTCCCAAGAATGCGCACATTGCGCCTTCATGGGATCCAAATACTCAACCCTCTACATCCGTATTCGTCAATGGGATGTCTTGGCATATGGACTAAAAGATGCTTAGGGTTGATTCAACTGAGATTTTCTGCATACTATCTTCCTACTCAAATTAAGCAACGAGCAATCGACGATTTCTACAAACCAGTCTTCCTTCAGTATCCTTGGACAGTGACAAATTTAACAGACCTCTCATTAGAAGGCATGGACGTAACAGACGAGGATACGGCGACGCTTCTCAGACAGATGACTTCTCTAAAACAGTTTGATGCCCTAGATTGTGATTTCGGCCAGCTCTCATTGTAAGAACTGCTAGCAGATAAGCAAATGATTTTGGATGGTGGACGCATGGTACGGAAGACAAGGCTTCGGAAACTTTGCGATACAATCGAGTCATTGGCGTTCAGAACAAAAAACAACAAGGCTGGCGGTATTGTTCAAGCGATCTTGACCAATTGTCCGCACCTGAAGCAATTATCGACTCCGATAATCACAGTGACAGAAATTGTCAATGGCGCACAGTGGGTCAGCACTGGCCTCATCGCCATGGCCATCTATCTCAAGGCTGATGTCGACAAAGAGACTGTAGAAGGTATGGAGAAGCAGTGCATCGTGTATAGACAGCTAGCCAAGCTGACTCAACTGCGATATCTCAAATTGACGTCGGGATCATTTGGTTATGGAAAGCGAACACTGGACTTGAGGTTGAGAGTAGGTTTGGATGAACTCATCAACTTCAGGAGCCTGAAAACGTTAGACTATAGAGGGGATCGGCAGCAGAAGGTACAACCCGATGATCGGGCATGGGTCAAGGACAATTGTCCACACAGAGAACTCATCGATTATTAGGCAACTGTGCTTGTTGGTAGATGTAGTAAAAAAAAAAAAAAAAAAAAAAATTACTTCGCAATCTGATATAGAGCCCTTCCAAGATATATATTTCCATAATGGCTATAACGTAAGAACAGACTAAATCGCATACGAATTGGCTTGGGACAATAGCATTGAAACGAATAGCAAGTGGTTGTTCATTGCAGAGGATCAGTTTAAACCGACATTGCCTCTTCCTTTAGTTCGGTTAGCCGCCCTCAGTTCTTTTGATTTGTCTTCAACAATTCTGTGCTTTCATCCACTTGGATTTGTTTCACCGAGTTGCACAGGCAACCATTGTCACCCCTTAATATGCCACAAGCAGAATCAAACCAAATGAACTAGGGATGGCTATTGTGTGGGGAAAAGAGCGAATAAATGGCTTCATCAGCTCCCTTTTGCCGTCATTCTTCTCAACCTCCTTCTTTCCCTCCTTCTTTCCCTCCTTCTTTCTCTCCTTCTTCTCCTCTTACCATCTTCTCTTCAGACACCACAAATACAAAAAACAGCAGAACTACCGATCATGATACTTGCTGAGAAAAAGTTTCAGGCATTCCGCCTTGTTAGCTTGGATGGATCATCCACTCCAGTATCAGATATCCAATACGTAGAAGCTCGATTTGACCATAAAGCACAGCAGCACATCGTACTCTGGAACGACATCATATATTCTTATAAGGATGCAGTTCACATTAAGCAAGGGAGAGTAACTTTATCTTTTCTCACGGATGATAAATTTGAATAGTAAGGATGACTATGGTAAAATAAATGACCGCAACGACATTTGTGAAGCCAATTGCTTTTTGGTGTAAGCTCAAATCCATGTCAATATCGCAACAATAATTTTAGTCTGAAACCACTTCGAATCCGTGCAGAACCTGATACCATACTGGACATGGTTGTTTCCCTAAAAGCAAACAACCCAAGAGAGCCATGTTCAGAATCAATCTTACCTCAAGAAATTAAGGAAGAACCAGCTACAGAAGGATCCTATGAGTTTCTCGCCCCTAGTGCTGTCAGCAATAACACCAAAAGCTTCGAAACAGATATGAAAGTTCCCTCCGGAAGACAAGACGGCGTAGCTTCTTCAACAGGCGTTGCGCTCTCTTTAGAAGGTGTTCCGAGTAGCGAATCTACAGCTTCGACAGCACCAGCAGTTGAAGAGAGTGCAGAGTTGATGGCAGCGCCGCTTGGTGGGGTGTCCCAATTAGGAAGCATAGACAATATACCCTCCAATCGCTGGGACTATAGTTATTACATTGAAGAGGTCAGAGGATGTTCAGAGACTCCGTCCAGCCCTCCAGATTGGTTAACTCAGCGAGCTCTTTGGGATCCCAGCGCCCAGGCTCATCTAGGTTACGTGTACTATCATGGTAGAGGAGTCTCACAGGACTATTCGAGAGCTATCGACTGGTTTACCAAGGCAGCCGACCAAGGAAATAGCGCAGCTCAGAGTAATTTAGGCTGCATGTACGAACATGGCAGGGGTGTTTTACAAGACTATTCGATTGCTGTTGATTGGTACCTCAAAGCAGCCAGCCAGGGGAATCTCATCGCTCAGAGTAATCTAGGCTACATGTATTTTTATGGCAAAGGAGTTTTACAGAGCTATTCGAAAGCTCTCGACTGGTGCCTCAAGGCAGCCAACCAAGGCGGGATTGCCGCTCAGAACAACTTAGGTTACATGTACCTTAGTTCCCATGACTATTCGAAAGCTACCTATTGGCTCTATAGGGCAGCCAACCAAGGACATACTGATGCTCAGAACAATCTAGGTTACATGTATTCTCGTGGTAAAGGAGTGTCACAGAACTATTCAGAAGCTGTCGACTGGTATCTCAAGGCAGCCAACCACGGAAATGCTATCGCTCAGAATAACCTTGGTTACATGTACTACCACGGCATAGGAGTTTCACAGGACTATTCGAAAGCCTTTGACTGGTATCTCAAAGGGGCCGATCAAGGATGTGTTGATGCTCAAGGCGCTATTGGTTATATGTATCGATTTGAAAAGGGCGTTCCTAAAGACCTTATTAAAGCAAAATAGCAGCATCAGAAGGCCGCGGGCCAAACTGAAGTTGATAGTTGGAGAAAGTAGGACCTATCCAAGTGCTCCAAGCTCATGAATATTAAAACTGAAACCTTTTTAAACTGATTATATTTTCAGGCTATATAATAAGTGGTATCGTCTTTTGTATTGCCTGACGACCGAATAGTAGCCACTCACAATTGGGTCACGCGGCAGCAATCCTGTTCAATAGAAACTCCTGACCTAATCTTCCTATTTATTCTGGAATATGATCATGCCATTTCCGCTGTGAGTTAAACATAAAAAGAACTGGGTAAATAGGATGGGATTCAGATGAAGGCCATAGCAACCTAGTTGCTTGAGCATTATTATGTTTGTTATGTTTGTCGTATTCCTTATGAACCGACTGTCAATAGTCAGAATACGAACTACAAACAAGCCATTTTTTTGCTGAAACACGACAAGTGATTACAAAAATAGTCTGCTACGAGGCTTCCTTCAAACTGGCAAATCAGCTTTTATCATAGAGGCTGGCGATGTGTCTTTAGTACACATTGTTGTTAGCGTAAACCATGTGATCAAGTATCTGACTCTGACATCCGAGAATACAGTGTATGAGGCTCCCAGGATCCATGTGTCTGTTTGACTAAGGTTAGAGTGCGCAATTGGACGAAAGAAGCATGAAGGTATTTTGGGAGTCATAGCATAAAAAAAAAGAGTATAAAATGACAAGAGAGCACGGCACAAATAGTCTATTGTCACTACTATGAGCACCGGCGCGAATGATATGAACAGGCTCACCCTACAGTTTCGATCAAGGTTGGCAAGGCTTCAAGTAACTAAACGAAGGCAAGAGAGGTATTTGACAGTTGTAAAAGCCAGTAAAGGCGTGAAAGTCTCGCTGCCAAGCGGTGCAGTTCAGCACTGCAGCGATACGAGTCCATCTCCCTCTTAGTCAATAGCTGACTATTTTATTTTCTCCCTAATACGCGAGGTACAGTCCGTAATACATCAAGGATACATGCAAAGAGGGATAGTAATGTATTACAGTGGCAAAATGGTGAACAGACCCGAAACCCAAAGGGGTTATAGCTGATCTTCGCCCGACTTCAAAGCAGATTCTTTAAGATTATTGATTTTCCCATACCTGGATATCATCAACGGGGTCCAAGTCTAAACTGCCCAGTAGAGGTAGTCCTAAGAAGAATGTTTATGAGAAAATGAATGGGAAGCAAGAGAATCAAGTAGTGCGGACAAATGATATAGAAAAGCGGATCAGCAGGCTCATTGATGCTCTTACACGTTTCATTCGGAAGATGGCGGACCAAGTCTGGCCTAATTGAAGCCGTAGAAAGAAGGGAGCATTGGATCACCATGTAGCGAGCATTGAGAAAATAAAAAATACTGTTTGTAATAGCTTAGAGAGACAAAAGATAATTTTATTATAGCAATTAAAACAAACCTTTCAAAGGCTTAACACTATATACTGGTATATGAAGAAATCTGAGTAATTTTGTCTCTTTTTTTTCACAATACAAAACAATCATACGAAATGAGAGTCTTTTTTTTTTTTTTTTTTTTTTTTTTTTTTTTTATAATTTTTTGAGAGGAATATCCAGGCCATTTCCAGTAATACATGGTCTGGCTTATTACTCTTTGGATATTCTTGTTGCTTTATACCCGCACATGAACATTGAAGAGGTTAAGATGAAGGTAGTCGAGGTTACTGGATCATATATAAACGTTCTCTGTACTCTGGTAGGGTTGCTGCTGTCATACTTGAATGTTCGCCTCCATGATGAGGACGATGAGGCACCATTATTCGAAGTCGAAGCTGTTGAGGTTTTGGTGGCGTCATGCTTGACGCCACTGTTGTTGCCACCAATATTGTTGTTTGTATTTGGTTCGGCCTTCTTAACAGCAACATGATGAGAAACGAACCCTGAGGCGGCAACAAAGTGCGATACCGCAATAGCTGACGATGGAGCAGTCGTTGTTGCTGTTACTACTTTTGTGCTCGAGCTTGTCATGGTATAGTGGTTGTCTTCTATTTCCTCTTGTTCTTGTGTCTTTTCGTTTCGCTGTTTCTTTGACACTTGAATATCATGCTGTAAAGGGCTGCCAGAAGGCTCTTTGCGTTTCCCTGTGGAGTATGATACCGTAGTAGTTGATGATGAGGTAGCCAGCATTGTTATTGTGGTGCTTGTCATGTTATATTGGTTATCTTCTATTTCTTCTTCTCCCTGTGTCTTTTCATTTCGTTGTCTCTTTGAGCTTTGAATGTCACGCAGAGTAGGGCTGCCAGAAGGTTCTTTGCGTTTACCAATGGAATGCATTTTTTTTTTCTGAATGAACTATTGGGAATTCAGTTGGTAGAGAAAGGAAAAGTTGAAGAAGTGTTCAGGTTGTTGGAAGCTAAAATCAAGCCTTAAATAGGCATATTTTGTCACGTGAAGCCAATAGTTACGCGCGACGCGTCTATCTTGGGCAGTCATTTTATGGTTTAACATGTCAGCATTTCTCTTAAGCCCCAGTCTTGTCTTGGCAAGTGCGCCACCAAATTGGAACATGTGCACTCAATAACATCATCGGCTTTGTTCAGGTGTTTCTTCCTACAATCACTGAATGGATGCCTCCATTTTGACAATTCGATCGCAACGTGCATCTTCAGTCAATGAACATTTCTGAATTAGTCGAATTGGTCGAAGCCATGAGCATCTTTCTTGGCAAAAAAAAAGAAAAATAAAAATCTCGAAATTGCGTACGGGTCTGCAAGGGTTTCCATGTTGTCTTGCTCAAGCATGTATAGGAGAGCATTGAGCTAAAGTATGGGCAAGAAAAGGATCTAATAGGTCCCGGAGGAAGTACCATACTGTCCCGACCAAAGTTTATCATTGCAAGGATGCGATCATCTTCAAACCATACAAACCACCGCACCATCAAGTGTATTCATCTACTTTTTTGACTCAATTTACTCGCTCAGTCAGGGCCTACAGTTCGGTCATACCAGTTAAATATTTCTATAAAGATGGAGGCTCGTATTTTCCCTTGGGTTAGAGTTTTTGGGAGTTTCCTAAATCAGTACCTTGCGCGCCACAAACACGGCAGTCCAGAGCAATGAAGTTGGTCTGTTCTTCCTGGTTTGTACGAGAGTCAAGGCCTTGGCTTTGAGTGACATAAGTATCTCCATCATACTCTGAATGTAATCAGTAGCTTTCGCAGATTCAAATCGATTATTACAAAGATGCAAGGAAACATGTCACCCAATTCGTATTCAACAGTGCATTGTTGGAGAATACTAGTTTGAGCACAAAGTTATAGAGACGAGATAGCAGACCTAATAGCTAGAGGGGCAGCAGGGGAGGCAAAGATGACATTGGCTGCAGAATGGGGTCGTTACAATATCGATGGTATTTCCATGTCTGAAAGGTGTTGATTAAGCAACGTATTTCCTTTTTCACAAGATCAAAATGGTCTGTACTCAAAAGGGCAATGAAAAACCAGAGCGAACCCGGTGTGGTGCCGGAGACCAAGTAGTATCTTTAAGATGTCTTCAGGATGTCGTTCATGAAGAAGCCGTATATTGATCATACTCAAGAGCGTCTAAAACCATAAATCGGCTCTAAGTTCACCGAAAAACTCTTTGGTTCTCTCCTTTCAACTAAAGTACGAAAACAAACTGAGCTATCGGCTGTCTCTACTAGATTTCGAACCAACAGGTATGAACGCTTGTCCTTTTGTACACGTCCCTATCGTTGTTCCTGTACTACTGTACTTTAAATGTCTACTAAGAGAAAGGGGTGGCAAAGGTGTATCATTGAATCGTCTCTTAAGTGTAACGTGCTAAATATGACTTTTATTTGTTCTTTTCAATAGTAACTCTAGGGCTTAAGACCACTTGTTAATCAAGAGCTGCAGAAGTCAAGGGAAAGGCACATGTAGTAAGTAAAATTAAAAAAATAAAAAATAAATAAAATAAAATAAAAAAATAAAAAGAGAGAGAGGCTTCATTATTCGTTAATCAAAGAGAAATGAATATTCCATTGAGTAATTACCGACATGACAGAGCATCAATACCAACAATTCCGAAGGGCTGGCATAGTTGAGAAAGTTTGTGTCAGAATTGCTTCTACCTTCGCAAGCAATGGCAACTCAGCCTGCCATGTGAGTCTGCAAGACATTCGGGATGTGTTTCCAGATGCACAGCGATTCAAGCTGGAGGAACTTCCTATTCCATTCCTCATAGACCCTAATGGGAACAGGTATGCTACTGATTATGGTGTGCTTTATCAACCATCTTTGAAAAATAAATGAAGACGCTCAATCTGGCATATATCTGTCTTCTTGTTAGAGTCGAGCCACCATGCATTGGATTCTATCCTTACAAGATCCTGGATGTCATTACAGAAGCGCCGCAGTTAGGTAACGGTGACAACAGCAGCAGCAGCACTGAAGCTAGCAACGCCAACACCAGCAACACCAGTATCGACACCAACACCAGCACAAATACCAACACTGACAATACCAACTGTAGCTGCAATAACAGCAATCACAACACCGTCATCCACTTGCCTACATTGGGAAAGTCGTCAAAGCAGGCCTCCCAGGATACTCTTTTACCATTATCAAACTTGATTCACTCTTTCAATCCGTTCCTTACTACACGCAACAATGCATATATCGAGGTGATCAACTCTAACCTTGAGAAGGTTGCAGATGTGCTCTTGGAGGCCAAAGAGAAGGATGACAAGGTGGCTAATCTGCTGTTGGAAACCAAAGAAAAGGACAGCGAGCTGCATAAACTGAAAGACAAGATGCCTAATCTGGTATTGGAGACTAAAGAGAAGGAAAGTGAGATGCTTAAACTGCAAGAGAAGAAGGCTAAAATGCAAGTGGAAACCAAAGAGAAGGATGACAAAATACAACATCAAGGCCCTGACAAGCTCGCTAACCTTCAAAAGTATGTCCATGCTATCCTTACGCAGAACGTTGAGCTCCACGAATACGTAATTCCTCGACTGTTTATCATTCTACCTGTCGATCACACCAAGTGGGATCCAACGAATGTCTTGAAGAACAAAATTCGTGTTCATTTCCTATGTGAATGTGGAGATCACACTGCAATGACAAGCAAGAATAGTCAGAAGCCACTCCATATCACCAAACATGATGGATATGAGATCCGAAGCAGCACAGAATTCTTCCGCAAGTACGGAAAGCACATGTTTATCCTTTTAAAGTGGCTCAAGTTAGGAATGACCTCGTCTACATCTCTGGCACCATCCCCAAATTTGATGGATGCTGGTATCGATTGTTCAATCGACTATATGGAAGCACTCTCTAAGGAGGATCCAGACTTGAGCAACATTACTACAATCGATGGCTATGAAAGGCTTAAAGGAGTTGATCTCCAACAGCTGGGAGCGTCTTTTCGAATTAATGATTTAGGCAGGCACTTTGGCAACCTGTACAGGATCATGGCCGAAGCAGGTCATCTCAAATGGAGATGTTTCGATCACTGTCGTTCGATGTATAATGAAGAAGAACAGAAAGTTTTTGAATATGCAGTGAAGACGAACAGTGGCAAGTACGACTCGCATCTTGGAAAATTGATTATCACATTGAAATCAGAAGACGGGGCTAAAAGGTTCTTCAATGCCTTAACCAACGCAAGACGTGTTTACGAGCTATATGCCACGTTTGGCTGGGATTGGACGGAGACAGACCTTGAAGCATTTGAGAATGCTTTGGCGGTATCAAGTGTATCAACTCTTCGACTTGGACTTGGACGGCTTCAAGAAAGCAGCCTCAAGAAAGTACTTTCAACATCCAGGCAATATGAAACAGTTATTCGTGTCATAGAGCTCAGTAATATGAAAACGATTTATATTGTTCTATCCCCAGACCTCATAAAACTTCTCAATTTATGGCCCAGAAAATTGTCGCGCCTTCATAAGTTAACCTTTGAGACGAGCGCTCAAGCAGTTGGAGCCAGTGAGCTGTTAGAGCTTGCAAGCTCACTCAAGACTAACACAGCATTGGCTATTTTGGACTTGAAGAACAACTCGCTTGGGAATGAAGGGACTGTGGTACTATCGGAGGCGCTCAAGGCTAACACCACTTTGACTACCTTGGGCTTGTGGTGCAATTCAATCGGGAAGGAAGGAGCTCTGGCGTTGTCAGAGGTGCTTGAGACTAACAAGACTTTGACGACTTTGAATTTGCAGTACAACAAAATTGGGGATGAAGGAACTCTGGCACTCTCAGAAGTACTCAAGATCAACACTACCTTGACTATTTTGGACTTAAAGGGCAACTCAATCGGAAAGAAAGGAGCTCTGGTGCTGTCAGAGGCACTAAAGGTTAGCACATCGTTAATCGTTATAGATTTAAGTGAGAACTCATTTGGGAAGGAAGGAGTTCTAGTACTGTCAGAGGCACTTAAAGTCAACGCAACTTTGGCCACCTTGAGCCTGAGATACAATTCAATTGGGGATAAGGGAGCTTTGGCGCTATCAGAGGCGCTTATGGCTAACACAACTTTGACCACTATGGACTTGAGTGCAAGCTCAATTGGAAGGGAAGGGATTTTGACGCTGTCAAAGGCACTTAAAACCAACATAACTTTGACTACTTTGAATTTGCAGTCTAACTCAATTGAAGATGAAGGGGCTCTGACTCTGTCCGAGGTACTCAGGGCCAACACTACTTTAGCGACTCTGGACTTAAGTTACAATTCCATTGGAAACGAAGGAGCTCGAGTGCTGTCAGAAGCACTCAAGGTTAACATGACTTTGATCACTTTGGGCTTGTGGCGCAACCCAATAGGGGATGAGGGGACAATGGCACTGTCAGAGGCGCTCAAGGCTAACGCTACTTTGAATACTCTGCATTTGGAGGGCATCTCATTGGATTGAAGGAGCTCTTGTAGTGTCAGAAGTACTTAAGACTAACGCGGCTTTTACCCTTTATAAATTAATCGAGTCTTATACCTATAGGGACATACAAATTGTCTGGCCAACTTTGGTCTTTTTTTTTTTTTTTTTTTTTTTGGGCTAATTGACTGGTTCGGTAATTGAAATGGCGTGGGGTTAATTGAGGAAAGCGGTTTATTTTCAATGCATAGCTTGTGTCAGCCAAGTGGCCAAAACAACATTGTTCTTTAACTCTTCGATGTTGGCCCTCTCTCCTTTCAAGGCGCTTCTCGCATGTCAGCATTGTTGAAAATCTATTCATTGAATTCAATAAAACTTTTGTACATAACTGTCTGCAATGATAAACTATGTAAAGCGTCAAGTTGCGCGATGTAAAGGTGGTAAAGATTCTTGCTTGAAGTGCTCTTAAAACCGAGTAACCACCAAGAGAAGTGCTTAAAGAGCTTGAGGTCTCAATCACATCAGCCCAGCGAGCCCGGGAAAGGATTGAGAAACGTTCCGCTGCCAAAGGTGGGTTGATCTAAAACTATCTTTAAGTGAATTAAGTTATTAAGGAGATTATCTGACAAGCTTCGTTTATTCTGCGAAAATGTATTCATAAATGAGAGTCGAAGGGAGTTAGAATGTGAAAATAATCGAGAGCTCTGGAGCAATGAAAACTCGGTATTTAAAAATGTCTCTTACTTTGCTACGCTTCAAATAAGGTCGCCTGAAGATGAGGATGGTACATCGCAGATTACTAACGTTTCCCTACAGGGCATATGTGAGTTGTCTTGTCTGCGTTTCTTACACACACGTCTCCATTAATGTAGCCATAGGCAATTTGATAGCCAATGGCTGAAGCATTAAAGACCAAGACGGCATAATTTTAATTTTGCGGCTCCGAAACGTGGAGATTTTGGCCTGATTGAAAACTCTGAAGGGCAGATAGACATCCGCTTCCTGCAAGAGGCAAATAACTGACTCTCAAGCGAACACTTGGTGCCTTCCGCTATGCTTCGCAAAACTAGACAAGCACCGTACCATCCAAACTGGACGATACAATGTATCGCCCAATGGGCGGAGTAATTACTTGCATAATTAGCTTTGTATGATCATATGGGCCATACCGTGTTGTATTCTACAGATGTATCGCTCCAGCCTGGCTAGGTGATGCAATCTAATAGCTATTGGGCGAGTATACCACAGACCATATATAATAAGTGCGCTGATCGGCTTCCTGGCCAGGTATCCCAAAGTTGTACGCTTTTGCCGTCACCATTTGTGGCTACCTTTTCTTTCGGTGGCAATCTTAAGGCTAATGAATTTGGGATGACATAAAAGGCTAATCTTCTCCAAATCGTCCTATTGTAGCAGAATAAATCCAAATATACATAACATGTCCAAGGTCTAGTCGCTGAATCCAGACATCTCGTAAGTCTGCCTCATTGAACGATTTCCCAGCCCGAAGTAAGATCATTAATGCATGGGCTTCTGCTTACTTCGTTATTAGCTAAGTGATAGGTAAATTTTAGCTCTCGAAATTAATTTTTACCAAGATAAATGCTCATGTCTTCGACCAATTGGACTAATTCAGAAATGTTCAATGGCTGAAGATGCATGTTGCGATGGAATTGTCGAAATGGAGGCGCCCATTCAGCGACTTTAAGAAAAAAAAAACGCCAGAACAAGGCTGAAGATGTTATTGATGAGTGCGTATGTTTCAATTTGGTGGCGCGCTTGCCAAGACAAGACTCGGAGGCAAGAGCAAGGGTTGCGTCTTCCTTATCATGAAAGACATGACCATATAGCCATGTCTACCATGAATACCACAGTGTTGACAAGTAGTTGTGAATAGCATAGATATGATGTGATGAATAAGAAAGAGGTGCCAGACTCTTCGCCTGCCTGCTACTGAGAGCAGACAGCCCAGGGCGCACCACGAGGAGGTGGTCTGGTTGCGCGTCCCCCACCTGGTTCGCAGACTCAGAGGAAATCTACCTGGGTCCCGACAGGACAGACCCCTCCGAGCTTCAACTCCACTCCCCGCATATCATGAGCTACTCGGCTAAAGTTGCACCAATCAATTCGTGGATACATGTTGAACAGTTGCCTGCTGCTTTGCGGTGAGGAGCCAAGAAAGAGAGGAAAGCGAGACCCTTTTATACGTTCTCAGAGGCATAGTGACTCGCTTTCTTTTCTTTTGTCACCAGCCTTTTACAGCATCGAGTCATTGTGGGACCTTTTTCTCATTTGGAAAGTGCTTTGCAATTTGGCATTTTTTTACTTTTTTCCTTTTATTTCGAAAACAGTCCTCTCTTGCGGATGGATCGTATTTAATTCTTCTTGAACCTTGATACTGCTGGGATACTAATAAGCTTTTATTTCTGTCTGCTCCATCTTCTGCTTTCCTTTCTGTCTTGACAATCTTGGATAATCCTTTTCCTCTTTCTTTCCTACCGTGGTCTGTGCTCGCTTTCCATCCTGTCCTAATGTCCTAATAGAGTTTGTTTGTTTGCTTGTTTTTGGTAAGGCTGAAAGAACTCAAACTGGAGCTGCAACCTTAAAAAATAGACCCTGAGAAAGACATTCCAAAACAGTCATGCTCTTTTGATAGTCAGGATTGCATCTAGACAGAATCCACTGTTGTGTTGCAAATGCTTTATGGCACATTTCACCCGATCGAGCCAAATCGATCGCATTGTCGAAAGCAATCGATACATGTCCCATCATGCCAAAATTGGTGGCGAGCACAAAACTAGTCACTAAACATCGGGTAGGTGTGTGTAGGAAAACTCAATGATGAGTTTGGTTCTCAAATGAAGTGCCCTTGCGATCAGTAGGCCCAGGCCAAGATATACAATCATCGGATCACCTCCTTGTAGTGCTCTCTAGACTGCCTGTTCATCTGCAGATAGATGAAGAGTCTGGCAGTATCTTTATTATTTGCTGCAGTTTTTTTTTTTTTTTTTTTTTTTTGGTTCTTTACAAACATTATCATCATTCTTATTCGCAAGCACCCATAAGCTTTGGTTTTTTAGTTTCCTTGACTTTGCTGTTCCATTGCTTTGCTGGTATCCTCTCAGCTTGTAACAAGAAAAAAAAGGGCCTTTTATAACAATTGGTTATTCTCGGGTGGCACAAGTAGAAAAGATGAGTTGGATAATATTTTAGCTGAAAAAGAAAGTATCAATTAAATCCTTTATTTTATTATATACACTTTATATTATGTTTTATCATATTATTTTACATGCGTTTCTGCCCTGTGTCATAGCATTTTGATTTTTTTAGTATGTTATTGGTGAAGTAATGTGTAGAGCTTGAGATGTGTTATCAAGGTTTTCTATGGAGCGTAAGATTTGTCTTGGCTTTGGAGGATGCCGTTAGATAGAGGAGTTAAAAAAATAAAGATATTCGGAAGTGTGAAAATGTTGGATACCGGATGAAAGTCAGACGAAGGCGAATATACTATAGCATGAGGCTTCTGGAGGTCATGAAATAGCAGTTCCTCTCTATTCTTTTCTTCCTTTGCTTCTTTTTAGCTATTGTCTTCTTTTTCCTTCTCTTCCGTCGACTCATCAGCACAACCGCACTTGTATACATCTGCTAGAGTGCTGCAATCAAATTCTGGCTTCCCCAGGCGTATATTGACAACGTTATGGACAGCGCAGGCCCAATTCGACAGTGCAGCTCTTGAGGATGTCTGTGGAGGATGTTCCTTCAACATCTGTTGAAAGTGATCCGCACTGAACGCATTAAAAAGAACCCCGGAAAATGAAAACGGTTCAAACAATCAAAAAAAAAAAAAAAAAAAAAGAGATACAGTGAATACAGATCCATTGATATCACAAAATAATAAAGAGTATTCATTCGTTGGACGATTGGGGAGCGTTGGATTTGAATAAGTTGAGGTAGATAGCAAACTTTTTTTTTTTTTTTTTTTTTTTTTTTGCCTACCATTCACCGCAAGGATAAAGTCTCGAGAGTAGCATAATCCATTGTTTAACAGCAGCCCTCTCATCCGGTTTAGGCTTGATAGGGTATCTTGAGGCCATTGTGTGAATGAGCTTCCATGTGGCTCGACCTAATTCGGCTCTATAAAATCAAAAAGACGTTAGTTCCAGAAAAGGTCTGGTCTCGATTGTAATCACACACAAAATAAATAAATTGATGAAGAATGATCGGTACTTTGCTGTGGTGTTTCCCAGTTGAGGCATGATAACCTCGCCAGAGTTGAGGGAAGGGTCGATAAATATGGTTTCACTTTGTTTGCCTTGACTACCACTGTTGCTTCCAGTACGACTGCTGTTGAGAGAAAACGATTCCTTAGACCTGGTGAGGAAGAATGAAGGCACAAGAATAAGACTAATGAAACAGAGGGCTATAATCGCTAATGCCGCCCTAATCCGAATGGGACCTGTCATGGTGTTGATAGTGGTGGTGGTAGAGCGACTTCTCCTTCAACAATGAGGGAATAAAGATGAATAATGAAGAAGTGAATGTTGATGTGAGAACGAAAAAAAAAAAAAAAAAAAAAAAAGCGCTTTTGGATAAAAAGTGTGAGTGACTGTCTGCGTTGCCACAATTGAGAGGCAAGGCTGTAAGATATAACTACACGCGCACCCATTTTTCCACTTTTGTCCATCATCACTTTAAGCTATAGCTGCATTTGCGTTTGCATTTGCATATCCCTTGGAACAACTGTCTGTCTTTTTGGTTTTCCAGCTCTCCTCGACTGCCCTGTAACAGAATTAAGCGCGGATGAGGTCCTCGGAATCCCTCTTCAACGACTCAAACTGGGAAATCCGTATCCCAAACGCACAAATTGAAGCACTTCAGGAGGACTACAAATTAATCATCCATGCAAAACCCAGGACTCATGTCTTTTATGGCACGTTTCTCATCTTTTTTGTTTCTTGTTTAATTCGCAAAGAGCATCCTATATCTTATTCAAATGCGATGCAGACATTACCAAGAAGAAATGATTAACCACAAAATAACTTTTTTTTTTTTTTTTTTTAAACGTATTATTGTGAATAGACGAGACAGTCTTGTTCTTTTTACAGATTTCTCTCCCGAATGACCTGTCAACTTTACATGAGGAAACTGAACGCCAAATCACTGAATTCTTTCAAACCCTAGAAATCCAGGTAGAAGCAGCTTTTGTCGATGCTCTTGCATTAGCAACTGCAGCCTCATCAGGACCAGGACAACATGGACCCTTCTCACGTCCTACCAATAAACGAATGTCTGTTAGTTCACCCGGTCCATATGGTGGAGGAGGACGTCTCCCCCTAGGCGGTGATCAAGGACGCATGGAATCTACTTTATTATATTCATACACTTATAATCCATTGGAGATTGGTAAAGAGCCTGTGATTCGACCCATTAATGGACTTTGGACTGCCATATTTCCATTTTCTGTACCAGTTTGTAAGTTCAAAGGGAAGAATGAAAGCGAATGATGCATCCTATATTATGTATAAATATTTGCTTATACCACAGCATTGACATGACAGTTTTGCGTATATCTAAAACCTCTAGCCTTTGTGAAAACCAAAGCAACAAACACAGTACTTATGCTGAGCGCACATGTCTCGCATCGTCCAACAGATCAAGTCGTCCCAGCAGCGATACCATTGGATGATCAGTACAACGTAGAGTGCTTCAACATGGTCAATCTCTTGGAAGGGCTGTCTGACGGTAATGTTGGATAAGAACCAGTCGAGGCGCCCCTCCTTTTTTTTTTCTTGTTTTTGAAAAGGGAAAAACTAATCCTTAACCTACCGACAAAATAGATCCAAATTTCCCATCGTCGCTGGCCCCCCAACATCACTATCGACCAGATACACCTCGTGCTAGGGTACAAGCGCCTCCAATGGCGCCTCTATTGAGAAGAAGTGTACGTCGAAGCATTGCAGTGCGTTCCGCGTTAAATGTACGAATGAGAACCACACGTGTATCACCTACAGAAAACCCCTTGATGATGTCAATCGAAGTTGAAAACAATTCAGAACATGGAGCAAAATTCAAAACGACTCAACTGGATGTGGAAGTAACTCATGCAGTTGTCACACCTCTTGATTCTGCTGGGCTCACAAAGGTAAAAAAAAAAAAAAAAAAAAAACTATATTTTACATCCTATGAAAAAGAAAAAACTGACTTTTTTCTCGCTTTAACTGTAATTTTTGATAGCTTCCAATGGTCTTGAATTCATCGGATCATGTCACTTTTTTGTTTTCAGTTTCATTACTCGAAAATCCAGAATTGAATCCTACCAGTCCAGCTATTGGAAATACACCCTTTGGAGGACATAATCGACATTCGACTGAGAGTTTAGTACCGACAGGAGTTTTTCCAAAGGATTCCCAACGTCAGGTCACAATCGTTCTACAAGGCGTTCCAGAAGTAGACGGTGTTCAAGGGCAGACAATTCATTCGCGTTGGAATTGTTTCTTGGATGTTTCGGAAATCACAAAGCAAGACAATGCTTCATCAGGAATAGGAGTAGGAGTAGGAGTAGGAGTAGGACCAGGAGCAGGACCATCACAGAAACAGCTTTTTGCGCCTCATCCATCACATCCTTCTGGACTGTTGCCTCCTCCAGGATCATTGCCATATAGCTCCTCAGGGACACCAACTAATTCACAACATCACCAGTATCAACTTCATCAAAGGAATCGATCCTTGCCTTCAAGTCCTCAACCTCAGCATCCTTCGTTACAAAAAACTATGTCTCTACGTGTCACTAGCAGCGGTTCTCCACCTGTACATAACAGCAACCGTGAATCGCGTGTAAGACGTTCTTCAGTTGTTTCAGATGGCACTCCAGCACATTATACACCCCAAGGTCAACGGGGAAGCGGAGGGGGTACTAATTCGGCTCTTAGCAGCGCCAATCGGAGGAGTGGTCTTGGTTGGGGATATGGTCGACCTTCAGAAAATAACCAGGGTGGTTTGGCCCCAGTCCAAGAAGGATCTACTTACCGCTCTCCGGTGATTGGGCATGGGGGCGCCGGAAGTGAATCTGAGGGCGATGAAGATGAAGCGCCTTTGGCAGTGCCTGGGAACACCCAACAGAGTGGTCGCCCAACCATCGCTGGAAATGCAATGTCGCCTGGATTAGGTTTGGATCTGGCATCACAGGCACTTACTGAAGTGACACAAGGGCGAGCAGAGCAAGATACTGGCGACGGCATTGTTATATCCTTTGCAGGTAAAGCCTATTTTACTATTGTTTGTTTGTTTGTTTGTTGGATTGTTTAATTGATTTGATTTTGGTCAAGTAAGTAACGGTTCTTGTTTTTTTTTTTTTTTTTTTTTTTTCCTTTGCAATGTAACCAGTGACGGATAGAGTGGTTGTAGGCAAGATTTTCAATCTAGAGATTTTCATTGTCAATCGATCACGCCATATCCGTCGCTATACACTTGTAGTACCTAACAGGAAGCGTGCTAAAGGAGGAGACCCGAGTCAAGGATCCAAAGTGTTACCACCCTTGCCTAGTGGTGAACGTGCAGTCATTCAAAGCGTGCCAATTGATCCATACATGGAAGAATCCGAACTGTTACGCCGACATGTCGACAATGAGACAACAGAGGCGGATATTATTTGTCTTGAAAATAATATTCGATTGAGGTAACGTTACACATATTAATTCCACGTTGTTATAGTGTCTTTTTTTTTTTTTTTTTTTTTTTTTTACAAACAAGTAAGTTCTTGCTAACCTTTCTCTTTGACTATTATATGTATGCATGACCAATAGTCCGTTATACCCATTGACCTGTCAGAACTTGAACTTGCGTTTTATTGCCATCAAGGAACAACTTCATACTATTGATCTGGTGCAGTTAGTAGACAATGATACAGGATTTGTAACTAATTTGAGAAATTGTCTGTGCTTCATGGCTGAAGCATCTTTTGGAGCATTGTCGCAGCAAGTCCCAGAAGTAAGGAATCGATCATAAAAAAAGAAACCCTCTGGAATGCAAAAGAAGAAAATAAAATAAAAAAAGAAATAGAGAAAAAAGAAGTTGGACATAATATAGATCAAGGGTTGCTTTGCTCATTTGCTACTACTTTGGTTTCCACTGATCTGCTACCAATGCACGTTGTTGTTACTGTTAATAATATCAATGATGATGATGAATTTAATATCCTTTATTCTATTACACTAAGAAGTTTCTTTTTTACTCCCATTTTCCATAATGCACAAAATATAAACTCTTTCCTTTTTTTTTTTTTCCTTATGCCTCAACTGTTGAAGGATCCAGACGAGTTTCCTTTCCAAGCTCATCATATCGCTTGACGATATTATCTTTATAAGGATGTTCCTCGCCCTCAAAGACAAAGAGCCGAGCCAATCTAGGTTCACGAAGACGGTTTTTGGGTAACATGCCAGAGACTGCTTTACGAATGACCGCATCCGGATCCTTGTTCATCAAGTTCTCATAAGTGATCTCTTTAAGTCCTCCAGGGTATCCAGAATGATGTCTGTAAAGTTTACTCTTGGCTTTCGTTCCTGTGGTCATCACACTCTTGGCGTTGATCACTACAACATAATCTCCACAGTCGGCTATTATTATTTTTAAATAAATAAAAAGCAGATCGGATCAAGAAAAAAAAAAAAAAAAAAAAAGAGCCGCGTCAGAAAAAAAAAAAAAAAAAAAAAACGATGCCAGATGAATGAAGTACAGTTGGAGGAAAAAGAAACACAAAAGGAAAGAACATAAGGATCGGGAGAATAAACTGCTTCCTTATTTTCCTGCTTTCCTGTATTCCTGCTTTCCCTGTTTTCCTCTTTTCCTGCCTTGCTTTCCTGTTTCCTGCTTCCTGTTTCCTGTTTTCTGTCCTCTTTCTCATCATTATGTTTTCAAGGCATTTGCTTAGAAAAAAAAAAAAAAGAAATATAAGTACATACATGCAGGGTCATAAATAGGCTTGTGTTTCCCCATTAGAGTCTCTGCAATGCCAACAGACATGCGGCCAAGAACCCTTTGTTTGGCGTCAACAAGGTGCCATACCCTAGCGTATGCCAATGCAGTCTACCATGAGATAAGAAGATAAAAAGGAAAAAAGAAAAAAAAGGATAATAATAAATAAATAAATAAAAGATTGAAGAAAGAGGGTATCATTACAAAAAAATATAAAATAAAAGGTAGTAATTTCCCTCCATCCCACCTTTCCAATAGCTTGAGACATCGTAAAGCAGGGATAGTGAAATGTGTGTGTCCAAAAAGGTGAATGGGAGTGCCCGACTATGTTAATGTGTTAATGCCTAAGTCGCCAATGAGGAAGGCTCCTGTGGCTTCCTCAGGGCAAATGTTGTTTACGTTAAGGGTCAGGCATCTCGCCCAAATATTCCAAACCTGGGCTGGCAATGGATAGCAGTCCCATTTGGTTTGTTGCTGGAAGGTGTTTGTCCCTCAATCATTTATTTATTTATTTTTTACTATTTCTCCCGCCTCTCTCTTCTCTTCTCTTTTTTAGTCACTTCTTTTTTCTTCATTCCTTAGCCTCATCCTCCTCATCCTTAGAACGTTCTTCAGCAAATACTCAAGGAAGAAACGCTCCTCCAGAAAAAGAATACAAAAACCGGGAATATAATATTCTTTTATCTTGAGATCGAGAGAGTGAACCCGCTGAGATAGCTGTCAAATACCAACACTTTCTTTAAACATCATGTGGAGAGTCTCTCGTCTCAATAGTGCTTCAGGACTTGGATGCTCTAATCAGAATGCATTATTATCGCCATCATCATGCTTCCTCTTTTCAGTCCGTTCTCAACTTCAATCGTCTCGATCACAACTCAATCACAGAGGGTTCCAGTCTGGATCTGGAAGATCTTTAAATGGGAATAACAGTGCCAGTACCAATACCAATGCCAATACCAATGCCAATGCTAGTGGTGGTAGCACAGGGGGAAACAGCGGAAATGGCTCTGGGAAACTTGTTGGTGAACGGATCGCGATTGATTCAAAGACCCAGATGCGTATGGATCTGCGTAGGGAAGCCATGAGTAATGGTGCCAATGCATCCAAGATCAATAGCAACAATAGCGCTAACAGCAGTTATAATAGCAATGGCAACAAATGGGCTCCACCGCCAGGATCTCAAGGAGTCAGTCCATACCGTCGAGCCTATGAGGAAAGCCAGAACAGATCATATAGTCGTCAAAGTAGCAATAGTAACAATCATGAAGGGAGACAAAGACAACAAGGTCAGGAAGGACGGAGGCCGGGACGATACTACAATGAGCGCCAAGAGGCAATAGCACGCCAGAGTGCACCCTCTTCATTTGCCACGTCCTCAGCTTGGGGATTTTCAGCTCCTGCTCCACCAAAGCCTGCTCCATCAAAGTCAATTACATCTACATCTGCACCCATACCCGCACCACCCTCTTCTTTTGCCACCTCCTCTGCCTGGGGACCCTCAGCACCAGCACCAAAATCAATTACCAGCTCTAAACCCAGCCTCTCCTCTACTCAGACGAATGCATCCACTACTATAAAGAGCACGCCTTCTCAACCTGCTGCACTACAAAAGACTGCCACTGAGACTGCGAATCAACCTACTATAACCCCGACATCGGCGCCATCCAATCCTACTGCTACTGTGAACGCAAACACCACAATATCATCATCGCAGTCTGGATCGGCATCATCGACTCTTGCTTCAAAAGCGCCCGCCCCTATGCCATCGTCGTCATCATCTTCCTCGGCATCATCTGCAGCTTCAGCTGCACCTACATCTGCAACTCCACAGGCCAACGCTTTTGTCAAATCGACTCGTACAGCAAAGGAGAATGCCAAGAGACAGATAGAGCAAAGATCAAAACAACGTAAACAGCGACAAAAGCCTGCAAAGGATGTCTTCATCCCAGATGCGATCACTGTTTCGAACTTGGCAGGGCTATTGGGAGCAAGGATCGGGCATTTTGAGAATACCATGAAGGCCTTGGGCATGGAGATCATTCGTCATGACCATAGTAAGTTAAAATGGTACCTTTATCATAGTTTAAGGAGGAAGCTAAATAGAACTATACTTATATGTTCTGCATTTAACTCTCTTTAATTATCACTAGTCTTAACATCTGAGGAGGCTTCCCTTTTGGCATTGGAGTACAATGTCAACCCTATTGTTGGAACAACTGAAAAATTATTCGATTTGAGCCCACAGTATGTATAGAGGCACGATCTTTTCTTTTGAAGGAAAAAAAAAAAAAAAAAAAAAAAAAGTCTCTAAACAATTTCATATTAACCTCAAAAAATAATACTAGACCAGAGCCCGAGGATATGTCCATCTATCCATTGCGTCCACCTGTTGTGACTATCATGGGTCATGTAGACCACGGTAAAACTACATTACTGGACTCGCTCCGCAAGACATCGGTTGCGGCGGGAGAGGCCGGAGGTATTACTCAACACATTGGAGCCTTCTCTGTACTGTTGCCTTCGAAACAACGGATAACCTTCCTCGACACTCCTGGACACGCAGCCTTCTCGGCGATGCGTGCGCGTGGCGCCCATACGACCGATATTGTTGTGCTTGTGGTGGCAGCAGAGGACGGAGTGATGCCTCAGACGGCAGAAGCCATTAAGCACGCAGAAGAGGCCGGTGTACCGATTATTATAGCGATCAACAAGTGTGACAAGTATGGTGCAGAACCCGACAAGGCTAAGCAGGCTTTACTTAAATATGGTATCACTGTCGAGGACCTTGGGGGTGAAACCCAGTGCGTGGAGGTATCTGGTTTGACAGGCAAGAACCTTGACAAGTTGGAGGAAGCTATTCTGACATTAGCCGAGGTCTTGGATCTGAGGGCTGAGGTTGATATCCGGGGCGAGGGCCATGTGATTGAATCACAGATCGAGAAGGGCCGTGGTAATGTGGCAACAGTATTGGTGAAGCGTGGAACGCTCCGGGTTGGGGATATGATTGTGGCGGGTGATACGTGGTGCAAAGTAAAGGCATTGGTCGATGACACGGGTAAGAACGTGAAGGAGGCACCACCTGGTACTCCGGTCAAGGTAATGGGTTGGAAGGACCTGCCCAAAGCTGGTGACGAGATGCTTGGGGCCGAGTCTGAGGAACAGGCCAAGTTAGTGGTCACGAACAGAGCTCTCAAGAAGGAGAGGCAAGAGCAACTAAAGAGTTTGGTTGCAATTAATGAAAAGCGTCGCCTTGTTGCAGAGGAGGAAGATGAGGAAAAGGCAGCGCTGCGTGAATACAAGCGTAATGCATGGCTCTTCCATCAGGGAGCGCTTGATTCACATCCGGAGGCGCCTCAGGCCAAGAGACTGCTTTCGGTTGCAGCCATGGCAGCGAAGGAGGAGGAAGAGAGTGAGGTCAAGAACTTGAGGATGGTGGTCAAGGGCGATGTGAGCGGTACAGTAGAGGCAGTTTGTGATGTGCTATCTGGTCTACCAGACAATCAAGTCAAGGTCAGTGTCATCCAGAATGGTGTAGGAAACATTACGGAAAGCGATATTCAATTTGCATCTTCCTGTGGCGGTAAGGCCTCTGTCTTTTGTAATGTCCATTTTACTTGGATAAAAAAAAAAAAAAGATGGGGTTTTTTCTAACAGGTTTTCTATTTTCATATCTCTTTATATATATATGAATATTAGCCATGATTTTGGGATTCAATGTCAAGGCAGATAAGAAGCTGATACAAACAGCGCGTCAGATGGGGGTCAAGATCAAGTCTTATAATGTGATCTATAAACTTTTGGATGATGTGAAGGTGGAGATGGCGACATTGTTGCCTAAGGATATTGAGGTGCAGGTCGTGGGAGAGGCCAAGGTTGCACAAATCTTCCCGATCAAACTCAAAGGAGGACAGACCCAGAATGTGGCGGGATGTCGTATTACGAATGGAGGGGTGAATAGGAAAGAGGACGTACGTATTGTTCGTGATGGAGAAGTTATCTGGGATGGACGACTGTCGACGTTGAAGAGGGTGAAGGAAGATATCCAAGAGGCCAAGAAGGGTACGGAGTGTGGCATGGAGTTTGATGGATTCCAAGACTTTAAGGAAGGAGATGTGATCCAGAGCATCAAGAAGATTGAAGTTTTGAGGAAGTTGTAAAAAAAAAAAAAAAAAAAAAAAAAAAAAAGGCGCATTCAAAAAAGAGCTACACAACATACACCTTCAGATAACATTACCACTAGCATTTTATTTTATTTTATTTTATTTTTTTAGTATTGTACCATAAGCTAACATGAACAAACAGCATAGATCATTACAACCACATTTTACAATTAAGACGTAGCATCATAGCATCATAACTTGTTGACTTTTTTTTCTTGTTTAAATTGAAAATTGAAATTAAAAAAAAAAAAAAAAAAAAAAAAAAAAAGATAAAGAAAATGATGGTGCAAACCAACAGCGAGGATGACATTGACAAGAACTAAACTTTCTCTTGACACGAGCGAATAGGTTGTTCTTCAGGTGTTACTCACATTGCCTATGTGTATAATACATGAAAATGTACATATACATGTACATTCATATGAATCGACATGTATGATTGGCAAGAGAATATTTCGTGAGAAAAAAAAAAAAAAAAAAAAAAAAAAAAAGAGGCTTATGCACAAGTATCAGTTAATCAATTAAGGAGGTTTAAAAAATAAGATAAAAAAGCGTTGGGCGCATATCTGAGAGTGTGAGTGAGAATGAGCGAAGGTGTGAGTGTGAGTGTGAGTGCTGATGCACACTGAGCTTGGGCCCTTTTTGAGCTTTTTTAAATTAGCTTTGACACATTCTGACGCTGTGCCTGAGAAGACGAATAAATATATATCATCAATAGACTTTTGAGCCCTATTGGCCTTATTGGCCCTATTGGCCTTATTGGCCCTATTGGCCTTATTGGCCCTATTGGGGCTGGACCACATGAAAAATGTGTTGCTAATAATGCTGCTCTTATGTTGCCTTTGTTGCTTAGATTGCATATTCTACCCATCAAGTGACAATCTGGACAAACATCCATGTATATACTATCAGAGTCATCTCATTAGCATATAGGCAAATGGAAAACAAAAAGAACAAAAAAAATAAAAATAAAAAGTAAAAAATAGAGGTAGGGGATAGGGGGTAGGGGATGTGGCGAGGCATATTCCCTCCAGATCCTTTGCATGTACACTAGAAAAAATTATATTATTTTACCCTTGTTCGTTTGAAGTGTGTGTACAACGAAACGGTTTTTTTTTTTTTTGTGGTCACTCATCTTGACTAAAGGAGGGACACTTAAAACAGGGGGACCAGGTCGAATGCACCGTGCATTCATATCGTTTATGAAAGAAAAAAAAAAAAAAAGAGGTCCTTTTCTTGATTGCATGCACATATACATATACATTTTATTCATAAATGTGGAGCACTTTTTATTACTTCCATAACCTGTTACACCACTTGTTCCCCCTGCAGGAACAAAACATGAATAAATGAATTATTAGAGCGAGGTGACCAGCGCCACTTGCTCATTTACCTCGTTGTGTCACGGCTCTCTCCTATGCATGTCCCTATGACACGCTCTTCCCCACTTTTGATCTCTTTTTTACGACATTTTGCAGCGCATTACATTAGATGGGACGCATCAATAGCGACAGGAGAGTGCAAAAAAATAATAAAAAATAAAACGGAGATAAATATTCAACAAGGATATATACTAATGTATATATACAGGTAGACTAAACATGAGGGAATACTCTGTATGCAAAGATTGATTTGATTTGATGTAAAGTTTGCTTACCATTTCCTCGGGAACTGTCGCTGTTTGCTGGTTTTTGGTTGTTGGCGTATTTTCTCGCGTTGTACGCTCATATCACGTGACAAATGGTAGCACAAGGTGCATGCAGTTAGGCGGCATGCAAAGAAGTTTTTTTTTTTTGTTTGCAGAAAAAAAAATGTTTATTTAATACTCAATCAGAAATTGAGTTGATGGGCTTTATAAGGGGTATAGTAGGGACAGAGTCTGAGACAGAGAAAAAAAAAAAGATTGATGGGATGGGATGGGATAACGATGGAAAGATAAAAAGTAAAAGTAAAATGGGACTTTTGGAGGACAGCTGACTAGGATCGAATGGGCAATGAGCAATGACATGCAAGATGTTGATTGCAATTCAATCATTCCAACGAGCAAGCTTACTGAGCAATACTGCTTACCGTTAAGCGTTAAGAAGAGTGAAACTGAACTAGTTAGAGTTATTGCGTTTTTTTTTTTTTTTTTTTTTTGTTCCTGAGCATTTCTATTGCACACTAACGTCTAGATGCTATTCGATGTGTATTATAATAAACATGTATAGCATCATCTGCATTCCTCTTGCTCTTATCCTTACTCTCGCTCTAATCTCTTTGCTCTTGATATTTTCCCGAGAAAGAAAAAACATCTATCCTCCTTTCCTCCCCCATTGACACTCTTTTTTTATCGGATACTTTTGTAGCATCAAATCATCGTTAGTTTATCACTTTTAATATTTTGTATATTTTCTTTCTTCTTTACAACAACCTCAGCTTTCTTCTTTCTTTCTTTCTTGAAAGGACGATTGTCTCTCCTCTCCCCTTTTTGTTGCAAAAAAAAGTTTTTGTTCGTTGCACTGTTGCACTGTGTTGTTGCACATAATTCTAATACATCACTCATGTATCACACATAATAATCCTTTCAAATATTCAAATATTCAAGGACAAGGGCTCTTTATTGATCATCGCCTCTTTTTGCACTAAACCATCTTTTTTTTTTTTTTTTTTTTTTTCTTACATTCTCCTTCTCCACCCTCTTTCTCCACTTTACCCCTCCTCCTCTTTCTCTTTTCTCTTCCTCCTTTTCAATTCTTTTCTCTTATACTTCTTCTTCTTTTCTTCATCATATTCTCCTCTCCCCATCCTCTCCCACACTTCTCCCCCCCACACATAGAGGAACAAACAACCCAAAAGTGGAGTGGCTCACGGTTTTTACGCCTGTTTTTTTATCCCCCACCCTCCACTGCCTCCATTAGGGGAAGTGAAATCGCCACAGGTCCAATCAACCCAAAAAAGCAGAAAAATAAAATATAATGTCCACTACCACAGCTTCTTTTCCCAAACCTGGAACTTCTTCACAGCCACAATCTCAGGTACGATCAGCACTCAAGGCCCCACGCTCATCGGGCACGCACCCACTTTCTCAATCCAAATCCGAAGCAGATGATAAAGAAAAAGATAAAAATAAAATTACTAACAATCTCAATAACGTTCAAACCCAAAAGGCTGACGATCCATCCTCACGTCCTCAACAAACCCTTGGCCTCAAAGCATCCACAGAAACCCTTAGGGCCAAAAAATCAACTTCTTCTTCTTCTTCTTCGTCCACACCTCTCACCTCTGCAGCCAACACAGGCTCCCCTGCTTCCTCACTCTCAAATGACAAATCTGCCACAGCCGGAGCCCTGTCTATGACCCCTGTCAATGGAGCAGAAAAAAAGCAACAAGAGCAACAGCAACAACAACAACAGGAAGAAGAAGAAGAAGAAGAAGAAGAAAAGTCTTTACTTTCACGCAAGCTTACTTTAAGAGCTAATAAAAAGCGGAAAAAGGAACGCCAAGAGCAGGAACGGGAGGAACAAAGGCTGAAGGAAGAAGCCAACGAGGCTCTCCGTAAAAAACATGGTGAATACCTTCCACCAGGGCAATCTTCAGGGAAAATCCATACTCATCGGCCACATCCAAACCACGACCATTATCAAATGGAACGTTCAAGGTCTCCAGCCCATCTCAGACCACATCCCCCTAATCATCAAAGGAGTCAGAGCTCCGTCAGGATCGCTGCCCCGGTGCCCTTGTCTTCTACAGCCTCTGCCAAATCTCCTGTGTCACCCTCTCCTTCTCCTACACCCTCCACTTCCTCCTCAATTTATTCCTCTAATCAGAACAGCTATACCCGTGGGCGCAGCCGTCCAACAAGCCCAATACGCGACATGATTGCCATCCCAATGGATTATGGACATGCTCAAGCACACATCGATGATTTAAAAGACCTGGACGCAGAAGGCATGCTTTCGGAACACTGGGAAACCCAGGATGACAGTGAAGAGGAAGAGGCGCGCGAACGCGAGCGTGAGGCGGCAGTCAATGGCTATGGTCGGAGGAGAAACCATAGCAGGAAGGTCTCTATCGACACAGACACCAGTTTCCGATCCAAGAACTCCTCAGTCGTCCGATTCGACCTACCCGACTTGAGGCCTCTTTCGCCATCATCTATGGCTTCATCACGTCGATCTCGAGCAAGTACAAGTACACGCAGGAATAGGTCGACCATCTATGTCGATCGCCGCAACAATTACAGCGAAGGCGCAAATACCGACACTGATACTGATGCCGACGTACGACAGCGACAACGAGAGCAACAACAACAACAACAACAACAGCAGCAGCAGCAGCAGCAACAACAACAACAACAACAACCACAACATCAACAATCCGATTACGAAACGCAAACAGCAAGTAGCGCAGACGAACATGATATGGAGATGCAGGAAATCCACAAGAGAAACATGTCAACCATTGGTATTGTGACAGGCCTGGATCCTGAGCTTGATGGAACATCACGACCACACTCAAGCATGAGTCGACATTACCGCCCACCCTCTACAAAATCAGGCCGGTATCATTACCACGCAAGGTCCAACACTCCCAACTCAAACATGCCTTCTTCAACTTCTAATCGCTGTCGTTCAACCTCACGCCACCGTCACCATCCTCAGTACAATTACCACCAGTACCCAGATTATAATCAACACAATAGGTCGATGAGTGACCTTAGTCCGTCTGCGATGGACGGTATGCGTTCCAAGGCAGGATCAAGAGCAGGAGGTGCAACAATACGAGGTGGAGGTGAGACGGCCGCTGGTGGAGAGACTGGTAGTGTGTATGGAACTGAGCTGTCGACAGATGAGCATAACTATCTTGCTCCCTTACCGCCCTTTCAAGAAGGGCCAGCATACACCAAAGTCCCAAAACGCAGGTATTTTCGGTGGTGCTTTGGAGGCTGCAGGTGGTGGGTACTCTTGTTGATCCTTTTCACCGTTCTAGGCCTGTTTGGAGTTGCAGCGGTAAGCCCCTCCTTCTTCCTCCCTTTTCCTTAAAAAAAGAAATGCAACCTGTTCGGGAAAAAAGCTTTTTTTTTTTTTTTTTGTTTCTCTTACTCCTTCCTGGGCAGGCGTTGACTGATTGACCAATGTTCTCTTTGTTTCTTTTTGTCCCCCTCTTTCTCTCTCCTCAGGCTTTTTTGCTTCATCAATACCGACCATGTATAGCGATTGATCCCAAGACTGTTGAACCTATGATCTATATTATTGACCCCACAACCGTTCAGGCACTTTCTCTGGAATATCAAACCAGCACAGTAAGTTTGCGTACTTGCACGAAAAAAAAAAAAAAAAAAAAAAAATATCCATCCTCACAATTTTTTTTTTTCTTTTTTTCTGGAATGTTCATTCTTGTTTTTGTTGATAATCATCCAATCACTTAATAGAAAGGGGTCATTAACATTGTGGACTCGTTAAACCTGAATGAGACGCGTGTGTTGCTGAAGCTGCAAAGACAGTTTTACAAAATGAAGGACCGAAGAGATCTCACTGGTTTCCAAATCACTACTCTTGCCAACGGCACTGTGCAATACGTGTTGAATGTGAGTCAAAAAAAAAAAAAAAAAAAAAAAAAAAAAAAAAAAAAAGAGACTCTTTATCACAAAAAACATTCACACACATTCATGCAGCAGGCACATGCAGCCTGAAAAAAAAAAAAAAAAAAAAAAAAAAAAAAAAGAGAGAGAGAGAGAATACTAATAGCATTACTATCCTTTTTATTTTGTCTCTCTTTTTGGTATCCACAGGATATCGCCAATGATCATCGAGATTTTTTTATTTCATCTGTGCTTTGTTCACCATCAATCTTGACTATTGAGATGCCCAGAGCAGTCCCTGGTCAACCAGAACTCTCACTGGACGCCAAAGTGGATCAACAGGATGTATTCATCAATGTGAACGCGGACACTCCTAGGAACGCAACTTGGAGATTCAAGGGCATTAGCAATCATGATATGATGATCCAGGTAAGCACTATTAAAAAATGTCGTGCGGGGGGGGGGTTATTATTAATTTTGATTACAAGTTCGTTGTTACTGACTTCTCTCTCTTTTATGCCTTTATTTACATAATAGTCGTTAAACATAAATTCACTATCGATTTCATACACATCTGATTCTCCTGCAACAGTGTTGCTCAAGTCTGTCATTGTACGCGATCAACTTTCAGTGACGACCGTCAAAGGTGATATTCATGCAAGCATTGGCTTTTCTATTCCCTCCCCCGGCTCCCAGATTTATTCTTCCTCTTATCCCCCGTCCAACCCACCCACCCCCAGTACAGCCATAATACCCGCTGTCGTGAACTTGAACACACTTGATGGTCAGATTCAGATGAATATGATGGCATGGAACCAGACATGTGCTTTCCAAGTCCACTCACCCTCTGTCCAGGTCACAAAAGCAGGGCGACTCATCTTACCTTTTGAAGGCAATAACGGAGGAGGCTCAAATGGCAATACGACTGTCAACGTTGATGGATTAATGGCGCGCCTCAGTCCTAATGGCATCGCTGGAACTTTCACACCCGGACGATTCCAAGATATGCGCGCATCGTGGCCTCAACCCTCATTCACTAAAAGCAGCTGTAGTACTACTGCTACTACTACTGGTGCTACTTCTACTTCTACTCCTGCTACAGAGACGATGGCTTGCACATCCACCAGTACTGTTACTCAGAGTACATCTGCATCTGAAACTTTAACACAGACTTCATCCCCTTCAGTGACAAGCAGCAGCAGCAGCAGCAGCAGCAGCAGCAGTGATAGTGATGGTTGTAGTCATACAATAAGCACATCGACGGTTTCATCAGCACCATCGTCATCTCCAACGACAACACCTCTTATACCTCCTGGACCCAGAGTAGGGGCCGGAGGGTCGCCTGCTCCAGCTCAGTTCATGATTCAAGCCAATAGGGATGTTGTGTTGAATTTCCCTTAGACACCTTGTTATCTATTTTATCCATCTTCTACTTTATTAGCCCTTTTTTTTTTTTTTTTTTTTTTCCTTCTTTATTGTTTATAGCTCAACTCTTTTTTCCCTCTCCTTCCACTTCCCTTCCCTCTTTTCCTCTTCCCTCTACAGCATCTTGCATTTTATATATTTTATTATTGTATACATTGTACTTGTAGCTCTTTTAAAAATTAAAGAAGATTTTCTTTTTATTTCATAAATATCATATTTCATTGTCAATACAAGGCTATATCCAGTTGATTCAACGTCTTTTTTTTTTTTTTTTCTCTTTTTTCTTTTTTTTTTCTTTCTTTCTTTCCTGCGGAAGGGATGGGAAGGGGTAATGGGCTCATGTATGTCTTTGTTGTCATTGTTTTTCATCGTTATTCATCGTTAGATTTTTATCCTTTGTTCGTTCGTTCGTTACATATTTACTGCGTTCACAGTGGCTCTACGGACACCAGCACGACGTGGTCGACTGATCACGGCCTTGTTATCCAGCACTTGACCGCTCCTCTTGGTATCCAATGATTCCAGCTAAAATAAGCAAATTGAAAAAAAAAAAAAAAAAAAAAAAATCAGCAAAACAGCAAAACAGCAAAACAGCAAAATTATACACACTCCATTCGTGTTATCCCAAGTTATTAATATGATATACAAAAAGAACATACTGTAATAGATGGTTTGCTCGCAGGGGTAGAGATTTTCTCGCTTTCAATATCTTGACCTTCCACCAAAATGGCTGGTGTAACTGGTACTGTAACTGGTGCTGTTTCTGTTACTGCCACTGTTACTGTTACTGCTGTGTTTGATTCATTATTATTCAAATCCAGACTGGAGGAAGAGGATGAAGACGAACTTCTGTCACCTCCATTACATGAAGACATGTATGGAGATGCACCACCACTAGCGGTTTTAGCATGTCCACTCCTGTGACTTTGATCTTTTTTAGTAGTTGTAGAAGAAGAAGATTTGCTGCTCTTTGAATGACCAGAGGGAGCGATGACCGGTGGAGGTGGAGGCAACGATGGCAGAGGTTTCAACAATTCACTTCCCGAAAGAGGCACTTTTGAAAACTTTGGTAGTTCTGCATGGGCTGTACTCCGTTCCTCCAAGAATTGCCGAATCTGCTCTGCTTCCATTGTAATCTCTTTAGCTTCCTCTACTTTGTGATCCCAAGAGGAGACTAGATTTCGAATATGAGCTGAGGTCAAAGCCCGTTTACGAGGCTGGCCACGAACAATGGGAGGCAATGGCTCTGCAGCTTTGCGGGCTTCTTCTTCCTATTTAATAAATTAATAATAAAAAAAGATTATTAAATAATTATTTAATGTATTTAATTTATATACTTTTTTTTTTTTTTTTTTTTTTGGGTTAAGGATAAGGAGCAGGTTCTTACCTCGCGTTCTTTTTCGCGCTCATCCAGAACGTTTCCCTTGCCTGCAAGTTTGCGTCCCAGAATATTCTCGACCTGCTCAGCCAGCTTCTTAGGGATAGCTACAGTTCCAACATGGTTACGATCCCCTCGTTGCTTTCCACCAACGAGAGTTGACACCATCACAGTACTCGAAGTAGCTGTCTTTGAACGGGGTCGCGTAGTTATTAATCCGGAATTGACACCCAATGATGATGGCGCTGAAGTAGACGGAGATGAAGATGATGATGATGAAGGAGGTGTCCCTGATTCATTATTCTCGACAGCGCCAGAACCGGAAGCACCAGCAGCCAGTTCCTCTTCATCATCAATCAACACAGCCTGAATCTTCTTTACAGTTCTCAAATTAGCGGTAATAGGAATCTTTGCTAATTCTTCATCCCTTCGTCTCTGTTCCTCTTGTTGCATAATCCGGGCCTGGACCAGGTTGGCAGGGATTTTAGGGGTTTGGAACTGTCGTAATGCTGTGTTGATTGACGGAGTAGGCAATGGTGGTACAGAATTTTCAAACAATGATGCGATGGCCATCGAACTAGGGCTGCTAGTGGAGGTCGTATGACGACGTGGGGTATGTGATGGTCGTTGCTGTCGCTGTTGTTGTTGTTGTTGTTGTTTTTGTTGATCGAGCACAGACAAATTTGCTTTAGTCGCTGCTCCTCCTGATGATGACACTTTGGGCGTTGTGGGTGTTGTTGGCGTCATTGGTTCTGTAGCACTCTTGTTGTTACCGTTCTTTACTATTGGTCTTTCTACACTAACTGTGTCAGTTTGCATCGAAGGTGAAACAGCCGAAGGCTGATTTGTTTCTGCTGCTCGAGAATTACGACTACCGCGTGAGCGTGAGGTATCCTGTGTGGTAGCGACCATGCTTGAATGAACATGGGTATTGAAGGCATCGCCGTCATTGCTGTTGTTGCTACTACCACTGTTGACGGATGTGGGTATGAGTGTGGCAGCATCTGGATTTTGAAAGGCCCTCATGAACAACGGTGTAGATGAAGACGGTGAAGGCGCAAACTGGCTAGGTGCGAGCATATCTCCACGCGTAGTCCTTCTCCTTGTTGACCTCCTGCCTGCTGCATCTGAGCCAGTAGGACTTGTAGGACTTGTAGGACTAGTAGGACTAGTAGGATTAGTAAGGATCGAATGATTCCTGTCCTGCTGATCCTGATGTCTTTCGCATACCACGGAAATATGTTCACTGTTGTCATTCTTGATATCCCCTTTCTCCTCCCCCTTACTACTGCTATTATTATTATTATTATTATTATTATTATTATCGTTGTTGTTATTGTTACTATTATTACTACTATTATTGTTGTCATTGTCGTTGTTGTTGCTACTGCTGTTATTTCTGCTTTCGCTAATGGCTGTAGGAGTAAGGGGAGGAGAATGAATTTGCTGGTGTTGTTGCTCTGAAAGCTTGGGTGAGTATTGAACCTCGGTTATACCAACATCTGCATCTGCATCTGCAGCTGCAGTAGAGCTGATTGCCCTGGCAGAATCTCGTTTCTGAGCTGCTGGTGCAGGTTGTGTCCCTGAAGGAGCCATTTTATTACAACTCAGGGATGGATCTTCTCTCGCAACAATCATTGCTTTTATAGATTCCTTCTTTAGACCTTGAGGGGTTATAGCTCCTTCTTCTCCTCCACTACGATGACTTTGAGGAGAAGTAGGAGAAGGACAGGAAAAAGACCGAGAAGAGGAATTGAGACTCCATGGATGTGCGATCTTGTTGGGTTGTTTCTGAGGTTTGTTGCTGGTACCAGCGACCTTTTGTTTGAGCAGAAGGGCCGTGGCCTTGATCTTTGAAAGACCCGTCAAGGGGGAATCCTCTGCATGGTTTTTGGGCGAGGAAAGGACAGAGGAGGAAGGACAAGGGGAGGAAGGGGAGGAAGGAGTGGTAGCGGAAGGAGGGGTGGTGATGACCTGGGTGGGATCTCGATTGTTCATGTGATCTTAAATGGAATGAGAAGTAAAGAAAAAAAAAAAAAAAAAAAAAAAAAAAAGAAAAAATTACAAAGGAAGGAAAGTGAAAACCAGTTGCTGAAGGATGAACAGTTAGAAAAAGAAGAAGAAGAAGAAAAGAAAAAAGAAAAAAGAAAAAGAAAAAAAAAAAAAAAAAAAAGAAAAAACGATGGAAAGCAAGAAAGTCAGAGGAAAGGATAGGATGTACGAGCTTTCAATGTGGTCTGCTCTACTCAAGAGGTTTTTCATTATTCTGTTCCATAACGAAGTGAGCAATGGATGGGTCCCTTTCCTTCCCGTCTTCAACTTCAACGCTCACACTTTTTTTTAGCCCATGGCCCACATTGCTTCCATCCTTCCTTGACCAACAGTCTGGGCGTTTTGTTACAGTCAAAACAATTAAAAATAAAAAATCATTGTCAGTCAAATTAGAGATTCCCATCCTGCAAAGTTTGCATGCCATTATTCTTTCTCTTTTCTTTCTTTTTTTTTTCTTTTCATCATCATAGTCGTCATGATCATGATCATGATCACTGGTCTCCTTTTATTCCTTGTGGAACATATCTCAATCGCCACGCGAAACGCAATTAGGCAATTAAGGATTACGTGAACTGTTGGGCGTATGCCCGGATCCGATTCTCCACTGGTCAACGGTCAGCAGTCCATGATCAAAACGGTCCCATTTTTAACTACATTTGGACCCATCTCCTTCCAATTTTCAATCACCATACTAATGGTATGCATGCATGTTGGAACAGAAAAATTGATGAGCCATCCACTCCGCCCCCCTCTCTTACACATTCTTTCCCCTCTTTCCCTTTGTCTGGGACCATCGCTCTCATGAACAATTGAGGGTACATGTACATGTTATATATTTTATTATTTATTTTTCCGTCTTTCCCGCTAACAAGTGTGCTCTTCACTTTATTGCCTCCATACTCTCTCTTCAATTGTTACTTCCCCTTTTCTCCAGTCGACCTGACTGCTTCAATCTTGTGGCCATCATGGCATGTCTAAGGAGTATACAGTTATGTCAGTGAAAGCAATGACCCCCGATTTAGCAAACGTAATGGTAATGTGATATTCCGCATTTTTATTGACTTTAAACAATTCTTTTGTGCACATGAGCATGAATTTTTTTTTTTTTACGAACAACCGTGGAATGTGATCAAGTTTTTTTTACGTTGATATAGGGGTAATTGTACATGTACTTTTACAATTGGTTCAGTTGTTTAACTGATCATGCTGCTGCTACTGATGCTTGCTGTTGTTGTCCCCACATGTTACCAAACAATCGTCTATTCCAGCTGGACCGCTCCTGACGCTGACGCTGTTCTTGTTGCTGCTGCCCGTGATACCCCTGCAGTAACTGAAGCTGTTGTTGCTGTTGAGCACAGGCGAATCGCGTTCTTTCTCTATTGGCCCTCTCTTGATCAGCATGATGTCGTTGTCTGGAAGCCGAAGCTGGGGCTGGTGCGGACCTAGAGCCAGAACTGGAGGAAGAGAAAGAGAGGAGGGCAGGGCTAGAAGCGGCAGCTGACGTCCGATACCGCTGTGCTCGCCCTTCTGCTATGTTACGAGCGATTCCCTCATCATTACCGTCATTGCTCTCATTGCCAGAAGAATTCAAATTAGAGCTCGGACCACCTTGATTCCTGACATGGCCACTGCCACTACTATTAACAACAGCAATAGTAGCCCGACTATCGTTGCCTCCACTAAGAGCGTTGGGCGCGGATCTCATAATCAGATCTGTTTCTTGAGGCTCACGAACCATAGGAGCTGCCTTTGCAGCCGTCAGGCTGATGGCTCGCATACGACGTCCCTGAGTTGAGGGTTGGGATGGGGACTGAGATGATGATTGAGGGCAAGTTCGGCGACGACTTCTAAATGCGTTTCTTGGTGAGGACGATGTAGAGGCTGACGAAGATGGGGATGAAGACGATGAAGGTGATGATACTGGTAGAATCTCTCTTGATCCAGGTAGCACCGAGAGTGACTCGTTATTATCGCTTGATTGTACTTCAAATTGACGAGCCCGTTGTTCTCTCTGAACGCGGGCCTGAATCATCAAGATTTGCTCTTGCTGATTCTGAAGAACTTGTTGTAGTTGCTGGAATGGGTTCGGAGTAGCAGCTCCTGTAGATGAAGAAGATGGTGATGCTGATGGTACCTGGTCCATCGATGCATGCCGTTGGCGCTGCGATGGCCTTGGTGTGCGTTCGAATGACATCTGTCGCTCACGACAAGTCGATGGTCTCGGTCTCGAGGTAGTCTGTTCACTTGGGGCCGAGGTTGGTACCTGTCGCTGTCTCTGCTGCTGCCCTTCTTCTTCTCTTCCTCCTCGCTGCTGTATCTGTTGTTGTTGCTGTTGTTGTTGTTGTTGGTGTTGTGGCTGTGGCTGTGGCTGCGGCTGTTGTTGCTCCTGCTGCGCTTGTTGTTGATTTTGAGAACTATTGCCGTTGCTATCACCATTCGACGACTGGCGTTGACTCGACGATGACGTCGAAGGGTTCGTAGCGGGGTGTGAGCCTGTACCAAGGCGGAGATGGTGAGTTCTAGGTAAGGTGTAGAACCTGGGCATGGAGCGCTCCTCAAGGCTCGTAGCAATGTTGACAGCTGCCTGCAGGTGTTCGAGCCAGGTCAACGCATCGACTCGGTCTTTGCATTCGAGCAATATTGTACGGTCGCAAGCTTGAATTCGAACCACGTTCGGTCGTTGCTTATAGTCCATTGCCAACTCACACTTGGCGAGCTGCAGACTAATATTGCGAACATGCAACCGAGGCACATCTTCTGCATCTACAGCGTATAGCCGAAGTGCTGTTCCTCGTAAATGTGCAAATGTTCTCCTGTCAAACGGGATTTGGTTATAGATTTATAGATTAGATTACTGATGTATTTTTTTTTTAATAAAATAAAATAAAATAAAAAAAGAGAGACGTATACATACTTCCAAGGACGACGATATGGTCGCCAATTGCCAACAAGTTCGGTCTTGCGGTTAACACATCCCTCACGGAAAACCGAGCATGTATATCGAGGCAAGGGTTCCTGACCCTGTTCTGGGCGGGGTTCAATCGTGGGGAAGCCCTGGTATTTGATCGCTGCCTCCCAATATGAAGGAGGGGAAGTCAAAGCCAAACGGGATGCTGGGATATTTCCACCCTCTCCTACCAACGTTGGTGTGGTCCTCGAGATGAGTGAGCCTCCAGAACCTTCGCCTGTACTTGTGCTCGTGCCTGTCGCTTGAGGAGACATAGCCGTGGCACTAGTATCATGTGGTGAGTCAAGCATTAACTCGATTCTTTCACTCCTGTCCTCATATGCAAGCTCGTTTTGAAGGTTGACATCAGTAGTAAGGTGATGTTGATAACGACCATAATCTGGGAAAAACGATGGTGCATCCTCATGGTCGGTGCTCTCTTCGGATGAGGAACGTCTTCGACCAAAGTCCTCATCATTTGAGAAACTGTTGTCAGAGTCTGTTGTTCCGCCACTTGCAAGACCATCAAGAGCTTCATCCACGTAGAAATATAGTTGCTGCCGATATGTTGGGTGCTGATGAGCAGCAGAGCACCGCTGTTGATTTTGCTGTTGATGCTGAGCCCTAGTATGTGACGGCAAGAGACCCTGTTGTTGCAAGTAGAAATCCACAATGCTTCCCTCAGTGGCATTCTGCCCTGAGTTCTCTTGGCGGAAGTGCTGTCCACTCACATTGCCAGATCCAGAGGGCGGGAAAATCGACGTTAGCAAACGGCCCCACATGGATGAATTGCTAGGCTGCACGCCCAAGGAGGCATGTCGCCGAGGAATGGGGGGTCGAAGCGCTTCAAGGGATGGCTGCCGATTATTACTATCCGTAGCTGCCCTATTCACTACTGTAGAAGAGATGTTATCTCCTTCGGAAACGATCCAGCCAGTAGGGAATCGGTCCAGTTCCCCCCCATGAGACCTCCTCCGGAATATGCTCGATCGCCTGTCGTTTCGGTTCTGGAGGTGTTGGTAATGTGGTGGGATTGGATCAGGCGGTCCAACGGATCGTGGAATATCACAGGCTGTAGCTCGAGATATGCTGCCATGTATTCCTGATTCTGAGACGGGTCCGGAAGGTCCATGCCTTGAAATACATCCTGATACTTCAGGGGCCGTAGTATTGACTGTATTGTTCTGCTGTAATGAGCCTGGGTTACCTGAGGAGGAAAGAGAAGATGAGGATGAGAAATTAAAGGAACGCTGTTTTAGCAACCTGGAAATAACATGAAATCGTGAATGCGATTCTCGCAGCTTTGGTTGCCCATGTTGTACTGCATCCCGAGGCTGACGTTGACCGGATGATGAGGACATCCATTTTTCAATCTCTCGTTTGGGTGGAGACAGATTAGCTGATATGCTCACAGAGGTCGCGGGCTCAATATGTAAGGGAGGATGAGAGCATAATATTGACTGTGAATGTGATTGTGAATGTGATACAGGCCTTACAGAAGGCTCTTGCATTCCTAAATGAGATGTTGTCAAGGATGAAACTGGTTGATTTCTGTCTGATGCAATATCCACACTATTCCACTCATGCTCCATCAAAAAATTCCCATGAGAATAACAATTATGGTTGTTGTGTAATCTTGCATTTTGATTTTGTGCTCCACCAGCATCTGCATTCATACCTGGCTTGATTTGCAGCATGTGAACCTGAGGGGATCCGGATTTAATAGAGCTCTTCAAAATGCTTAAATCACGCTGTTTGCTGTCTAATGGTCGAGGCAATCCATTGGTTGAGATCATATCTTCGTAGCTTAGTTCGCTACTAATAGTCTTTTCAGTATCGTTATCTGACGTAAAGTTGGCAGTCTCTGTTGCAATGATTGCAGTAGGTACTGCTGAGTGGTCACACCGATAGATATCTTTCCGTTGGTACCGAAGATCAATTTCGGTTGTGTCGAATGCTTCTGTGGTGGCAATTGAGTCTAGATCAGAATCAAATGTGGATACAATGGCAAGAGGGTGTTGACCCCCGGTTGGTTTTTTGGATGAAGTCCTTGGTATGATAGTATACGCCGATGCACCAGTGGATGATGAGGAGGAGGAGGAATAAGATATATTTGAGCTGGAGGCTAATGAACTCATTGAGGGAGAAGTATAATTTGACATGGCTGAAGATGGACGAGTATGGGGGATGAGATGGTGTTGGCGGTGTTGATAACGATGGATAGTACTATTATTGTTAGAAGATGTTGTATAAGATGAAACGGTAGATGCAACTGATGTTGAGGAATGTAGATGAGAATGTATTCTGGAATAGGCTGCTATAGGGTTACTGAAGCGAGTGGAGGGAGTTGACTTGATGAAGAAAGGAAAGAGAGGAGATGAATGACTGTACACCGTACGAGGTCTATTGCTATTAACGTTGCTATTGGTGTTATTAATGCTGCTGGAATAAGCAATACCAGTTTCAGGGGTTGTATCTCTGCTGACGTTAGAAAGTGGAATGAAAGAAGAGGACGAAGTATGACTGTAGGAGGAATGATGAGAAGAAAGAGATGCAAAAGAGGAAGACGCAGGAGCTGCTGTGGAGATGCGAGCCCTTATATTGGATTCAGACGCGTGTTGATGTTCAGAAGGGCATGTGTTTCGATCGTCAACGCTCCTGCCCCCGCGAGTGCAACTGTTTTCTTGCCGAGAAATGGTTGTGCGTCCTTGAATGTCGCGGATGGTTTGAGCACGGATCTGCAAGTATTGTTTTATATGAGGTCAGAACAAAGAAAAACTAAACATGGTTAACAACATGAACGAAAAAGTCAGGCACGCAACTCTCAAAACAGAATATTAATAATTGAGCAAATGCTCTCTTTTGTGTATTGAAAGAGCCATGTTTATATTCGTGCTGGTGATGCACAGACCCAAAGTGAGACAATTCTCCGGATTGGGCTCTTCCATTCTTTGACAGTCTACAGCACGTCGTCGTCCTGGATGAAAGAGGGAAGCTACATTGCATTGCACCACTGTCTCACTTGCCCTGAAGCATGGATTCCTCTTTCTCTTTCTCTTTCTTCTCACATACACACCCATACCATCATGCACTCCAGCGGGACTGTTTTTTGTTTGCTTTTGATGTCATTATTGTCATTATATGACTTACCAAGGGAGGGCTCCTTAAGGAGATAGGACAAGGCACAGGTGGAGCAGATGAGCTTGAATGAGGAGAGAGGCCGAGCGGAGCTGATCGAATAATTGGAATTGACGGTGCAGATGCAGATGATAAAGTCGAAGAATCAATTAATGGTGCACTATGTCTATTACGATGGAGATCAATGTGTTGTTGCTGATCTCCTCGTAGCTGTTCGTTACTACCGCTGTTGCTATTTCTGCGATTGCTGCTCTCGATGCTATTGCTATTGTTATTGTTATTGTTATTCTTGTTCTTATCTCTGTTAGCTTTGGACAATCCTAGGAGTCGGTGGCTCACAAAATTCTTAATCGCAACCCAACTTTGTGGCCTCTTGCGTCTTTTGCAGAGAGCTTTAGCCTCCTGATCAGAGAGGAGGCAAGTCTCTAGGAACTCTAGGAAATCAAGTGAACTCAGCACTTGAGCTTGGAGTTCCGGTGTGGTAATGAGACTACCGTCGCTGCTATTGTTGTTGTTGTCGTCTTGAGAAAGGAACCGCAGGGGTTGAATTTCAGTCCCAAAAATAGATGAAGCCTCGTTTTGGTCTTGGACAAACTGTTGATGGCGGCGATAACTATATAAGTTGTTATTGTTATTATTGATGCCGTTGCTGTGGTAGCTATGCCTGTAATGGGATGGCTTGTCTGAAAGAGATTCACCTGAATTAATATCTGTCGTGGTAAAGGAAACTGCTGTTTCAACAGGTGCCCTGTGCGGTATAGGGGATGATTGTGAACGGTGATGATATGCTGCTGTCGGAGAAAAAGAACCTTGATCAACCGAACCGCAGTTCAACTGGTTTGTTGATGCTGGAATCAGGAAACGAAGGAGTTAAAGGTGGAGCATGAGACATGCAAAGGATTGAGGACGATAGTTAGTAGGAAAGTTATGTGTTGGGCATATGTAACATTATTGCGTCCGCATGGCAATTAGTCGAGCAACAAGGAAGGCACAGTGCAGGGTTCCAGTGGGACAAATGGCAGTGAAGGATCAAGAAGGAAATAGAACAGACAAAAGTAGATGAGAACGAGCGATTTAGTCACCAAGGAAGTGAAGGATGGACAACAATGCAACTCTTGTTTATAAATATCCACTTTTTATAATCTGCATGGAAACAAAAGTACAAAAGAGGGAAGAAAAAGGAAATAATGAAATCCCTTACTAATTGTCTGAGAAGCTGACTCGTAAATGCCCACTATCGGATTAGTTAAGCTGGAATGACGACGCGAATGCGATGGACAAAAAGACTCATTCGATTGACTTGGACATGGCCCGATTGAGAATGAAGACAAGGGGGCTGGTAGTAATGCTGGGATTATGGAATGTTCGGAAATGGAAGAGAGCGGTCGCTCGCGTGGTTGTGGTGATTGAATACCGGATACAGAGGGGCAGTAGTGAAGTGTGGTTGGTAATGGATGTGTGTCTAACTGTGATGCGATCGAGAAGGTGCAATGCGAGTCCGAATCTGTGCCTGGATCTGAACCTGATCCAAAGCCTAAACTAGGACTATTGACAGTGAAAGTGCTCGATCGGATATCGGGGCCTAAAAAGTTTGAAGATGGCTCTGCAGACACAGTCGCTCCAACAGATATCAAGTTACCTACGACGTGAAGGAAAAAAAGTGATTGAGGGCATAAGAAAGAGAACACGAACGTCCAAAGGACTAGGAATGGTATATGAAGCATGGCTGGGTGATCAATGAAAACAAACTCTTTCTATCTGCCTCCCTCGGGTGTCCACCACATTTGAGTTTTGAATAAAGGCCAAAGTTAGGGACAAAGGACTACATGAGACTAATTTCTGCCTCCGTTATTTCTTAAATCTTCCTTCTTTAGGTCAATTCCCAGAAAACAAAGAATCAACGGTCTAACGTAAAGACAATGGAATCAAAGAAACTACTACGTATCTCAAGTCCGAAGTCATATTAATAATAGAGAATATCGATGTATTCTCACTTAAAAAGGTTTTGGAAGAGAATGAAGTTGCTGTTGATGCTTTTTTTTTTTTTTTTTTTTTTTTTTTTTTTTTTTTTTTTTCACTTAAAGAACAGAAGAGATGGCCACCTCAAACGCTTTTCTTTGTTTACTGATATGGTGGACAACGTTTTCTACATTCGCAAAAAACGATACCGCCGAAACAAAATAATCACCAAAGAAACAAACTGGTTATGAATTAGACAACCTTCGTTGAAGGGCCTGTTATAGCCGTTCCTGTGATTTACCTGCCAGAGGGGCAGCATTGTAGTTTTTTCTCTTCTTTTTGTTTGCTGCCATTTTTTATAAGACCTATGACGGCTCTTGATTTGTTTACTCGTCTTACCTTGGGTGTTGATGCAAACGCCTACAAGTTTTGCGCTATCAGGAAGGTCGAGTGAACTCAGAGATGTGGGTTGTGGCAAGCACTGTGAAAAGGCGATAGGGTGAGCAGGAGTTGAAGGAAGAAGAGGTGAGGGGGCACAAGTAGAAGGAGAAGGATGAGGATGAGGAAAGAGAGGAGAAAGAGGATGTTTGGGAGAAAGGTGGATTGGAGAGCAAGGTACAGAACAAAAAAAAGGAGATGGTTCGACCAAACATTCTGCAGAACAAGGCAGTTGAGGGATCGGAACAGACCTAGATAATGAATGGGCAGATTGGAAGCCCGAGGGAAAAGGAGAGGAAGTTGGAGCGTGGAAGTCGAGAGGATTGTCTAGGTTTTGAATAGAGGACTGATCGAAGCAGTAAGGTAAAAGTTCTTGATCATGACAGGGATGCCGTGAAAGATCTAGGGCTGGAACCCATTTGCCATTATTAATGTTGTCAGTGAGCGGCGGCAAAAGGCAGGGTGGTGTCGTGGTACCGAAGGATGTTGGGGCCGATAAAGAGTTTGGCTGTAACGCATGTGAACCCGTAATGTCCATTAACTCTAATTCTTGATTAGACGGCTGTTGTTGTTGGCACTGCTGATATTCCACTTGATGTTGATGTTGCTTCCCTTGAGCAAGCCGTGCTTGAATGAGGCTAGAATTACCATTCTCTTCTGGTATCTGGGACCTCTTTCTCTCTTCAACGTTTTCTTCAAAGCCAGTCCGAGTTGGAACACATAGTTGGCTTTCCTGCAATGAACGATTAGACTCCTGGGCCCCCGACGAACCATGAATTGTGCCAGACTCTGAACATATTGATGCCATCATGTATTGTTGGATGTAAGTTGTACTTTCTGCCTTTTAGTTTTAGAATAATGGTGTGTAAATGTATTCAGCCCGTGGCCGTAATGTAGACCTTTACGTCGCCAAAAATGCGCTCCTATGAAACAGTCCAATTAATAAAAAAAAAAAAAAATAAGTTAGGGTATACTGTTAGTCCGGCCTAGGACAACGAGCCCTGACCAAATACACGTCAATTTCAGGGTTAACTTGTTTGAAATAAGGGATATTTGACAAATGACTATCGCCATTGTCTTTTCTGTGTCAGTGCACTATCTCGTTCAAGTTCCTCTTCCTCTCATCCTTGTCTCCCCTCCTTTTTTGTCTAAGAAAAGAAGAGGGGCATTGGCCAACAGGGACATGGGCGAGAAAAGCACCATCGCAATAACATCCTCATTATTACCACCAATACTCAATCCTTATCGCTTCATTGTAAGCAGAATGAAGGCACACTGTAAATATAAAGATACGTGTTCGAGCTTTTGAGAGAATGGTGTTCTCTCGCATAGCATGAGGTCGTCCTATTTGCCATCATGTTATGATTTGTCATGCCATTTCAACCGCGTGTTTTGTATATCTTTGAAAACGCGAAAAATACTATGTCTATACTCAATTGAAAGTAAACAGATCACATATTACCGCTAGGCACAGGGTCATTGGGTGCTTTTGGGAGGTAAAGGGATGAATGGATGTACCGCTGCACGCATGGTGTGGTCACTTTCAAAAAGCAAAAGGAGTAATGCCATTTGATCAGAATGTAAACAAACACGAAGAAAAAAAAAAAAAAAAATAAAAAAAAAAAAATCAACAGGTTTGTTGACAAAAGCTCTGCCCACGATCCGAATAGGGACCCAGGTATGATCGGTATAGCCCTGCTGTCATGTCGCTGCTGCCACCGAAGCGAATGAAATACAATAGTAATATAATAATAAGAATGCAATTTTGATTGATTCGGGTACAAGAATGCTGCCTTTATCAACTGATTGTATATTGCTGATAAATATAACCAGTCAATTTGTGGGCTTCTCATTCGGTCTGTGGATCTTTATCATAAGAAGCTGAAAATGGATAGATGAAATTCCGAGAAAGCGTCATATTGTGTGCTTGTATGATGTGCTGTGTGCTCCCATGTTGATCAAAGTTTGAAGAAAAACGACTTTCAAGGCATTATAAAGAGGGAGAAGCGAATAGAGGTGCATAATTGCATGCTGCAATAGGAGCTGCCTATAGCCTTGTCAGGGTAGCAAGTGGTTATCGAGGATCGATATGCTCATGTGTGCTTTGCTGTACCTGAATCTATTACTTGTGCTTGTAGCTGTAATTTATTGCCTCTGTGCCTGTGCCTGTGCCTGAGATTTAAAGACGACCTTAGGGGGAAGAGAAGAGGGTGAAAGATAGAGGGTATGATAATTATGATTGAGGGCAGAATGCAAAGAAGGAGGGTAAGAGTAAAGAATGTTTGCTTGTGCCTGCAAGGACAATTTGTGCGGATGGATATTTGTATGTTTGTCTGAAGGGAAAAAAAAAAAAAAAAAAAAAAAAAAAAAGAAAGGGAGAGAGAGGGAAGAGAGAGAGAGAGATGGAAGGAAAGAAAGGGGAGGGAAAGTGACAAGTCAATAGTTCAGGGACCCTAACCGTTGAAAACAAAGATATAAATAATGCCAATGCTCCCCAAATACTATTCAATACTGGGCATGAATGTGTGAATGAGAATTGTACCATGCCATGACGCATTACGCCTTCCAATGTGAAAAATGTTTATAGGAAGCATGGACCACTTTAGACTGCTACTGCACTTTTTTAGTTGTCCATGACATCAACCCTCACTTCACTTCACCACTTCACTTCTCATTAACATACACATTCCCAAGCATGTGAATATCGTATGCTGCCGCTCTACACTCCACATGTATACGGCATATTTATATTCTTTCCTCCACACTCCCTTTCCGCTTTTTTTTTTTTTATTTTTTTCCTTTTGTACCCGTGGACTCGCTCTGATTTATCTGATATTCAGGGTCTGCTCACCTTTTTTTTTAAAGGCACATTCAGAAAACATGAGGAACCACACGTTGTCCAAATTAGAAATACAAACAAAATTAACAAGGGGAGATTTACTACGAGACTACAAGTACAAATAGTTTTAGTGTATCGGGAAAACAACGCTACATTATCGTCTGTTGGTTACGCTCTGGATCATGCAACCGATGAACCCGCACATCGGGCCCTGGCGATACGCTGCTAGCATCTTGTGGTGTAATCAAGATGTACTGCACCCCATCCGATTCGCGAGCTGTATCAATCAGCATCTTCATACTGATACGACGGTTCACTGCATCCATAAATACGTCAAACTCATCCAAGCTAATATCCATCCCATTCGAAAAAAAGATACAAAAAATAAGAAACAAGTCAGCTCACTAGAAATCCGTAATTATGCTCTTTTTTTTTTTTTTTTTTTTTTTTAGTGATTTCAAATGCATGCTTCTTACCATCGAATCGAGCTTGACATTGAGTCCCAGAGGGCCAAAAGTAAGCAAATGGTCGAAAAGGATTTCTCTCCACCCGAAAGTGACTTTGGATCCTTATCTCTTGCAATACCTGCCTTGCCTGATCGTTGATCCTCCGTTTCAACCTTTTTTTTTTTTTTTTTTTTTTTTTTTTTTTTTAAAAAAAGTGATCGTACGCATACCATTAGTCAATTCATTCTATTTTGCTAAATATCAGAAACAAGGATATCAGGGTCTTCCTAGACTTACACGAATAGTAAGTGACTTTTCCTGGTGGTGGAACTCAAGGTCACCAGAATACCCTCGCTGCGAAAGCTGCAGAGAAAAGTTGATCTTGGATCGTAGTGACATCTGTGACCGAAACTCACGCCAACGTGACAGACGTTGATGAAGTGTCGATTTCAAGTGCTACAAAAATAAAAAACAAAATCAAAGTAAAAATATATGCTTAGAATGCTTAGATGGCATTTTCAGGTTGATAGACACCTTTTTTAGGGCAATGTGGCCCTTACCGAAACAAGTTGTGCCAACTGGTGAATAGCAAGTTTGGCGGATTTATATTCATCCTGCTTGCGCTTCATATCGATCGCAATCTCCTCCAGTGTACAGCCGCGCTGGGCTTCTTGCTCCTTAAGACGCTCCTGAAGACTCTTAATCTCACGTTCCAATTGGGGTATCGTATTAGTCACTTTCACTCGTTCACAGTACCGTCTTGCTTTCTCAGTCGACACCTAAACAATATATCAGCAATGAATAGTTTCCCTGTCAACATCCACAAGACATTAAACAGAGAAAAGAAAAAAATAAAAAACGTTTAGGCCAGTCATTACCTCCAAGTTTTTGCTCTTATTCTGAAGCTCTATTTCGGCGATACGAACCGCCTCGCTTCCTTCACGAAGTTTTTTATCCCAGTGTTCGATTCGACGTAGGTACTCTTCTTTTTCCATAGCTAGTTTATCCAGCTCATTCTAGTTTATTAAAAAATAAAATAAAATAAAATAAAATAAAATAAAGGTTCAATTGTTAATAGGATATTTATATAATGCAGGAAAAAAAAAAAAAAAAAGAAAAAAGAAAAAAAAAAAAAAACATCAATATTAACTTACTCGTATCTTTGATGCCTTAGATTCATGATTTCTGATCAGCTCATTCAACTCCATCACCTGCTGTCTGATGGGCTCCATAGACTCAGTGATAGCTTGCTTATGTAGCGCGATGGGCTCATATTGCGTCTTCATAGCCTCGATTCGCTCCAAAGCTTGCTGCTTCGACTCTTCATACGCTTGAATATTAGCTGGTTCATCCTCTTGTAAACTGTCGCGTAAATCTTCAATTGCTCTTGTTTTCAGCCGGATTTCCTTTTCCAAGGTGGATAATTGTCTTTTAGCCTGAATTCTTTCGCGATCCTTGTTTTCCACATCACTCAAAAGTTCTTGACTCTCTCGAATGCGATATCGAAGGGAATCTTCCAGTCGACGAATGGTGCCCTCGTGTTCCTGAAGCTCCTGATCCACATTTTGACTCAACCGAGGTGGTCCACGGTATTTGGCCATCATAATACTGGCAGCACCACCCTGGCGATCTCCGACACGCATCAAATTCATGGTAAAACATTGAGTGACTTTGTCTGGGAAACCTCCATGTGGTCCTGAACTCGTTACACGGTCAGCATCCTCACGTTTCTCGATCAGAATGGTTGATTCAATCCCATTTTTATCGATCAACAATCGGCGCACCCATTCATTATCAAACTCCAGTACTCGATTAATAGTCAAAAACCTGCTCGATGGTTCTTTATCACTGTAATCAAAAATGATTTTCCTTGTGAGCAGGATATCCGAATTACTAAAGAAAAAAAAGCAAAAAAAAAAAAAACGGGTTTAGTAAGAAAGCCAAATCCACAACATATCCGATTATATAAAAAAAAAAACTCAAATATCTACTCACCATCTGTGTCTTTTGAGAATGCCAAACAATGTATTTCTATCAGCATCAGTAGTGACAGCGAACGCATTCAGCACATTTCCGAGTGCGGACTCTATAGTGGGTGCCCATTGTTGATCACGAAGTTTGACGTGATGACCTAATGGTCCTACAGGCGGCTCTCCCCTCCACCCTCCCCTTCTTGTGACCTCCTGGATCGACTCTAGCACTTCAGGAACCGTTGAACCAAAGGCCTTCAAAGAATTTTGCTTTTGATCATTGATTTGTCTGATACGATCCTTTGCCTCGTTGAGATCCATCTTAATTTTTTTTGCAGCGCCGTTGCTCTGTTCCAAACGCTCGTTGCTCTGTTGAACCTGCTGATCCAAAACTGAATAGTTTTCTCTCGTCTCCGCCAACTGCCTTTTGCTAGCTTCAATCTGCTCAGTTAACAGTTGGATCTTGCCCTCAACCTCAGCACGACGCGACTGTTTCTGAATCTTTTTCATTTCTTGCTCAATCTTTTGGTCAAAATTCCGGATTTGCTCCTTCAATGACTTAATCTCCTCGTTTACTGTCCTCTCTTCATCTTGATATCCCTTTAGCTCGTCGCGTTTCGCCCGCAATTCCTGTTCCAGCTGTTTCTTCCGCTCATGTGTTGGCGCATTCGAACTAGCATGTTCATCTGCATTGCTTTCTAGCTCTTGGATTTTCCTGTCAATTTCCGTAATTATCGCCTGCTCTTGTGCATGCTTTTTTTCGATGGCTGGAATTTTGGCCATCAGCGTATTGAGCTCTTTCTCCATCTGTTTCACTCCCTTCTCTAGTTCCTCAATCTGAGCCCAAGCAACCTGGTTCTTAAGATCCTCGACCTTGAGCTCAAGTGTAGCAGCCTGTTGACTGTCCTTGAAGCGAGCCTGTGCTGCTTTAGCCATCTCATATAATTCTGGTAAGATTTCGGTCTTAGTCTTGAGAGTACTTTGCATAGTATCAATGCACTCACGAATAATCTCATAGTCAATACTGAGTTGAGTGAGCTGAGTTCCTCGAGAAAAGAACTTGTACTTTTCCTCGCCTGTCGAAGACTGCAAAAACTGACGGGCAGTATCCTGAGAAAGGACGTTCATGGGATTGTCAACCTGAATGTTCATGTGATCGCACATAGCCGCAAGTTCATCTCGTTTCGTTGAAATCGTCTTTCCTTTGGATGATTTGATCTTATACCCAGAGGCACCATCCTTAGATATGCGACGCTCAATGATGATACTCTCTCCATAGATCTCTGGTTTGAATGCATCAGGTCCTCTATTACGCAATTGCAGCCTAACCTCCGTCTGACTAGCCCCCTCTCGAATAAGAGCTTTGAGACTCTGGGCACGGTTTGTGGCGTTTGCCTTCCCACCCAAGCAGACCATGATCGCGGTTAAAATAGCGCTCTTTCCACCTAGCATCAATAGACGTACAAATTACTTTTTTAAATTTCCTTATACCCTATATCCCATGCTTTATCCAATGTGACATTTCATCTTAATCTCCTTGTTCTGATGATGATAGAGTCGACCTCTGTCTTTTTTTTTTTTTTTTTTTTTTTTTTTCAACTTACTTCCGTTGTGTCCGATGATGAAATTGATCTTCGGTCCAAAGGGAACTTTGAGGTGTCGGTGACACATGAAGTCAAACATTTCAATTATTTCAATGACACCCATTTCTGCGACCGTCTAGATATTTTTGTTAAAGAAAAAGAAAAAAAGAAAAAAAAAGCAAATGTTGGTTAGTATACTTGCTTTAACTTTTTTTTTTTTTTTTTTTTTGCAATAATTGCTCGGATTATCAATTTTGATCTTACCCCTTGGCGGCCACGCTGTGATTTCGATTTCTCGAACTCAAGGTCCGCGCGCTGTCTCCAGGTCACATCATCCACTACAGCAGGTAGACCTCTTTCCTGTTCATCATCATTGACCCAACCTTCACCTTCAGGTTCTTCACGAAACGAGGTTTCCTCTTCATCCTCGTCTATGGTTTGTTCTCGTTCTTCCTCAGATTCTTCATGCTTCGATCTCTTGACATCCAAAAAAAAAATACGAATTAATCCAAATTCATCAATGATTCAATTAGTTAATGTTTCAATCCTTCATGGTTGCTGTCAGGAAGCAACAATAAATTTTTTTTTTTTTTGGTGGCAAACAAACAAATAAAAAATAAAAATGTTGTTAATAAGCAATACCTTGTTCTTTGCTAATTTTAGAGCCTTGGCTCCTCCATTTCGTGCCTGATGTCCTGCATGAATTTCTTCTTCTTCTTCCTCTTCAATGATTCGTCGTTTCTTTGATTCTGTCATGCTATTGAAGAACAGGTTCAGGTTACTGCAGGCCCCTGTTTCTTCTTCAGAAAAGTCAACGCGCTTGCTCTAACCGCCACCGAATATCCACGTGAGAATGAATTTTAGATTTAAAACAATAACAAATCGATGTACATGTTATTCGAATCTTTAATCTTGAATATTTGATAGAGGTATTTTACAGTGCTTTACAAAAATCATATTTAGTATAACATAAATAATGAAGTGCCTCCGCTTCAGTTTGCTCCACTCGCATGCCAGATGCAGAGATCTACATGGTCGTTGATCGTTGCTTCTTCCACCTTCTGTGTACAGATTGGACAAGAGACCAACAGTGCATCGACAACTTCCGCTTTCATGCTAGATGGACCTGAAGGACTGGACTTGATACCTGTATTAACGCGCACTTCTTTGTTATCTAGAGCCCCTCGTTGGACACCAGTATCTGAGCCCTCGTATGGATCTTCGATTCTGGTAGACGATGACGTCGACCTTTTGATTAAGACCACTGACTCTTTCCCCTGTCCACTATCGGTAGTGTTCCTCTTCATATATACTATTCCCTCTTCCTTCATCCGTTTCGAACGTAGGGCATCTTTGTCATTCAAATCCGCTGCAGCTACAGTCTTACGTTTTGATGAAGATGACAACGGGGACAATGACTTCATATTAATAGATGTCTGATTAAGATGACGCTCGAATCGTCGTAATGCTGCCGCGGCAGCAGCCTCTCTCGGTGACAGTGGATTAATGCCGACTTCTTTGTCTTTGCCAAAAATGTTCTCGGTCGTTGAAGAGTCATTTTGCTGTACATCATCTGTTAATTCGGAGGATCCTGGTATAAAATTCTTGGCGTTATCGATATGGTCAGCGTCATGAATGAGAATGGAATTATCTTTATTGGAGCCATCCTTGTTGTTCAGAGATGTCAACGATAGTGAAGATGATTTGGATGAATTCGTTTCAGAGGCCGTTTTTGATGGCGAAAAAAAGTCATCGATCAATGTCCGTCCTTTTGACTCTGGATCCGGTTTTGCGTTTTTTTGTGATTTTGACGATGGTTTCTTCTTTTTCATTGATTCTGGTTCTGAGATCTTAGTGTAGGTCCCGCCACATGTCATCTGATGCTCTGCAAACCAACGATCTGCCGGCTGCGGAGGTCTATTATTAATAACGAGAGATTAAGGAATCAAAATTCTCCTTTCCTATACAAATTGATCATTAAATTGATTATGTCGCTGTGATTGATGCCTCTTACCTATTCATGGATCGTTTCACAATGCCGTAGTATGGTGGGCGATGTTGGCAAGGCCCATTACATTTCCAAATATGGGTTTGATAATGGCGTACTTCATCATGAAATGTATGATAAATGGTGATGGATGTTCCTGCCGCTTTATTGATCCTGTTCATATGATATTGGAACTATTAAAAAAGCAGATACATTGAATGTGAGAGCCAATGATTGATGAAAACCATATGCACTCAGTTATTTACATATATTCAATATTTACGTCGGCTCCATGTCCATCGTGATCCTGGATCGCTTTCGTGACAAAAAGGTATGCACTTTTTTAATCGATACAAGGTTCAGGACGTTAATTTTCCATTTATCATAAATGTTCGTAAAGAAAAGCGGTTTATGAAAACATGGTATAAAGTGGTGCCGTACTGTATCATTTCATGTAGGAGAGTGTCAATATAATCAGACTCGGGCCTGAACTTGAGTAGTGGTTCAGAAAGCCTAATGGAGCAATATTGTGCTTTCGATTGATAGTAACAAAGTCCAGCACTGTTTTTTTTTTTTTTTTTTTTTTTTTTGATGGATAACGATAATAGGCAATTTTTAGACCGCAGCTTCATCAATTGCATTGGATAAACTACTGTGTATATCAGCATTACCATCGAGTCATCCTAGGACTCCATCGTACTTCACAAGCGCTCAACTTTGATTCGAAATATTGATCATTGAATGCAAGGAAGAGTCCGTGCAAGTCCTTAAAAGGGGCTTCTGTGTCAAGGTCAGGTGGTGTTACGCCATTATCATAGTCGTCGTCTTCTGGGATTATGAACGGCGAGTCAATATCTCCTTTTTTTAGTAGCGAACTGCTTCCTACAGCCCCATACTCTTGCTCCTGAAGTAACCGAGCAAGCTCTTCATCTGATTGCACCATGTGTAATGGAGAAGTTGGGAAGAAAATATGATAGATGTGAGGGACAGATGTGAGAAGCAATGCTGTCTACAGTTGGAGGAATAAGCTTACGCCACTAATTTTATCTTAGGAGGCAGTAATTTGAAACGGATAAAAAATTAAAGGCCCTGAGACGACATGGAGCCTTCTTTCCTCTATCTCTTATTCCAAAGGTAGAGAACTCAGTGCATGGCAGTCACGGATCAGCTGGAGCAATGAAACAGCGTGGATGTACATCCATCCACACCAATATAACGCCAATACATCTATCCATCGATATCAACGATAGCGGCATTATTATCAGCGTTGTCATCCAGAAGTCAATATCAATATCTATCTTTATCAGAAGCATTATCTTTGACTGAAGATTACATGCATCAATTTAAACTAAGCCTGTCCATGAATGTTACAAATGAATGAGAATCAGAAGTCAGTCTCTCCAGGGGATTTTTTAGTTTGTTTGGATCAAAATCATTCATCATCGTTATAATTTCTGGCTGTCGACAAAGATGGGAAAACCATGAAGCAGGATGTGACGATCGAGTAAAAAATAGATCAGTCTAACAAATTTCTCAGGCTGAAAAGAGGCATCTACGATCAGGATTTTTTTTTTTTTTTTTTTTTTTTTCAGCAGACAAGCTAATCTGGTTCACCTTCCTTGTCGCCTGTTTTTTTTATTTTTTTTATTTCGTCTTCTAGGACAACATGGTGAGATACGCTGCCACTCCAGCCAACAGCTCCAAGAGTAAGTCGAAAGGGAAAAAAACTATAGCAGGAGCGTAGTTCAACAATATTTTATCTTGTGATGAAATGAAAGAATAAAAGACTAGTTGATTAATACGCGGGAAAACAGTAGACGCAGAGGAAATAGAAGTCTAATCAATAATCTATCCAACTGAACAACACTTCCGTCCGAAAATCAACTTTCTGAAACATATAAATAGCTGCTATGTCTCGCGGCTCCTACCTCCGTGTTCATTTCAAGAACACACGTGAGGTTGCTGCTGCCATCTCTGGCATGAAGTTGAAGAAGGCCCTCACCTACCTCGAGGCCGTCAAGGATCACAAGCAGGTCATTCCTTTCCGCCGCTTCAACGGTGGTATTGGTCGTACTGCTCAGGCCAAGCATTTCGGTATGACCATGGGTCGCTGGCCCGTCAAGTCCGTTGAGTTTGTCACTGACTTGCTCAAGAACGCTGAGTCCAACGCTGAGGTAAACCATCAAATTGGACCCTATAGAAAACACTGGAAAACTGGAGTAATGTAACAGATTAGTAATCGGGATGAAGCGCAAATACAGTAGACAGTTAGCAACAGGAGCCACACAGGACTAAAACAAAATTTGCTAGTCCTTCGAGCAATGAAGTACTGATGTCGCATAAGGCAATGGCATTTTTGACCTAAAAAAAAAAAAAAAAACAAAAAAAGTTAACATTACCTTATATCCGGAATTTAATGCTCAGCATATGTGAAGGGCTTCATACAATCAGGAAAAAGAATCAGGAGAAGACGAGCCATTCATAACTACTTGTGAACAAAAGCGGAGGAAATGAACAGAGATATACGACAGCGCATATATCAACCATGGATCAATGTCGAAAACTATAATCACACTGGTTTCTGTATGATTTGTTGACCTGGAATGCCTTTTCTTTCTCCAACGGAACGATATACTTTGTAATATTGTTTTCTAGGTCAAGGGTTTGGATCAGGATGCTCTTGTCGTTAAGCACATTCAGGTCAACCAGGCTCCTCGCCAACGTCGCCGTACCTACCGTGCTCACGGTCGCATCAACCCTTACATGTCTTCCCCCTGCCATATTGAGATCATTGTTGCTGAGGAGAACGAGGCTGTTAAACGTGAAGTTGAGCCTAAGAAGTCCAAGCTTAACGCTCGTCAGCTCGCTGCCCGTGCTCGTCGTGCTTAAGTACATGTAATAAAACCAAAAACCATCATCGTCCCTCTGATCTCTTGGTTTTTTTTCTCCCTCGCCTTCATTCCATCAATAGCCATATAAAATCAAGGAATACAGAGATCTTTCTTGTAAACAAACAAAAAAAATCATATACCTTTGTCACCTGTTCGAGTTACTTTGTATCATTTTTAAATTGGTCTGTGTAAATTATATGGTATTGTACATTTATTTGAAAAGTGCTTACATGTCCACCATCATATCAGAATTTTGCGTTTCATCATCAAGATGCGGAAATCGTGATCGGGTCTGGAAATTCTGCGACTGTAAATGTTCTTGGGCTTGCTTTTCCACTAGATTTAGCGTAATACGACTCAAGAAAGCAGGGATACTGCCCAATTGATTGACCCAATATTCAAACGTCTCTTTATGTTCTTCCATGAACTTTTCACTCCCTGAGCCTGCAAACTGCATGGTTCCCTCGTCATTAATACCCGAAGTGAAGACGAACGACTGCTGGTTCCCAATGCTATAAACAGAGATCAGCTCGACACGACCGTTGTCCAGAAAATTGACCTTGTAACCTAGTAGAGATCTCATAGCCTCCAAGAACTCATCCGCCTTCAATGTCCAGGACTAAGGGAATGGAGCAACAACAGCAATAATAATAATAATAATAATAATAAAACCTTTTTAGCAAATGCAACGTGATGAACCAAAATACTTGAACATGGCAGGTGCATAAACTCACCTCCTTCAGACGTTTTGAACGCTTGTCCTTTTCTGCCATTTCTTCCAATAAGCGCTCGTGGTCATCCTTGAGGCGGTTGTAACTTGCAGCGGGGATTAATCCTTCATCAGGGATGGTCACGTCTTGGTTTTGCTCTACATGGAATCCAGCCTGCTGTTGCTGTTGCTGTTGCTGTTGCTGTTGCTGGAACTCTGCCACGACCTTTAAAAGTGCTGCATTCTCTTCCCGCAAGGAATCCAGCATATGCTGCCGGACAGCTTGGTATCTTGACGCAGGACTATCTTTAATTTCCAGGATACGGGATGTTACAGGATTGAAAGCTCCAGCTCCAATGGCCATCTCAAGCTCTAACACCTTCGAATCCAAGGAAGAGTTCTCCTTGCGTAACATCTCCATTTCTTGCTCCAGTCGTAATTTGGCTAGTAGACCCCAGAAAAGAAATCTCATTTTTGTTAAGTTGTTGAATGATGCTGAATATTTTGATTCAGATTGCCCCAGATCCATTCAACATTTACCTTCAAACAAGGTTTGTTTCTCCTTGCTCAATTGACTAAATGCTATAGAGTCGCTGTTCTGAATCGCTCGCAATAACTGAAGGCTAGCTGATGGTTGTTCAGGCTCATCATTGCTGTTCGAAGACATGATAGCCCTATCCAATTTTTCGTGATATTCCTGAACAAGTTTCTCAAGTTCTTGAATCCTTGCATTCTTTTGGTTATCGTATGATCCACCCATAAGCTGAGCTTCTTCTGTATCATATGATTTCTACAAATATTATCATCACAATTAGTTAATGTTTAGTAGTAGAATCATTGATTCTGTATACTAAGTAAAAAGCCACGCTCCACAATATGCACAGCGTAGAAATGCTTACCAACTGCTCTCTTAGACTTTCCACTTGGCGGAGAGCCAGATTCTTGCTTCTCTCATGTTGTCTTGCCAATGAGCTCTGTTTCCTGCAAGCCTCCTCTTGATCGACTAGGGCCTTCTTTAAATTTTCGACTTGTGATTCCAACTCTTTAATATAAGTGTCACGATATTTAACAGTAGCCTCAAGTTCGCCTTTTATCTCGATTAACGCCGCCTTCTCGCCACGGAGGCTGGCAACAGTCTTTGTAAGATCGTATGGTGAGTTGAAATCCGTGGCGTCCGGCTTTTCCAGGAATGCAGTCCTATATACACATCATCGTGAGAATGACATTCAATATTAGGGTAAAATAGAAGTACAAATGATTGTCATTTTCTCTCGTCCATAGCTGTGCTTCTCCATGACATATACCATTGCTGTTTCTCCTTGATAAGGACCTCGTTCTTAACCTCTAGCATACCACATTTGACGCGAAGATCATCAAGCATCTTGAGTTTTTGCTCGAGCCCTGTCTTTTCTTCTTTTAATACCTCCACGTTCCTGTACATCTCTTTGAAGTGTTTGCAATCTGCTGTCAACTGCCTATTAGTGCTTTCAAGCTGCTTGATATAAGCCACTTGGTTTTTAAGCTCCCTTTCTATACGAGCCATATCCTCTAGTCCTTGCTCATTGAGTTTCAGCTGTCTATTTTGATCCTCCAGCTCCATGATCTTATCCAAGGCTTCTGCTAATTGCTTGTGCTTCTCTGCCAACAGAGCACTATGAGAGTTGCTGTTGTCCTGGGTCTCTGCTAGAGTCTGTTGTTGATGTGCTAATGATGAGGTCAGTGACCGCACCTTGTGTGAGAGCTCACTTTCTGTCGCACGACTTTGCTCTCGAAGTTGTGCAAACCGTTCTTTAAGATCCATGTTTTCCTCCCGAAGACTCCTTATAATTTCATTCGATGAGTTCTTTAAAGAGTGAACAATTGGGATTTATTAGCTTAGCTTATCTCACACGACGTTGAAAACCTGGAATTGACAAGTGGAATTCGCGATGGCTTTTTACCTTGGACTCTATGTCTGCCTCCTTCGAGGCTTGTAGCTGCTGAGTCAGACTCTTCTCTTGTTCGTACAGGAATCGACGTTGGCTTTCTAATGAGTCTATTCTAGCCATCAGCTTCTTGTTCAAGATTTCTGACTCTCGTAATGATTTCTGCAAGTTAATGATCGTTCGCTCTGAGTCCGTTCTCGTAACTGATAGTTCATACTGTGTATCTTTTAGTTTCTTCCTAGTCTGCTCATAATCTAATTTCCGCGAGAGAAGTTGTTTTCACTTAGTCACTGCGATAAAAAATATAAAATCCTTCGCTCCTATTTGATCTATAAGAGTGCTTATTTATGTACCGTCAGGCTCATTCCCGCGTACTCGCGTCCTATATTGCGATATGTCATTTTCCTGATCTAATGCTGATATTGAAGGTCTTCCTGAAGGCGACGACACGCGTCCTATGAGGCTCTAAGCGACGATTATAAAATTTAAGGAAGAGCAAAACTCGTTTAGAGTCTCATATGCCCCTCATTCCTATAATAGTCACTGAACGGGGGTGACAATTGAGTATGGAGTATCATACCATAACTGGTGAAGTGGCTCCGGGGCCTAGCCCAGACTGCTGGGTCAATGCAGGTGTAAAGGTTCGCTGAGGTGATCCCGGGTTGACGAAAGTACCCACTGCGACCCCTGTCTTTTTTTGAGCAAAAGGTACCCTGACTTCCTGTCTATTATTAGAGTCTGCCTGACTTTCTGAAGATCCATTCATGAAGCGTCGAATTGAGTCCTGATCTTCATTGGACTGACTCATGCTTGCTTATATTGATACCGATGGACCGATGGTAATGGTTGAGGTTGAAAATGAAAAGGAATAAGCTTTTTACTCAATGTCGTGACTGTGGCCAAAAAGGCAGAGTGAGTGCCCTTAAGTAAATCGAGTAAACAAAAAGCTCGGGGAGACTTGCCTTGGTCCAACCAGAAGCTTGAACAACAGCAACCCTTTATTGTGCTAATCCTCTAAGTCATTACAAGCTCTGTTACTCCACCACTCGCTGCTTCACCATGTCCTCTATTGCAAAGGAAATCCTTACAAAGTCAAGCAATGCCTTGCCTCTCATCTCAAGGGCTACACAACCTAAGAACCTATACAGAGCACTGAAGGTCATGGATGGCAACGGAATTGGAGAGACTGTTGTAAGTGTTGCCTCCCACCACTTTTCACAGCAAACGATATCAACACGACAAGCAACATGAAAGGCAAATGGGGTATGATAGTACGGGGGCTGATTGAGAAAGGATATAGTTGGAAACCTATTGACCCAGGAAGTTCTCAGTAATTGTACAGGGCCTACCATCATAACTTGATCTATCGAATGGATTGTCATCAATTACTTCTTCAGGAACGCATATGTTGATCTTGTTATCACGGGAAACATAAGGCTTGCCCTGTATCCTATTACACTATGGATGGAAGATATCTGTAATGCTAAGAAAAAAAGATCTAAATATTTGTACACGGCAGAATGTTCACTCTCTTTTTTTTTTTTTTTTTTTTTTTTTTTATTACACTCATAAACTACATAGACAACAACAAAACTGCTCAAAAAAGGATTCACAGATTGCTACTACAAGGTCACCTCACTTGAGCTCCGTGGGCCTGAATTGAACCACGGAAAAGCTTATGGCGTTGAAGTCTGGAAGGGCAAGGTCTTGAACGACGGTAAACCTGTTGAGATTCGTGGAGGTTTGAAGTGGAACTGGGTTAAATACACACCAACAAGTGAGCATGTGTCAACAAAAGCTGTGGCATGAAGCTGGGCGTCATTAGGTGGACATAGACTGGATAAAGATTGTCTTCTTTTCTCAATATAATCATTGTATTAAAACCCACGTATTACAAGAACTATGGGATATATTTATTACGGTAATATTTGGTTATGATTGTAAAATAAGAATTAACGAAGGAAGAACCTCTATTCGTGGGGCTGCCTCTAATAATAATAAACAAAGATGGCATGTCTAGATAAATTTGAAGATGATTTTTAGCGGTGGTAGCGACTTCAGAACTTTTCCATTTCTTAATAGTTGTAATGAGATGTCATATCATTGAGGACGGTGTTGAGAAGATCAGCGCCCTTCATTACTGCATTTCCAAGCGCAGCAAAGTCTGCGCTGAGCTGGTCAACTTCTTCCTCCTGCGGTTCAGACTCGTCACGACCAAAGTATTGGTTACTACTGATAGAAGTGGCTCCTGAGAATGCTTGAAGTCGGCTTGCTGCTTCTGCCTGCGCCTTTGAGTCATAGTTGTTACGGCCAAAGAATTGATCGGACGAAATGGCCTTCTGATTACCGAACTTCTCGCGGGCAGTTGTAGCCTCGACTATAAAGAAGAAGAAAAAACCAAGTTAGGTCAAAAATGTTTAAACCGAAAACTATACTATACCTATATAAAAATATGGTCATGACAGTCTTACCATGCGATGACGAATAGCTGGTCGATGGTCGATTTGAGGGTACAGCGCCAAAACCCATACGGCCCATACCCATTCCGAGACGGGCCAATCCTTCTTGATCTCCCTTTGCTGCCTCACCAGCGGTGTTGGCTTGATAATAGTTGACAAGAGTAGATTGGGGCTGCTTCTTTGCATTCGCTGCATCAGCAGCTCGCTGGGCAGCTCTCTCAGCTGCTGCCAGCTTTTCTAGTCTCTCCTGCTCAGCAGCCTCTGCTCCCAAAGCAGCAATCCTTTCAGCTTCAGCTTTAGCTCTATTCTCAGCCTCCTCAAAACTTCCACCATTGACTTTCTTGACGCCCAACTTCATAGGCTTGGAAGCACCAACGGTTGTCTTCTTGGGAGTCAAGGTCGAACGTTGGGGACGTACCAAACTTGTGCGAGGGGTTGATACGGTGGAAGAAGTACCTAAGCCGACGACAGGTGGAGGAGTAGAGGAGGATGTAGGAGTTGATGTTCCTGACGAAGACTTTGTTGGCTGATTCCATGTGTTAAAGAAGTCGTCATCGTCGGCGGCAGCAGAAGCAGAAACTACTGCAGTCTTGACTGTCTCTTTAGCCTCTGGAATCAGGCGGCCTGGATTACTGTGAACGAAATCAAACAATTAAAGTTGAGAGTCATGGTCATGCAGGACAACCGTTAGAGGCTTAAACAAAATCTCTGAGAGTAAACAGCCCAATTATAGGCTAGAATTTTTGGAAGTAAAAATAGCACATACCTGATCGCATCCTCAGTCTTGCGCTGTTCAAGCTTTTCCTTGTATGCAATGGCGATCTTGGAAGTATACTTTGTTTTTGCATCCTTGCTGCTGCCAAGAAGCGATTTGTTGAAAAACTCATGCAGAGCAGCATTACCGCCAACTTTCATTGTACGAAGCTGATCCCATGTCCAGGAATCAAGCAATGATGATCTACAAAATGGATAAAATCATAGAAAAGTAAATATATATGCCCATTATACACAGATTTAAAACGCATAGACTAAGAGATCATAGAATAAGGATTTAGGGATCTATTACCTGACAAAGGAGATATGAACACCAAGGTTGCGATGGACAGAGCTGCAATCAAAGCAAAGAAAAATACCAAAAGGGATGCTGCACCAGTCAGGATTCTTTGCGTTACAGTCAGCGCACATCTATTGAGAATAGAATGGTGGTAATAATACAAAATCCAATCTAACAATTAATTGATGCTCCGAAAAACAGAGGTATTTTGCCATTCATGGAAACGGAGTGCTGTGTTTCTTTGGCTTTTGCAGTGATTTCGGCCTGTCTCCACTGTAAAATTGATAGCTATAGTCCAAGAAGTCTCTAGCGTTTAGATCCCTCAAGAGAAGTCTTTCTGATTCCTGTAATGTCGGACGACATCTGGTCCTGAATATGCAAGGTATAAATGAGTCATCGGATGGCATGACATTGACTTGCCTTATTGGCGTGCTGTGACTTGAGGCGCTTGAAGAAATCCTGTGTTTCCTGCTTTGTAGGTTCAGGGGCTGTCATGGTTGGTATATGTGAAAGACTGATTGAAGATGTGTTGTTCGATAATGAATGGAGAGAAGATGAGAAGGAGATGAACGAGATGAAAGCAGAAGGATGAATGCGAGATAGAACTCAGTATGCATCACGTGAAGTAATAATAATGCTGGTGGTATGGGTGTATTGGATCGAATCTGGGTTGCTTTTCTGTCTTTGGAAGCTGAGAGCCATTTCGGATTACTGGAAGAACTGAAAGCAGGGGAGAATGACACGATAGGAACCTTCTCTGTACAAATTTGTTTACAGTGAATTAGTCGAATGTGAAATTTTTCGCTTATGCAATTGAGAATAGGATCTGTTCAATCTAAAAAAAAAAAAAAAGATCGGTAATCTTGTATCCCACAGAACCTCACTGGGAAAAAAGATAGAAATGCATGTATCCTCACTTTTTGTCATGTGTACCTGTGTACCCGTGTGCCATGGTTGTTGCAAGTATAAAAGGGCCAGCAAACTGCGGTGCTGTTTTGCTCCTCCTCTGCTCTTGAAGACAATTTTTTTTCTGTATCGTTTTTTTTCCCTCATTTCTCGCTGCTGCTGATTTTCTGTTCTCCTCAACTCTAGCAGATACACTTATAAAAAGTACAACAGGAGTCTACTCTAGTAGACAATCGTTCATTTTTGTTATTTGTTGGAGTTGAGCGAACATCCATAAGGAAACAGTCAGTAGCTTGAGAAATACCCTGAAGAGAAAAAAAGCGGCACTTAAGGAATTCCTGAAAGAGTCAGGGCAACAACTATCATCTTCATTCACGTATACCTTAACGATCCCTCTCCCTTTTTTCCTCCTTCCCATCTTTCCCTATCCAATCTCCACTGTCACCCGCCTCTTGGAACCAATCAGTCGTGCCCTGAATTTGTTTACAATTTTTCAAGAGAGACAAGGGCACGCTCCTATTTGCATCAATATGGCACAGCAGTTTCAGGATGTTCAATTGGACGACGTAGTCAAAAAGGTTCGTATCCGAGAAGGTGGCGATGGTCGCTCCTATGTCCTTGTGGAAGATATTCGTGATGCATTCCTCTACTTTGGTGACAAGTTTGAGCTCCATGGAAAGCCTGTTCCTTTCCTTGAGAATGGGTTTCATGAGAGGTAGGTTAACGATGCATAATACACCCATGTTTTCTGGTGGGTTGATCATATGTTTAATTGCCAACAAACCGCCTAACTCTACATAATATCCAAATCCTAATTTAAACACAACATCTTAGACTCTATCCAGAGAGGATCGCGTCGTATCCGACTGAAGTCCTGACGGTCGTGCCAGTTCTCCCTGCGCCCTCAGAGCCATCATCCGCAGCTCTGTCTTCGTCTCTACAGATTACTGCTGTTCATCCACCATTATCGTCTTGCAGCATCCCCCCGTTCTTGAGCTCTGATGTAGCAAGACAAGAGTCTCTCCATACGCTTTTGGACTCACAGACTAAAAAGTTGATGAACGTGCTTGATACCATGCAGGCTCAAGTCGACAGGCTTGAACGCAATGCCCAAATATCGGAAGGCAAATTGGCTGAAATCTTGGCTGCTCAAAAGAACATTGCTGAAACCCAGGACAAGCTGATGGTCAAGATGGATACCATGATCGCAAATACAGAGGCGCTCTTGACGCAAACCTATGAGCTGCATGAGTACACGCTCCCTCGGTTATTCATTGTTCTTCCTGAGGTTGCTTACCATGGGATCAATCCGGCTCAGATCCTTAGTAAATATGCGGCTGTCAAGTTTCGACTCTATTTCCTTTGTGAATGTGGAACTCATACGAATCCCACAGGGCCCCATCATATGAACCATATTCATACTGCACGACACGAAGGATATGAGATTAAGCATCCCACAGCGTTCTTTCAGAAGTACGGGCCCCATGCCCTGCGCCTACTGCATGCGCTTAAGCTTGGCCTCAATCTCGCCAACGGGGTTATTCCGGCATTATCCACTATCAATTTGATAGACCTGCCCGCACAGCTAGGGAAAGATCTAGAATCCAGAGTGTCGGCCAGTATCCAATATTTAACAGCTTACCAGCGCACGATGGACCCTAGCTTGTCCGGTATGACTCGCACTGATCGTTCTACCACTTGTCAATCTCGTGCTGCACCTGCATCCTCAAGCATGATGGGGGAGTTGGAATGCCCTCCGAGCCCTTTAGATGCTATTGTTGAAGTCGAGGGTGCGGACCTTCGCCGATTGAATGCGTATTTGGAAAAAAAGGATCAGGATCGTGCTCTTGGCAATTTATTCAGGACAGTGGATGCGAGAGGCCATGTGAAGTGGATATGTCTGGATCACTTTCGCTCGACCTACCACCAAAGACGGGATCGTGAGTTTGAGAACGAGATTTTAATGCACCGTGGCCAGTATGATAGACGTCTCGGCATTGTCACAGTGGTCTTGCCTTCTTCTGAAGCCATCACCAGATTTATGGATGCTATGACTCAAGCTGGGTCCTTTAATGAACTCGATGTTCAACTGCGCAGTTATGGCTGCCAAGACCTCAAAATCCTTGGTGATTCACTTAGTAAGACAAATGTCTCGAAACTGATCCTTACTGCTCATCAATACAAAGGAATTTCGTCCCTATGCAAGAAGAAACTGCCGCCAGTTCTTGAAATAATGGCAGCCGGAAAGGTTCGCTATTTTGAGTTTAAGGATATCAAGGATCTTATCCCTCCTCGCGGAGTCCAAATCCCTAAGACTATGTCAGGTGTTCGCTCCCTGGAACTAACTGGCATCTCCGTCAAGGAAGGCCATGAGGTGCTTGGTGAGATGCTTCAAGCCTTCAAACATCTGGCTGTTTTCCACTTGGAGGAGACAAAGCTGAAGGAGACCCGACTAAAATCTGTGCTTAATGGCCTCTCATCGTGCCAGGATCTACAAGTACTGTCCTTCCGCAACTGCGAGATCCAGAGCGAAAGCGCTGAAACCATTGCAGAGTTCCTCAAGACCTGCTTGACACTTAAGGAGCTAGACCTAAGTCAGAATGAGTTCGATGATGTTGGCTGTTGTGAAATCATTCAGGCAGTTGGTAGCCAACTTACAAAGCTCTTGCTCAATGACACGGGTTTTGGTGACGAAGCAGCTATGGCATTGGAGCGTGTCGTTAGCGGAAAATTACTGAAGATCCTTGATATTTCTGACTCTTCAAATAAGCTGGGGCCAGATGCGACAGAGTGCATCATTCGGCTAGGGGGTCGTCTCCATTGCGTCGAATTAGCGTTTCCAAGGATCCAGTCATCTGCTGACGAAGTCTGTGCAAGGATCGTGCAAGCTCTGGATGCAAGTAAACTGGAGCGGCTTGTGATAGAAGGAAACGATTGTGGTGACCATACTGCAGCGGCTCTAGCGCAGATGCTCTCTGATCCTGCTCGCCCTTGTGCTGCTCTCACCACCTTCAAAATTAACCTCCCAAAAGTCACTCATGCTGGAGCTATAGTGTTGGCAACTGCTCTTCCTCAAGGCTGCCAGACGGTCAAGATCTCATTGCGTAGTCCACACCTGTTCCTGGAAGATATGCCTAAGACGACGGCTGTCAAGTCCCTATTTACGGCCGTCTGCGCTCGGGTGACTTATCTGACCCTCAGCCAAGTTGAGATGAGCGATGATGAAGCACTGCTGCTCTGTGATGCTATTCAATCCACGGACATCCTCTGTCGACTGGAATACCTAGATATCTCGAGGAACAGGATGACGCCGGCTGGTGCGGCCATGGTACTTGGAACTCCATCATAATTGTACTCTGAAAACATTGCGTATCGAGAGTTCATCTTTTGAAGTTCTTGGGTCCATGGGCTCTGCCGTTCAACGATTTTTAATGACAAACCGGACTCTGTGTCGCCTTTCAATTTCACATACGAACCTCCGTGAGCTAACCGAGGGGTTGATCTGTAACGGTAATACGCTTTTGGGAATTGAAGCTCAACATGTTGATGGCAAAATCGATGATGTTTTTGCATTTGTTGGCTTCCTCAAATCGGATCGTAATAAGTTGTTGCGGCTTGTAATCACATAAGCACGTATCTGCGATGATGATCGCTCACTCGAGCATCTCAGCCAAGCTTTAAAGCAGAACCGGTCGCTCTTGGACCTAGAGTGGGATTACGATAAAGATATTAAAGGCGATAGCCATATTCTGCAGCGCTATCTAGATCGGAACCGCGATCTCTGGCGCAACAGCTTCGATGCAAAGGAAGGAGATCTTGTCCTGGCAGGAATTGATTCCTGGACTGCGCGTGCTATCAGTCGAGGTATCGAATGACTTTGATCAAGGCAAAAAAAAAAAAAAAAAAAAAAAAAAAAAAAAAAAAAAAAAGAAAAAGAAAGAGATGAGCTATTGTTATGAAAATAAAACAAAACAAAATGAAATGAAATAAAGTAAAGTATTATACCGTAGAATAATAGAAAAAATTGCGGTTTGTAATAATATGTACATGTCTAGGTATGAGTGTTTATTATTCTACTTTTCTACTCAAGGTCGCCTAGAACCTCTTTGCTCTCCAGTCCATCATAGCCTCAATATCTTCGTCATCGTCACTTTCATCGTCATCACTTGTCATTCTGCGGTCACCTTCAGCTGCTGCACTCATCTTGGCAAACTCTTGTGCTGCCAGCCGCTCCTTCTCTTTCCTTGCCTTTTCTTGCTCCCTTACAAGATCCAAAATCGACTTCTTCTTTTTCTTTACTGGCTTCTTTGTTCCAGTAGAAGTAGCTATTGACGACGCTTTTGATTCTGATGGTGAGGGTGCTGACTGCATTGCCAATAAACGGTTTTTCTTTTCGCGCAATGCATCCAATCTTTCTTGCATCTCCACAAAAAGCTGATATTCCTCTTCTGATCGGGCTAGAATACTTTCTTCTAGCTCTTGTTCCTCTAGCTCAACCTTCTCTTCGTATGGAATATGTTCACTTGAGGTCTGTGGGCCCTGCGTTGCTGTTGATGCCACTGATACCACTGCCTGTCCTGAACGTAATGCTGCCTCCTGCTCTTCCAGTTCTTCCATATCTTGAGCCAGCGCTGCCTGCAGTGCTTTAAATTCCTCATCAGCTTGACGCTGTTGCTGATTAGCTGTCGCCCCTCCAATGTCTACTCGAGCTCTAGCATCCTCCTCAGGATCATCGAAAAACCCAGCTGGTAATACTCCATCCATAGGTTCAGCTTCTTGGACACCGTTCTCTTCATCATTCTTTCCTTCTACAGCTGTATTTGCACTTGATGAATCAAAAAATCCAGCTGGTAAACCTGCCATAGCATCTTCCTCTTCCTCAATGTCAGTAGCTGCCTGTCTATGAGCTTCTTCTACAGTATTATGGTCAATCTTAACGCGCTTTGATTCTGACGCAGCAGGAACAGAAGACTTGGTCACCGATGCCTCATTCTTTTCATCCTCGCTTTCACTTTCGCTATCGTCGTCTACATACGCGACAAGGCCTCCGGGTGCTTTCCGCTTGACGCCTTGTTGTGCCTGCCCTTGTGCTTTTTGCTGTTCTTGTTGTAACCGAAGTCTTTCTGCCGCCTCAGCTTCTTTCTTTTGCACCTGCTCCTTGACAGCCCTTAGTTTTGCAACCGCCTCCTGATGAGATTTAGAGACCAAATGAGCATTCCAGAGACTGTCTGATTTAATGGACACAGCTGGGCCACAAATGGCACATGTGAGACGAAAAGTCTTTGGATCATATTTTGCAAGAGGATGGGTGACTCGTTTGGCGGATGATGAGGACGATGCGAGAGATGGTGAGGTAGAGCCTGCTCCTGCTGTTGTAATCTTGGCGGCCTTTTGGGCTGCAAATAGGCGACGAACGTCTTTTGACATGGCTGTGACCAAAGGTAAAAAATAAATAGTGTCAAGTCAAAGAACAGATTGATCAGATTTTTACATGCGATTAGCACGCAGGGTGGTTGCATCAATTAATCGATTATAGTCACGTGGCTATAACTCGATCAGTGAACAAAAAAGGGGTGCATTGTTGTTTTATTGTTGGGACCCTCGTTTTCTTTTCATTTTTAAAAAAAGGAGGAAGAGATATTTAGATCCTTTGACTAGATTCCATTGGTTCAGGAAGAAAAAACTAGAATCATACTACTATAACCCTGTTATAAAGAGAAACAGAAGGTGGCCTCCTTTCTACTTTCCATAACAGAAGGTTTAATAAATATCGCCGCTAAAATAGAAGATTTGAATGATTGTCTATGCCTCTTTGTTTCGCCTCCTTTGAAAACTGATTTATCGTTTCAGAAAACTGCTGTGTTGCTTGTGGGCATGGTCCGGACTAAGAGCAATGTCACACAAGTCCAATTGCCCACAAAGTGTTTATAGCACCGAGTGTCGCTGTTTTGGGCACAACATTTGCTTCTCTTCTCTCTTTAACTGTGCCTCTTCACTTTCTTTCTCTTCTTTTTTTCTCTTCCATTCTTTTTCAGGCACCTCGCTCCTATTTGTTCCCTATCCCAATTTTGAACCCATCACTGTACCTTTTTTTTGTAAATTTTTTTTCTTTTGTTGATACCCAATATCGAGCCATGACTTCCACCAATCGACCTATCCAATCGTTTCAGGCATACTATGAACATCCTAATTTGACGCCTGTGAATGACACTATTATACCCCTACAACCTCGTCATGACAAAAAAAATAATCAGCTTATCATCCTTTGGAGGGATATCCAAAATGTTTTTGAGAATGCCAAGTATATCAGAGATGATGATGCTGTGATTTCCTTCGAAATCGACGACAATTTTGAAGAGTAAGATCTCAACAGCAACAGCAACAATAAAAAGAAAAAAATCTTTTAACAAAACGGTTTATTATCAACCCTTAAGCGAAAAAAAAAAAAAAAAAAAAATACATTACACTTAAACTGACCAACAGCGCTTCTGGAAACCGATGTTTGTTTATGACCTTAGGATTAAACCAGAGAGGATTCTCTATCAACCAGGTATAATTCTCAAGGTCATTGTGAGTGGTCAGCCTGCCTATCAGGATAGCAATGCAGCCACAATTGCTTTAGAGAGCGAGGCCAGTATATCCGAAGCGACTATCAATGCTCTCGACATCACAGAGTTGAGCCTTGTCCCTCATTCAAGTGGCCCCAGTCCACAAGGACAAGTAACTGGGATTACCATGCATAAAGTGTACCAATCCTTTGTCACCCAACAAGAGTTTATCAAGGGTACCATGCAGGAAGTTTGTGCTCAGCAGAGAGAAATAATTCAGTTGCAAACGCAAATTGGTCAAAAAGTGGATGATACCAACCAGATAACGCGAATGACATTTGACCTTGTGGCCGATATTCGAAACAGTGTTCAGGCTGTTTTTACTCAGACATATGAATTACATGAGTATCCGATCCCTCGTCTGTTCATTGTACTACCCACTGCGTCTCGCTTCCGTGACAAGTTTGGCAAACCTTTTTCCCATCAATTTCGTCTTTACTTTTTATGCGAGTGTGGTCAACACACCATGCGAGAAGGGAGCATGCTCCAGCATAATATCCACCTAGCCAAACACGAAGGATATGAACTAGATCAACCAACCGAGTTCTTTGAAAAGTATGGCCCCTATCTCCTCACGATGATGAGGATGGTCAAGTTCGGGTTCACGGCTGCTGGGATTTTTGTGCCACCATTAGCACAGCTAAAGATAGGGGAGGGGATCGAGTACATTCACGCCGGTGTTGACATCGCTAAGAACACGATTGGCTCTCTTGTTGATGAGACTATTATCTATATTGAGAACAAGAATACGATGGCAGAAAACGGGGTTGACATGGCAGAAGATCAGACGGAATTAGATAGCTTGGAAGTGCTCGAAGGAGCGGATTTGCGACAACTCGAATCTTATCTTAAAATGCAAGACCAAAGCCGCACGCTTGGCAACCTCTATCGAACAGTTACTGAGCAGGGACATGTAAAATGGGTATGCATTGATCACTACCGCGAGAACTATCGTGAAGCCGTAATGGAGCGTGTTAAAGAACTTGTTGAAGTGCTTGGTGGCGAATTCTTTCCAGAAGAGAGCAGAATCAAGATCAATATTCCCACCAAAACTCAGGCGAAGCTATTTTACGACGCTATAGTAAAAGCCCGTGGCATACAAGAATTGGAGGTTTCTCTCGGATGGGATGCAACAATGGCAGATCTTCGCAAATTTACGGAGACATTATCCAAGGCCAATATTGTTTCGCTGATTATGGATGGAAGTAGATTTTATGGACCACCGCTGGATCTGGCAAACTACGGTCGCCGCTATAATCCTATTTTGGAACTGATGTCTAATGGAAGGATACGCTCGATGACCATCAAGAATTTCGAGGACTTTTTTCAACATATCAGCAACTCTGCGTTAACTATGGTGACTCAAATTAAGTACCTTTCAATAAGTGTCGGATCAATTTTCATTGGCGATGGCTGGCCTATTCTGAAAAGGCTACTAGGGCAGTGTCCAGCGCTCGTTGAATTGGTGCTTGACGGATTTTACGTTAACGTAGGCATAACCCTCGATGGCCTGCTGGGCGATGGTAAAAACGTCAAACTCAAAAATCTTAAGATGCTGAGGCTAGAGCAGGATTCTTGCCAGATTACGGCTGAGTATTCACATGGTCAGATCAAGAGCATGGCAATGAGGGTCGATGACCTCCGTGTAGTCATCAGAGATTACCCCAGTTATCTAAAAGATCAACTTACAATGATAGAGTTCTGGAACCCAGTTAAAACAACGGACTATGAACACCTAGCTAACATTCTGGAGGCCAATCCGAAGCTATTTCAGATCCAGATCGGCTATGGCTCTGAAGCTGGCCCTATGATCATGATGATTGCGTCAAAAAGGCAGGAACTTCTAGAAGCAGGAAGACCATGTGCATTACGCGAGGTTTTATTCCCACATTTCGATGAAAACGTCAAGGATAACCTCTATGACAAAATGATATCAGTAGAATTCCCTGATGCTAAGGACCCATTCAACATGTCCGTCAGTATCGACATGCGGAATTTTACGACGAAGGGCTTTTCAACCCATCTGTCTGGGCTTTTTGATCTGCTTGGCCCATATATTACGTCATTAAAAGCAGACTCGACCCTTGACGACACACTTGCCGCTATTTTGGACTCCAAGAGCGAGCAAGAAGGCTCAAGCCTGACGTGGTTGAGTTGCGATCTCGAGTCGTTAACATCCGCCGGTATAGAGGCCATGATTCGTTTCATTAATCGTTCAGCAGATCTCACCTATTTCGGCGTTAATTCGAGGAACTTGGATGATGAAAATGAACGGAGCTTAGTACAGGAATTGATTAGCCAGCATGGATCACGGATTAATGCCGCCATTCTAGCGGGAAACCCGATGGAGATGTGGATATCAGATATCGCAAGAGCATGCCCAACGAGACACTACCTATCACAAATGGAGACTTTTGGTTTAACCTATAAGGATGATTTCCCATCTGACTATGTCCAGTGGCTATGTACCATGTTTTCCGCGCCCAAACAAGCACAGCTGACGTTGGCATCTTCACCCGCCGAACATGAGCTTAAATCGTCAAGCGGGGTAACACCTTCGATGACATGGCGGCCTCTTATAAGGATATCACTCCTTGAGATGAAATTCCAAAGCGAAGAATGGCAAACCATAATGAAGGCAATTGATTTTGCATGTATGGAATTTCTGAACTTCGGGATGACCAACTTTTCTCTGGAGGAATTCTCGATACTAGTCGACTGCATTCTCGCGTGTGATATTTTGACGATCCCTCTACGCCTTCTTGACCTTCGCGAAACTCAATTGACTCTATGTACAGATATTTTGAGGATCCAAGAACAGTTCTCGAGACTAAAGGCAAAAGCGATGCATCTCAGGGTAGAAGGGCTTCCAAAGCTGGACTGAGTACATGTTAGACTTCTATATATTTCAGCCCAATAACATAAACTATCATCAAATTCTTAATATGTCAGCACAGCATCATGCTTTCAAAGTTTTTGACTAGATATAAATACTGTTTAATCGCTTATAGGTATTTTATTAGTATGATTGTTTTATTATGATGAGATGAGTAATAGATAATATATATAGTATGAAAAATTGTACAAAGTGGAGATCAATCATCACAATCATTCACCTAGACAGCCGCGACTGTACCCATTGGAATAGTGGTGTGCTGAGGTTTCTGACTGCGACCAAAGCCAAAACCTTTAGATGTTGTGGTTGTATTACTTTGACTTGCAACTGCTGGGACTGCAAGATTGGCCACTGCAGCTGCAGCTGCTGCTTGTTGGGCAGCTTGCTTTGCAGCACGCTCATAAATAAATTCCTCGAATAGCTTTGCATTTTTGTCATTTGCTTTAAACAAAAAGTCTCCGATGTCGCCAAGGACAGGAACCAAACCAAGCTTTGGAATAATATCGATAATAAGAAAAAGACAGTTAGACGGTGAACCCACACATTGTGCTATTCCGGTCTATCTATCATTAAAAATTAATATTAGATTGCTTACCCCAAAATCAATAGCCACATTGAGAAGCATCCTTTGCGTGAGAGATTTGGGAATATCAGCTTCTTGTGCGGTGTGAATCAAGCGGAGGGCCAGGAACATGGTGATTGCATCGCCTGCAACTGGGACTAGACCTACAATGATGCGCCAAAAAGCAATGGAATAGGTGAGGATATTGGACTATAACACGTTTATAGCGCTAAGAACGATACATTTGCAGAGAAGTATATGAAATTTACCAAGGATAGGATCAATTCCAATTTTCGCAACACCAAGATCCAATCCAGTGTCTAGTACTTTGGCTCTTCTCTTGACCTTGGCGAGAACATCAGAATCCCTTTGCGACAGCATGATATTTTTCTTATCATCGGCCTTGAAAAATTTTTTGATCCTTGAACCAATAGATACTTGGTTGGTATCTTGATTGGGCGGTACTGTTACAACAAATTCCTGTGGCCGTTGCTGTTGCTGTTGCTGTTGCTGTTGCTGTTGCTGTTGTTTAGGCATTATGATGAAAGTCGAAGAAGCCTGTTGGGATTGGTGAAAATTCGTAAGAAATAGAGAGAGAAGAAAGAAGAGATGAAGGAAGACCAACTGCTTAAAGAAAATCGGGAAGGGTGGGAGGAAAGGAAGAAAAGAGAGCGAGAGCGAAAACGAAAAGAAAAAGAAAAAAAAAAAAAAGGTGATTCAACCAGCAACAAGGGGGAGAGTTTGAGAGAGAGAGAGCCTGAGAGAGAGGCGGGAAAAATGAAAACGTTTGGGTTGTCTTCTAATAATTTACATAATATATATATCCGACTGCATTAAATAAAGTAACGGCCAGTGCAGACTCAAAACAACATTGAGGAATCGTCTAAGGGTCATTAGCTCATTACGTCAAGGTGACCATCGGACAGAAAAGAGAAGCTAGTAAGCGCAATGAATTTTTTTTTTACTGCTAATCTATTGGTGTTTGTTATGAGGAAGATGATTTTGTTTCCATGGAGCATCACACGTTCATCTGTCATCTCATTCTTCTTTAGACCTTTCCATAAAATAAGAATTTGGACTTTTGGGGGACTCTTTAAAATAGCTTCTTATTTTGGTATATTATGCCTATATGCCTTCGATCATTCGTTCTTTCTCAGGGGTGACAAGCTGGTTCCAGATTCATTATCGAATCAATTTCTTTCAAAGACATGTGCTGGATTTAGGCCTGTCTTGGCATTTTCTATCTACATATCCTACTGCGAAAGTTGAAAAACGTTACCATGTCTATTTCATTCTTCTCTAGAAATTCACTAAATTATATAATTCTATTTTAACAACCTGCAAGTGTCCGAAGCAGCGCGGCATTGGCTACACCTGTCTCATCCACCATCTTGGAAAATGCCGAGTCTGGGTCACTCAACAACTTGAGTGGAGTGTCGTACTCGGCTACGTGTCCATGATCCATCACCAAAATGCTAGTTTGCAAAAGACAAATGATTGGATTACTTTAATATTATCTTGTTTCTTTACCGGACATTTATCATGCCGTGTATGCGCGTTGCATGCATGTCATGCATGCAATACTGCAGCCAAATGTCCTCTCATCACATAAATCATCACTTATGAAACACATACCGGTGATAATCTACGACCGTATTTAGTCTGTGTGCTATCGTAATAACGGTTGAATCCGCAAAGCCCACACGGAGGGCTTTTTGAATCAGACTATCTGTCGCCAGATCAACGCTTGCCGTTGCTGTAAACAAAAAAAAAAAATTGTAATTAGCCCCCCTGTGTGTTACAAATCCTCAAACAAAATGTTTGAAACTTAACATTTGGGTTTGGTGGCGAGGGCTGTAAGGACAAAAAATGCAATAAATTTTTTTTTTATTTCTTTACCTTCATCAAGGACAACAATCTTGGACTTCGCAAGTAACGCCCTCGACAGGCAGATGAGCTGTCGCTGCCCTACGCTCAAGTTCTCTCCATTCACTGCAATCATACTATCCAATCCCGCCTCCTGCTGTTGCACATATGCTTTCATATCACTGGTCTCAAGCACTCGCCACAGCTCTTGCTCTGTGTGCCTTGAGAGTGGGTCTAGATTATAACGGATCGTCCCCTGGAAGAGGACTGGGTCCTGAGGAATGATAGAAATCCTAGAGCGAAGATCCGCGGTTCCAATAGTTTGAGTTTCGATCCCATCAATGATGACACTACCAGACTCCCATTCAACCAACCTAAACAAGACTTGGATCAAGGTTGATTTGCCAGCGCCAGTCCTGCCAACGACCCCAACCATATGTCCCGGTTGAATATCAAACGAGACTTTTTCAAGTGCAAATGGAAGACCTTCACGATATCTCATCGACACATCTCTGAATGAGATATGTCCTTGACTAGGCCATGAAGATGCTGGTTTGCGATCAGGGATTTCAGCTGGCGGCTCTTGTTCCAGTGTCTCTGAATAATATAATAGCCTTTCAACCGAGTTCATATTGCCTTCCACATTTGCAAAGCAATGAATCGCCCAATTCATCTCAGATGACAATCTTGCTAAATAGCTCAGAATCATGCCCGCAATCGCTGGCGCAATACTGGCGCGAGTCCAAACAATCAAGGCCACAGCCAGAAAGTTTAACATGTGGCCAGCAGTGAAGGTGCGAAAACCAATCCAACGTCCACCTAACGCCCAATGGTAACTGGCCTTGTTATATCTGTCTACGTTATGCTGATTGCGGGTAATTGCCTTTTCGATTCCATGATGATGATATGCCTTGAGTGTTCCCATGCCAGAGAGTGTCTCTGAAAAGTATGCAAACATATGAGAACGAAGAATAGATTCGACGCGCTTGAGTTCTCGACTAGTTTTTTGGTAGTAGACAGCTGCCATGTAATAAATGATCAACAGCACGATCATCCCTGGTAACATCCATGGCAGGAAAACCGCTGACAATATTAATACGCTTATGATGCCTGTCAAGGCAATTAGGTACGAGTTGATAACTCCCATCAAGCTCGAGTCAATCGTACTGATATCTTTACTAAACCTGTTTGATAATAAGGCAATCGAAATTTAAGTCATCGCTGAAGTTGCTGCCAATCTATTCCACATTCGTCAAGTTATAGTCACTTGTAGATGATTTACCTGTTGAGAATACGGCCCAAAGGCGTTGTATCAAAAAATGAAAGGGGCACATGCAACACCCTGATAAAGGCCTTATCATGAAGTATCTTTGAGGCTTTAATGACTGCGGCGACCAAAATGATCGAGCCCACCATTACAATCAACAGTTGGACAACCCCAGCACCCAGATATATATTGATGTATGTCCACATGGACAAGTGAAGTGTATCTTCACTCCAATAGCTCAGCCACACACTCATGCTATAATCAAAGTCAAAAACCATAAGAGTCCGACCAACATCAGTGCATCGATCTACAGTAAGTTAACTCTCCTGCAATGCTGTCTGGCAAAAGAGATTCGTTAACGGGATAACACTTACCCAACGCCAGCTGCTTGTTGAAGTGACATTAAAAGTAATACCATGGTCCAGCTGCTGATGCCCCCGAGACGGAAGTAACTGAGATAGACCTGATTAGAGACAGCTCCTAGCTCTCTTTCTTCCTCTGTCATCAGGCTCTGAGTAACGATAGGCTCCTCTGTTTCTGATCCAGGCTCTGAAAGAACGGTTATTTCGTCGTCACTGTCTGCAGCTGCTGTCTGCGTTTCACCAGCGGAGGATCTACGCTTTCTATCAAGCCGAGGCTGCCTAGTCAAACCCTCCATATCCTTTTCCTCGCTTTGGTCGTGGTTATGGTGCCCTCCATGATGCTTCATCAGTGTATATAGTTCACCTTGCTTATTTGCCATAAGATCTTGATATAAACCCTGTTCTGCAATACGGCCCTGTTTCATACAGATCACATAGTCCACGTCAGGAAGGATATGCAGCTGATGTGTAGCAATAATTCTTGTCTTTGTGTGTAACTCCTGTAAGACGCAATCTTCCCAAAGCCTCTTGCCCACGTGTGCATCAACGGCAGAGAGCGGATCGTCCATGATGACTACATCTGCATTGTAATACACACTTCGGGCTAATGAAAGGCGAGCCTTTTGGCCACCAGAGAGATTGACACCGCGCTCGCCAATCTCAGTCTGGTCTCCAAAGGGCATGTTCGACAGATCTTTCTCCAACAAGCAGGCTTCGATAACTCTCCAGTAACGTTCGTTCTCGAACGGCGTGTCAAACAGAATGTTGTTACGAATAGTCGCGTTCTGGATCCAGGGTGCCTGAGAGGCATAGCTGACAGTGGCTCCACGAATGACCTGGCCTTGGCCTTGGCACTTGTTCATGTTTCCAACAATAGCTTGCAGCAATGAGGATTTACCGCTACCTACACGGCCTACAATAGCAACAAGAGAGCCACGGGGTATTTTAAGGTTGATATCCTGCAGAAGTGGCTTCGCTTCTCCTTGGCTTGTTCGACCTTGCTCCTGGTCTTGTCCATGCTCCTGGCTTTCATTCTGGACTGACAGCAATGGCTGCCGATCTTCCGTGATGCCTTCACTGGGGGAACCATTGCTGCTTTCAGATGTGGATATCCCTGTAGTGAAGATTTGATCCCAATAAAAACTGGCATTCAGGATGCTAACCGCGTATTCGTGTGTAGGGTCAACAGGAGGTAGAGGCTGCATATCGGAAGTAAGAAGAAATTTCTCGATACGCTTTATACTAATCCATGCATCAGTTGCAAGGCCGTAGCTGTATGGAAGGACTAGCAACGGGACTCGTAGACCAGTGAACAGCGTCAATGCGGGGAACACAATCTTGGCCTCAAGCTTGTTACCAAGAGCTGCATATAGCACGAATGACAGTGCAGATGCAAACACTGGTAATGACTAAAACAAGCAGATAAATCATTAGTAGATATACCAGGCTTCTCGAAATGAATAAAGTCTTTGACACTGACATTCACTCAAAGGACTTACAGACGAAGTGCTATAGATAAACCCACGAACTTGCATCAGCCAAGAAAGACATTCAAGTTCTTTTACTCGGATATCAGACAGCTCCTTCAGGAAACTTTGGAATAAATGTGACCAAAAAAAAAACAGTTAATAGTTGATGATCAATATAATTAATATAACCCAAGCGGACTAAATAACAATGACATAGTCCGACTTTATACCTTGGCTCGAACGTGAAGTATTTGATGACTTTGATGCCCTGTAAAATCTCCGTGACGACACGGATTCTAATGTCCGTTAATTTGATCGCCTTCTCGCGAAGTGGATTCAGAGCCGCCATAACCCACGCCTGCAATGGATTCGATATTATCAACAGAATTGTACCCAATAATGCTGAGAGTCCCATCAAATATGTTAACATGATCACAGTGATCAGAACACCCAACGGAACAAACAGCAATAATGGCAGGCTTTCAAAACAGTTCTCAACCCTTGAAGCATCTGTAGACATCAAGTTAAAAATGGTCCCATCAGGGTACTCCACCCGGGCCTTTGAAGACATTGTCGTCGATTTACGAAAGATCATATCAACAAGGGCTGTGCGGAGTAAAATCCCCGATCTATCCGCATCTCGAACCCAGATTTGGCTAAGGATCGTTTGCAGCATACATGTGGCTAGTAGAGCGATACCAAGGCCATAACCATACCATGCAGGTGGAGGAGATTTTTGGTTGCCTTGTGTATCTTCCAAAAATACGATGATCTGTATCATTCATACACAGAAATGAGCATTACTTTTTTTTTTTTTTTTTTTTTTTTTTCCCGCCTACTAAAGTAGAAATGTGACAGCTCCCAAAGACAAAAAAAAAAAAAAAAAAAAAAAAAAAAATTGATTTTGACTTACCCATAAAACAATGAAAGGAACGAGTCTTGAAATGTTATCTTTTTAACAAATGACATTTGATTCACTGTTAGTGATCTAACAAACTATGATTCGTCTGCTTGAGGCGGTATATAATCGTAGAGCCTTTTTATATTAACATTTGTCATACCAGCAACGAACAGCGCCAATTGAGCCAGTCCATATTCTGGCAAAATGTAGACAGCCGAAGCTCTCAACAACGATGGTTCCCGTCCTGTACTCCTGGCCTTTCGAAGTTCTTCCTCCCAACATGTACGGAGACCAGAGCCCAAGATCTCAGTCGTGTAGTGTGGCAGCATCTCAAACACATCTTCCTCCTGAAGTGGACGCTGAGCACCAATTTTGAAGAGTGAGGTCATCCATGACATAGTAATCTTGGAATACATGGAAGCTGAACCTTCAGGACTAGGAGGACTGATCTTTTTCACATGCTGTGCTGGTGCTAATGCTGTGGATCCCGTGCTGCCATAGTCAGCATTATTTGTCTCATTACTGCTCATACCATTGGTATTACCTCTGCTAGAACCGCTAAATGACCCTTCTGTGGAGGCCAGTAGCGGCTGGGTGGATGACGAAGATTGAACCATTGGTCAATCAATATTTGATCTGTTCTTTCCACAGAGTGCTCCTGATTTTTCTTCTGTTCTACTTTTGTTGGTGATCACTGAGCAATGAAGTGAGGAGAATGAAATGAACAAAGAATTCAAAAAAGCAATGAATGTGTTTGCCTATTTTATCCTTTTTTTTTTCCCAGGAAGTGTGTTACACATGTTGATTGCAGCATTCAATTATTATCGTGACAGGAAACAAGAGCATCACAAATGATTCATCTTTTGTTTATTTATTATGACTGGCAATGACTACATACAATGATAAAGAATAAAGGATATATCGAACTTCTCGTAGACGACAACAGTACATGAACAGGTACCGAGCGTGAGTAAAGGTCCATTTTGCTCTCTGCCGTGAAAAAAAAATAACCAATGATGGGAAACACTGGCCATTAGAGTATCGGCATGGTAATTTTTTTTTTTAAAAAAAAAAAAAAAAAAAAAAAACTTTCTTTGGTTGTCTTGTCATTCTCCCATCGTAGGAGCAACAGTTAGACTTTCTTTTTGAGAAAATAGGGATTTTGTTTGGAACAAACAACGATTTTATTTCTATATTTTTTTTACCTTACCGAACTTTGTCTCTTGGTCTACCGAGACTTACCTAGATACAATATATCAAAAAAGAATATAATGTTAGTAAAAACTATAAAGTCCTTCCATTTTTCGTCATGAACAAATCCTCCTCGAAGAACGGAAAAGTTTAGGTATTCATAAACAGTCTGAAGACCTCCTAGTGAGATTCAATCCGTTTGAAGGTGCGGAAATACATACCTTTATAAACCACATATATCGCTTTAGAAATTAATAAATCTTGAATTAAGCCTATAAAACATCAACAAAATCCTTGTGGTTAGTCATAAGGTATCACAGATCGTGAAAGACAAGTGTATGCAGAAATGTGAGGCATCAGAGATCAAAAAAGTTGTCTTCAATAATTATGCAGATGAAACACGGATGATCAATAAGACATCATTTAGCCTTCAATTATATATAGACTGATGTATATGAGGACATACCAAAGACTAGATGGGATAGGTCCAGTAATAGCGATCCGACTGGTGACAGCTAGAAACTAAAAAGCATATAAAGACAGTAAGGACTATGTTAATCGATGCATCAACAGTGTAATGATTTATAAAATTGTCCGATGTATAAAGGCAACGTCAATGGTTCAGAATATTATTTTGGTAAAGGGTTATCCACCATGGTCTCATGTCGGAAGCAGAACTGAAAAAAGTTGTGTCATCATTTTGTAGTGACTATTGCCCACGATTGAAGGTCATCTTTAGGAACTGTCAAGACTCGAATACTTACATTTCAATCTATCAAGGGGCATGGGAGCAAGCCAGTAAAGGTGTCTTGATCATTGCTGGCAACACTGTTAAGGATAAAGGAAGATTTAAAAAAGTGTTAGGACTGTATCTTCATTTCTTCATTCCAGAAAAGATCGATCGATCTGTTTATGGACGTATCATTAAAATCAGAATAATATTTTGGTAAAGGGTTATCCACCATGGTCTCAGGTCGGAAGCAGAACTGAAAAAAGTGTGTCATCACTTTAAGATAACGTATACAAGACAATCGATGAACATGGCATTCTCAACTTACAGACTTCCTGCAGGTTGCTCGAATGTGATGATGGTTCGATGTAAACCAATTCATATCAATAATCTAGGATCAGCAATAATGATAATGAAAGAAAAAGTTAAAATCTAATTTCTCAATGGGTCAATTGATCCGCACACTTGACAGAGTGGCTTAAGGATTGATGAATCGTCAGATGGTAGTGCATGTTTCATTTGCTCAGGTGCTCGCTAGGAAACGGTATGGAGATATCCTCATTCGATTCAAAAAAAAGTGTCCACAGAATTAAATTTTGTATTAAAAGATTCTTACCTGGCAAAAAAAAAAAAAAAAAAAAAAAATCCTGTCCATTTAAAATGATCTGATCCTAAATCAATTTAGGATTCTTCACGCGATCTATAAACGATTCAAGTCAACAGTAAAAAAGAAATCTATTCGTTAGATTATCAACCTTTTCAATTCCTTTTTTAATTATTTTACGAGTTGAGATCCGATCTGATCACACTCTGATGAAATGAGATCAGAAACGAGGAATTCCATTTGGTTTACGAAAAATCCACATGATATATTCGGGGTATCATTTTACGTACAACTTTTTCATCAGGAAAGATATTTATCAGAGTGAGCAGATGGATAGAGTATAGAGTAGCTCCATAACAAAAACTTACCACATCGGAAATAAAGCAATGAATGCATAGGGAAAAAGAGAAAAGAATCAAAAATAAAAAATAAAAAAATTTATCAACGGCAGTGGACTGTGTTATGATTTTTTTTTGTTTCGACACATTTGCGATCCAGCTCGTACCAATGCGTCGTGCTCTCCACAACCTGCATTTGTAATAAACAAATTGGTATTTCATACAAGTAAGCACTCCACAAAGTCAGGCCAATGGACTGATGTGTATTACCGTTCAACATCTGACTTTTTCTTTCTATTATTACCGTAAGGCGCGCGCCTTGCTCGTTCTTTTGCTATTGGATAAAGACAACTTCATTAATAGGATTACAAATGGACGTGACCAAAGGAAGCCATGATAAAGATGACACCGCTGACAACGGAAAAATAAAATGCTTTTGATTAGTGCATTGTTTTTGGTTCGAACTACCCCTGGTTTTGTAACAGCAAACAATAACATCAACACACAGACAGATGATGTGCCTTGTGACTCGGAGGAGCATTCTTCATTATTGTAATGTGGAGATCCATCAGAAAAGAGCTGGATGCACTGACTTTGTTGCATTGCATTGCATTATATTGGGAGATACTTTGTTTTAACTATAAGAAAATAAACCACTGTGTGGTGCGGTCAGTACCTTCCAGAGAAAAAAAAAAAAAAAAAAAAAAGAAGGGGCCTTTTGCCTGAGCATGCTCTCCTGACCCTATTTCCAGGAGTCAAGCACCATCAACTGGTTGTTGTTGTTGTTCTTGTTTTTATTATCATGATGATGGATTGCTGTTGGACTTGATGAATGACCTTGCTGATTGAAATATAGGGGTATCAAGGAGAAAAGAAAAATAAATAAATAATATGCGTTCGGCATGCAGATGCAAGTGTGCATGTGTGCAGTTTAGAGTCTATGAGTCTATTTCAACCTCTTGAAGACGTAAGGCTCAATTTGGTTTATTATCATGCTATTTCACGGAATGATTGGAAACAGGCTAATGGCGGGATTTATGTTGAATGGCTGTGTACGACTCTAGCAGTATAAGACGCATAACATGAACATACAGACAGGCACACACGCCCAGGGACAAAGTTGGTCATGTCCCTGATGATTGACCCCCTTTCTACAAAGTTTTTTTTTTTCTTTTTCCCCTAGTATAAAGAGGACAGCGGTATCGCCAATCCAGTTGGAGATCAGCAATCCAAGTTCACTTCTCTTTGTACCTCTTTCTTCTCTTCGCTCTAATAATCACACAGTCTTTCTTCAAAAGCCATTTTCCCGCGTAAAAATCATAAACACTTCCTTCGAAATCAACCTTATTGAAACGACTCTGCTTTGTATCTCTAAAAAAGAAACGAACTCGTCCACCTCCACACAACCCTTACACTTTTTTTTGTCTTCCAGTAAATTAATAAAAAAAGACAGTCATGACTAAAGAGGAAACTGCAACAACTCAGGTCGAAGCGACCGAGGCTGCCGAGGCTACCGCCGTTGCCAAGTCTAATGCTTCTGCCACAAAGTCTGAAGAAGAGGAGGATATTGATATCGAGGGTGGATACCTTCAAAAGCGTGGCACGAACCCTCTGCATCCTTGGAACAAGCGTTTCTTTGCTTTTGGAACTGAGCCTGTCAGTCTCGATAACCTCAAGACTGTTCATAAGCGCAACGAACGTCGCGTCAAGAAGGTGCCTGCACCCGCACCAGCAGCCGAGGCTCCTTCAGAGGTCGCAGCAGGGAAGGCTCCTGTAAAGGAAGGCAAGGATGCTGAGGAGACGTCTAAAGATGTTGTCGCTGCCACCTCCACTCCCCCTCCAAAGACTGTCGAGGAAGTGTACGAAGAAGCAAACAGGGATCTTCTTGTCAATGTGGCCCAAGCCAACACAAAGGGAACAGGGCTGCTGTACTACCACAAATCAGATGATGAACTTCATCGTCAGAACATCCTCGGTATTATCAACTTGAGGGATGTCAACTCTGTCGAACGTGTTGAAAAGTCGAGCAAGAACCGATCATTTGTAGTCAGCACCAAGAACCGCGACTATCACTTCTCCGCAGAATCACCTCAAAAGGCAAAGGGGTGGGTCAAGGCCATCAAAGAAAAGGCGGACGAGGCCAAGTCAGAGCCAGATCCTTACGCCAGCCCTCAGTTCCAGGAGGTTTACAAGAAGTTGGGTAAGAGACACACATTTATCAAAGCTCGCATCAGACTGGTAAGAATACATGAAATATCTAAACTTTCTTTCTTTCTTTTTTTTTTTTATCACATCTAGTCACCAGAGAGGCATTTGAGCATGCCAAGAACTCTGCTGCCATTCTTTCAGATAATGAGATCAATTCGGACGGTGAGCCAGATGACATTGAGATTGAGAATGGCACTCCAATTGTCAAGAAGCGCAAGTCTTTCTTTGGTTTCTCTGCTGTTGCTACCAGCCACGAAAAGAAGAAGGCGGATGGCGTCACGAGTGAGTTGAAGACCGAGAAGAAGCAGGAGCTTACACATGTCCAGGAAGGCGAGGTTGACGCACTCAAGACTCACGAGTCCGAAAATGCAGTCTCCCATACCACAGATGCTGTTGCTGCTCCAGCTGAGCCTCCCAAGTCTCCCAAGGCCAAGAGCGGAGGATTCAAGCTTTTTGGAAAGAAGTCCCCTAAGACTGAAGAGCCACCAGCCGCCCCTGCTCCAGTTGAAAATCCCTTGGACGTAGACGAAGCTAAGGCCCAGGCGCTGAAGGCTGTGGATGATGCTGTGGAGGCCAGTAAGGCTAAGGCTGCTGAGGCAAAGGCCGACAAGCCCGCAACCCCACCAGCGCCCGAGAAGAAGCCAAGCTTCTTTGCTGGCCTCTTCCAAAAGAAGCCTGCTCCCCCACCTCCCGCACCTGTGGTCCCCACTGAAGAGACTGTTGTAGTGTCATCTGAGAAGAACTTGTCGGAAGTCGTCACTGCTGAGGGCGCAGTGACCTCGCAGTCTTCTGGAGGCTTTTTCTCGCGCGTGACCAAGAGTAAGGACAAGAACGAGGTCGAGGTCAAGTCTGGAGAAGTTTCAACCGAGGATGTCATCAACGCAGAAGGATCCACACATGTGGAACATGTCGAGGGCACTGACGCTAGCGTTGCCAAGAACGCCGACGGTGAACAGAAGGTGGATCTTTCTACAACTGACGAGACCATTACTACGGCTGATAAAACCGAGAAGATCGAGCGCAAGCCATCGCTTCTCAAGAGGTAAATATTATTTCAAGCGCTATTCAATGTCTTTTTCATCTGCCTGATCAAGACCCGCTTCTAACGCCTTTTATTATAATTATTTTTTAATTAAAAAATTGTAATAGGCTCAGTGGAGCAGTGCGAGCTACCATTACCACAGCTGCAGGTGCGGAGGAATCTGTTGCCGCCCCAACTGAGAAGACCGTTGAGGAAGAGACTGAAGCTGAGGCTGAGGCTGCACAGGAAGAAGCTGTTGAGGAAACTAAGGTGGCCGAGGCCGCCAAGCCCATCGAGGTCGCAGCTTAAGTTGTATGCCCTTCTATCATTCGCTTTGTATATTCTGAACATATCCCTATTTACTACCAACAGAAAAAGAGAAAGGAAAAGAAAAGAAAAGAAAGGAAAGACGAAGAAGAACAAAAAAAAAAAAAGAAAAGGAAAGATAGCTTCCTTGAGAGCCATTGGTTCTTCCTGGCAACAATGTAATGATGAAAAGAAAGAAAAAAAATGGTTGCGAAGGAAGACTAGATACCAAATTTACAATCAATGAATAAAATGTATATAATTTTTTTTTGTCCAATTGTGAATCGTGGTTCAGAGATTTTCTAGGCGTTTCGCGATCAAAAAGGAAAAATTGGATCAGAATGACTTGTATCGTTTTAAGACCTGTAAGTGACACAAACAGCCATATAAATGATAATGCGTTCCGCAGATGCAGGCTCGATTTTTCGATTCTTTTTTTTCTTTTGTATTTGCCAACAGAAAAGAAACATTCGCATTCCTCATTGCGGAACAGCAACATTTACATTCTGTTTGTCTGCTTTCTCTCTCCTCATACGCACACATACCTTTTAGAGAGTCCAAAAAGTTCTTTAATCGCAGTAGCTACCAATAGTTGGAATAAAAATTAAAAAGAATATAATCAAGGCGTCATGTTCACTATTACCGCACGCGCGAGGCCACAAGCGATTGCTCAAACCGCCGCCCGCGTAGGTGGATCACACCTACGCATCTCACAAAGAATGTTGTCCTCTTCTGCCACAGAAACAACCAGCAGACCTCTTTGCCTAAGATCACCTACAACAGGATTTCATATAAAGAATCCATCGTCATTACAACCTACAACCCGTCATGGCTTCTTGGCCACCTTGAATGCTGTTCGGTCGGCACGCCCTACTACGTCTATCCGTGGATCAGCCATTCGTTTTTATCAAACTGGTATGTCTTTATCTACTCTTGTAGAAATGTATATGGATATACTTATTGCAAATTGTGTGTTTGTTATATGTATATGGTGAATATGTTTGTGAGAATGAAAATGTATGGGGGTGTGATATTGTGATTCATTTGATTCGTGTATTGTCTGAGTACAGTTGAGCTGATCTAGAATATTCTCACGGGGATCTTCAATGAAAATCTGTAGGGCGAGGTGGTCCACAAGGGTTCAGGATTCAACCGACAGCAGAACAGACTGAGAAAGGAAAAGCTCTGGAATTATATGTAAGTACAAAGCTCCATTTAATTATGTGGCTTCAAAAAAAAAGTATCGTTACTGATTATTGATCTGATCACAACTTAAAAAAAAAATCTCTGTAATATAGGGAAATGACTTGACCAAACTAGCTGCAAGTGGAAAACTTGATCCAGTCATTGGACGTGAAGAAGAGATTCGTCGTACTATTCAAGGTATGTTGCTTTTGTATAATAACCGCGATCAGCGTCAACGATCCATTTTCATAATGTGTATTGAGTAATAACTCCATATGTTGTATAAAACTAACTTGACTCAATATATATCCTGGTCTATATTGATAATACCTAGTCTTGTCTCGTAGAACAAAGAATAACCCTGTCCTCATCGGAGAAGCTGGTGTGGGAAAGACTAGTATTGCAGAAGGTCTTGCTCAGCGTATTGTCAATGGAGAGGTCCCAGAATCAATCAAAGATAAAAAAGTCATCTCATTGGATCTAGGTGCTCTTGTTGCAGGAGCAAAATATAGGTAAGATTGACAGTTAGTATAAAACATAGTTGGTCACCTTTTTTTTTTTTTTTTTTTTTTTTTTTGAATGTACCGTTACTGAGTAAACCGTCGTTTCTATCTTATTAGGGGTGAATTTGAAGAGCGTTTGAAAGCTGTTCTAGCTGATGTGATGGATCAGGAAGGCAAGATCATCTTGTTCATCGATGAATTACATATGCTCCTAGGGCTTGGCAAGTCTGAAGGCGCCATGGACGCCGGAAATATGCTGAAGCCTGCTTTGGCCCGAGGCCAGCTGCACTGTTGTGGTGCAACGACAATTGATGAATACCGCAAGTACATCGAGAAAGATCCAGCATTGGCTCGTCGTTTCCAGTCTGTAATGGTAGAAGAACCTACTGTTGAGGACACGATTTCGATCCTGCGTGGACTCAAGGAACGTTATGAGGTTCACCACGGAGTCCGGATCGCTGACTCTGCACTCGTAGCAGCAGCAGTCCAGAGTCACCGATATATTACTAACCGGTTCTTACCGGACAAGGCCATTGACTTGGTAGACGAGGCTTGCTCCAAGCTTCGACTACAACAAGAAAGCAAACCAGATGTGATCGAGAGCCTGGATCGCAGTATTGTCACCATGGAAATTGAGTTGGAGAGTTTGAAGAAGGAAACTGATCCGCTCTCAGTTTCGAGACGCACCAAACTTGAAGAAGATCTAGAACTCAAGAAGAAAGAATCAGAACGGTTGACCAGTATCTGGCAAGAAGAGAGGTTAGTTTTGCTTTCCTTTGTCCATTGGCATACGATTTTTTTTTTCTTCTTCAATTGTAATAACCAATTGATTGTCCTAAACTATCCTATGATGACTAATAGAGAAAAGTTGAACAAGATCAAGAGCACCAAGGCTGAGTTGGAGCAAGCTCGCATTGATTTAGAGGCAGCTCAACGCAGGGGTGACTTCACAAGGGCTTCTGAACTTCGTTATGGAGTCATTCCGAAATTGGAGGCACAGCTTCCCAAAGAGGAAAGGGTCCCTGTCAACGGCTCAGAAAGCAGCATTGTTGCCATGGAGCAGGCTGAGAATGCAGATGAGAGACCGATGGGACCTTTGGGAACTCAGGAAGAAGTTGAGAGTTTGATTCATGAACGTGTTACAGCAGATGATATCTCACGCGTCGTTGCAAGAATGACAGGCATTCCTGTTCAGGTATGTAAAAAAAAAAAAAAAAAAAAAAAGCTTCGGTTCGCAGATTCACCCTTATTACACCGCCTTTACCTTTTCTTACATGTTCCTTCATCATTGACCGCTTCTCATATAGAACCTACTAAGAGGCGAAAAAGAACGTCTACTGGGAATGGAAAAGGCCCTTCACGAGCGGGTGGTGGGCCAGGATGAAGCTATTTCTGCCGTCTCCGAGGCCGTGCGTCTAAGCCGTGCTGGCCTCTCAAGCCCCACTCGTCCCATTGCATCATTCATGTTCCTTGGACCTACAGGTGTCGGAAAGGTAAGGAACCTTGTTAGCATGAATAGCTTTATTTTACGTCCTCGAACACTTGGATGTATATTGAAAAGCAATGTAAACGCCGACATTAACCCTTTCACTTCCATCTCTTTAACTATTGGGTTTCTTATATAGACCGAATTATGCAAGGCCATCGCCAAGTTCTTGTTTGATACAGAAAATGCAATTGTGCGCATTGACATGTCTGAGTACATGGAGAAATTCTCGACCTCTCGTTTGATTGGCGCTCCACCTGGTTATGTTGGTCACGAAGAGGGCGGAGAGCTGACAGAGGCGATCCGTCGTAAGCCATATTCTGTGATTCTACTGGATGAGATTGAGAAGGCTCACAAGGATGTCTTCAACTTGATGCTTCAGGTCTTGGACGATGGTCGTTTGACGGATTCACAGGGCCGTACCATTGATTTTAGGAACACGATCATCATCATGACTTCGAATCTGGGAGCAGAGATGTTAGCCATTGCTGAAGATGATGCCTCGGCTAGAACCCCTTCATCCGTCAGTAAACTAGCCAAACGCAAGGAGAAGAAGGATGAGAGCAAAGTCACGGATGCAGAGAAGGAAGGAGTTATGCAGGTGGTGAGACATCATTTCGCGCCCGAGTTCATTAATCGTGTCGATGATATGGTGGTCTTCAACCGTTTATCGCACAGTGCCATTCGTGACATTGTGGATGTTCGTCTACGCGAGGTTCAGGCTCGTTTGGAGGACCGACGTATCAAGATCAATGCAGATGCACAGGCTAAGGAATGGCTCGCTGACCGCGGATACAGTTCTGCGTATGGCGCTCGTCCATTGAACCGTGTTATCCAGAAACAACTACTCCAGCCTCTGGCCAAATTAATTATCGAGGGCAAGGTCAAAGTTGGAGAAGAGATTGGCATCACAGTCGAGAACGATAACTTGACAATTGTCACTCCTTCAGGCAAGAATTGGTAGTGTAAAAATTAATGGACATTAGCATAAACAGCATAGGCGGTAGATTTAGTAGCATTACACACATGTGTAGCATTAAATATTGTGTATAAAAAGTATTTCTTTCATTATCGGAAAAAGCTTTATTGAATGAACTTGTTCCTGTACGATACCGACGTTAGATTTACATCAGTATAATAAACCGTATGGTTACACTGTCATGTTGTACCGTTCTGGCTCATTGTGCTGGCGATCAGTTGGGATGCCACAGTCATTTTTTAAAGCGCGCATTTATAAACATTTTTTTTTTCTTTAATTCACTTTAATGAGTAAAAACAAATGGAAAGGCTATATAACAGGGTTTTGCATTTAATGCACACTATTTAAGAGGAGTACTGCTTCTCAAGGGCCTTGGCAATGGTCTGGAGCTGGATATTGCTGGTTCTATTATTATTGATAAAAAAAAGCGAGAGTCCATGTTAGTGTCCAAGATGAAATATATTCAAATATTAACTCCAAAGCAAAGGTTTACGAAAAAAATAAAAATAAAAATAAAAATAAAAAATAAAAAAGAAACGTACCCCTCATAGATGGCACCGATCTTGCAATCACGGTAGAATTTCTCAATAGGAAGTTCGCGAGTGAAACCGACTCCACCAGCCCATTCGACGCAGCGTGAAGCAGTGCGCTCAGCAACCTGAGAAGCATAGAGCTTAGCCATGGCAGCCTCCTTCACAAAGGACTTGCCCTGCTCCTTAAGACGAGCAGCATTATATGTCAAGAGACGAGCTGCCTCAATGTCCACAGCAATCTGAGCATACTGGTGCTGCATTCCTTGGAAGGAGCCGATGTAGCTGCCAAACTGCTTGCGTTGGAACAAATAGGGGAGAGTGGCATCGAAGGCACCTTGAGCAAGACCCAGCATCTGAGCAGCAATACCGATACGACCCTCGTTCAAGATCTCAATAGCGTATTTATAACCCTGGCCGATCTCTCCCAAGACGTTGCTAGCAGGAACACGGACGTCATCAAAGTTCAAGGTGCAAGTTGACGAAGCACGGATACCCAACTTGGACTCCTTCTTGGCGACCTTGACACCCATGCTCTTCTCGAGAACGAAGCAGGTGATGCCCTTGTAACCCTTCTCGGGAGCAACGTTGGCGAAAACCAAGAAGATCTCGGCTTCACCAGAGTTGGTGATCCACATCTTGGAGCCATTGATGATGTAGTCATTACCATCCTTGACAGCGCGGGTCTGGAGGGCGAATGCATCAGAACCAGAACCAGCCTCGGACAGGCAGAAGCATCCAACAGTATCGGTGGCAAGCTTGGGCAAGTAGCGCTGCTTGATATCCTCATTAGCGTATTTACGGAACAGGGTATTGACGAGAGTGTTCTAAGGATGCGGCGGTAAAAATTCTAGCCGTGTTAAAACTTTTTTTTTTTTTTTTTTTTTTTTTGCTTTCCAGTTCCAAGTCACGCCCACTAACTGAGTATCAAATGGAGATCCTCGAAAAGCATACCTGGACATCACAGATAACAGAGACGGAGGGATCAACCTTGGCAAGCTCCTCAATGGTCAAGATAGCAGACATGAACGAGGACTCGGAACCATCGTACTTGGCCTCAGTCTCAATACCCATCAACTATAAAATCAAAAATAGGAGAAAATCCGAATTATGTGTCAATAAAGCCGTGAGAATCTTTTTCTTTCCAATGAATAAAAAGGTCCACATACCCCCTGCTCAAACAAGCCCTTGAGGACATCCTTGTCTAACTTCTCAGCTTCGTCCATCTGAGCGACCTTAGGAAGGACCTGCTCCTGAGCAAAGCGAGCAACTGTAGGAATTGAACCAGACAACATTAGTGAGGGATTCCGCAGATATTAATATCCACGTCAAGTTATTAAAAAAAAAAAAAAAAAAAAAAAAAAACCGTTATATATGAACAGATTACACACATACCGGTATCACGCAAGAGCTGTTCATCCTCAGTGAAAGTGTGGAGAGAGGCAATGTTGGAGCGAGCAACAGCTGCCTGAGAGAAGAATCTAAAAAAGTATCCATGCCAAACGAAGAGTCAGTTCCTGAATTGCGTATTACTACAAATCCAATGACGGCAGGATCCAGTGTTCTCCTTTCGAAGTCAAGCGCGATAGGAATAAGTTTGGTAATATATATGAGCTGGACTAATCCTGACGACAATAAGATCCTGGCTCGAGGGTACTTCGAGCTGGGGTGTTAGCGTAAGGGTGAGAAAGCAGCTGTGTGTTTTACCTTGGGCGGACAGCGTTCAAGACTGCAGGCTTGGCGACAGCGGAAGCAAGACGAGGACGAATGGCAGAGAACATGGTTGATCAGATGAATGAGAAGAGTGGGGAGTGATGAGGAAATGGAGAAAGAGATGAAAGAAAAGAAATAAAAGAGTATAAAAGCAGGAAGAAAAATATCCCCGGTTCTTTCCTTTTGACTGTCTCATGCATATGTACATTTAGACTCGAATCATTAAACCCGGTGTGAGGAATCGCGTAAACCCAAATTGACTCGCTCAATGATGCAGAGGGAAATCCTCAGCCAGTCAGAAGAGAGCGCGATGAACCTGAACTTCTGACAAAAAAGTTTCCCCCGTGGACAAAACATCTAAAAACATCTTTGTGGAGGCAAGAGTGACAAGCTATTTTCCTTTCACGTGCTTTTAAATCTTCCATCTTCAGGTTCTTACAAGCACAACAATGACCATTGTACCCATGTACTGTGCATGTTGTACACGTAGATCATGTACATGTAGTCTAATTCACAGTAGCCCATGAATAAAGCTCTAAATATACAAATATCTATATTAATTACAGTTCATGGATAACAGGACTCTCTGTCCATATTCCTCAGCTTACGTGTGACAGAGGCCACAAAATGGCCACGCGGCTTCGGTTCTACTGCACAATGAGATCGCAGACTTCATTTGAAGGAATATGGATTGACGTTTTTCCTTTCTATCCCTTAGGCAGTAATGCGATATCTGTCTGCCTTATCTGTCTCTGCTGTGAATGTTGAATTGATGTCATTATTCCTTTTTGTCAATCTCCCTTTGAAGAGCATTCCCCACATTACAACAGCCAATCCCTTCTCCTCTTCTCATTTGCACAACCACAAGAATATGTAAACAAAAAAACAGTTCGGATCGAATCGTGTCCGTGGGTTACTTTATTTTTAAATGTTGGATGGACATGACAATAGCAAGCTGTTTTGACAAAATAAAAAACGAATTCTTTGTACAAAGTTTTTTACTGCTCATTGCTCTTAAGACGTAGTAGATGATCTGTTGGTGAATCAAAGAGGACAGTCCAGATTTATGAATGATTGTGTTGAACAAGCGATCCTCATCAAAGAGATCAAGCAAATAAACAGTTTTGATGAGCAGTGTATATAAGAAAATATCTACTATCGACTGCAGTAACATGAAAATCATTAAAGGTTGAAAGTTGGTTATAACGTCTTCCATGTCTTCCTGTTGGAGAAGCAAACGAATGACAAATGATCGGGAAGTAAAGGTGACTCAAGCGAGCAAATAAATAAAGAGACCTGTCTTGTCCCTGAAAAGATGGTCGGGCTACCTTCCTATTCTGTCCATTAGTCTTTTTTCTTTTTTTTTTTTTCCTTCTTTTCTCTTTCACTTTACTCATTCTTCTTTACATCCTTTGTTTCTCTTTTCATTCAACTCCCTTTTTCTCATTCAACAGGGAACACCATTGCGTCCTATTTTAGTATCGTCACAATATTCTATCACACTATATCGGCTGCATCTCTTGATGAAATTGACACTCAACTGCACTCTTCCTCACTCTTCAACCACATCACCATCTTCCTCAAGTAGGAACTAGGCTTCAAAACTATAATATATACATCCCTTTCATTTCCCCAATTTACTCTAAAGTCCTTAATCTACAATGAACACATTCACTACAAAAAGCACCCCGCTATTGGGCGGTTCCAATGATAATGACTCGTCCGCAGGCTCAAGGCCACCCTCATCCTTGTCGAAACATGGTGAGCGGATTGGTGCCAAGAGAGAACTGACTCAGCTCGAGAACTTTGCGATCTCTGCTTTGGCACCCTCCATAGCAGTCCTGTTCACCAATCCATTCGATACTGTCAAGGTCCGCCTTCAACTCCAGGGCGAATTTGTCAGGACAAGGGAACCTGGCAGGAACGGGAAAGAGATTATTCGAGTCTCAGAGAAGGTATATATATAAAAGGCCATTCAATACACCTTTATTTCTCTCTCTCTCCCTCTTCGTTTCATTTGTAAGTGCGAATGTCTCTGGAATGAACATGAGAGTGAATGAGTTCATCGGTAATAGAAGCATCTTGGAAAAGTTAGCCCAGTCCTAAAAAAAAAAACAATGCGCTGTTTTTTTACCCCGCACCCGAATCGGGCTACTTTTGGTTGTTTATTTTTGTTTTTACTTTTTTTTTTTTTTTTTTTTTTTTGCACCCGAGTGAGAAGACTATGAGCCGCATGCACATCACCACGCTACCCCTTCACCTTACTGACAAACCTGTGCATGCACCCATCTCCTAAACTATTACAGCCTTTTTCTTTTTATAACCAGCAAAGTGACACAACAACAAACTTGCAACACTGCCTTCTTCACCTTCGTCCTTGACTTGAACATCCTCTCTTTCACCTATTCTTTTCTCTTGCTGTTTCTGTGCGGGAGGTTTTTTTTCTATTTCACCCGCAGCGTGAAAGAACGATGGAGTACAAAAATAACTGCATCAAGGACAGTTGAAAGAATGAACCAACGAATGCAGCGGAGTCAGTTATTGTATACATTGGATATACACTATTTTGTTGGGGGATCGGAAGGACAAAAAAAAAATGGAGAGTTGTAGCCATCTTAATATTGTTACATACTATGGATTTGTGCACAGATTCGCGCGACCATTTAACCTAGACTGGTTATTATTTTTTTTTTTTCAGGAACAAAACCAAAGGACAAACTGAGAGATTTCACTTGTCTAATTTTGGCATATTCCGTCATTTCTTTCCTTTCATTTCTCTCACATTCGTATTTTGTGTATATTTGCAATATTGTAGGTCTACAAATCCTCATTGGATTGCCTTGTCAAGACATTCAGACATGAAGGCATCCGTGGTCTGCAAAAGGGTCTTTTCCCTGCCATCCTCAAAGAATCCTCCAAGAACATCTTCCGCCTTGGTCTTTATGACCCTATTTTGAACACGATGCATCCCCTCAGTTATCCTGGTGAGGCCAGCACCGCCCCTGCATGGAAACGTATGATTGCAGGAGCAACCTGTGGAGCTATGGGTGCCATTAGTGCCAATCCTTTTGAACTGATCAAAACTCGACTTCAATCGCATTCATCCAGTGGACTGGCTGTTGGAAACCAGTATGCCTACAAAGGCACGTTTTCGGCCCTTCGGACCATCATAGGCACAGATGGTGTGATGACACTTTATCGTGGTTCTATGATCTCAATTGCAAGATCTATGCTTGGCAGTGCAGCCAATTTGACAACATACTCATTGATCAAAGACCATGCCAGGAATAACTGGGATGCACAAGATGGTGTCATACTTGACATGATGAGCTCGCTTGCCAGTGCATTTGTCAGTGTTGTCGTCATGAACCCCATGGATGTCGTGTAAGTTTATGAAGAAAAGAAAAGAAAAAAAAAAAAAAAAAAAAGACAGGACGTCCCGTCTCGGCTTTTCTCAGTCACCGGGTCCAACCCAACTTATCAAATATCTTTTTCTTTATATTTCCTTTCATAGCCGCATCCGTCTTTATAACAGATCATCGCAATCAACATCGCAGAGCACGCTACAGTCCTGCCGCCATATTTTGACCACTGAAGGTCCTTTAGCTTTCTACAAGGGATTCTCAACGCATTTCATGCGTATTGGCCCACACTTCACGCTCACCTTTGTCTTTCTAGGCATGCTTAAGCGACAATTGATTGAAGGATCCACTGTCTCTTCCAAGACACCAATGAAATCATCCAACATTCTCCACCCGAAGGATGAGAGCCCTGCGGTCTCTTCGTCCTCACCGTCGTCCTCGACGCCATCCCTCACCGCTGGTGTAATCGCAAGACAAGAGCAAATTTAGAGACTCTTTTTGACTTTTTTTTTTTTTTTTTTTTTTTCCTTTCCTTGTACGACTTCAACAATTTCTTTTTTCTTTTTTTTTTTCCTTGTTTGTTTACTTACATTCTGCAATTTCTTCATATCTTTTTTTTATTATTATTATTTCTGCATCCACCACATCGCAATCGCAATGGTTGCCACCAGCTACCAGTCACCAGTCACCTTCCATCTTGCATTAATTCCTAAAGCCCATGTACTGTACTTTTCTTTGTCATTTCCTTCATAGAAAATGCACTATTACTTGCTCATCTACTTTTAAACACCCTCCCCTCTCCCCCTTCAATATGTCCTTTCCCTTTTTCTGCTTCAATTTGTCGCTTCTTTTTCCATCTTTTGGAGGAAAAAAAACCCCCCCGCCAACTCCTTCGACTCCTAAATACCTGTTGCTGTACTGATTTTCTGCTCTTCTAATTTAACTTATCGCCATAAATGATATCAAGAAAGAGAGAAAGAAACCTTTAAACACAAATACAAACAAATAAATGTATAATAAAATTATTAGAATATGACGCTCAGGCCAACAAAAAATGAGCATTGTAAAAAAATTGTGCTACCAGTCGCCCGCGCAATCAGTTAATCATACAGTGTCCTTTTCATCTTGAACAAGTTTATTAGAGTCTATTATGCATTGTTTTTATACAGTAGTTTAGATTATGCGTGCTTGAAATTTGATCCGCTATTAAACAAGTCCTTGCCCATCCAATATGGATAAGTAATCAGATTTACTCATGACCTTAGACTCCGCATAGCTCAATATGGAGAGAGGTATCTTCCTTCTTTTCCTTTTGTAGAATGGATGAGTTTCTCCTTCTGTTGTAAAATGCAACTCGCTCGCAACAGAGAAAACACAGAAAGTGACGACAAGATCGCGGACATCTTCGTGTGTGTGTGTGTGTGCGGGACCTGAGGATCATGCCTGTTTACATGATTTACTATGATGAAATAGTGTAAATTGTGAACAACTACTTCAGTGTTTATGGTTCTGGCAGCTATGTCCGGGTGATCCATGATGAAGTTTTTCGGATCCTGTCGATCCTACAGGTTTTTGTTGTTGCGGTTGTTGTTGGTGTTGTTGGTGTTGTTGTTGTGTGAGCCTGTCTCTATCCTTAGCCTCCTGTGCAGCTTTGCGTTCCCAACTCAGAGGTGGACCTTTCATGAATCGAGAAATCCTTGGCTTAGCGTTCTTATAAATGTCTACTGGGATAATTAGATTGGGATTCTTGGACAACTCTGTAAGGTGCTCTCTTTGGATCTAAAAAAGCATGACATAAAATGAGAAGACACGTTCCACTAGGATGACAAAAATAAAAAAAATAAAAAAAAAAAGACTAACCTCGAGGTTATCAACCTGGATTTCTGCAAGTTGGATCATATTCTCAATCTCCTGTGGATCCTTCTCTGCTTTATTGGATCTGAAATCTGCCTTGACTCGGGACATTACCAGTGCAGAGCGTGTTTCGGTTGGCATAGCCTTACCGATTTTCAAAAGCTTCCTGTACAATTGTAATACCCTCTTTGCTTGGGGCAAAACTCCTCCGTTATTGGTAACAGTAGCTCCAGACATTTTTTTTTTTTTTTTTTTTTTTTTTGAAAGGAGAATGGGAAATTTGTTCAAGTAATTCAGGGACGGAGATCAACTTTTTCTTTTTTTGGGCGGAAGCGAAGAGAAAAGAAAAAGCCACATCTTGTATTACACACCTTTGTTTGAGGATCACAACAACCTTTTTTTTGTTACTTGTTATCTCGCTACGCTACATCACCTTTTGCTAAACATTCCTAATCGCATCCATGGCCAAAGCAGCAGTAGAAAAGCCTGCAAAGCCTGATGTTGAGTCTGATTCGGACTCTAGTGACGATGAGGATTATGTTCCCGATGGCAAGTGCATGAACCAAATGAACAACAAAAGATGGAAGGGCTGTTTTTTTAACAATTGTTAAACCTTTGTCTTAAAAAACATACAGATAAAGCCGATATTCAGAGTGAAGGAGAAGATGACAGTGATGATACGGATGCGGAACAAAATGATGGCGCAGGATATGGCAAAGATATTGAAGATGCTTCAACTACCCGTTCAGGAAAGCGGCGTGCAAAGTCTTCTTCTTCTTTGAATGACGCAAATAAAAACAAGAGACCTCAACCAGAGGACACAATTAGTCAAGCAGAAGCACAGATTAAAAAGAGTCGACTAGACGCTCTCTGGGAAGAGATGAATGCTCCTGTATCAAAACCAGCCTCGCGCCCCGAACTTTTAATGGCAGCTACATCTGGATTTGGAGCAAAGACAGAAAATAAGCCACCATCGTCATCAGGCAAGATGGTTACCATCACAACGACATATGATTTTGCGGGAGAGACCGTAACAGTGACCAAAGATGTCCCTGAGGATTCTAAGGAAGCAAAGGAGTTTATGCAAAAGAACAAGACAGGGATGGAAACCACTCCGCAAGCCACATCTATAGACACAGAAGACACGACCACTGAATTATCATCGACCTCGACTTCAGTTATTGCGGATACAAATGAACCAACAGATTCGATACTCACAACAACTGTCAATCCTACAGCAGATATATCAGACTTATCAAACTCAACAACGACTGTAACAACGCCTTCATCATCATTATCACCAGCATCGCCGTCATCATCATTAACAACAACAACAACAACAGCAGTATCAGGTCCACGCGTAGTGACCCGTCCTTCAATTCTCGATACTCTGGCCAAGAAGGGACCTGTTCGGTATGTTCGCAAGAAATCCACATTGGATGAATTAGCTGCGACCTATGGTGTAAAGAAACCTCCAAAGATGAACACGTTAGAAAAATCCAAGCTGGACTGGAAGAATTTCGTGGGCAAGGAAGGCATTGAAGACGAACTAAAGCATCATAACAAGGATGGATATATGGAAAAAGTTGCCTTCTTGCAACGAACGGATGAGCGGCGAGATCAAGAATACCAAATGTTGAAGAAGAAGAAGTAGTTTGATAGAGTGATAGAATGCTGTCAACATGTACCAATATATATTTCTGTCTTTTTTTTTTTTTTTTTTTTTTTTACTCTCTGTTTTTGTTTCTTATTTCGCGGAATATCATTAGGAAAGGTCGATATGAAAAAAAAAAAAAAAAAAAAAAAAAAAAAAAAAAAAACTAATTGCTATAACTAAGTTTAGGGAGGCTCAGCACACATTCCTTGATCAGTTACATCAACCGTTGCGGAAAAATCAACGCTTCTGTGGCCGTGCTGTTCTCATTTTCCAACACTGTACCCTAATAGTTACAATACATCAGTAGCCGCCATTTGTTTTGCACACCTCGTTCTCGATTCTTCGCTGCGACATCCATCCATGCTCAGCACATATTTGCAGGGTTATTTTTGGAGTTTCGGAAAAATGGAATATCGGAACTTTCGATGCGGTCTGTTTATTTACTAGGACCTCTCTCTCTAATTCTGCAATGCGCAAGGAAGATGTTCGATTTTCGCTTCTGACAACAAAACATTGAGTGTTTCCTTTAATAGAACTCTTCAAACTTCACCTGGCGTTCTTAAGCTCCTCCCGACTTTTCTTTTTTTTTTTTTTTAGTTAATAAACATGGAAGGATTGAGAGATTGGAGTTTTGGATTTTGTGGAGAGAGGGTCACTGTCCTCTTCCTCTTCCTCATGTTCACACGATGACTATTTTGTTTGTCTTGTTTGCCTTGTTTGTACATCTAAGTTTTTTTTGTTTATTTTGTCCGGAAATGAAGAAGGCGTGCATTTGATATAGTAACTTCATATGAAGTCCTGTGGAAGGCGTTTACCCATGTTGATGTGTGCTCCTGTAAAGTTGTGCATTGATAGCTGGTTTTTTTTTTTTTTGTTACATACCATTACTGATTTTATTTATCAAACACCACTCCGACTGAGATGAATGCTCATAAATAATAGAATAGGTATAGAAAGCGTCATGACATGTGGACAAAAACTATGCAGAGCAATTGACTGGATTCCTTTTAAGATAAAGCTTTTTCTTTTTTATGATCACAGAGAGAGGTTTCTGTGTGGAAGTTGCTTGTTAAGACTAACAGAGACGAACGGACTGTTGATGTATGAATGCATATTTGTATACACACAAGAAAAGATTTTCTTTTTTTGTTGACCAGTCAGAGCCATTCAAGAGTCGAATGTCGTGGCAATAACAAAAAAGGGAGAGCACGCTCGGGGCGACGGAGGATAAACAAAGACAGAGACATGACTGGGCCTGGAACGGATTATTAAAACAATAAACAAAAACAATTAAATGCATACGCTCTTCTCATCCCTTTTCCTCCCTAAAACACCTTCATTCGATCATCTTTGACCAATCTGTATTGTCTGTCCTTTTTTTTTTTTTTTTTTTTTTTTTTTTTTCTTTAAAGCCCGAGAAATAAGAAAATATGCGAGAGGTAGAGTGGGATTGTGCTCAGAACAATGTGCATGTAATAATGGTTTAAGAAAACAGTGGCAAAATGATTGAAACCAACCCAAGAGCCGTAATTCGAACTGCGGTCAAAGAAAAAAACTCTAAAAGAAAGATTAAGCTCATTAGGTGTTTGAGCCGAGCATATTCACAATAAATTTTCTAGTGTTATTTAATCAATGAGCTAAATTAGAGTGGCAAATAAACAAAGATGTCGCCGAAAGAGAGAGAGATTGACCAGTGGCAGTGCAAAATACAAAAAAAAAAAAAATATAAAAAAGTAAAGTGCTGTATCGAGTCATAAAAACCGTTAATTGTGTATCTTTGATCTGTATCTGTATGGCGTAGTATATTAAGCAAGAGCGTAGTACCCTTCTACTCTTTAGTCTAAAAGTTGACTCTTTTTCTTTCCTTAACCTGGCTTAACTTTATAAAAGAAAGACGGCATTCATAACCAGATATCATGAGGAATAAATAAATGAATTGAAACGGAAATGTGGCCAAACGTACCACCCGAGTGTAGAGCAACCTTATTAGTCAGGTCGAAGTTTGCTGCAGAATTTGCCCTTGAACACAAAAATGCTTGCACAAGCTCAAGAAAGAGACAATGCGACGATGCCTAATGCACAAGAGTCGATACGATCATGAGAGTTTGGAGTGAGTGAATGGATGCGGGTGTACAAACTTTTTTATGCTTCATCATGTTTGCAAACGTGCCATTGTTAAATTTTTTTTTTTTTTGCTCTCTTTTTTTTCTTTTTTTGAACAATCGCACCATCTGTTCATCCTGCATGGTTGGATGGAACAGCACCAACAGCGGATGCGCATGGTTGTTGATATTTTTGTGATTGAATATTCTATTGAGAGCAATTTTTGTCATAACCTTCTGCAGAAACCACAGAGGACCGCCCAAGCTCGTTTGACACATTCTGCGCCGGCGCATATCTCGCCCCCACCTGGTCATTCATTTTAGATTTGTCTAGTCCCTTCGCATCCACTTTTGGTATTTAAGGTCCACGAATCGTGCTTATTTTTTTTCTTTTTTTCTTGTTCCGTCCTCTCTCTGTTTCTCTTACTCTACGCCGCTTCCTCCTTCTTGCATATATAACATTTTACTACAACCATGTCTGCCCCTCCACCAGAGCAACCCATCTACTACAGCCCTGCTCCAGCTGGCGGCGTAGTAAACCCTGATGGCACACAAGCACAATATCAGTATGTCACACCACAGCAACCTAGCACACCTTATCAACAGCCTGATACACCTTACCAACAGCCTGGCACACCTTACCAACAGCCTGGTACACCTTATCAGCAATACAGCCCACAGCCCGGTACAGCTGACGGCACAACATTGACACAACCTTTCTATGCAGCCCAGTCGCCTGTCCCTGCTCAGGCTTCCCAACCTGTCTATACCACAGCATCGCCTGTGCCTGGTACCGTATACGCTCAACCTGGTTATGAACAAAAGCCATTAGATGGGCAACAGCAGCAGGGAGTCTACTATGCACAACAGGCCCCTATCCAGCAGCAGCCACAGACATTTGTTGTCACAACTGAGACCACCACGGATTCGCCTGTCATCACTGGCGACGGAACCGGTTTGACTGGCAAGATGCCCCAACTGAAAGAGTGCTGTCTGTGCTTCCCCTTGCACACCGGAGCCTTGATTATTGCCGCAGTCATGACCATCTACTACGGATACTTGGGTATTAACCTGTTCTCCTGGGGAATTTTCGGTAAGGACTTTGTAACATTGTATTTTCAGTCATCTCTAAACTATATTGATTGCTACCTAAAGCTCAATATCTAAATCGTCTCTCTTTTAATCTCTTCTCTCTAGTCGGCGTCTACATTAGTTATATCATCTTTGGAGTCATTTATATCATGATTGCTGTCGTTTCGGGATACGGTTTCGTTGGTATTTACAAGGAGAACCCAGTTTTTGTCGATCGTTTCATCAAGATGTTCATCGTCTGCTCAATCATCTGGTTCGCACTGAATCTTCTTCAAATGATCATCCTTGTGGCTAATGGCTTTTACCTTAACTGGGCTTGGTGGATCGTCAACCTCCTCATCGCAGGATTGCTCCAATACTACTTCTGCGTCTGCCTTGTCTCATACCAGCGCGTGCTTCATGCCCGTGTGGGAGGTGGCCAGAAAATCTAAAATATGTTTTTTTTTTTTTATTATGAGGACTTTGCTCCCCTCAACCATTTGATTAAAATGGTGTTGTATTTTTCCTCCATCTCACTCTTATTTTTTTTTATCAGTGTAGTCCAACATTTTTTTTTCTTTCTTTTTGTATTCATTCAAAACCCATTCATGTTCATCTATAGCAAACTCAAAATGAAGCACTAATAGTAATAATAATCTTGAAAGAAAAAAGACAAAAAAGAATCCAACTCATTCAAGTGAGCCCTTGTGGATCTTGCATATGCGATACATAAATCCTTGCTTACATGATAGAGATCTGCATGATAGTTTTCATTGATCTCAAATGTTTTTTTTGTTACACTGCCAGGAGGCCAGACCTCTAGAGCATTCTCTATTAGATGGTATAATTGATGGCTTCAAGAGGCCTCCCACGCTCTAACACATTTCAAAACTGTGAAGAAAAAAAATGGAGCTTAATCAAGTACATTCCCTCCATTATCTCGGCGCGGTTTTTAAGGAAGCTCGCGCATACACCAGAAATATGGCCTTACTTGAGCCTCCCCCCAAATTGAAAGGGCTGTTCAACTTGATGCATGGCCCCATTCGGGCTCGGCAAGAGTGTAACGCACCTTGTCAATGAACCGCAGGTTATGTCACGTGATAAGCGCCTTCCACGTTGAACGTTTCGGAAGAAGTCGGGACGAGGGCAGAACAGACCTCACGGGGACAAGTCTTGTTGTTTTTATTTCTTTTTTTTTTTTAATATTGTAAAAACACAAAAAAAGGGGAGAGGAAGAAGCTGAACCTTGGGGTCTCAAGGAAGGCAAGAAGGAACGGTCAATGCGCGTGTATATTTTGCTTGCCAGTTTTGAGTCTCCGTGGGCAAAATACCTCTAATGCCTTTAAAGAAGATTCAATAGAAATAAGAGAGGGCCCAAGTTGACATGCCAATATTTGAGTGCGCATGTGGAAGAGGGAAAAGGAGCTGGGTATAGCCTTTTCACCACCACTGAAAGAAAGAAAGAAAAGACCAAAAAAGGCAAAATGAAAGAAAATTAGTAGATAATGTGGGGTAAAAAAAAGGGACAGAGAAGGGGATAAACAAAAAACAAGCGAAGTATGAGGATAGTTCATATTAGTACCTATTTAAAGACTGTCGTCCTGTGTATAACTGTGTCATCGGCAGAGGTCCTGCCGGCGTTTCAATGTGTCGTGAGAAAAAAGGAAAAAGAAAAAAAGCGAATGAGAGTGTTCGTCCTATTGCTATTACAATTATTACAAGCATCAGATGAGTATCGACGATATTAGAAGGCGGACAGAAATGAGCAATGCTCATAAAGAAAAAACCTCTTCTGGAAACATGTCAAGGAACATGTTCTCCAGCCATGAATGCTCGGTACAAAAACAATGAATACGAATGGCATTACCTCTTCAATGATGTAGACCCCCTTTACTCCTGCTTTTTGGTTTTTACATATCCTTTCCATTTGACCCAGTTCCTGGCATTACCTTTTTTTTTTTGCAAGTGCAGGTCAGACCACATTTGATGATGAGTTTTTTTTACCACGCTTGCGCCTCGTCTCCTTTGCACTTCCAATTTTGCATCCCAATACGTCGAGGATATAGCTGCTTCCACCCTCATTGACGCCTTTTCTCTTTTCTTCTTCCTTCTTCATCTTTTCCTATCTTTTTATTTTCTTTCATACTTCTCAACCCATCCAAATCCAACTTTTCCCCTTATTTTGCTTCGTTTTTGGCTCCTCCCCTCTTTGTAAAAAACTACTTTTTTTCATTTACCCTAGGCAATATAGAGCCAACTAAACCATAATATTTCTCTCAAGCATTACTTTAATTTATGATTTTCCTAAGGTAAGCATTTCTTCTTTCATTCATTGTTGAACGAATGAACAATGAGTGCCAGTCTGCTACCCCACACTGCAGTCACAGGCAGCGGAAGCTTGTTTTTTTTTGGCACTCCGCTGTCTGCAGTTCTGGGATATCCCATCCCTGCGCTCAATAAAAAAAAAAAAAAGTGGACTTTGCACTACGTTGAATGTGGTCTGTGTTATTTGAAGGCCTTCAAAAAAAAAAAAAAAAAAAAAGGACAGAGATTTTTTACTGAGAACACCTTAACTGGATTCGGATACTTTATTGAACTAGACCTTCCATTTCTGCGCGGCTGGTCAAGGCTGGCGTCGCAGTTCCACGGCCAAGCCTTGGATTTCCAGATGCAGCGATTACCACACGGCCGTTGCACACGACCTCGCTCCTAACCTCCGGCAAGAGAGGCGCTACTTCCAGAATACCATCCAGTAGGAGCTCCTGTGCCTCGATTCAAGTCCGTCTATTAGGCGCCATTTCTAAACCTGTGTCTCGACAAACTCTCTTCGCTAGCCATACATCTCCAGTTTCTGCATCGGCTACACTTCAGCAGCAACATTCGCAACCTGACCCAGAGTTAGCGTCATCGTTGCCCACAGACCACCCGAAGCTCATTGGTTGGATCCGAGCGCAACAGTCCCTACTCGAGCCTGACAATGTCCATTGGTGTGATGGATCTCAAGAAGAATATGAAAGCCTCGTCAATGATCTAGTCGACAGAGGAGTCATGATTCCGCTGAACAGCAAGCTACGTCCGGGATCTTACTTGACAAGGACAGATATATCTGATGTTGCTCGGTCTGAAAGTTCAACATTTATTTGTAGTCAGCGTCAAATTGATGCAGGGTAATATATTATGTTATCATATAAGATGGATGTCTAACATCTTCTGCACTGCAAGATGAGTTTATTTCGTCAATCATCAACATGGTGTTACAGATCATCAAATTTATCACTGTATCCTCAACGCTTTTGTAATCGCTTTTCCTCCTCCATTTTTAGTCCAACAAATAACTGGGTTGACCCTAATGTGATGCGTGTTGAACTTGAGAGATCCTTCCGTGGCTCCATGAGAGGTAATTATCCAGTTTCATTGTACAACCATAATCGGTACACACACACGAAAGTTTACCATGTTTGATCCTTATTTACTCATGGTAACGCTAGGCCGAACTATGTATGTCATTCCGTTCAGTATGGGGCCAATTGGATCACCTCTTGCTCGAATCGGTGTGCAGGTAAATATGGATACATCCTTGTACACTTAACGCAATTGCCTATCGCATCACTCCTGCTCTACTGCTCTAATATGCATCTTTAATTCTTTCTTATACGGTGAAGGTCACTGATTCGCCGTTTGTAGTGGTCAATATGCGCATCATGACACGAATTGGCCAGCCAGTCTTGGATGCGCTTGGTACTGATAATGAATTCGTACCATGTGTACATTCAGTGGGAAAGCCATTGGAGCCTGGGGAAAAAGACGTTTTATGGCCCTGTAATATACCCCAGCGAAAAGTGGTTCACTTTCCTGAATCGCGTGAGATTTGGAGCTTTGGTAGTGGGTATGGAATATTTAATTCTTAAGCCTGCGGACCAAATCCTTTTGAACTAGCCATTTTTCGAATCCTAAGAATGGGGTGCTCATGATTACGTCCTTTATTATTAGATATGGAGGAAATTCGCTATTGGGCAAAAAATGCTTAGCATTAAGAATCGCTTCAGTAATGGCCCGTGATGAGGGTTCTTTGGCAGAGCATATGCTTATTTTGGGACTCACAAGTCCAGAAGGCAAAAAATACTATGTTGCAGCAGCTTTTCCAAGGTAGGGCTTTTTTTTTTTTTTTTTTTTTTTTTTTTTTTTTTCCTTGCACTTCACCTTGTATGAACCCTCTATTCGGTAATTTTAGAGCTAAAGATTATCCCAAATGTCTAAAATAGTGCATGTGGCAAGACAAATCTAGCCATGCTTCAGCCAACACTACCTGGATGGAAGGTTCAAGTTGTCGGCGATGATATTAATTGGTATGCTTATTTACTGGGAGCATGTGTTACTAAGCGATTGAAATCTTCCTATTAGACAATGATCTTACCTCACATTACAATTCCTGTTAGGATGAAGTTTAATCCTAAAGATTCACGTTTATATGCCATCAACCCTGAAGCGGGTTTCTTTGGCGTTGCTCCTGGCACTTCAGCCAAAACTAATCCTAATGCGATGGAGACTATTTACAAAAACACTCTTTTCACTAATGTTGCTCTCACAGAAAAGGGGGATGTTTGGTGGGAAGGGATGACAAAGGCCCGACCAGAAGGCAAAGTTATCAATTGGAGAGGCGAGGTATGGGAGCCATCCATGGGTGAACGAGGTACCCCATTAGCTCATCCAAATTCAAGATTCACTGTATCTTTGGATCAATGCCCAGTTAAGGATCCAGCTTGGGATGATCCAAACGGTGTACCTATTTCTGCAATCATTTTTGGGGGCCGACGGGAGAAGACAGTACCACTTGTGTTCCAGACCAAGGACTGGAACCACGGTGTTCTTGTAGGCGCCACTGTCGCTAGTGAAAAAACCGCTGCTGCGGAAGGAAGCGATTTGGGACAGTTGAGGTAAGCGAAGGGGATATGGTCACAAGGCTTAAATGATCCTAATAAAAGTGGAAGGCCTGACTTTCGATATTATTCATTCGTGTATAGGTTTGACCCATTTGCCATGCTTCCGTTTGCTGGATACAACATGGGTGACTATTTTAGCCATTGGCTTTCGATGCCAAATCGCGTCAAGGACCCATCCAAGTTGCCCAAAATCTTTCACGTCAACTGGTTCCGCAAGGACGCCAAAGGCTCCTTTATGTGGCCCGGATTTGGTGACAATTCGAGGTATTTGGTTTTTGTTTATTTACTGTCTGAAATGTCCACTGACGCTCCAATGACTGTCAGTACAATTCTGACGAAATAATCTACGGCGTTTGTTTTGTATTTTTCATGCATCCTATCCTGATAGGGTACTAAAATGGATTGTGGACCGTTTGGAGCGGCCTGATGACAAGAGCCTGTTTACATCTACACCAATTGGTTACGTCCCTAAACCTGAGTCGCTTGATCTTCAAGGGATTGAGAAGCAAGTGCAGGGTGATGTGATGATGAATCTGTTAAAGGTGGACGGAGAGGCATACCTTTCTGAAGTGAATAAGGCACGCGAATACTTTAAGCGCTTTGGCGATCGTTTCCCTGCCAAGCTGACAAAGGAGCTGGATGATCTCGAGGATCGTCTCAAAAAGAACCAAGGTGTATGAGCAATGAATATCAAGGGTGTCGATAGTTTCTTTAGTTGCTGTACTTTGCAAAAAAAAAAAAAGGAGGGGATTAAATCAAATGAAAAAATTATTCATCATCACCACGTCAACGAGAAGTTTTGAAAGAGTACAAGAAATAATGCGTTAATGCAGGGTCGTTTGAAAATATCATTGCGTATTCATTTTGGAGTCCTCCAGAGACTGAACAATCCTAGAGATCAGTCCACTTCTGAGTGGAACTCGACCCGCAAGGGTAATTATTGGCGTTAAGATGCGGTCCTTGAATTCCCGAGGTGTCCGGAGTGGCTTGGCCTCTTGAGATTTCAAGATTGAGATATGCGTGCGTGTTAATTCGATGTCAGTTCAAAGAGCATGAGGACCGATTTTTTCGGCCCGTGCTATTTGGACTGATCTTCGAACTTTGCAATCTCTTTGTCTTCTCCCGCCCATTCCTCTCCTCTTTTCTGTGGTTGATCTTTCATTGCCCATCACTAATTGGTCAATTCCCTTGTCAACTTGCAAATCTTGTCATTACTTCCTCTACTCTTCTCATCAGTAGTAGGAAAAGAAAGAAAGAAAGAAAAAAAAACAAAAAAAAAGGAATCTCATAGGAAAGACCCTTTCTATACACATTCAAATTGAAAAGCGAGACCTCGGTTTTCTCATTTGCATGTTATAATATTTGAATCTAGACGAACCTGAATAGGAATCAGACAGGTAATTTGAACAACTACAACAATCATCCGCACTTGATCTTTTCAACAGCAACAGCAACACAAGATCTTGGTCGGGATGGCTTGAAAAACTCGTTTGCACCTGGTTATTGTATATCCTTCTTGTTTGTGCCCTTCCCACGCCCACGGCGTTTTTTTTTTTTGCATTCACCCTTATTTTATTTTATCCTCAAGCTTACACCACAAATCTCACCCTTATTCATACACTTTTTGCTCTTCATCACTCCTTTTTTATTTTTAAAGATATTCATATTCCAAGAGATTACATATTTCATTCGCACTCTTCATCACACTATTGCTACGTTGACTTGGTCTATTACTTGTGTGGTTACCGGTTTCTTTTTTCTGCAGAACATTCATGTGCTACAAATAATATTTACATGACTTGATCCGATGAATGAAGAATGTTGGATCAAGTAGACGATGGTCATCTCTACGCCCGAATATGGTGTTCATTGCTACCAATAGCTGATTTGACCATGCATCTATCGGAGTAGCATACCTTCTTTGGACAGGAGATGGTCAAAATAATCAAATTATTTTAACGTTTTTTGTCCTCTCAGGTAGAGCGAAACTTTTTATTTATTTATTTTTTTGACTGCATGTGAGGGGGGGTTGGTGAGACTTTCAAGTCCGCATTCTTTTTCTTTATCCGTGTTGTGTCTGTTCTTTTTCTTCTTCAAAAAACATTACATTCTTTCAATCGTCTCTTTCTCTCCACTCTTTTACGCACATACACTTTTTTTTTTTTTTTTTTTTTTTTTTCATTATTATTCTCTCAGACTTGATCATTGTTAGTCGATCATTGATTTGGACCTTCTTCATCCGCATTTCTTTTTTCACTCTATCCGGAGACACAAGTGCTCACTAATATTCTCATTCACTTTCTCAACTCCTGTACTAATCCCGTTTACATTGCATCCGATCTTTTCCTTGTCTCACTTCCTCTCTTTGCGCCATTTGTAAATACATCCATCTATCCAATTTCTTTTCATTCCTACAACAGACATGACTTCATACTTCTCAACTCAACATTCCTCAGCACAGGCTGCTCAAAGGAGGAACTCCCTTCCCAGACTCAGCATGGACAGCTCAGAGAGACCACATTCTATTGCACATCATGTCCTTCCTTCCCTTTCCTACGCTGCTGCTACCTCTTTCCCTCAAGAGAACCCTTACAATCACAACCTGTTTCTGCAGCAGCAGGTCTTTGCCGACAAGTCTAATCGTCTCCTCAACCTGATTCAAAGCACCAAAGGCCTACTCGAGGAGATTCGTGAGACCAACGTAACAAAGCCCTGGCAGACTTACTACCCTTGCTTCCAGAACTCCTCCATTGCCGCTGTTGCCAACACGGCCTCTCCCAACCTTCTTCGTCGCTCGACCACCTTTCATTCTGATGAGGATATCGACCGTCCCTCATCCCTTCCTCTCCAGCAGCGTGTTCAGCGCTCATTCACCACTAGTTCTGGCTCGCCCCGCGATTCGCATACTCCTTTGGAGTCTTTGGCTGGTCGTCTCTCGGATTTAAACGTTCTCAAGCTGGACTTGAAGGTTGGTAACTATGCGACTGGCAATGACACTCTGCTACGTGGCCTGGAACGCAACGCCATTGCCCATCTTTTGGATGCACGTATTCAACAGAGTGTTAAGCACCTTGACAACCTTTATCAGCGTGTCTCTGATAAGAGTTCAAAGGTTTTGATCACTGGAGATCTTAATGCTGGTAAATCGACCTTGGTCAATGCTTTGATGCAGCGTACCATCCTTCCTGTCGATCAACAGCCTTGCACCTCGCTCTTCTGCGAGGTTCTTGATGCTCAGGAAAACGAAGGCCAGGAAGCTGTTCATGCCATCAAGGATCCTTTGACCTACAACCGCGAGGATCCCAATACGTTCACTGTTGTTGATATCCGTCACTTGGAGAAGTTTATGAACGATGTGATTGATGGCTACGAGGACTATGCACAGCTCAAGGTTTACTGCACGGATCGCCGCCTCGTTAATGACTCACTCCTCCACAATGGAGTTGTCGACATTGCCTTGATTGATTCGCCTGGTCTAAACCGCGATTCTGTCAAGACCACCGCTCTTTTTGCGCGTCAACAGGAGATCGATGTCGTTGTTTTTGTTGTCTCTGCTGAGAATCACTTTACGCTCTCTGTAAGTTTGACTTTATGACTGCATTGTTTTTTAATTACTGTCGGCTATTTTTCTATTTTATTTCATTTTATTTTATTCTCTGTCTTTTACATGAAATGTGTACATTGATATGTGTATATGGAGTGTGCGCGGGAGAACAAGGGTTCCTGACAAATCTCGCGTGGACAGGGGAAGGAGACAATTAAGTGTTGCAAGCATCAGTCAGTCTTAGTCATACTTTTGTTTTTCTCCTACCACGAGTTGCCATGTGTTGTGGGGTCATGTGTTTAATGAGATGGACTGATGTCACAATTTTTTGTTGAATACAAATTATTATTTTTTTTTTTTTTCATGGGAACCAGACGTTGTTTGATGAATTTCCATCTCAGCAACCTTTTTTTTTCCGTTCCTACAAAATGGTGGTACAAGATTAAAGCGACAAACCTCACTAAATTGTTTCTCATCCTCATATCTTGTTTTTAACACATAGGGTAAAGAGTTCCTCTGGAATGCTGCCAACGAGAAGACCCACATCTTTATTGTTGTCAATCGATTCGACTCTATTCGTGACAAGGAGCGCTGCAAGCGTGTGATTCTAGACCAGATTAAACAGCTTTCCGCCAAAACTTATGAGGATGCTGATGAACTTGTTCACTTTGTTTCTGCAGGATCATGCTTGCCAGAGATCATTCAGGGTGGAGAGCTTCCTGCTGATTTCCTGCGACTTGAGGAGTGCTTGCGATCCTTTGTGCTCGAGAAGCGCTGCAAGTCCAAGCTTGCTCCCGCCAAGGTCTATCTTGAGAATATTTTGAGTGACGTTAGTGTTCTTTCCGAATCCAACCGTCAGATGGCTGCTGAGGAGTTGGCCAAGGTGCGTTTGGAATTGGAGCGTGGTGAGCCTGAGTACCAGGAGACGTTGATCAGGCGTGAGATGGTTTTGGAGAAGGTTGACCGTCTTGCGGAAGAGACTTGCACATTGATTGACTCGATGACGCGTGAGAAACTCAGCAACTCTGTGGACGACATTGAGAATGCTGTTTCGACTCTTGTTCCCTGGAATGGTTTATTGCACGTCTGGCAATATTCGAATGACCTGCGCTACGTTATGGCGGACCTATTTGTTGACCGTGTCAAGAGTTGTGAGTCTGAGGCCAAGGAGAAGACTAAGGCATGTGTCAATGACATTCATAATTTGGCCAATGACGCTTCATCAGGTTCTCAGTCGGATGCATTGACCCTCTTCACCAAGCCAGACCCTGCTCGAATCTCAACAGGCAAACTTAAGGATGAGCTTGCATTAGAATTTTCGGATGTTTTTGAGGTCCAGGACAAGTTGGGTGTCGCTAGTGTTTCGCTCGGAGCTGTCACAATGTTCTCCAGCAAGGCATTAGGTTACAAATCTTTGATCCACAGCTTGTTTGACATTACCAACACAGTTGGTATGTCCACCGTCCGCAAGTGGGCTGTCCCCGTCGTCACTGCTGCTGGATTGGGTCTCCTTCTCTACATTGCTGCTGATATGAAGCATGCGCTTGCACGCAAGACTGCACGTAAGCTTCGTGCACACATTCGCGAGGGTACAATCGTTCATGATGAGGCTATGCGCATCACCAAGGACTGCCGCCGTATCTTCAAGAGCAATGCTTGGGAGATCCAGAACCGATTCCAGAAGGAGATTGAGGCTCATGAGCGACGTCGTGCCGAGCAAGAGAAGGCTGCTAAGGATGGTGAACAAGCCGTGATCTACTTTGGCAAGGTCTTTGACAAGGCTGATGAGTTGGCCCGCTGGGTTGCAGCTGTTGAGGTTGAGGTGGAGGATCGCAAGGTCAAGGCATAAAAAAAAAAGAAGTGCTCAATGCATTTTTTTTTTTTTTTTTTTTTTAAGCCTATTCCTCTGCTTCTCTGACCACACTTGATACCCTTCATGAAGTGATCTACCTCGACACGCTCATTCACTATAACTTTTTTGGTCTGCTTTCTTTTTTTGTTAATTATTAACCCCTAAAAAAAAAAAATACTGATTTTTGTGCTTTTACTTTGTATCATTCTTAACACTCACATCCACTCATAAGAACAAAAAACGCTATTTATTGCCCGAGCTTTAAAAAAATGAAGCAGACTCTTCTCTATTTAAACTCCTCGGTCTATCTTTTGTGAATAAAATAAAATAAAAAAATAAAAAAAATAAAAATAAAAAGGCGCTGGCAAGCTAATATTCAAAACTCATTGAAAGCATATAACAAATTCAGAATGTTCATCCATCTTTTTTATTTTTTGATCGAAGTTCTTTCGATTAAATTAATATCAGATGAATTTTGCTTGAATCCAATGGATTCTGTTGATTCTTGGTTTCGTAATGATGGCTGTGTTCGAGATCCAGATCCAGTTGGAGACCGAGAGAATGAAAATGAATGTTTGCTGAGGATGCCGTTTTTGCTATTACTATTACTATTACTAATATAACTATTTCTATGATTTTGATTTTGATTTTGATTAGGATTATAACTATTACGGCTACTATTTCTATCCTTGTTCGAGTTTTTATTTTGATTGCGAGCAAGGATAAGGTCTTCAATATGGTCTATTTGACGTGAGCCTCGATCGGCACTCCCATTAGCTTGACGAGCACTAGTGGTCTCTGATCGGAAGGCCTCGGAGAGACTCTCGGGTTTGTAAAAAGTTCTGTAGATATAGTAGGAGCCAGCGGCCATGAGGCCGACCACTAAAATGGCAATAACGATACCGATAACCAACATTTGATTCACTTGTTGTTCGCTCTTACAACCGTCTGGGTCTCCATCCCTGTTGCGATCACGTTGGCAACGGCCCTCTTCCTCCCATGCATTCCCTCTGAGTGGTTTTGGAGGAATAAGAGCCGTTGGGAAAGTGGGAAGGATCCGGGTTGGATCGGTTGTCGAGGGAGTAGGAGTAGATAAAGTTAATGTGGTAGTAATGGTATCGGTGGGAGTTGTAGTGACGGGCTGAGATGGTAAAGCGGCGGTAGTGGTGGTTGGAGGTGAGGAAGATGTGGTGGTGACCAAAGGTGGTGGCGGTGGCGGTGGTAATACCGAGGTGCGGGTCCATCTGATACTTTGAGGCATTCTTCTGAAATAAGGTGCGAATAAAATAAGACCTGTACGAGAACCTGGGCTCCGACTTGGTCTTTTACAGTCTTTATCATTGTAAACGACGAGCTCATCCTTGTCTGTAGAGGCCCTACCTCTCATGGGTGTGATGTTGATGATACCCCAGGATGGGATGGAGAGGATGAGACAGTTACCAGTAGTGGTGTTTTCATCGCCAATGTAAGTACCATCGACAGCGTAGTAATCTACCCAGGCTTGAAGTGGTGGGATAACATCTGTTTCTGCTGCAAGTCCATACAGATATCCATTCATGTCGGAGGAACTTGGGTCGCTCACTTTGCCATCAACAGCCTCCGCTCTAGCATCAAGAGTTTTACGTCGTCGAAAAAAGCTTTCATATCGTAAATGGAGAGTGGGCAATACTGGCGATGGTCGCTGTGGAGTGCTTCGGGTATAGAAAGGAATTGAAGAGGATGGGACTGATGCTGAGGATTGTAATGAAGAATCCTGTGTTGCCTCTGGTGCTACTGCTGTCGTTGTCTTAAATGATGACAAAGGAAGTGGTGATTCAGGTATTGGTGAGGCCAGGGCGATGCTTTGAAGGCATGCACAGACAACACTGAGGAAGATTATGAGTGAAGACTGAGATTTGACCGTGCGCATTTTATTATTATTATTATTTTTTGTGGAGAAAAAGGATTTTCTTTTCTGTTGTTGTGATCAGGAACACTGACAGGATGGCCGTTATGTCGATGTGTTTGGTCAAGAAAGCATACGTTGGGTCTGTGATCTTAAAATAATTTTTTTAATTTTTTTTTTTTTTTTTTTTTTTAATGAGACGCGTCTGAACAAAGGTGACACGATGATGGAGTTTGTAGGAATGCAAAGTAGATGAAGAATGGAGAAGAGATGAAAGATGAACGAAATGTCCATCTGAATACACACACTTTGGAGCAAAGAAGAGCCAAAGAGGGGAATGACGATCTTTGATAGTTTTTTTTTTTTTTGTTTGTGTGTATGAAGTGTGAATAGAGTGGACGGAAGAAAAGAGTTATAACCTTAGAACAGGAACTCTAACCCAAAGAGGGAAATAAAAGTTAGGGGTCTGGATCACCGCTTCGGCGGATGCATACCAACATTAATGCTCTCTCGCCCGTCTATTTGTCTCAACTCAACTCAACTCAACACAACGGACTAGTGGTCTAAACTTTGGTTGTCTTGTAATACCCCCGACCGAACACATGGGTTGAAGTTATCACCCTTGTTATATATTGGAGGTAACATGTTGCGCCCTCTTTTTTAACCCTTTCTTTTTCTGTGTCATCATCTTGTCTTGAGCTCCGTCTGAAAAACAAGGTCAAAAAGCTCATTGCTGTTTGGCTCTCTTTATTTTTATTTTATTTTTTTTTTTTTTTAAAGTCGAAGAATTCGCTAATGCTGCTGCCGAATTTTGGACCCATTCTTATTCTGCATTGCATACAGAAATAGTTACTTTCATCGTTTTTTTTTTTTTTTTTATACGCATTATTTAGAAGTCATAACATCTCACATTCCTAAAAGAGGTGAAAAAGAAAGGGGGAAAGGTACAGCTCGAAATTAAAAAGAGCGCGGAAAGCTGTGTATGGTTACTCTTATTGCTGCTTTGTTTTTTTTTTTGCTCTTTGGAAAGTTTACACTACTGTCATGTAAGCTTAGCGTATTTCTGCAATGGTACAGAAAAAAAAAAAAAAGAAAGAAAAAAAGAAAAAAGTATGAATAGCTTCCAGGGAGGAGCGTGCACCACTCCAGTGCAGTCTCTCAAGTCAAAAACATAATAGATAGCATAGCCATAACAGCAGACAGTGCTCATTGTATTCTCCTGGTCTTTGGAAATCACCACAATTACAAGAGACTTTGGAAGCCAACAAGAAAATAATAATAATAATAATAATAATAAACAAGTGGATTTGGTAAGGCGCGGAGGTAAGAGTAAATAAAACAAGGTTCTTTACAATATAATGCGCCGTGGATATAAAACATGGGAGCGCACTACATGTAGCTCTGTTGTTTTGACTAATACCGCTTCATCGCACTTGGTCCTTTCATCGTCATATCATTCTTGGTGATGGTGATTGGCACTCGCTTCTTTGTCTTTTCTACAGTTCGTTTCTCCTGGATCTTTCAGAAATATATCACATCTCACATCTTTTTTTTTTTTTTTTTTTTTTTCTTTCTTTTCTTTCTTTTCTTTTCTTACTAAAAAAGAAAGCGAGATAAGGATGAGAACAAGGACAAGGATAAAGCGAAAACGATATATATTTGGCCATACTGGATTTTATAATATCGTACGGCTGTAAACTTTAATCACTCGCACAATTGACGTTCTGACAGACACGCGCATATTTATGCTTGTATATATATTTCTCCCAGTTTTCTCCTTTTGTTCATTATCAGAGCCTTTGGTATACACACTGTTCTCTTTTTTTATAATAAGCGCTGACATTCGATGAGTTCCGGACGACATGGTCTTCATCCTCAAACGTATCAAGCAGGCTCAATCTGTGAAGCACTGGAGCGCTCTTACATAGATCCATCGGAGAGTTTGACCGAGCTATAGACAGTCAGAAAAAGGGTTTTACAGCTTTGTCAGTGCATTATATATAATTGGGACGATCTTCATTTTTAGTAAGAAGAGCTTCTTTCTCTTTGTTTCGGTGTATAAAAATAATAATATTGTATATACACATGTATATATGCTAAAAGACATCTTCTAGAGGTACGCATTTAAAACTCATTTTTGTATCATACATAAATATATATAATACCACAGCAGATTGGGAGGTGAGGGTTAGTATTGTCATTGGCTAGTTGTCCACATTAACAGTTGAAGTTGAACATGAAAAGCTAAAAAGCTTCTTTTTTTTTCTTTTTTTTAATTATAGACCTGCAATGAAAAGGGATGGTTTATGATATATATCATGAAGCCTTTTACATGTTTATATATAATAGAAGTTTTGGCTAGGTTTGATTGCCTCTCCAAATGATTCATGCCTATGCGACGCGTCAAAGCTGATTTGCTGAGCATCCGGGAAGGAGAGTTGGCCTAAAAAACGCCACTTGAGTTGAGCTCTAACTCTGTAGAAATGTATCTTATGAGTTAGATCACTTTCTGATACATCTTGTTTAGACCATGATATTATATTTGTCCTTAGACTCGCTCCCAACCTCGATTTGTCCTGCATCTAAAATCTTCCCTTTAGGAATATTAGCTGAACGTGTGTGATAGGTTGGAAATAACAAGCTCCATGTTATTAGTTGTGAAGGTGGGAAATGTTATTTTTATTATTCCCAAAAATACTGTTACGGATTGGACGCTTCCTTCATAAGCTTTATTGAGAAAACGAATGCTGTCTTTCAAAAATACAGGTTGCAAGTTCAACGATCCACAGCAGTTGTGGCAGACTATTCGGCTCAAGCTATACTTTGTAGCTTGCAAAAACGTTGTTTTTGTTTTGTTTTGTTTTGTTTTGCTGAAAAACTGGGGATAATCAAGGTATATATATATTCTGTATACTAAGCGACATTACACGAGGTTTTTAGTGTGGAAATATTTTCTCCATTTCTGAAGCTAGTAGAACAAGATCAACCCTTTGTAAACTGTAAGCACAAGAAAAGTGCACAATCGGTGGTGACAATCATTGGCAATGATTCAAGCTTGTAATGTCAGGCTGTTGTATAGACATATGTATTATATATATTACTCTAGATCAATGGTAATATAAGCACATCAGCCTAGTTCATTTAATAATTTTACTCTTCCCTTCTCCGGACATGGACAATTTGATGGGAGCAATGAGCATTAAAAGGGAAATAAGGGTTGGGGATGTGGAGTAGGAAGGATAGTAAAAAAAAAAAAAAAAATTGTCAATTTGTGCCTGGGATGCTGGTGTAACAACTGTAAAGAAAAATGTTTTGTTGCCATGTGGAGTGAAATAAGGCACACGAACAAAGCAGATCAAACTTGCTCAATGCTTTAAAAAGCGAATCGTTTCGACATCATTCCACATCACTTCCGGTGATCAAGTGACAAAGAGATAACGTTATAATAGGTCGAATGGTGGAACAGAACGACCTGGCAAATGAAAAAAGGGTGCCTGTGCATTTCAATATGAATCTGATGTGTGGAATCTGATATAAAAAAATGGAAAAAAAAAAAAAAAAAAGTTGTTGGGGTAAAAAAGACATATTTGTGCCAAAGGTTAGTTTGTGTGCCGCCATGTGAGAGAGCGGAGAGCAGAAAGACCGCGGAGATGGGGATGGGGGGATGGGCCAATGATACAGAATCTTTTTTATTTCTTCTTAATGACAGTCCTTTTTTTATTACATTTTATCCCTCCTCCAGGCTGTGAAGAAGCCAGAGATTGCTTGGAGTGTTTGATGCTTGGCTTGTGCATGCTTGATGCGCGTGTGCATTTGTGGAGTGTTTGTGTTCATCCATGTCCATGACAAGAAAAATAAACTTGTTTGTTTTCTTTTTGCCTGTGAATGTGAAAATAAGATGGTTCAGATCTGACTAAGGATCTAACGTGGCATTGTTTAAAGAGAGAGTAGGGCCCCATCAGACAAGTCGGGTTGCTCGTCAATTGGGGCATTTGTTTTGTCCACTCCCATTGTACAGCCGCCCTCTCCGCACCCGCCTAGCGCATTCTTTTTTATATATTTCCTTAAGCTGATCTTTTTTTACTTTTTTTCTTTTTTGTCTCTCTCTCTTTCTTTCTTCACCCCTTGTTGCTCTTTCTTCATCTAGTTTCCTCATCAGCACACATCTACTTTCCATCCTCTCCACTCATCTTCCCCCCCTCGACATCCTTTTTTTTTCCTCCCCTCCCTTCCTTTCTACTCAGCCAACTGAATAGAAAGAAAGAAGTAAACATAAAAAAGAAAAGAAAAAAAGAGTGAAGCATCAACAAAATGTTGGGATTCGGAAACCGCATACATGAGTCCGACTATGTGAGCGAAGCTGGTCTTGCCAACCTGCGTTTGTACAAGTATGGCTGTATCGACAAGTCGCCCATAACAAAGTACATTCTGAGCCATTACTGGAACTGGGCCGTGACCTTGTTCCCAATGTGGATGGCGTAAGTACCCAAAAACTCTTCAGGAGAAAGAGAGGGAGGGAGAAGGAGAGACAAAGTGCAAGATCTCGACTGTTTAGTCGACTGCCCAGTTCATGCCAAATGTGTTTCAATTTTTATTTTTTTATTTTTTATTTCTGAGCACATGGGCCATGATGTCGAACATGGCACTTTTACACTTTTGGTTTCGCACAGCCTCGATTAATCTGGGCATTTTCGCAGGAACGACCATGGAGAAATTTGGTACCAGATCAACCTGCCATTTTTTTTCTGCTTATTGCTTACACCGTCAAAGATCAACAACATACGCCTAACCAAGGTGGTAAACATTTGCACATGGAATATCATTGATGTCAAAGGAAAATAGGAGTGTGGGCACAGATTGATGATGGATTAAAAAAAGACCAATCGTCACACACAAGGAATCAATTCAGCCTACTTTATCCTGTATTTTGGACTGCCCGGCTCGCTTTGGCAGGAACACAACACAAGAAAAAAAAAAATATGAGCATTATTTCTCCATACAGCCTACTGTTTCCCAAGTCCATTTTGAGGTTAAAAAAGTTGAGACTAATCACAGACTTCTTTCATGTTGACCACTTGCCTAATCATAGACCTAACTTGATTACGTTAATCGGCTTTGGATTCGTGATTACAAACATGTTGGCGGTGATCTACTACATCCCTGACCTGTATACCCCCGGGCCTACCTGGGTCTACTTCAGGTGAGCTGAATAAGGACAGATACAGAAAACATGCCATTCTCTTCTCATAATCGTATAAAGGAATCAATGTGTATTGTCCAGAGAAGGGAAAAAAAAAAAAAAAAAAAAAAAAAAAAAGCAGCAGCAGAGAAATGGCTGGCAATACAGTTTACCGAAGCATTTTCTTCATGTCTCACCTACTGCCTTTTGCTTGGCATTGAAAATGGAATGAAAAATGCTTGGCGGCTGATGTCTGAGAACGAGAGATAGAACGGCTGTTGTTATAATTATGTTAGCGGAGTATTGAATTTTGTATACTGTATTATTCATTGTTTTAGCTGTGCCATTGGACTGTGGCTGTACTCGACTTTTGACAATGTGGATGGAAAGCAAGCTCGTCGCACGGGAACGTCTTCGCCTCTAGGAGAGCTTTTTGACCATGGATGTGATGCCTTGAATTGCTGCATTGGCTCTGTCAACCAGGCTGCCTGCATGTCCATGGGCCACTCTTGGTACTCTGCATTCCTCTTGCTCCTCACCACTCTGCCCTTCTTCTTGTCAACCTGGGAAGAATACCACACCGGTGTTTTGTACCTGGGATATGTCAATGGTCCAACCGAGGGTCTCCTCATTGCTTGTATTGTGATGTTGATTTCTGGATTTAAAGGCCCCATGTTCTGGAGAAGCGAGATCGTTGAGATCTTCGGTACCAACTTTGGTATCTTTCCCAAGGATTGGATTGTCTTGGATCTCATGGTTACTGCTATGACGATGTTGCTCGTCTTTGGTCACATCCCTCCATGGTAAGACTACATTATTCCCTTGAGAAAAGGGTCCTGGAGCACGTTGGCACTTTGACTATACACCAGCTAACATGCCCGTTTACTCGAATCTTGTCTAGCCTGATTGCTGTCTACAAGTCATGCAAGGAACAGAACAAGTCTGTGATTGCTGCCTACTCTGAGTTGTTGCCCATTTCGCTGTTCTTGGTCAGTGCCTATGCCTGGTTGTCGTCACCTTATTCGTATATTTTCTCTGCACAGCATTTTATTCTCTTTGCAGTCACTGTCGGTATTGTCTTTGGACGTATGGCTACCAAGATCATTTTGGCACATGTTACCAAGATGCCCTTCCCATATTTCACCGTCCAGCTCATCCCCTTGGTCGTCGGCGCTTTCATTACCAACGCTCCTGTTGTTTTCGGCTGGGACCCTATCTTCAGCGCCGACACCGAATACTACTATTTGTGGGCCTACTTCATCTTCGTTGCTGTCGCCTATGCCCAATGGGCTTTTCTCGTCATTGATAGGTTCTGTACCTATCTTGGTATCAAGTGCTTGTCCATTCCTAGGATCAAAGGTTCGTGCTTCATATGCATAGTTAGTTAATCACTCTACAGAAAAGGCTATATTCCTTTGATATCTAAAATATCTCATGCGTGTTTTTTTGCGCTTGCCCTTGTAGCGCAGCAATCTGAAGAGGAAGAGGGATTGATCGGAGGCTCAAACCGCAATTACCAGGACTAAATGTTCTCCAGGAAGGAAAAAAAAAAAAAAAAAAAAAAAATGCATGTTGACAGAGATATTTACAAGTAACATGAGACAATACAGCAATGGCCAAGGATGAGAATGTGTCGTGTTCAAGGATCAATGCATGTCCATGGGGCTCTAAGGCGTTCTTTCCGTCCTGGTTGGCGATTCATATGATCGACAAGATACCTCCTTTTACTATTATTTTCTTGATATCGCCTTTATTTCTCTTGCGAGCTTTCATTGTACTTTTTCTTTTTCTTTATCTTTTTTTTTTCTTTTCTTTCTTGTTTTCTTGATTTTTGCTTTACTGCTTAGTTTTCTTTTGCTCAATCGTTCAGCCTGTTTGCTTTCATCTTGCTCTAAACTTACCTTAATATTTATCTTGTCACAATACATTTACATATATTCTCTCTTCCCAATGTACCGCATGACTGTATGCCTTCTGTCCTATGTCTTGTTCTGTAGTGTTCATTTTTATACTTGCATTGTCGCAATCTATACAACTCTCGTTGCAAATATGCAATAAAGCTAGAATGTATTCTCATTTGAATGATTCTACAGTATTTGGATCAGTTTTTGGAAAGACAATTATCTTGATTCCATTGATGTTACTCTGGATCTTATTCTAGTCGCTGAACTGAAAGGAAACGCGTGCAAATGCAAGTCTCTAGCCACAATGCCTGTGCTCTGCAGTCTATGGAGAAATGCAATTAAAAACAAAATAAAACACGAGAGCACTACAAAAAAAAAAAATAAAAAATAAAAAATTAAGCCTATGTGAATTATGGGGTGGACGACTTTCTAAAGAAGGGTGGAATGTACCCCATCCCATACATCCGCACATGTTTCGAATGTATCAGACATCAGACGCTCACTTTCCCATGCGCTTGTTCCCTGTACATCATTAGCTCTTGAATATCCCGCACCCTTCGTTGACATATGGCAAAGGCATGTCAACGTAAAAAAAAGCCATTTGATTCGCACATGGCATAACAACGTCAAAAAAAAAAAAAAAAAAAAAAAAGCGAAAGGACAAACAGGCCTAAAGCCAAACGTCTCACAACGATCGTGACATTTCTGGTTAAAATGTCATGTCATGTAGGCGGTCCAAACCCCTTTTAAGCACCACTGAGAACTAGTTTATTCTTGATACATCCACTACTTGCTGTTCACAGATGATGACGATACAATGGCTTGGCATATGACGCATAGTCAGCGCATGAGCATAAATGCAGATTTTTTATTTTTTGCTGTTCAAGATACAAATCAAACCAGAGGACTCTAAAGGATAACCGAGCGGAGAAACGATAAACCTTCATCTACAAGTACTCCAGTCATTGGTAATAATAGAGACAAGAGAGGTTTTATTTTTTATAGCCGCAGCCATTGATTGTTCTGGGTTCTTCTGAGAGTTGAGCAAATGCGTGCAAACTTCGTTTTGGACCGTGCTAAATTGAGCACAATCATATGGAAATATTTCTTCATGTGACATCATTTCGATTTCATTTAATGTTCGTTTCGTAGAAAGTCATCCTTCAATGAAATTCATGTCGTATAAATACTCGTATCACATCGTTTGATTTCATAAAACTTCATTCCATTCATTCACAATTTTTTTTTTCTTTTAAAAAAAAAAAAAAAAAAAAAAAAAACAACTACATACTTTTACTTCAAATCACCCATACAATCCACATCACATAATATCCAACATGACTAACTGGACTACCATTAAGGTAAAGAAAGGATATTCTGAATTGATGGTGAAGAATGTTTGGTTACATGTATTTTATGCAAGAGAAATCGCGTCGCTCAATTTTCGAATATCCTCTCAATAACTAAATATGTATTCATCGATAGATCCCCTCAACCCCTACCCCCAACCTGATCTTTGTCGACAATATCAGTGCCTCCGCTTCGGGCAAGACTGGTAAGAGGAATATAAATCCAAAAAGGAATTAAGCTTGGCAAATGACAGGAGTATGAATTTTATTTTACTGACGAGGTTTTTTTTCTTATCATCGCTAAAATCAAACAGTTAAGGACTTCTTCTTGTTCTGCGGCAAGATCCTCGAGTTTGAGATCCAGAGGTAATTACGCTTACCTTTACTCCTGTTTACAAAGCAAATACGTTCTCAAGTTAAAACGATACAAGAAAAAAAAAAAAAAAAAAATCATGGAGAAAAAAAAGGGAAAAGAAGCTGACTTTGCATGTTTCTGTCGTTCGTTTCTTCAAACAGGGAGGGTGATCATCAGGTTGCCCTTGTTCTTTTTGAGCGTGGTAAGTTATTGGATGATATGAACTTCTTTCAATGTGCGAATGTTGGGGATGACAAAGTATTTTTTTTTACTATTATTGGCGTCATCCAAATGATTTAATTTTCACATCTTTGAGTCCCATGTTCAATACACCATGTCTATGTTATCTTTTTGTTTTATCATCCATTCATCACGCAGAAAATATTTGTAATTTGTAACTCCATTGCGTGCCAGACGTGCGTGTTAATATGGCCCAAAGCTTTTTTATTTTACTTCATTATTCGGTTTTATTTTTGCAATGTGTTTCATCTTTCATATGCAACTTAAAAAAAAAAAAAAAAAAAAAAAAAAAAAACCACAAACACTCACATATTCTCATTGCTCCACTTTATTCCTCATGGTCTACTATAACAGATTCCGCTGCCAAGACCGCTTGCATGTTGACCAATGCCATGATCGTTGACAGCCAAATCACAGTCAAGCCCTACTTTGAAGAGACTGCCGAAGGCGAGCACATTCCCCAAGAGAACAAGCCCAAGGCTACCATCTTTGCTGAAATTCTCGCTGCTGGATATCATCTTCAGGACCAGATCATCGAGAAGGGTCTTGAAATTGACGCCAAGTACGGATTTGCAAACAAGATCCAGGCCTATGTTGAGGCTGCCAAGGCTCAGGCCAAGACCCTCGACGAGAAGTTCAAGGTCACGGAGAAGGCTGCCGAGATTGACCACAAGTACCACGTCCAGGACCGTGTCAACGCTGCCGTTGGCCAGGGCATTGATTACAGCAACCAGGTACGGTCCTATTTCATTCATCTTCTTTTGTCGCAGTTATCATGTCTTTTTTTTTTTTTTTTTTTTATTTTTTTTTTATAAGCTTACTAACGCGTGGTTCTTATTTTATAGGCTCTTCAAACTGCCCCTGGACAAAAGGTCACAGGCATTGCTTCCCATGTCAAGGAACAAATCGCTGCAGTTCACTATGAAGCCCGTCGCATTGCTGACGAGAAGAAGACTAAGGGCGGTGCCCATCACGAGACTGAGGGTACCACCGGTTCCGAAAGTACCCCCGCTCCCCATGCAGACGCCACTGTCCCCGCTGAGAAGACTGCTTAAGTGAAGACGATGAAGAATCCGGCATACCAACGGCTCTTTTCAGTCATATTGCACCATCATTTGCACACCTGCTCATCAAAGGAGAAAAAGAAAAAAAAAAATTACACTCCCTTTGTACTTTTTCTTTTTCTTTTTTTTTCCTTCTTTTTTCTTTTTTATCTTTGTAATTCCAATTTTTCATTGTAAGATAACACATCCGGGACAATAAAAAAAAAAAAAAAAAAAAACTCATGTTTAATGACTGTACGTGTCTTATCTTACAAAAGAAACCTGTTTCAGTTATTCATTTTACTTGCAAGGGCCAAGGTGAATCGTCCGTGTGCTTAACCTCATTCATGTGATAGACCTTTGCAAACTTCAACTTCCCTTGGAACCCTGGTATAAAAAAACGTTGAACCTCCATCAACAGCACAGCAGCAACAATTACAAACCTTTCCGCTTTTATGGCTATTCTTGTTACCCTCTTGCCGCTCTCCCGGCTTTAACGAGCCCAAATGGTTGCTGTTGGTAGTGGATTTTGATAATATGTATACAAAATTCATACTAGGAAATTGGCTCTCTGCAAAGTGGATGCACTGACGTCTATATCTATGGACTAAGGGACCGTTCCAAATGTGAACGATGCTATTGGCAAGAATAAGTGTCTGCAAGGCATTTCAAACGCGTTTCAAGACTGCGCCGCCAATCGTCTCCCCATCCCTAGGCTAGTTTTTATCAATTGAACACATATGGCCTCCTTCTCTTTCACAGAGCTTTTTTTTTTTTTTTTTTTTTTTTTGAAAAAAGAAAAAAGGGTATCTAGATCTAAAAAATAGAAAAAAAAAAAAAAAAACTAGACATTATGCTTCCTCAAGGGAGCCTGCTCAGGACGGAACCAGTAATAAATAGCACTTAGGACCTTATGGGCCATACCCGCAGTGACATAATAGCCCCCAACCAATCCTGCCAGTCGAACGAGCAAATGTCCAAAAGACATGGATGATTCTTCTGTGATCATGACAGTCAGTGGCTCAAAGTCATACTTGAAGAACAGACCAGGGAACCCTTGATGCTCATCATAGGCACGACGATATTCGCTGACAGAGTATTGATTTGTCATGAGACGATTTTTATAACGATCTTTTACCATGGATAAACAAATAAAAAAAAAAAAAAAGAGAGAGAAAAAAGATATAAGATGAGAAAAAGTGTACCTTCAATTACTCGAACAAAGAAAAAAAAAAAAAAAAAAAAAAGCTTTTTTAACTTACCGACGTAAATCGTTGGAACAACAACTATGAAGTACTGAAATGCCTCAAATGCTATACAGATTAGAGTAAAAGCAATGTGTGAGGGATAGTAGCATATATATTAGCCATGCTATATAAATATCAACACATATGAAAGCATTTGGAGAAGGAAAATAATAATAATAAGCAACTGATCATACCCGTTTCTGAAATCTCAAAACTATCATCCAATGGATTGACGATTGTTGGATACAACTCTCCAAACGAAAATTCATCGATCTTGTGCGTCATATTCATCACTGAATAGTTATAAACCAGGTAAATACGAGACAATAATAATGATAATAAAAGAATAACATCGTTAATGGGTACATCCTTGAAGAGAATGTGAATCTGTTATTTCTCATAATTACTCAAGAAAAGTACCATTATGATCAGTATGGGGAGTGCCAAAGTATCCATGTCCAGCAGCCATAATGTGCAGGTTACTGCTCAGTTTGTTGGATTCAAAGCTTCCGAAGATCCTACAAGCCTTAAAGTCCTCGTTGCCCTCTTTTTTTTTTTTTTTTTTTTTTTTTTTTTTTAAAAAAATATATATATATATATATATAAATAAATAGAGAGATCAATTAATACGATATGATTTTCATGAGTGTGATATAAATAAAATCGATATAACAAAAGGATAGAGTGAGAAAAAGAGAACAGCCTTTACTTACTTTGCTTGGACGCCTGCGCCAAAGCCGCATTCCTGCTAGCAGCCCTAACTAGTTGTTTGACGTTCAATGGCTGGTCACGCATCTTGTCTGTACGGCTCACCCCGGAGCTCAATGTGAAGTGCTATAAGTAAATCATAATAATAGAAGTAAAATAATAGGTTCAATTCCTTTTGAGTCCACTCTATACGCTTTGATGCTTAAAAAGACAATATTTCGTTAACTGATATGGAACAGGAGTAAAAAAAAAAAACAAAAAAAAAAAAAACGTACCGTTGGGATTTTATGGAGCTTATCAGAAAGACTGAGCTGAACGTTCGCAATATCTCGAAGATCGACTGTCAGAGCTAATTCAAATCAAGTGTACGTAAATAAACGCATGTATGAGAGACAGAGTGCCAATATAGCCCAATTGATTTCCATGAAGAGGCTTTACATATACATGGCAATTGTTCTTTTTGCTTTCTATTCTCCGTAGTGTCTTACCATCGCATGGCATTGCAACGGTGATATCGACGTTAATCTGGAGTTCGTGGTTGATAAGCGGGTCGACTATAAAATTATATTCGTTGCGGAGCTTCATATAGTCCGCGATCTCACCAAAAACGAGGATACATAGAACAGCTGAAATGATAAGGGTGAGAATGCCTCCTGATCCTGTCCGCTTTACGAAACCAGATTCGACCTTTGGGAACGCATCGAATTCCTTGAACTGCATTCTCTTTTTTTTTTTTTTTTTTATCTTTATTATTTGTTTGTTGTCGTCTTGTCGCCGTCGACGCCGCTGACGCTATCGTTGACAGAAGTGCACTAGATGACTGATTCAGTGAATACTCTGCAGATGCCCTTTCGCGTTCACACTGTCCCGAGATGCTTTAGTTTCGTGAATGCGAGGATGATGAAACAAAGATGCATAACAGAAAATTATTAGTTGTTTGAAGGTTTAAAGTTTTCTGTCGTAGTCACAAAATGCAGCAGAAATTAATATATTATTCATCTAACATCGAAATATATCGAAATATCATGGTATGAACAGCTCCTCCACATTTCAAACATTTGCCATGTCTTGAAATTGCCACCTGTTTGCCTTTAATTTCAGTATACTAAAGCGCCTCATGTTGGTATTAGACAAGTTGCATTTGTTTTCTTGACGTATATGAAGAATAGAAGGATATCTTCCAGAGCTAGGAGTCGAGTCCATAACACGACTACACTTTTTGATATTGAGTCTATCGTCATCGACCAAACTGTTTGGCCCACTACGGCTGCTTAAAGACTTGATTCACTAAGAATGAATACGCGCTTTCAAGGGCTCAATGACCACTAGGCTATCATGGATGGGTTGGAAGAGTGAAAGATCTCTTTGACAACGCACACGCATGTCAGGGGGGCAATAATGCTATTGACGGGCAGCTTGGTTCGTATCTTCTCATATATAAATATATCGATGCCTTGAATGTAAAGAGATCACTTGTTCAATAAAGTATATGGTGTAAGTTACCCTACTCGAAACCTCTCCGAGTTCTACTAGCAAAAAAGCATTAAGGATTAGAAGCATATCATTCTATAATCTTCTACATTTTAAAAAAAGCTCATTTTCACAGGCAAGTCTACATCTTTATCCTCTTTTTATCCAGCCGACATTCTTATGCCTCCCTCTGTCTCCTTTGATAAACGAACTTCGTCCCTTCAATCTCCCGACAAAACCATTCATTCTTTCTGCAAGTAACGTTTTTTTTTTTGGAAAAAAGAATTCATCTCTGTCCATGAACCCCATGGTTTCACAGAGTAAGAATTTTGACATTAAGAGAAGCAGTAGACCCACTCGGATCCTAGATGTCCAATGTTGCCTCTGAAAGCAAGACGCCACAAAAGCGTGAGATAAAACCATACAAACATATGGCAAGGTCTCTCAATGTTGATGGCTTGTCTGAAAGGCTCAAGCCCACACACATCATGATTTAAATGGTGCAACACAGATCAATGACAAATCGGAAGCTGCTGTTTGCTCAGTTTTTTTCCCAAGAGTACCAAAATGACGTGCGACTTCCTTTCAAAGACAGGATCGCCCACAACGTTTTTTTTTTTTTTTTTTAAATAGATGCCACTCATTCGTTTCTTCTCCGCCATTCGACCTTTCCCGATCACTTCATTCATTCATTCCACTTCATTCAAAAATACAACAACCAATATAACTATGCCCGCCACTATTGTCAAAGTCCCTACTATCGATAGCCTTCATGAAGTCATCACCAAGGCTGTTGAAGAGAACAAGGATAAGGATATTTATATCTACTACTACGCTTCTGTCGATCCCGACACTGGAAAGTCATGGTGTCCTGACTGTGTCAAGGGTAACGACATTGTTTATTTTCCCTTGGGAACAGGCTACATGTTTTTTTTTTTTTTTTTTTGGTCTCTCACTTCTTTTTCATTCCATTCCCATCAAACTAGCTGGTCCTGTTGTTGCGGGGCGTTTCTCCAAGCTTGATAATGTAGTCCTTATTGATGCACCTGTTGGCGATCGCCCAACGTAAAGTCGCGGTTTTAGTAGAGAAATGAAGAAGTGTGTGAATTTTATTGATCCACTTTAATTTATATTCACGATAAAAAAACAACCTCTTTTATGTTCTGATCAACGTAGATGGAAGGATATGAGCCATCCTTACCGCCATGACAAGGTCATCAAGATCAGTGCTGTCCCCACTCTTGTTCACTGGAACACGGTAAGTGCATTGGATTCGCAGGAAATTGTTTTTCAAACACTCCGGTCAAGAGTTGTATACCTTTTAACCTAGTATTTATCGATATGCCTTCCTTTTCTTTTACTAATAGAAATCACAGCTGGTTGAGAACGACTGCGAAGATGTCAATAAGCTCGACAGATTTTTGCAGCGCTCATAAAAAAAAAAAAGAGCAACATGATGAAAAGAAATAAATAACATTAAAACGAACGGGATCGTGCATTAAGGTGTTGTGAATGTGGTGTAACATGAATAGAAACATAACCCTTAAGGAACATTTTAATGGAAGGAGATGTCTCGCTTCTAATAGTTAATTTTCATTTACAAGGGCTGTCTGCAAGAGATATGATCAGGCTCAGTGCATTTGATTTGAACTCCCTCTTTTGATCAAAAACCATGGCAAGTCCTTCAGCGAAGGCAGTCACAATAAACATCCATCCGCATCCGGACCATGGCACACACTATTCATTAGCATCCATCCAACAGGATATCAATCAGTTACCAACGCCAAACAACGACTATTGTTATTCATATCATCATTTTTTTTAAAGACTGGATCTATCGACTTGAAATCTGAGAGTTTTTCTTGAAGACTTCTTCATCATAGGACATACGCTGTGGTCATGGTGATGGGAGTGAAAATCGTCCTACACTAAGGGTTTTTTTTTTTTATTTCTTCAAAAGACATAATGCCAAGAACAGAAACAGAGAAGACAACATTCAATATCCAACATGTGTTTCCAGCATAACCATCATATCGATTAACCGACATGTCACTGGTCCGGATGCATCAACATCAGTATTGTTATATATATTTTTTCCCTTTGGCAAGCAAAGACTGACCTCTGTCGTGCTTTTCCTCTACTCTTTTCGACTAATTGTATTCATGTAGGCTGATTCCACTGCTACCATCAGAACTCGCAAGTTCTTGACCAACCGCCTCTTGGCTAGAAAGCAAATGGTAAGAATAAGAACCAGTCAGGACTCGCACTCGGAGCGATGAATTACAAAGCTGAAAACGGGAGACTCGGGAAGAATGATGGAATACCTTTCTAATTTATAAAAACAAAAAAAAAAAAAAAAAAGGAACACCTCATCGATTGTTGTTCATTTATCGAGATCAAGTTTGAAAGTAGCGGTGGACTTTTTTTATTGTTTCGTCAAAAAACAACTAATATCAACAACAATTATGTCAATTGTAAATGTTTTTTTTTAGGTCGTGGATATCATCCACCCTGCTCGCGCCAACCTCTCCAAGGATGAAGTCCGTGAGAAGCTTGCCAAGATGTACAAGGTCGATAAGGAGGTTGTCTTCTGCTTCGGTTTCCGTACCCAGTTCGGAGGCGGAAGATCCACTGGCTTTGCTTTGATCTATGACAACTTGGAGTCTGCCAAGAAGTTCGAGCCTAAGTATCGCCTTGTTCGCGTATGTATTTTCCCTTGCATTTTCTTTTCTATTCTTTTTTCTCGTCTCTCGTCTCTTGTTTGTTTTTTTTTTTTTTTTTTTTTTTGCTTATAAAGCAAGAAATTTGTTAAACAACCACTGGAGCACTGGACCACATTGGAGCTACAACTTGCCAATCAGAATTATATGTATCTTGAGACTGGACCGATAACCAGCACAAACTATATAGTACCCCTGGAAAAGAAAAGAAATGATGCCACTCAACCACTGTCACTAAAGAAGAGGCGCTTGTGTTTTATCAATCGAACTTGTGAATGTTAAGCGTGTAGATATATTTGGGACTTTTTTGTTCGACTGCGCCATCTTTATTTATTTTTTGCTTTTGCAATCATCGAGTTATTATCAACATTCGTCCCAGTGCAGAATATTTTAACTCACTCAAGTGTCCATAAGCACTATCTTTTAACCCTTCTTTTTCTTCCCATGACTATGTACAACCAATGCTGTTTTCTAAATTGAAACATTTTCTCTACTTTTTTTCGTTTTTGATATATAGCACGGTCTCTTGGAAATCAAGAAGCCTTCCCGCAAGCAGCGCAAGGAACGCAAGAACCGCAGCAAGAAGCTCCGCGGCACCAAGAAGGCCAAGGCCGCTGTTGCCAAGAAGTAAAGCGTCGTATATCTATAGATCCCTTAGTATACACGTTCATCTTGAAGAGAATATTATTGACGCTCTACTCATTGAAAACAATAAAAGAGGGAACATTTTGGCCAATGACCATACTGTATGAATAGTTTAATGATTGCATTACGTAAATGTTACTCTATTTCTATGAACGTCCAAGTGTACATGTTAAGACAACATTCATGGCCTCCCATTTTATTGCCAATTGTCAATGGGTTTGTGAAGAGGAGGGGGTGCAAGGGCACAGCACAGCGTTAAAAAAATTGAATCTGCGCGTGTTGGACGCGTAACGGCATATCAAGAAGTGGCAAAATATTTTATTCATTTCCATGTTGCTTACTCATAACGAGCAGACAAAGCATACTTGCACCATCGGATCGATGTCGTCACCCTTGGTCCCAACATGATGATCGTTCAATCTTAATTAGTTCTGAAAATTATTAAAATACCTCCTAGAAGGTGCTGGAATTTTCCTCAACACCTTTTTTTTTTTTTTTTTTTTTTTTATAATAAAACACAGCTCCTATGCTACTATTTTGGTATACTTATCTCACAAATACTCACTCGCCCAAGTACATATGAGGCCAATTGCTCAATCCAAGGTCAGAGAAGCTACTGCTCTCCTCAAGGAGGGTCTTTCTACACGACAGGTTGGAGAAAGACTCGGAATCTCTCACTCTTCTGTAGCCAATATCTGTCGAAATGCCATGGAGACTATTGCGAAGAAATCGGGGGGTCGTCCAAGGAAGGTTACAGATGAAACAGCTCTGTATCTTAGATTAGGATTCAAGCGTGGTCGTTTTAAGTCTTCTACTGATGCTCAAAAGGAAGCAAACAGGTTACTTCCAAGTCCTGTATCAACTTCCACCATCAGGAGATGCCTTACGAGGACTGACGCGAAGGCAAAAGAAGACTATCAAAAGACCGTTTCTCTACAAGGACCACAAAAGAAAGCGTCTCTGCCCCATCTGCTCAGACCAAGAGCGTATTGTAGAACGACTGGAAGGCGATCAATTGGTCGGACGGGTTCAAAACCAAGTCATAGTTTGCTTAGATGAGACTTGTTCCTGGGTTCGGGAGCTACCAAGACGAAATCATCAATGAAACGAGCTGTTCCAGATCCAGTCCGGAGAGTTTATTTTTTTTTTTTTAAAAATAAAAAATAAAATATGTAACAAGGGAAAGAAATAAAGTATTTGCTCAACTTCTCAACTATGGATGGAGAAATACGGGATCCATGACGGAAGCTGTTCCGATTAAAAAGCTCACCATCTCCACGTTGTGGCTTTAGGTCCTCATAAAATTTTCCTTTCATGGCGTTTTCCTGGATGGCAGATTTTGCCGCCGAACTGCTCAAATGAGGGTGAGTTTGTTGGGCAAGCTAATGCATGAAACTCAGACGATCTTGTTTATCTACAAAAGCAAAAGACGTTTTGTTTGTTTTTTTTTTTTTTTTTTTTTTCCTTCTTGACATTACTCATTTTGTGCAATTCACTCCTCATTCTCTTGAATCTCTTGTAATTGCATATTGTATATACTTCTCGCAATCACCTCCCTTCTGTTGCTCACTCTTTCTCCTTCTCATCCACGACCTATCTTGCCTCGTCATTTTATTGCCCCTTGTTCCATATTTTCTCTACCCAGGACCTGCGCAGCTCCCTTTCCTTCTGGTTACCAATTCTTCTTTCAAATAATCAAGGTAGCATCACCTGTTCAACCTCGGCTTACGCACACATTTTATTTCTCGCCAATTATCTTTAACCTCTTGTTCACTTGGTCAACGACCCTGCAGCAAAACATTACTCTCGTATCTCAATATCCCACCCTATCCTTCTTCTTTCTGACTCACTTTAGCCCTAACGTTTTTTTCGTCATTGTAGAAACTCTAATTCCCGTCAGCAATAAAAAAAAAAGACAGAGGCACCACACTTTTTTAAAAATTACCTGGAAGCTTCTTTGAGGATAACAAGCGTCTCCACAAAAAGCGAACTGCGACACCGCTTTTTTTCTTTCGTTTTGATCTGCTGTCATTCAGCGATTTCTCGTAAAATATCGTCATTCATATTCGGTCACCAACAGCCAATAAACTCATTGACAAATCAATATCGCCTTTCGGTCAACTTTATCTCTACAAAAAAAAAAAAAAAAAAAAAAAAAAAAACCACTTGTCTTTGTCAGCATGGCCGATTCACTCAGCCAACAGCGTTCTCTTGATACCGTTGCATCACCGATCACGTCAATGCGCTCAATAGAATCTTCTTCATCCACTCCAACTATCACAGCTCCACTCACCAGTACCAGCACAGATATTGAAAATGAAGACTCCAGTTTGATTCAACCCTCTCCAGTACAGCGCATGATCTCAGCCTGTGCTGGATCCCTACTGACTTCACTTCTCGGTATGTACAAAGTAACTTTTTTTTTTTTTTTTTTTTTTTTTTTCCTATATCTTTTTAGGCATGTTTCTCTTTCTTTCACAGGGTCATCTCTTAACTATATTTTCCTTATTTTGTGCTCTTGCGTATTGTGGCGATCAGTTACACCATTGGATGTTGTCAAAACAAGGCTTCAATCTCAAACAGTTGTGGCTACGCCCACATGTGCAGTGCCATTTACCTTTTCAAGTAACGCGTCTGCATATGAAAAGCTCTGTACATGTTGTCGAGAAGTCTTTTTTGCACCGGAATCACCTCAATCATCATCAACAACTGTTCGATCGGTCGCAGCCTCTGCGACTGCAGGAATTAGACAAAATATCGCCAATGTGCTTGCAGCAGGAGGGATTGCCAACGCTATTCGATCTTCTTCACAACAGCAACCAACTGACTCTTCACTTTCATCATCAACATCATCATCGGCAACAGCAAGGTCTTCATCTTCATATCATCCACATACCCATAATCACAGCCGTACTCGGGGCACAACCGCCGGTTGCGGGCCGAGTATTCAACAGCAGCATCAAGCGGGCACGGTCGTGGGAATGAAAGCGACGAAACAACAGCAACAGCGATTGGAACAGCTTGCTGCTAATTGTATAGAGAATAACCATGCCACAAAGGCTGCTCAAGAGCGATACTTTCATGGAACCTGGGATGGTGTCAAGAAGATTGTTCGGCATGAAGGTGCATCGTCCTTATGGAGGGGGCTTTCACCCACATTGATCATGTCCATTCCAGCGACTGTGATCTATTTCGTGGGCTATGATTATCTGAAAGATGTACTATCAGAAAGGGCAATGAAGGTGGAAAGGGATGATCTCTTCCTAGGAGGTTCATTCATTTATGAATACCGGACTACATTAGCTCCTTTAGTCGCAGGAGGATTTGCACGAAGTAAGTAGGACGTTGAGTTTTGTTATAATATTGTTTTGTTCGTTATCATCTCGAGTTTCTTTTTTTAACAACTCTTTTTTTTTTTTTTTTTTAACAGCCGTGGCAGCGACAGTAATCTCTCCTTTGGAGTTATTCAGGACTCGGATGCAAAGTGTTCATACAAACAATAAAGGCAATTCAGGATTATTCCGAGGAGTCTCACAAAGCATTGTGTCGATGGTCCGAGCTGAAGGTGTATTTTCTCTGTGGCGAGGATTGGCTCCGACTCTTTGGCGTGATGTACCCTTTAGTGGTAAGTAGTGGTACTTATTTGTCTCTCATCATGTCTATATAATGCAAAAAAAAAAAAAAAGGGCACGAATTTAATATTTTTATTTATCTTTATGAATAGCAATCTACTGGATGGGTTATGAAAATATCAAGAAGCGAATCGTAGCCTGGGATAGTACTCATCCACAGCCAGCTCTTAACGAGTTTGAAGTTGCTTTTACCAGTGGTGCAATCTCTGGCATGGTAAAAACAACAACAGCAACAGCAACAATAACAATAACAATAACAATGATCAATAGCGAACAATCAATGTTAATGCCCTATCTCAGCCAATACATAATGATCTGACTTTTTTTTTTTTTTTTTTTTTTTTTCCCCTTTCCTTATTAAAACAGGTTGCAGCTACGCTCACGACCCCATTTGATGTGGCTAAAACCCGTCGCCAAGTCGATATTTCTCAACCTGTGCACACAAAGACACTCTCGCTCATGAAGGCCATCCTTCGAGAGGAAGGATTTAATGGTCTATGGAGAGGTCTAACCGCCAGAGTTGCCAAGGTTGCACCGAGTTGTGCTATTATGATCTCAAGTTACGAAATTGGAAAGAAAGCACTGTCGGAACACTGGTGGGGCCTTGGTGCTTCTTCATCATCATCATCACCACCATCATTGATAACAGGATCTTCTAGTACAGGTGCAGCTAGTGGATCCGATGACCGACTAGTCTTAATGCGCGAGGGTCTTTCACATCCTATCTCATTAGGCCTTTCAGGAACACGAGCACGAGCCACTTCCTCTGCTTGATATTATTAATTAGAGTAGCATCTTTATAAAGAAAAAATATGATTGCTTTGTTCATGCTTTTACTTATTGAGCCACCAATGTAGAGAATGCTTATTTTATTTTTATTGTTTAAGAGAAAGAGAGTGGGGGATATATTTCATTTGTTTATATATTTACATTGCTTGCGGATAGAATTTTATGAGAACATCAAAAAGAGAAAAAAGTTGAGCAGCTAAAGAAGATCTTAAATGTGTATTCAAAAAATCTCTTAAGAAAGCACAGCTAGACTCTCTGTAAAGTCTCGCGAGTACTGCTCCTGTTGTTGCTTGAGAAGTAGATCATCATCCTCTTCCCCTCCATTCGGGGTACTGGATCCTGTACTCGAAAACTCTGCGGCATTCGAGGCCGTGGCAGAGTTGTGACGGACAACATCTTCAATGTCACTCAGTAATGATGCCGTAATAGGATTTGAGGGCAAAATAAGGTCAATCGCAGGGTCCAAATGACCTTGTCCAGTATAGATCTTATACTTGGTGTTGGCGATATCGGCATGGCAGAGTAGGTTAAACAATGTCGAAGATGAAAATGCAGGAATCAGCCCATCCTTCTCACCATGGATTAGCAAAATAGACTTTGGCAACACCTGTTCCAACAGCTCTGGTCTTTCCAAAGTCGACATAGCCGTGGCAAGGATCCAGGACGGTGAGCAAGCCAAGTAGTTGTTCGCAGATCGATGCATGACACGTGGCATAGCTGAAACCTCTTCGATGCCGCGCTTGTGTAGATAGACATAGTAATAGGTAATGTCGAAAACGCCTGAAAACAAAATTAGTCCACGAACACGCTCCTTGTAATTCTGAGACCCCTTTTCCTCTGTTGGTTCATCTTTAGGCCACGAAGGGATCTTGACCAAAGGTGTTGTATCGCCTTCAACGTCTGGCGCAGGAATTCCTCCAAGTTGTTCGATAGCGTCATGTATGATTGCCAAGGAGGAAACATGAGCTCCAGAGCCAGAGCCCATCAAATAAATATTGCTTGGGTCGCCTCCATATCGAGTTGCATTTTTGGTGGTCCACACAACTGCATCCTGAATGTCTCGAACCATATCTTCAATCTTTGCTTGTGGGTAGCGTGTATAATCAGGGACCACGACAATGTAACCTTGATTGGCCAAATTCTGTGCCATGGGCATCAACATACTCTTGTGGCCCGAATCCCATGCTCCGCCATAAACATAAATTAACACTGGACTTCCATTTGACTCAACCGTGTGATCAGAGTTAGCATCATCGTCTGTATGGTCTATTAATGATGTCGAAGTCGCAGAAGGACTTCCAATGTAGACATCTAGGCGATTGTCTGCACGTCCATAATGGATATTCCTATCAATTGAATAAAAGAGGGACAATTAACAGTTAGTTTAGAGAGAAACGTGGGGATAGAGAGAAAGGGGGAAAAAAAGGGGGGGGGAAGAGGACCAAGCTCTCAAAACCACGTGAATTTTGTGTATGACGAACTGAATGGAAAAAGGTGGAACGTGCTTAATGATGCGTTGTGGAAATCAAAGAGCTGATGATGGCGCAAATACTTACTTGAGGATGTCAGTCTTCTTGCTATTGGTAAGTTGGAAACGGGCAAAATGGCCAAACAATGGCACAAGACGCATAAGCTTGTTGAACTGAAGTCCAGCATATGTGCTGACGACCTTGTACACACGAATTGGATGATAGGGCAAATATGGGTAGGATTGTGGTGCATCTAATGATCATAGCACAGAGCACACAAGCACAGAGCACACAAGCACAGGGCATGCATGAAAATGCAGGAAAGAGGGAAAAGAACTAATGTCAACTTCGTGTAGCATGTAGGCTGGCAATTCGATGTTTGCATGATTAAACATTTCCCTCGTGTCAATGCATCCAGACATTGAGAGCAGTAGAAAAATAAACTACAGACATGAGGATTCAAACATAGAACAGGGGAGGGTTCTTGCGCAGAATCCTAGTGCTTTCGCATGAATACGTCCAGTCCAATTCATATGTCAGTGTGTGTAACACACAGTTAGAATGCTTACCTGTCTGAGCTGTTAAAGCGAAAGAAAAACAGCCGAGCCGGAGGTGATAATGTAACCAAGAGTAGAAAATAAAGTGATGATATCGATTAGTCTATATTCTTATTTGATGCTTCCATTTGTAACGAGCTAATGAAGGCTGAGAATGACGCAAAAAGAAATGTCATTCGGGGAGGATGCCAACTTCAGCTAGACTATCAACTATCATCCACTTATAGGTGAGTGCCTCGTCAGTTCGGTTTAGTTGCCAGTCTTATGACTAATTCCAGCCAATTCCCAACATTGGCGAGTGGTAATAGATAATTGAACACCACATAAGCGAATGTCTCAAATCTTTTATCGCAAGCAATATACAACACAACCCCAAAATCACGTTGGGCCGATGTGCTACTGTTTTTGTTGTTTGTTTGTTGTTGTGAAGATAAATGAAGGGGTTGATTTGGCTTCTGAGTTGAGAGCCATAATCAAGAGTTCAAGAGGCTCTGTTGGAGTGACTGAGAAGTGGAGAAAACAAAAAACAAAAAACAAAAAAAAGCTTTTTTTTTTCTTTTCTTTTCTTTTCGATTGACAGGGAGAGAAGGATAAGCGTGTGTTGGAGAGTGTGCTTCATCAATTTCACAAGGATACTTGCCATAGCGAAGATAAATGAGCCATGCAAACACATAGACAACGCCTATGATTATATTAAAGTCAATAGATTCAAGGTTAATAGCGGGGTTTGGAGTTATTGCAGAGAGGCCTGGTTTCTGAATCGAATCCAGTAAGGTGAGAGAGAGAGAGAATTGAATAGTACATAAACTTACAAGTGAGTGCGATCCAAAGAGGCAAGAAGAATGAAGCAATAAAGGCGAGCCACATGCGCTGCCTACGCGAGTAGGTTGTTGACATGGTCTTTCAATTTATTCTGTAAAAATGAGAGTTTTCTTGCTGAGGGAAATGGAGAGAAAAAAAAAAAAAAAAAAAAAAAGTGTGTTTTGTGAGTCGATGAGTGTGTGTTGTATTAGGTATTATGAGAGAAATGGAAAGAAATAGAGTAACGCTTGCTTAGATAAAGGGAGGATATGAGAAAGATAAGCCATATGAATAATGATTACATGGATTTGTAGAAAGACAGAAGAGAAGAGGATAAGATTAGGATGCGATGGAAGTAAAAACTAAAAACCCCTTGCTCCCACGCCTGGTAAAGTAAGTCATGTGATTGACCAATTAAACGCGATCTCTTATCAAATTTACCGAGGGAGCCGTAAAAGAACAGGTATTCTTTGGGCGTAACGATTGTTCAGTCCAAGGAATCCAGGAAAAAGGACTTGTAAACCTCCTGTTGGGGTTGAGTATAGACAGGAGGCCCAACTCTCACATGGAGCGTGCGACACCAAATCATCCGAGAGGATATTTTGTGATGTTTCAAAACATCTTCCCTTTCTCGTTGCCTTGAATTGACTGAAAGGAATCGTCTGTTCAGGAATGGTTTCGAGTTGTGGGATGCTATTTTTCAACCTGGATAAATCCCATGTGGATGAGAAGAAGTCTTTATTTTATTTTTAAGGGACATTTAATTAAGTGAAATGATAATGCCTCTTGATGTCAATGTGATATGGATGCAGTAGACATAATTAAAGGGATGCTTGTAAAAGAGAATAATAATAATGATAATTATAATAGAAACTACACTTTGTACCCACCAACAACCTCCGCTTTATCGTCTGTCAACACCACTTCTTCCTTGTCCCCAGTAGGAGTGTTATTGTTGTTGGCTCCCAAGACCTCCTCTACATTTAATGTCGTGCCCGCAGCAGCAGCAGCAGCCAACGACCGAAGCAAAGCCGCATTGATCGGTCCAGTCTCATCCACCATACTCGAGAAGACTGAATCAGGTCGACTTAGCAGATTAGCAGGTGTATCAAACTCCTTAATCTCTCCATGATCCAACACCAACACGCGCGAATAATCAATCACAGTGTTCAATCGGTGTGCAATTGTTAATACAGTGGAGTTGGCAAAGTCCACACGGATCGCCTTCTGCAACATCACATCAGTTGCCACATCAACTGAGGCTGTCGCCTCATCCATGATAATCACTCGAGCATGTGTCAGCATGGCTCTAGCCAGGCACAGCAGCTGTCGTTGACCCACACTCAAGTTCTCACCGAATTCGCTCACTTGAGAATCCAATCCTCCCTCCAACGATGCCACATAACTCTTGAGATCCGAGCGCTCAAGCACCTCCCAGAGCTCTTGATCAGTTCGCTTCTCGAATGGATCCAAATTAGAACGGATCGTGCCGCTAAACAATACAGGATCTTGAGGAATAATTGCCAGCCGTGTGCGGAGATCAAACAATCCGATTTTGGTGATATCGACATTGTCAATCATCATCGTACCCTTGCTTGGTTCCACCAAACGGAAGAGAGCCATCATAATCGAGCTTTTTCCGGCACCAGTACGGCCAACCACACCAATCTTCTCACCGCCCTTGATATCAAGCGAGAGATCATGAAGGACTGAGGGCAATCCAGGGCGGTAGCGCATCTCAAGATTGCGAATCGAGATCGCACCGTTGCTAGGCCAAGAATCATCAGGACGGTTGTCAGGGATGATCGTAGGAGCCTCAACAGTGAGCTCCTCAGCATAGTGATGCAGGCGCTCTACTGCGTTCATGTTATTTTCCTAGAGTTCGAAAGGTACAGATAAAACAGAAGAAGCATGTTATTCCCCTGTATCTCTATCTGATCATTCCAAAAAAACCCCCCATTGTTTCTTCTTCTTGGCTAAAATCAAAACCAAAAGGAACTTACCACTTCAGCATACTGGCGCACACACCAGTTAAAAGTTCCAGTAACGCTCATGGAATAACTAAGTACTAGACCGATGGTGGCAGGCGCAATATCAAATCGGCCACAGACGCCCAATAGCGATGTACATAAGACCAAGATGTTAGCAATCGTCTCCAAGCGCACACCCAACCAGCGTTGGATCGAGTAGCTCATGAAATAAGGCCGATTCTCCACATCAATATAGTATGCATTTTGTTCAACGAAGCGGTTTTGCACACGATAAGCGCGAATCGTAGCTAATCCACTCAATGTTTCTGAAAAATGAGCATAGAGCGATGAACGTAGGATCGAATCTAGACGCTTGAGCTCCCGAGATGAGGATCGATAATAGATCGCAGCATAATAATAGAACACTAACATAGGTACTAAAGGGATGAGGAAGTATGGGAAGAAGGCTGAGATCAAAATAAAGGTCGAGAGAACCATTGAGGCAGTTCCTAGGAACATTCTGTAACTGTCGCTGAGCAAGTTATCACAAGCATCCACGTCTTTTGAGAACCGATTGATGATGCGCCCTAAAGGCGTGGTATCAAAGAATGATGTAGGGGCACGGAAGATGTTCTTGAGGGCCTTGTGATGCAAAACTTTGGCTGCGCGAGCTCCAGCCAAAGAGAAATAGAAACCATTGATGAACTGGAAAATACCCTGAGCGATACCCCAGGCAGCATAGAGACCCATGTAAAATTTTTGCGTTTGGTTGAATTGATCTGCTGTCCACCAGCTCAACCAGAGATCGTTTCTAAAATAAGATTGTTACAAAAGTGGAATGACAAGGATGCGTTCGTTAGTCATCAATGTTTCTTTTGTTCTATTAAATCATACGCGCCTTTAAGAACCAGATCTTAAGGTGCGGTCCAAAAGGACAGCAAAACACATACCCAACTTTAGTAACTTGGGTCAGTGTGAGTAAAAGCAAAATAAGAGGAAGTAGATAAATGCCACCAGCTGCGCTAATGTAGGCCTTATAGATCTTGCCATCAACAGACCCTGTGGAACGTTCTTCTTGCGACATCAGCCCCTTGCGCTTGCCGCCGGGGCCTGTAGATGCTTTACCAGACTCTTCTTTCTCCTTGACATCTTTCTTTTCGTTGTTGTTACTGCTCTCCGTAGCTTTGCTGACTCCAGCGATCGTTGAATCGACGCTATTATCGTCGTTGACCTCTTCCAAATCCTTATCAATATCCTCAATACCGCCGTGAGCCTTCATCAATGAAGAGAATTCACCTTGATTGGCCATTAGCTCTTGGAATGTTCCACGTTCGACAATCTCTCCATCCTTCATACAGATCACATAGTCAACTTGAGGCAATACATGAAGCTGATGTGTGACTAAGACACGAGTCTTGTCCTGTAGTGCGCCCATGATGCAGTTCTTGAAGAGGTATTTGCCAACGTGTGCATCAACAGCGGACAACGGATCATCCAACAACACGATATCGGCATCAAAGTACACGGCACGTGCGATATTAACACGTTGTTTCTGACCTCCAGAGAGATTGATTCCTCGCTCTCCAATCTCCGTCTGATCGCCGTCTGGTAAAATTTGGATATCACGTTCCAGTGCACAGTCTTTGATCACACGTTGATATCTTTCCTCATCCAAAGGGAGACCAAATAGGATATTATCCTTGACAGTTGCATTTTGAATCCAGGCTGTCTGAGGACAGTACCCAATCGAACCACCGTACTCCATTGAGCCACTTATTTTCCTCATCTCTCCGACCAAGGCATTCAACAACGACGATTTGCCGCTTCCGACTGCTCCCACGATAGCAACCAGTTGACCACGTGGAATCTTAAGATCAATGTCTTTGAGCGAGAATGCGGCCTTGTCATCTGACTGAACCGAACTTTGATGAGCTTCGCTATCCTCTGGTGAACTTGTCAAAATAGACTCTGTATCAGGTGAGGGATCCCTCTCCTGTAGTCTGGAGAGCATCTTTTCCTGAGCCAAGTTGGTTTCGCTTGAGCGTTCTGACACGGATTTTTCCTGTTGACTGTCTCTATATAGTTTCTCGGCTTCGAGTACTGAAATGTTATGGGCCTTGGCCAATTTCTTGATCGCCTTCTTCTCCGCACGCTCCTTGGCCTTGAGTTCCTTCTTTTGCTCCTTCTTTTGTTCCTTTTTATTGAGCACACGCTTGCGCTCCTCTTTTTCACGCTGCTGCAACTCTTCCATGGTCAGAGGCTTGAGTGTAGTGTCCCATTGGAAAGCGCCCTCCGTGACATTAATAGCGAATTCCGAGTTGGCGTTGACAGGAGGGAGATCTTCCAGCTCTTCTGCCAGAAGCATATCTTCAATACGACGAATTGAAACCAATGCATCAACCATGGAAGACAAAACCTGAGGGAAAATCATCAAAGGCATTCTCATGATGTTGAATAGCGACAGAGATGAGAAGACGATAGCGGGGGTTAGGTCGTTGCCGGCAAGTGAGTAGGCAACAAATGTCAATGTGGCAGCCAGTACAGGAACGGTCAAGTTTACGGCCGCAATGCCGGAACGAGATATCAAGAGGGTGCGGACATATTTGAGTTCCTTAGTACGAAGCTCCTCAAGTTTCCCTAGGAATGCCTCTTCCCATCCATAGAATTTGATTACGCGCATCCCTTGTAGTACTTCCTGTGTCAATTTGACACGGGTGTCGGTGATCAAGGATGTTTTGCGACGAATGACTGAAAGCGACTGAACAATTTTAGCCTGGATAGGACCGAACATAACCAAGAAGACGAAGCCCACAAGAGCTGTAGGCCCCAGGTTGACAAGGAGCAGAATCAAGATGAGGGTGATCATGAGAGGAGCAGTCCAAAGAATGTGAAAAAAGCCAGTAAGGAGGTCAAGACGCGTTGTATCTGTCGACATGAGATTGGTGATCTTTCCGGTTGAAAAGTCTTGCTTGGCCTTGGAACTTAGAACAAGTCCCTTGTGATAGATGGTGGTGATTAAAGAGGTGCGAACACCAACACCGGTAGTGGTGGAACGTTGCCAGAACTGATGAAGAGAAATAGTAGCGGCGATACCCATTACAAAAAGAGCGATGGCCATCAAAATGCCATGCCACAATGGAGGAGGTGACTGGCCATTAGCGCGATCTACAACACTACAATGAAATTTAGGGGGGGGGAAAGAATGAGTTAGAAGCCTGGAGTTTAGGGATGCAAATGCCTTTGATGCTGTACAGGGCTGTAAATTACCTATCCTGCACAAAGTCAATGATAGCCTTGGTAACCAATGGTTGAAAGACCTTAATTCAATTTTCGGTTGCAGGAAGTTAAAAAGGCGTTTTAGTATATTCTCGGATAAATTCATTACATTGCATGGGACAAATGAAGTGATCAGGCTCAATTTATACTCGGCAGAGGAAGGCAAAAAAAAAAAAAAAAAAAAAAAAAACTTGGGACCCCAATATACCTGGAGAGAATCACCGATGACTTTGAGGAAACCCGCGGACCAGAATTGCCAAAAAAATGTTTGGTTGAGGGCTTTCCACAGCTTGGGCCGATATGTTTTCTCCTTATCCTTATCCTTGTTCTTTTTGCTTTTTTTGCCTATAGTCGTATCATTCACATCTTTTTCGTTCTGAAGGTCAGAATTGAATGTGTCCACGCCATTGTTTTTCAAGGCCAGGGTACTTCCTTTACCCTTTGCCAGCTCTTGGCCCCAGCACTCACGGAAGCGGGTGGAAATGTAGCTAGCGCGCCGTCTTTCGGTCATCTCCCAAAGATCTTCTTTTTCTAGAGGACGTCTTGATCCGGTAGACATCACTGGCTGGACCCAGGTAAAGGTCAAGCGCGAGAAGATGGAAGCCGTGAACTCAGGACAGACGCCGGGCGAAGTACCCGGCTCTGGTAATGGGGGAATCTTCTTTTCTCTTTTAAATAGTTTCATAGTTGTGATGTAAGCGTGAACGCGCGAAAAATATTAGGCAATTAATTCTGTAGAATGATAATAATATTAACAGTTGTTAAAGGGTTAAAATAAAATAATAATATTAAAAAAAAGAAATAAAAGGATCAGATGGAATGAATGAACAAATGGCAATGTGGGACTCTGATGAAGAAACAGCTCTCCAGTTTTTGGCACAGCAGTGAATAAAGAAATATAGAGAGGGGGGAATTATGTGAAGTCAAAGTAAATTTGCACACAAAAGAGCAAGGAATGACTTGTTGGGCTAATGGTATTGCATTGATATGAATCCCTTGCTGCAGAAGAAGGTACGTGGGCAAAGGATGAGCTGAAGGAAAAAAAGAGAAAAGAACAAAGAAAGCAAAGGAGTGGGAAAGAGAAACCGTGGTCCTCTGGAATAAGTTGTTCTTTTGTACCTCAAGTGCTGTTCTTTTTTACTCCTTTTGGATTGCATTTTCTCTTCTCTTTTCTGTTCATCTGGGTTTGGGTAAAACCTTGATTTGTCATGCCATTGAATTACGATTTAACGACTGAATATGGTTAAAATTTAACAGGAATGATTTACTTCTTTTTTTTTTTCTGCGACATTGTTACATTATCCTAAGACTAGTTTTTCACTCCCTCGATGCTTCTTTCACTCCTTGGCGCAGCACGTTGCGACCATCTTTGTATATGTCAATCTTGAATTTACCCTTATTATCGCCCATCCTTGCCCATTCTTGGCAACACTCTGTCCCTCTTGTACGATGTACGTCCACACAAGTTTACCCATTGTTGTGGAGGAAATCAACAAACCATGCATTCATCCCACTCCCTATTTTTTTGACTGCGCAAACCTGTTCAATATTCTCACCCAACTGCTTCTTACTCATCCATAGACACTGAAGTGAGAAATGAAGGATTGGGGTGAGAAAAAACTATTAAAGCAAGCAATAAAGTTGCACCTAGTTTCAATGTGCCATTAACAAGTGATCGCATCATTTAAACTGCTAGGTGGGAGAATCATTCAGTCCTGTTGATATAATTTTGCTGGCTTCGAAAGCCAATGATCTGCATGCATCTGAGCACAATATAAAGAGAGAGAGAGAGAGAAAGAGAGAGCGCGGAATCATATCGCTATTGATCACAAAAAAAAAAAAAAGCTTAAATGCCATTGATAATATGCTAATGTGTGGAGGGAAAGAAAGAGGATGAAAGACCTAATGTCGATGACATGACACAGTACATTTCATCTAAGGGCTGCAACCTGCACCAAAAAATCCAATAATCTTTTGTCGATGGAATGTCATCTCGCTCGTGTTAGTGAAATGATGATTATTGCAAAATCTGCTTTTTTCCCTTCCCACAGTCTAATTCGTGCGCAAACTATGTGGATATGAATGCGTATCAATGACATTTTTTTAAAAAAAAAACCGGAAAAACCTTCAATACAACATAAAAATGCATAGCAGACACATGTCTGAATGTAACCAATCAATATCGATTTTCGCATATTTGTTCTCATGAGCACTAAGCGGGACCATTAAATCAAGGCTCGCGTGGCAGATTCAATATAATAGTGAGCTTATGAGGTTCTCTCTACCTTATCCATAAATAACTTAAAAAAGATAGGCTTTAGTGATGTTTGTAAACTCAAGGTATTAAAACTATGCAATATCCTTTTCTTCTGCCGTTATCTTAGCATCATCAGTAGAATTATTCTCCAACTTGACGCTCTTTTCTACAAGCTCAGATTCGTTATCTTGCCTAAAAAACAAGCAGAAAAAAACAAGTAAACAATAGGTATTGATCAGTATATGCACCCTGGTCTATCATTATTTCTTTTAGAGCTAAAGCAACAGTCTGTAGATCCATCATCCTTACGCCTTGCGCTTGTTACTTCCAGCTCTTGCTTGCGGCCCCCAGTTCTTGGTTGGATTCATCTGGTATCGTACAAGATTGGCCTTTCTCGATTCTGATCGAGCATCTGGATGCATCTCAAAATTAGCAATCTTCTTAGGCTCTACCGCTAAGATCCTGCCTGCTGGTGAATCTGGCTTAATATTCTTCACTGGATTCAGCTTTACCCAAGAGCGCATAACATCCCATACTGCAGAGGACGGTGCATCTGTCTTGATAGAGCCTTGCGCTGCATGGGATCCTGAGACTCTGTATCCATCGTGAAGCAAAGCTGATACAACATTGAGAAGAGGGATGCTGGTACAATGGATTGTTCCTGAGAGTCCATTGGCAGTGTAATAAAATGGTGTCTCAATCTCTTCTTTACAAACAGTTAGCATGCCCAAAATACGAGGTTGTGTTTGATAAAGAGCAGTGGCACCCTTGACATGGTTTAACATACGCTCTATGAACGCCACCGAATGAAGTTCTTTACCCCACATTGGACCTGCAACCTGCAAGTGAGCAAGAGTTATATTAGGTTGTTTAGTGACTTGGACCATCGTGTTAACCATCTTCATAGATAATTATCAGCTTAGTCATAGCAGAAAACTCACATGGAACCTAGAGCCACAATGCTCACAAGTTTGATTTACGGGTGGCCCTGTATTGACACCAAACTTCTTATTCCCCTTTGCGTTCTCCGATACTTTACCAAGGGATTGTGTATAGCTGGACTGGCATCCTGAACAAACATATGCTAGACAAGTCTTGCTTGCCGTCATCTTGACCTCTGCAGCTGAAGAGTAGACACGGACGAAAACACGGAGGTAATAGTCGATGCTCAACGATACCATAGGCACGATATGCCTCTTATAGCGTGCAGCCGAAGCTGAAAGAGTATTAAGTACTAGGCGAAGAGCAACTTCATGACAAAACTCGGCTTTAACTGGATGTCCCCCGTACTTGGCATAACTGTGAAGGAGAATATCAACACGGATTAGGATTATCCATGTTTTAGTCTGTAATAGCGACCTATGTTATCTTTATTGCAGTATGGTGGAGTATTGTGACATACCATGTCTCCGTGTAATTGCTTCCAGCGAGAACTCCTAAATCTGTGCAGGTAACGCAGAGCAAGCCTGGAGTGTAATAGCCAATAGTTAATGTTTTATGAGTATCCTAGCGCATATCCAACCATCTGTTGCCATCAATTGGTGTCAATTGTGATGCTAATATTTTACCTCCATCAGAAACAGCTTGAACAGCGCCGTCAATGAATGGTGATGCAGTTCCATATGGATCCAGATCAATTACATCGTAGCGCTTGAGAGGATCGCGGTGCTGATAGAGAACATCGCTATGGTTTGTCCGCATTGAAAAAAGCCAGTTATGAGCAACTGTCGATCCCGACTCGTCTTTTTAGCAATATCAAAACGATCCAGCTCCAATGCCTTGAGCTTACATGGCATCTCCTTGGTGAGGTTCTAGTAGGTCCGAGCTAATCCCGTTAAACTCAGCATTGCGTTTAATAGAAGCAACCGCATCTGCCTCAAGGTCGTTTGTCAGGATATGCTTAACATTAGGAATCTCTTTGGCATATCGGATTGACCTCAGTCCTGATGCAGACAATGCCTCCAAAATGGTAATCCCACGGGGTGCTGTTGGATCAACAGCTCCTTGAGGGAATTCTCTTTCTGGCAATGGCTCCAATCCTTCCTGTGCTCTCTTTGCTGCTGCAGCCTCCTTGCGAGCCTGTTTCTCTGCACGTTTAGCCGCCCGCTCCTCCTGAAAAATCTCATCCCATGTCCGGATAGCAGCGATCGAGATGTCTCTGTTGAATTGCTGGATAGGATTATAAAAAACCTCATTGGTATCTGGGAAGAGGATAGTAGCTTTGCCCTCAGTGACCTTTGTAAAACCAGCTGGTGCTGGTGCTGAATCCATGTCGGCCATACCGTGATGCTTTGTTAGAGGCACAGTGGCGTAAAATCCAGAGGTGGCGGTGCGGACGGAGAATCCTCGTGAGTGTCGTTGAGCGGGCGTAAGTGATACTCGAGATAGTTGGGCTGCTTTTACAGATAGCTTCCCAAACAATTGTGGTAGCGGGAAACCAGTCTTTTTCGTGACACTAATAATCCAAAAGGGAAATGAGGATCTTGATGTCAAGGAACCAAAGCTCATGTAATAAAGCTGATCAGTTTGTGGTAAATTTTTTTCAAGAAAAAAAAGAATAAGCTAAAATGTGGGCGGTGGCTTTGAGCAATCCTTTGACCTTGTGAGGAAAGTTCAGTTTGTCTGTCAGTCGACTCTGATACTGTAATCCCTCTTTTCTTTTTGTTCTTTGTACTTCCTTCTTTTCCATTCCATTCTACTCGTCCCAACTTCCATCGATTCAACCACAGCATATATATCAACTATGAACTCTCCCAGCACTGCACACCACCGTGCCTTTGACGAGCACTCTCGTCTGTAAGCAACTATTCATGACTTGCTCGCTGTCCAAGAAAAAAAAAAAAAAAAGAGCGACAGGGCCTCGCTTTGCGTTATGGAAAACTTGTGTTGCTAAGCAGCTAATTCCCATCGCTTTTCTTAATAGGCAATCCAAACCCCAGACTTTGGATGATATTTATGGTGAACCCGAAAATTTTTTGGAGATTGAAGTCAGGAATCCTCAAAACCACGGTAAGGGGATAACAATCGACATAATTCAGCATAGGACGAAGCAACCCATCTCAGTCAGAACATAATCAATCACCTACCGACTGCTTCCGACAGAACATAGATTACTGCATCATCTATCTTTTATTTCCCCTCCTTTCTGCTTCCTTTTTCCCTTGTGACATTGAGCTTGTTTCTGTTATTGGGAAGGAAGCTATTATGTCTCAATTGATTTCAATCACGAAATCGTGGGATGTTTCTTGTCAGACAAGACCTTGAAGGCTGGGAAAGCATGGCTGGAACCGGAAGCTTCCAGAAAACTGTAGACGTTGAAAAAGAGATCTACTAAAGCTGTTAAAAAGGGAAGATGACATCTTTTCCATCTCGGATTGTCATCGCTTTGACGCTGCCTTGATGAGGAAAGAAAACAACAGCAGGGATGGTGGTTGATATCTCTGGTTGATATCTCGCTTTGCACAAATATTCGATGTTGGCTGACCCGGATGGGCCTCCTTTTTTTTTTTTTTTTTTTTTTGAGCACTGACTAACCGAATGATGCTCGATTTGCATCTCTCCTATTTTATAAGGTGTTGCCCGCAAGATGTTTACTGACTACGAAATTGTCTGCCGTGTAAGTTTTTTTTGTGCCGCATGACCTACCGCGGTCTGTTTCTGTGTTCTATATCCCTTCTTTTTTTTTTTTTTTTTTTTTTTTCTTTCTTTCTTTCTTTCTTTCTTTCTTTCTTTCTTTCTTCTATCCTCTTTTGAAAATATGCCATAAAGTTCAAGTGCACATGTTCATGCGCACACACCACCTTCGTCTTTTTCAACCTATGGTTCCAATTGTTGTTCTTTTAATGCTCTTTGTGCAACTCGTTCCGTAATCGGAATGAAAACAGGTGAAAAAGAGCATAGTTAAGGGGATAGATAGTCGATTTATTGCACGCACGCGACACTGTCAGAAAGCTATCGACTAATTTTTTTATGATTATTATTAAAACTACCCATATAGACAAACATTCCAGCTTTCAAGTTGAAGAACTCATCAGTCCGCCGCCGTTATTCTGACTTTGAATGGTTCCGGGATGTGTTAGAGCGCGAGTCTTCCAGAGTTAATATTCCTCCATTGCCTGGAAAAGTTTTTACTAATCGCTTCACAGATGAAGTCATTGAGCAACGTCGCGAGGGCCTGGAGCGATTTTTGCAGATGTAAGTACAATTGAAATGGCATATGGGTCATACACATGCTTCTAACACCAGGTTGTTCAAATATAAACTAAACCTGTTATCAATACTTTGCAATTTTCTCTTATTGGTGTGCTGGTTATAGTGTTGCTGGTCACCCTCTTTTGCAAACAGGAAGCAAGGTGCTTGCAGCCTTTATTCAAGATCCAAGCTTTAGCAAGGATTATTATCATTATTAAACTCTTCAGATAGGATTGTCATCCTTTAGCCCTTTTTTTTTTTTTTTTTTTTTTTTTGTACTTTCTTTCATCACTTGGAGCTGCGAACTTCAGGACAAATTCAACGTCCTGATAAACTGGTTCAGCACTTCCCTCATCGAATCTACTTGTATACTATCCAACTTTTCATGGATGGGCTGCACCTGACAAACAGGCTTCTGTCGCTTCTCTGTGCTTAAAAAGGCAAATAATTAAAAAAAAAAAAAAAAAAAAAAAAAAAGCATTGCTAGTGGACGATGATTGCGCAAAGGGTTCTAGTGAGCCATTCCGATGTTTGTAACAGTACCTAAGAGCAAGACATTTTTATTGTTGCAAAGACGAAGACGAGGGAAAGTTATTTTGATGCACGGATGCTAAAACCCATTTCCCTCTGCATTTATTTACTTAATGGCATTTCAAAAAAGGAGCAGGATCTACAGATCGAAGGACTAACACAAACAACAATGAGACCACTCAATGGATTCAAGTGTTTGTCATCTTTTGAAACAGGCGGGAAAAGAAAAATAAAAAATATTTGATCTCTGAGCGGAGCAGCCAAATGCACACGACAGATGTCTAATTGTCCAGCTCCGTTAAACAATTTACAGTAACTGGGGGTAAAGAGATATCCCAGCTTTCTAAAAAATATCGTTAGCCAATGTCCATTTTTTTTTTTTTCTTTGTTGCACAAAAAAAAAAAAAAAAAAAAAAAGAAATCAATACTCTTTTGCTTAGTCGAGCCATAGTGTAGGCACATCGCGCAATCTGCCTAAATAGTATCCGATGAAAATCACTTTTACTTGTGAAAGTATTTTTTTTTTAAAAAAAAAAAAAAAAACTAGAGCTGAAGCGCGTTTTCGCCTGAGATTATGCCAAGTTGATTTGTCATGTCTACACATCTGCGCATAAGCGTTTGAACTTGTCATTCATGTTCATTAACCTGGCCATCATCGTCATTTTGTACAGAAGCACTTTCTGATTAAAACGTCCGTAGCGTAGAAGTAGTATGGCAATACTTTTTTTTTTTTTTTTTTTTTTTTTTGATATCATTTAGTGTTAGTCTTTCAGCAAAACGTCGATGACTCTGACAATTATCCAATGAACTACTTTGACAGACAACAATCGTACCACTGAGAATGCTGACATGATCACGCCTATTGACGTTACTTCATTGTAATTGTAGGTTGTCCAGATTACAATACAGATTTGGCCTCAACAAACTAGAGGAGAATGACGCCAAGATCTTTTTATTTTCACTCCCTTTGATTTTTTCGTGCGACATTTCACGGGCTAGAGTCAATTCAATTACAATTCAAGGACCTTGTATTGTAAAAAAAAAAAAAAAAACGTTTTTTTTAATTGATTAGGATCGAACCAGACAGGAACTTGGTACATGTGCAACCTAATGCTGCCTGGCTTAATTGTGTTTATTTGATTTGAAATCTGATAGTGAAATAATCCCCTTGATCGTCTGTGTTTTTTCTTTTTCTTTTTCTCTTCCTATTTTCCTTCCTCCTCTTTCTCTTCCTCTTCCTCTTCCCTTTCCTCTTTTTCTTTCTCTTCCTCTTATTCTCCCTATCTCTCTCTCTCTCTCCTCACCTTGTCTCGACTTATTTCACCCAACAACTCCTCCCTCTCCTCCTTAATTACTTCTCTCTATCTCACACGATCACATTAATCTGGATGCTGCGACCACCAAGATTGCTCACGGTGCTGCTTGCCTGCTGCATCTTTCTCTTCATAGGGGTTATCCTCTCTTCATCAGCTCCTTCTCCTTCTCCTTCTCCTTCTTACCTTCCCTCTTCATATACCCCTCGTCGTCCTACCTCCCTCAGAACCAGAGTCAATACTTATTATCATACCAAGAATGATCAAAACTCTCTTTCTTCCCCTTCCTCTCCTGGACAAGAGGATCTGCAATCATCATCCAGTGACAACGTTCAGAGGCAAATTTCGTCAAACAAAGTGACTCGTCAACTGCGATCTACCAAAAAATCAATCACTAAGCCCACATCCTTGCCCGCCAAAAACCCTGTAACCTCTCCTGCTAAAGGTGATCATCAACAACAACAACAACAACAACAACAACAAGATCATTATGGCTCAAAACGAGTTCAGGAGAATGAGACTCGATATTTGATGTATATTCCTTACGCAGGTATAACGAACCAGTTAATCTCAATTTGGCATGGTTCTTTGATCGCCAAGGCTCTGAACCGGACCTTGCTTATCCCCAACCTGAGCCCGAACGTACATGTGGAGATCAGTGGTGACGAACAAACTGAGCCGGCACCAAGCAGATGGTCTGAATTCTTCGATCTCGAGTATTATTCTGAGAAGACTGGCCTGAAGCTTGAAGAGCTGGATACCTTCTTGGCCAAGAGAGGGATTGTGGAGCGATCGAGTGTTCCAGAAGACATATTCAGTATCAACAACGACAAAAATAATGACAACATTAATAAGAATGGCAGTGGCAGACGAATGAAGCGATCCCTCAGCATTCACCAGGATAAGGGCTTTAAAGAAAGGGACAGGAAGAGAAAGGTGAACAAGAGATGGATTCAGTTGGGTTCACCTATCGTGTCATCTTCTTCTACATCTTCATCCCCATCCTTATTTTCATCCTCCTCATCCACTTCCACGTCGACTTCGACGGATACCCTTACTTTAAACTACCGAACCAATCTCTCTCCCTCTTCAGCAGCCAAAAAAGTTCCAGTCTTTCGGCCAGTCAAATTCCCCGCAGTCCAGAAATGCTTCAGTGAGGCTGGGTATGGCGCAGATCATCGGATCGACATGACCGGCCGCCAATTCCAGCAGAGATATAATATTGATCCACAGCTAATTCCGACTCCCTATCTCGATCCCGAGAATGACAATAAGACTATTTGGTCCCGTTGGCGCATGGATAAGGTCATAGAGCGGTATCAACAGCCGGAATATAATCAGCAGGAGATCTTGTGTCTGGGACATGTCTACAGACTCTTACCCGGAGGAGTGAATCGTGCCTGGGTTGAGTTCGGCCAGCACTTTCGATACACAGAGAAGGTGGAACATTTCATTGATGAGATCTTGGAAAAACTTTTACCCAGAGATCAAACAGAGGAGCAAGCAGGCAATGTTGAGTCCGTTCAGCAAGATAGAGGTTTCAAAGACCAAGATACCGAGGTCCATGCTGAGATCCATGCTTCCAGTCCACAACCTTTTATTGGCGTCCATTTGCGTCGAGGAGACTTTTATCACTACTGTCTCGGTATCACATCCCCTGCAGATCCTAACGGCTGGAACCGATGCTACCCTTCCACAGACCACATCATTTCGCTCGTCAACTCCTTTGATTTCAGATCTTCATCTTCCAGATCACTTTCTGACTATTCTACCTCAATAGTGCCCTCGTATGATGAGAATATTAACCCCGCTCTTGTTAAACGCCAGCAACACCTTTCGGAGTCTGTTATAGACAACGATAACAATAGCAATAACAGAAGCATCAACAAACCAAAAAAGCCCCCTGTCCTCGTTCTGACTAATGAACGTGATCCTGCAGAACTCGCAAAGGCTGATTCACAGGGCTGGATCAGAGTTGATCACGAGCGCTTGGGAACGCTAGAACGATTTGGACGGTACGGTCCAATCTTGATCGATGGAGCACTCCTCGCGAGAGCTACTCTGCTGATCGGAGTCGAGTATTCCACTTACTTTAGGACTGCCAGCAAGCGAGCCGAAACCTGGTATGCTGGACAGACATTGCTGGTTACATAAAAGGCTAAAAAAAAAAAAAAAAAAAAAAAAAAAAAGCCTTGGTATATACATACTATATATCCTCTTTGCATTATACATTTATTCATATATATATCTACCTATCTCATTCATAAGCTTTCCTTGTACTTTTAAAACATTCCACTCATTCACACAATCTGTATCGTAGCAATTTGCAAATAAAAAGAAATATTAAAAAGGATAAAAAAATAAAAAATAAAATAAAAAATAAAAAGCAATAATATACATATTAACAAAACTTACGGATACCAAGAAAGAAAGAATGAAAGACAATAATAAAGTAAGAAAAAAAAAATCCTTAAAGGTTTGCATGATCAGTTTACTACTCCACATACACCAAAAATTTATTCGTCTCTAGATAATGTCTTGCAAGCGCTTTGCCATCTCCTGTCGGCTGTGAGAATGCTAGATCTTTGCGCTCCAACTTGCATGCGTAGATAAATCGATCCCGAACCGCATCCAGCAATCGACTCGCAATTCCTTGACGTCGACAATGGGCTGATACCCAAATGCGGTTGATCCCACAGATAGCAGATTGAGGGACTATACTACAGAAAATGGCTGATCCCGAATGATCACTAGTTGTCATTGAAGAAGAAGAAGAAGAAGAGGAAGTAGAAGGAATCGATGATGCCGATAATGAAGTGGAGATAGAAATCTCGTTGATACCCGATATATTAGTTGCAGGAGGATTATCAGAATCCATCATTTTTGTTTCCATACTGCTGCAGCTGCTATTGGAGCCAGAAGATGGCAATGACAATGTTGCTGTTGACGACGATATTAATGATGATGATGCTGATGATGATGGTGATGATGAAGTAGGTAGAGCCTCAGGACTTGAATCAGCACTCAAAATTTCAAATCCTTGTTTGATCCGCTCTGCAACAACACACCCAATGACTTTTTTCTTGTTTGAGATATACAGGAATATTTTACACGACTCAAGTTGCTCCGGATCAAAGTCAACAGAACCAAGTTCCTTATTGACTACTTCGAGTACCTCCCTGACCTACACACACACAAATTAAAGATTTATAGTTTAGTCCTCCTTTTCCCAGGGTATCATTAAAAGTAAATAAATAAATAGATAAATAAATAAAAGGGCAAGCATGGGTTTGCACAAAGACCATTCTCTCCTTCCCCCCCCCCCCCCCATTTACCTTCCTCTTCTCCACTGGCGAGGCTGGCTTCCCAGCATCTGACATGGAGATCATGACGATCCGTGAGTTAGATAGATTAGAATCCATCGCAGATGACGACGACGTTCCTACACTAACTCGACGGTTCTTGTTTTGGTCGTTTGCTGAAGTTGTTCCAATATCATTAAATTGCGCCACAACCACCTCATTTTTATAACCCGGATAGTCAACCCCGCCAAGGGCCGCTCGATGGTATGAATCATGTGTCCGCTCATCCTCAGGTTGTCCACGCACATAAGGCATGCCACACTTTGGGCACTGATAATGTTGCTTCAATTGATCATCCTCTCGCTTGAGTTTCGTTGTAGGCTTTTTGAGAGTCATCTTAGCAGTCGCAGCGGGGTTTTTAGATGGTGATGGTAATGGTGACGATGATGATGAAGAAGTGGGGGGCATGATGGGAGGTTTGGACCGATCTTTTGGGAAAGAGAGAAAAAGCTGTTCCAGTTTCTTGGATGATTCAACTTCCTTAGTGACAGTTGCTGTCTTTGTAGCATGCGAATTTCCACAGGTTAAAGCTTCAGTCTTCATATCAGACCCATCTGATGTAACGTCTAGATTGCTGCCATTGCTGTTACTACTGCCAGTTCTGTTGTTACTGTTGTGGCTGCTGTCAGTGCTTTGAATGCCAGTGCTAGATTTGTTTTTGAGAATACCAGTGCCCTTGCCTGCGTAGGTCATGAAGAATGACGAGAGTGTAGGCTGCTTTGAAGGTATCGTTGTTCCGGTCCCTGATGCATGGCAATCGCGGTCGTGCTTTTTAGCATCAAGTGGTTTCTTCTTTTTAGATCCTGAATTCATCGGCAAGGGAGTCGAGGAAGGAATGGTCGAAGCGATGGGTAATGGGGTAGCTGTTGCCTGATTCTGCTGGTTGGATGAAGGTGCTGATGACTGAACTTCATGTTGATCCAAGCCTTGTTGCTGTCGTTGTTCAGGATCATGGTATCTTTCAGATATTGACAACGTCTTTTTGGTCCACAGACTTGGTCGTTTAGATACTACAGTCTCCAAGGCTTCAAGTCTACGCTTGGAAGGTGCTGCTTTCTGTGGAATCAGATCTACTTCCTGTTCGAGTCCATCTCTCAGAGAGGCAACGCTTTTATCTCCTATGTTCTTTTTGCACTGTTCCTTTGAACTTGATGAGAGCGAAACGGAAGGGGTTGATTTTGGGAAGCCATCGTCATCGTCATCGTCATCCTCATCCTCATCCTCATCTATTACTCCATTTTCTTGACCAAAACCATGGTCATCTGAATTCAGTTTAGTGTGGATCAATTTATCCACCAGATAGCGGGTTCCTCGCGTAGAATGATTTGAAAACTCAGGTCTCTGCCTTGAGGGGGTACTGTTGGAACTCTCGAAAACATTACTGTGGTTGCTGCTGTTGCTGGCCCATGGGCCTAGCGAGGAGAGTGAGCCCTGTTCAGAGGATGAAGAAGAAGTAGAGGAGGAGGAGGAGGGAAGAGAGGGTTTGGTGCGTCCATAGGTGGTTTTGACGGTCTTGTGAAACTTGTATTCCCTAAGATGAATAAGGCGAGCCGGCCCAATGAGTTTTCAGTTTGAATGCAAAGAGAGGGGGGAAATACGAAATACGACAATGAGTTTCTTTGCCTGAAGTCGGTTACCTCCTTGATGTGTCTAACGTAGTTGGTTGTCCCGAGTTCCCAATAGGGTCTGATCCTGTCAGTTTGTTCATTGCTACAGACATGGCAACTTTTTTTTTTTTTTGAGAACGAAGAACGTGTTTTTCTTGTCAAACTTTAAATTACACGTCACTTAGGCGTATATAAATTGTGTAACTCTATATAAATGTAACTTGTTTATAGACATTGACTACATTCCTTTTGAAACATTCTTTTTTTTTTTCAACTTTCATTTATTCTTCAACATGACGACGATTTCGCGTTCATACACTCTCTCAAATGGAGTTGAGATGCCCTCAGTAGGATGTATGTGATAATAATATATAATCTTAAGCTTGAAATCGAAGAAGAAAAAAAAAAAAAAAAATAAGAATAAAAATAAAAAAAAAAAATAGTAATAAAAGTAAATTGACTCTATAAAAAATAAATGTTTATACAGTAGGAACATATAGAGTCCAGGATGAGGAAATGATCGATGCATGCATTCTGGAGGCTCTCCGATCCGGATACCGCCTTATTGGTAAATGCTTTCTTATATATATATATATATATTTACTGCTTTTACTACATCCTTCTTGATGTTAAGAGTTTTTTTTTTTTTTTTTTTTTTTTTTTTTTTTAAAAAAAAACGCTTTTTTTTGAATCCTTAGATACAGCAGCCGTTTACAGGAATGAAGTTGCGATCGGCAAAAGTTTGAAGAGGATCTTGGAGCAGAATCTTGTCCCAGGACTGACTCGCCAGGATATATTTCTGACAAGCAAGTTGGGTAAAAAAAATAAAATAAAATAAAGATAAAAATAAAAATAAAAAAAAAAAAAAAAAAAAAAAAAGTTCTCGCTCATTCCCTAATCACCGATAAAAATATTGTTATAGCACCCAAGGATCAGGGTTATGAGGCATGCTATCAAGGTAAAAAAAAAAAAAAAAAAAAAAAAAAAGATGGACAGAAAAACAGACAATGCAACGCAATTCAACTCAACTTAACGATATTCTTTTCCTATGATGCAAAAATTACATTTTTTTTTTTTTTTTGTTTATTTATAAGCTGTACAGGCCTCTCTTGAAAATCTCCAAGTTGACTATATTGATCTCTACCTTATCCACTGGCCAGGGTATGCTTCTCATCTCATACAGCACCCTTTTTTTTTTTTTTTTTTTTTTTTTTTTTTGTTTGTTGTTTGCCGAGGATAAAATTAGGCATCCTCATAACGCTTTCCCTTTTCTTTTCCTTTTCTTTCTTTTTTTTTTTTTTTTTTTTTTTTTTTTCCCTATTTGGAACGTATAGGACTACAAAACTAAAGCAGTCGGATCCTCAGAATGCGATCAATCGTGCAGGGAGCTGGCGTGCTCTTGAAGATCTTTACCATGCTAAAAAATTACGAGCGATCGGTGTCAGCAACTATACCCTTCGACATCTCACCCAATTGGTGGATCAACCTCAATCGGTCGCAACCGCTGCCACCCCCGGCTTGACCGAGACCGAACAGGCCTCGGTCGCTCGCACCATGGTCGTTCCTCATGTTCATCAGTTTGAACTTCATCCACGTTTGTTACAAATGGACTTGATCCAGTTCTGTCAACAGCATCGGATCCAGGTCCAGGCCTATTCGAGCCTGGGTGAAGGAAGACTTGTCTCCCTGACCCCCTCACCCCCACCCGAAATGGACGCTCATTATAATACGGCTCCTATGCCAGGTCCTCTGGATATCATGCCGGATTTGATCCGCAAGTATTTCCCCACTCCGTCCAACATCGCCACCACTGATGTTTCTTCCAGCATGGAGGTTGATGGTCAGGCGACAAGCGATCCTTCAGGAACCTTTATCATTAATGATGATGCCTTGCGACAAAAGGAATATTCAAAGCGTGCAGCACAGATCTTGCTCCGATGGGGTTTACAACATGGCGCTGTTGTCATCCCAAAGTCAACTCATCCAGAGCGTATCAGGAACAACATTGATCTATTTTCCTTTGAGATCGATCAAAATGTAAGCAAGAAAATAAAAAGGCCGAAAGACGTATTGTAACAATTCTTTATCCTTTTTTCCATGCTTTCTAACGCCATTCCATTCCATCATTGTTATTCTTATTGTATTCTAGGACATGATTGCATTAGACGCGTACTCTCTTCCTGGAGAACAAACACGCTATTGCTGGAACCCTACCGACGTATTCTAATCATTTAATCTCAAAGTCAACTTGTATATAAATATATAAATATATAGTATATATAGTATATATAGTTATGGATATTGTTTATTCATGTGTCTCTAAATCCCTCTTTTTTCTTATGCCTAGAAAGATGCAAGTGCCTTGTTTGTAGTTTACAAAATAAATGTAGGAACCAGTTCACTCATCCAGACATAATACCTTTTGTGTGTTGTCCCAGAAATTAAACCCTCTTTTTTTTTAATAGTCCCTCTTGTTAATAGTTCTCAAAATACAAAAAAAAAAAAAAAAAAAAAAAAAAGTGCCAAAAATGTAAAAAAAAAAAAAAATAATGCGAAAAAACCCACTTTGTTATCCTTTTGTTGTTGTTAATTTTTTTATGTTCCTCCTTTCTTTTTTTTTTTTTTTTTTTTTTTGTTATTATCCTATATGCCTGTTTTTTTTTTTTTTTTTTGTAATGCGTCGATAACGCATTGGTCCTTGATATGATCAAGCTTCATTACAATCCGTAGCGCTGGGCAAGACGAGTTCTGGTTTCAGGGGCCAGTGAGGCAGCGAAGGCTTCCCATGAGGCGCCCATCATGTTCTTGTAACCCTGCAAAATCTGTTGTAAAAAAAAAAAAAAAAAAAAAAAAAAAAAAAAAGAGGGGGGAAGAGAAAGAAAATAGAATATCAGTATTGATCCATTATACGATAGAGAGGAGCATTAGTGTTGTTGAATGAAGTCCAGTCAGGGATCCCTACCTTTCCAAACTGTTGATCAAGTTCATGAGGAACCTCACTCCATTGAGCGACAGCGTCGCAGAAGGGGGCAAGGCTCTTGATCAAGCCCTGTGGGTTAACTTGGATCATAGCACACAGACCACGGAAAGCAGTGTCCTTCTCGTCATTGTCACGGATGGTGCGGCAGGTATGGCACCATGCCTCAGCAAAAATCTCAAGATGAGGTCCAACCAACTGTGGGCAAACCAATCCAAGACGACCAATTGTGATGGCCGAATTGTCCAACAAAGTCCTAGGAGTGGTCTCAGTTGTCAACAAGGGGATCAGGCGCTCCAAAAGGGGTTGAACCCAGGCACCCATACCTTCACCGTATTGAAGGGCAATTTCTCCTGCAGCCCAGGCGGCGTTATTACAAACAGAGACATGCTCGGTATTGGGCTGAATTTGTCCAATGAGCTCATTCATGAATGCGTTCAGGTAAGGTTTAATATGCATGAAGCAGCTAATAGCGAGGTCTCCCAACAAGGCATATGAGGACTGACGAACTTCAGCCGAAGAATCCTATTTATCATTTATAAAAAAAAAAAAAAAAAAAAAAGGATGTGATACGTCGGAGAAGAGTAAGCGAGTGAGCCAGAGTTGCTTATGAGTAATGCATCTATGCATGAACCAATCATCTACTACTTACAGCTAAGCAGACGCTCAGGATCTGGAGCACACTGGGCTGGCTGGAAGCAACCAAGCTCTCCACACTGGTGTTCAAACCTTGGGTGAGACCGCTAAGGAGGTCCAAAGCAACAATCATAAAATCCTTGTCTGGTGCTGGGATTTCGGGATTCTGGGCGTGCATCTGAGCTTGCATGAGATTTGCGTGAACAATCTTGACACATCGTTCAAAGACTGGAGGAGCAAAAGGCAAAAATTCCCTGACCCAAGGCTGTTGTGACAGATGACAAGCACTAACCAATGAAGTTGAATGATGTAGGTTAGCAAAAAATCCATCACAAATCAAATATCTAAAAAAAAAAATCTAACAAAAAAAAATCTAACAAAAAAAAAAAAAAAAAAAAAAAAGCTTGTTTACCTCGAACAGAGGAAAGAGATCTCTGTCATCATCCTGGAGTTTTTGCCATTTCTCAATGAGACATGGCATCAAAAGATCGATGTACTCCTTCTTGTTAAGAGCATTTCCGACGCTGTCAGCAAGGGTTCCGATAGCATCATACAAAATTAACAAGTTCTTCTGCTGATAAGTCGAGAATGCGTGGACCAAGGTCTTAAGAATGCCGAACAAGTAGGGCACCAAAGCATCACAAGCTTCCTCCTCTAGGGTAGCGAAAGCACTGCATCCTGCCTCCTGGACACGCTTGTTGCTGTCACTGACCATTTTCAACAACTATAAAATTAAATAAAGAAAAAACCAATCACATCAGCTTTTATGACTCAAATACTACTTTCAGTGTACATTGATACAAGAAAAAATAAATAAATAAATAAAAATAAAAAAAAAAAACTTACGCCTTCGATCAAGGGAACAAGATATACGGGACGATCCTCAGGGTTGGTAGGGTAAACGCACCAACGAGCATAACGGCCCAAAGTCCAGCAGGTGATGGCACGGACCAACGACTATTGAATTAGAACCAATGAGAGCAGCAGGAATCAATGATCTGCAAGATGAGCATTTCACATGAGAAAAAACAAAAATAACACTAAAAAATATGCATATTTTCCTTACCTTTGGATCATTGAGGGTAGTAATCAAATAGGGAATGAGCGTAGGGAGATGGGGCTCAATACCAGACATGCAGCCTTCGGCAACAGCTCCCAAAGCCAAAATACCACACTCGCGATGCTGCCAATCTTTATGGAAGAGCTCGGTTTGAAGCAAGGGCAGGAGGATATCCAACATGGAGTTGCCATAAACAGCTGAAAGAACATCCAAAGCAGATGCTGAGCACTTGCGAAGATTCCATTCCATATAGATGTCGTCGTCATCCTCATCCTCATCATAATCTTCCTCATCATCATCTCCAATACCTCCAGCGTCTCCTCCAGCGTTATCAGCCGATCCAGAGTTGGCATTCTCTGTAGTGTGGGTCCTAGCTTGATGGAAGCGAGGCTTCATATCCTCAGCACGGTCAGGCACATTGGCGTCTTCGTCATCAACATCAAGTGAAATAATGTCGAGTTCACTATAGACCATTCCTTGCAACAAAACAGGGATGACGCGGTTCAGGTAGGGACGCAGGTGTTCCTTGAGAGCATCCTGTTCGGCAAAAGCCAACCAAAACTCACATGCCTCCAGAGCCACAGACTCATCATCATCCTTTGTAGAGTAGAGCATGTATTCGACAACATTATTGATCTGTGGAATAAGCTTGTCAGGTCGGACTTCCAACAACATGACCATGGCTTGGCAGACATGTTTGCGAACATCAGGATGAGTGTCAGTAGAGAGATGACCCAAGCCTTCGACAAAGGCATCAACATTGACCATAAATGACTGCGATTTTCTCGTGATAAATTGATTGATGCAGGTCAAGGCACAGACACGGATGGTGACAACGGGCGATTGGAAATAGGTGATGATTTTAGGAATCATGAAGTTTAGTGGCCTTTCGCCGTTGATCTCCATGTCAAGTTCATCGCCAGAATCTTCACAAATCTTGGCCAGTGCCTTGAAAGAACCCTATTCATCCCAATTGCATGGGAAAAGGGAAGCGCAGCAAAATGTGTTAGATTGCATCATGTCTACTTTTTTTTTTTTTTTTTTTTTTTTTTTTACGGGCCATATGAACTCATCTATCTCCAATTAAAGTCTTTTGATTAACTTTTTTTTTTTTTTTTTTTTTTTTTCCAGTTGAACATACCTCGACCACATTAGAATCCTGGGAATCCAACAATCCCATCAAATGTGGCAAAACCTCGGGCCAGCTCATGAGTGACTTTCTGGAGAGGATAGTCGTGATGACAGTTCCGAGAGTGTTGCGAACATCTGGATCGGGATCTCCAAGGTGACGAAGGGACAGGGTCTTGACATACTCAAGAACATCCTCTCTGATTTCGGAAGAGTGGTACTGAATGTTGGTCTTGAGCAGTAATCCGGCAATAGCACGAGTAGTAGGCAACTCCTGGGGCATCTGCGTCAGGATATAGATGAGATAGTTGTTGTAGTCCGGGACACTTCTGAATGACTCCAGTTGCTATGAGATTATGAAGCATGATCACATAAAGCAGTGAAGTTAGTTCCATGATCCAATGTGATAATAGAAATAAGAAATGGATGGTGGCGTCACAACTACTGAACCAACGTGTAGCCTTATGATGGGAGAACAAGGCAAGTCTCACAAATAGTTTCATCATCTGATTGGACAATGACATGACTCGAACATGATTGTAATCTTTTTTTTAAAAGCACATGATGGATGTCATTTACCTCTCTGACTTGAGTTTGGACAGTGTTGTTCGCGGACATGGAATCCCTGAGAAGCTGAGTAAGCTGAGCCAGCCCCTCGGGTTGTGGTTGCCAGTTGAGCATGATTGTTTCGTAGGTCTACATTAGAAATGTGTGGATCATTGGTTAGTTTAATATGATATACGTTTCAACAACTGAGGTCTAGACGTTTTTTTAAAAGATAATAATAAATTACAAAGTGAAGAGATTGTTCAAGAGTGGGGAGCTCACTGCGTTACGAAGGATAAAGGAACAAAAAAAAAAAAAAAAAAAAAAAAAGCTCTTTTTTTCAACTTTTGAGTGTAAATAAAAAATAATGTGCATGTAAGCTGTACCCCAAAAAAAAGAAGAAAAAAAAAAAAAAAAAAAAAAAAAAAGTCTTTTTTTCTTCTTGTGCACGGAACACTTCATGCAGTGATCATTCATGTCAATCAAAAGACGATCGATAGTGCAGCCACCATTGTCAAAGCATATGCAATGTAAAAAAGATGCTCTACAGCTTGGATAATCAGGTATCAAAGGGGGGAGGGAAAGGGAAAAAAAAACCCCCTGTTTCGCAGTGATGATAATGAAATGAAGGATGGGCAGTAATTTGTACGGATTAAGGGAGGAGAAGGTACGAGTGGAAATGATTTATTATTTCTATTATTATTATTCTTTCATTAATTGCACCAGAAGAATGCAATGATTTCCTTACGTCTCAAACAAAGGAAAAAGAAAAAATCAGTTGTTCAATCCAATTTTTTTTTGTTTTCTTAGAAAAAGGGACAAGAGAATAGACTGAAGTTGATTCGTCAAAAAAAAAAAAATAAAAAGATGAAAAGGACGAACGAATTTTTTCTGTTGAAACAGAAATGAGAATGCGTGTATATGAAAAGAACGTGAGACCTTGAAGGGGATGTAAAGCACGGGTATCGAGCAGGTGAGGAGAATAGGACGTGAAGGAGTAAAGAATGTGAGAGGAGGGTAAAGAGAGGAGAGGGAGAGGGAGAGGGAGAGGATGAAAAAGAAAAAAAAAAATAAAAAATAAAAAATAAAAAATGGATTAATTTGATTTGGATTTTTTAGATTGGACCTTTTGATTCTAGTTGTCAGTTCTGTGGATGTGCGAGGGCCAAGTAAAAAAAAAGTGCATACGCTTCAAAGAGAACAAAGCCAAATTTTTTTCTTTGGTAGTTTATTTTGATGCCCCGCAAGAGAGCGGTCACAGATGTGAGCAAATCGCACATGTTAACAGGATTAGACTTTAGAGAAAATGTCTTGTCATCTTGAAATCACATTCAATTAATAAGACAGAAATAATATGTATCAGATAAAACCAACGAGTAATCTGCAATACATCTATCTTCCTAGGCAACTTTTATTCCAAGAAGAAAACATGGTATGACTAGGTCCTATATTTTATTATGAATAGAATGCACCTTGAGTACTATAAATGTTGAAAAGAAGAGAAAAGAAAAGCCAGAGATGAGAGGAGTAATGAAAAGAAAGAAATAAAGAGGATATTGGTCGAGCAAACTAAAGAGTTCTCAAAAGATGCATTATAAAAAGAAAAAAAAAAAAAAAAAAAAAAAGAGGAATAAGGGAGAAAGAAAAACATGTACATTTATATTATTTGCCCATCATGGCTGCAAACGGCCTCTTCCTGCTTCCTGGTTTCTGCTTCTTGTAAAGACTCAATGGTATGAAATTCTCCTTATCTGAAGATTGCTCCTGCTCCTGCTTTTCCTCCTTCTGTGCTTGTTTCTGTTTCTCCATTTGTTCGGTCGTCAAGGGTTTAAACGGAAGCTTGGTCTGCACCTTGACCTTCCGAAGTGCATCCTGGACAATGTGACACCAGTGATCACATTCACCCTCAATAAAGTAGTCAAAAACACCATTCCATTCCTTGCCAACAACAGGTGTCTTGTTCACTAAAATGACACATCCCTTCTTGTTTGCATGCACTATCTTGGCTGCTTTCCTGACCAGCAGACGCAGTCCATGAACTTTGAGCGATGTACCCATCACAAGCAGCACATCGGGTGATTTTTGGAAATCACTCAGTTGGATTCTACCAATGGCTTCCCCAAACGGGTGGTTTTCATTGTACAGGACAATATCAGGTCGTAATGTTCCTGTAGCAATTTTCCGCTTTCCCTGTGCAACGCGAATTCCATCTAGATACCAAAAAAAATAAAATAAAATAAAATAAAATAAAATAAAATAAAATAAAAAATACGCGATCAATAACAAAGGATATAATAAATAGTAGTAGTAGTAGTAGTAGTAGTAGTAGTAGTAGTAGTAGTAGTAGTAGTAGTAGTAGTAGTAGTAGTAGTAGTAGTAGTAGTAATAATAATAATAATAATAATGATAATAATAATAATAATAATAAGCAATAGCAATAGCAATAACAATATTAATAACAACAACATAAATAATAACAATGATAAATTGCTATTACGACTCTAAAAGCAACAAATTGTCCATATAACCGGATTACCATTGAGCTCACACTTTGGACAGTCAGGTGCCTCTCCTTCTCTGAAGACCTTTTCGTAATCGGTTATAAATCCATAGGGTTCACTACACAGTGTGCATTTCAACTTCCTCAGAGAGCCATGAAGTTGAACCACGTTGACATCCTTTTTGACCTTTCCCTTCTCACAAACAAGCTTGGTCTCCATCCCAAGTTCCTCCTCTAGACAATCAATGTTCTGTGTATAACATCGCAGCAGCTTCCCCTTCTCCGAAAGCATCTTTATAAAATGATGTGTAGGTGATGGCTTTGCCTTCAGGGTTTGTGCATGCAGCTCTGAAATAAAAGTATAAAAGACTGCAGTTGTGGTACAATCTCGGAACAGATTCGCATCAAACAGATCCTTGCCCTTCAGAACAGTTTTCGGGTATTGTTTCTTGACTAAATTGTATAGTCCATCCGCAGAACGAAAATCCTAACATCGACATATATATATAATTACGTAACAAAGATAATTTGTATTAAAAAAAAATAAAAAAATAAAAAAAAAAAAAAAACGCGCGTTAGGGTTACATTGTTCGCGATAGTTAATAATAAAAAAGAGTAAGTAATAGCTCTTGTATTAATATTAATATTAATATCTTTTAATACAATATATATATATATGTATTGTATTTTTTTAAAAAAAAAAAAAAATTTTTTTAAAAAGAAAAATGTGGTGAGAAAAAGGAAGGGAGGATCAAGGGCTCTGACCCTGAGAGCTCGATTATTTGAATGCTCCGTGCCACGAGCATGGGTATATGACATGAAGTTGTGTAGTGTGTTGAGCCTTATTTCAGAACAAAGAGCCAAGGGAAGTAATGAACTTTTTAAAACAAATTGGGCAATTGGGGGAATTGTTTTAGTTTCGAAAAAAAAAAAAAATATATATATGTAGAATAAAATAAAATAAAATAAAATAAAAATAATTACCGGAATGCCACTACTGCAAGAAATGCCTGCTCCCGTGACGACAATGGTCTTTTTTGCCCTAAGCATCACATCAGTCACAGTTTGAAGGTGCCTCTCCGAGACAACATCTGACTGATTCAGGTCGATTGTCAGCATGAGATGCCCTATCCGCCTGTTTGATTGTGTGTGTTGCAATTGAAATAACTTTGTTGTTAATCGTGCAAGATATAATTAAAATGCAATTAATTGTATTGTCGTCGATGGGATTTGATAAGAGGGCAGGATGGATGAACACAAGTGTGTGAAGTGTGAGAAGGTGGCAGGGAGAGGCGAAGGGTTAAAAAAAGGGAAAAAAAGGAAATGTGCCACAGTATAATCAATACAGAAAATCCAGTTCAGTTCAGTTCCTCACTCAAAATTCTTTCCTTACCCATGCCAAACATGGTGTGAGAGCCTTGCCAGACACACAGAAAAGAAAAATAAAATTTCACAGTCCAAGAATTCGACAAGTCGCATTTTTTACATCCATGCGGGACGATCTCAATTGAGTTTCGAAGGTTTTTTTTTTTTTTTTTTTAATTTTCTTTATTAGACCGATTGGGGGGGGGGGGAATGCTCTTTAAATGAATACAGGGAAGATTTGTGTCAAATGCTTTTTTTGTTTTTTGCAATACTTTTTCTTTTTCTTTTTCTTTTTTTTACAAATGAGAAGTAAAGCTGTTGATCTCCTCCTCAGCGCTCTCTGTAGTCCACATATTACGGGTGACAAAGTCAAGAAGAGCCTGTCTATCATGCTTTTTGACAATGTTGATCGCCTCTTCATTCGTGGCAGTATTCTCAGCCACAGACTCGGCAACGACTGCAGCAGCAACTTCAGCAGATACTTGACGGATACGTGGCAAGACAGGATACAACAAACCCTGCCCACGCTCCTCAACAGTCAAGGCATTGGCACAGGCACGAGCAGCAGAGTAGATCAGACGATCGCTGATGTTCGAAGGCTGGGCCAAAATACCTCCCAAACCCAGACCAGGGAAAATGTACATGTTGTTGCCCTGACCTGGTGCGCTCATGAGGCCAGTCTTGGGATCAGTGTACTTGGGGAAAGCAGTTCCTGATGCAAAGATAACCTTGCCATTAGTGTGGATCATAGCCTGCTCAAACGAGCACTCTGCCTGGTACGCAGGGTTGGACAGAGGGAAAACAATGGGTCGCTCATTCAAAGCCGCCATGGACTTGAGAACATCTTCTGAGAAGGCGCCTGATTGAGAAGAAAGACCGAACAAGGCAGTGGGCTTGACGTGCTCAATCACAGAGGCAATGTCCGGATACTGGGCACCCTTGTTGTCCTTGCGTGCAAAGTACAACTTGTGTTCCGCCAATTTGTCGCCCCGATCCAATGTGACCAGGCCCTTGGAGTCAACCAACCAAACCATCTCACGCGCTTGGTCTTCTGACATGCCGTGATCATTGACAAAGTAGGCCGCCAACTGCTTGGCAACACCGACGGCAGCAGATCCAGCGCCAAAGAAGAGGATTTTGTGTTCCTTGGCAGGGATGCCAGCCAGGCTGATTGCGTTCATGAAACCAGCAAGGATGACAGCTCCAGTTCCCTGAATATCATCGTTAAAGCAGAACTTTGTGGGCTGGTACTTGTCCAAAAGTTGGAAGGCATGCTCGGATGAAAAGTCCTCAAACTGGATCAACAACTTTGGATAGAGCGATGTGAGGGCCTCGAGGACAGCATCGACAAAAGGGAAGAACTTGTCATCACCAACACGTTTCTGGCGCAAGCCCAGGTAGAACTCATCCTTCAGCTTCTCCTCGTTGTTGGTGCCGAGGTCCAGGGTGATGGGCAACGTACGTCTGGGATCAACACCAGCACCGGCAACATAGAGCTGGAGCTTTCCGACAGGGATACCCATACCACCGACTCCTAGATCACCAAGACCGAGAATGCGGGAACCATCAGTAATGACTGCAATCTGGGGAGTAAGGGAGGGGTCCTGAGGATAGGGCTTATAGTTCTGAATGATTTGTTTGAGGTTGGGGAGGTCGTTGATGGAAAGGAAGAGGCCGTCGGGTTGACCAGGAGGAGCAAGGAAAGGATAGATACTAGAGTAGTTTTGGCATGCAGCGCCAACAGTAGGTGTGTAGATCAAAGGCAACGTTTCCTATTCAGTGAGCAAAAATTACACAAGATTGTAGAGAGAGTGGTTAATGGTCTGAAAGGAGCTATACTGGGTACTGGGTATGAGAGGATGTATCCGTATTTTCCCAAAAATGCAGTAGCCATTACTAAATGTCTACATTAATCATTAATCAGTATCCAGTCCCATCCCTGCGCGCTAATTAAAACAACATTTTCTCGCATGGTCTCACTGGACAGATGGTCACACAATTAATGAGACGGCTTTTTTTTTTTTTTTTTTTTTTTTTTTCATCTCCACACTTTAAACTGGAAGATCCATTATGTGCTTAGAAACCAACTGCTGTGGTGAAAAGATAAGCGGAGGGCTAATGCGAAAGAATAAAGTTGTGGTCGTAACAATAAAAGTATATATCGCTCCTACGAGGGCAGGGGCCATCAGCTCAATTAAAAGCTATCAATGGACGATGATCGGAGAAAGGAGGGGCGCTGTCGCCAGAACAGCAATTACAGTTTCCGAGCGGGGTGGAGAAGGGTGGAGAAGTATGCGGGGAACTTTTTTTTTTTTTTTTTTTTTCTTATGAGACATGCCTGCCACTCATTCAAAACCATTTTGCCCCATGAAAACAATAGTAGGGGTAATAACCCCTTGGGGGGGGTGTAACTGTCCAGTAAGACTATGCCAATATTGACTATTCGTCTTTGTCTTTGGCGGGTAATTTCCTTGGTCTCTCATCTCCATTTAGTTCATGTTTTTTTGTTTTTTTTCCTCTGGTACTCATTAGAAGATAATGTAGATCAATTGCCCCAATTTTTCTAAATCCATTGTTAAACCCCATTAAGAACAAAATGGTATGGAAGGATGGCTTTAAAAAAAAATAAAAAAAAAAAAAAAAAAAAAAGAAAAGAAGTATTACCTCGAGTTGATCGGTAACCAAGCCATAGAAGAGACGGACATTGGTATTCCTGAGCCAAGCCAAGAAGACATATTTCTCAATGTCCGAAGACTTGCTTCTGAGTTGAGCAAGTGCACGCTTCTTCTGGGTTTCGAATGATTCGACCTTGGCAGGGCTCAAGCCTTGAAGATGAAGGGCATTACGGGTTTCGGCGGGAGTGGCAGTACCTAGAGCAACGATAAGACAAGAAAGTAACAGTGGGATTCATCTCCGTCAGTTGAGTGATATCATATCTATAAGCCTGATTTTTTTATTTTTTTCATCTTCTCGTTCGTTGATGAAGATCAACCGTCTTTGTCATTTTCGTCATTTTTCACTTTTTGTCGCTCCCTTTGTTCAAGTAGCGATCCAAAAAAAAAAAAAAAAAAAAAAAAAAATCATTTGATTTTGATTACTTCTTAAACAACTTAAAATGTTTCTGTATTAAATTAGACTGAACTGAATTGAATTAAATAATAAAGTAAACAAAGCTCCAGCTCAGTATAAGAAAAAGAGAGTCTGTGGAGTCAAATTTCCATTTACTTTTTCACAATTGTGAAATGCACTCACATCAACTTCAAGACTGAACAACAAGTGATGACCATTTAAAAACAGGAAGGATTATTTTTTTTTTTAAAAAAAAAAAAAAAAAAAAAAAAAAAAAAGGGAAACAGCACCTCTTTTCAACTATATAATAATAATAATAATAATAATTAGTTAAAAACTTACTCTGATTAAGGTAAGGTGATTTTGAGATCTGTTGGATGCTCTGGCTGTTCGAGTTATCGGTGACGGGCATGTTGTCTTGATGATCGCTGTAGTAAAGCTCGGTGTGATTGGGTATAGCGGTTGAGGCCGAGGAGATGGAACGCGCGAGGGTGCGGATACGAGTTGGAGAATAAGACTGAGTGGAGAGAAGAGAAGGAAGAGAAGTAGAGAGGCTGCGATGGGACTTGCAAGAGACTGCTGATGAGATGCTGTGGGGTGTAGCAAAGGAACGAGGACAAGAAGAGGAAAGAAAGGAGGAAGAAAAGGAGATTTTGCTGGCCTTTTGAATGAAAACTGAGCGAGCAGTGAGTGATCGGGATAGGGTATAAGATGACATGACTTTTTTTTTTTTTTTTTTTTTTTTTTTTTAGTTAGTTTTTCCTTCCTTCTTTTAGGAGTAATTGATCGAAGGATGTGTTGGATGAGATGGGCTGCTTGGCGATGTTGGGGGATCGTAGTCGGAGGAAACGGGATTAAAGGACGTAGAAAGGGGGGAGAGGTTTTGAATGAAGTGATATTGCTAATTGAGATTAATAACTAGTAACTAAACGAGTTTAAACAGATAATAATAATAATAATAAAAAAATAATAAAAAAAAAAGAAAGTTCAGTTCGCCTGTTCACGGAGCAGTGTAAGTTGGATGTGTAAAAGAATGCGGAGTAAAGAGTCGTTGTTCAATTATAGATCTCTCTATGAGCAATAGTATAATCAATTGAATTACATATTCGATAGCTCTGACTCTTTATACCCGCACGTCAAATCACTCATTTGTCACACACTTTTAACGCTTTCACTTCTATCGTGAAAAGTAAAAAAATAAAAAAATAAAAAAAAAAATAAAAAAAGGGATCGATTGCAATAGCAAAGGAACAACATCGAGGAGAGAAGGGCATGGCGGGGAGAAGCGTGAAAATTAGTTCACCCTTTTCTTCTGTGTTCGGGCGTCAGAATGAAAGGATGCTTAAAGAAGAATGTGTCGACCCTGACTGCCCCATCGATATTGGAGTTCATATTAGTGCTAACTAATTTGGTCCCAAAGCATTCTTTGTCTTCCCCTCCCCCCCTTGAGCATGAAGTTGACCCATGTGCAGTTAGTTAGTTGGATAATATGCTTATTCTGTATGTATATACTTTCTTTACCTTTTGACTAATAATAAACACCAACAGTAGCACACCGGCAATAGCGCAACAACAATAACAAAGGAAAAATATATATAAGGTATAGCAATCTGATCAAATAGAAAAAAAAAAAAAACAATAAATGACAATGAATAATAAAATGATAAATAATAAATAGTAAATAGTAAATAGTAAATAGCAATGGAAACAAGACAAAGTAGGTCTCGAACGAATAGAATTGTCGATCAAAAGATGAATGAGTGAATAAGTTGGTGGGTGTAGAAAGAAAAAAAAGAAAAAAAAATTATGGCCTTTGAACCGTGTGTCATTTATATTTCGACGTTATTGGTTTTTTTTTTTTTTTTTTTTTTCCTTTGCACACGGAGCAAAATAATAATAATAAAAAAAGACGCGTTCGTGTTACTCACTCACCATGGCTGGACAACGTTACAAATGTTACTCACCATTTCCCAAAAAAAAAAAAAAAAAAAAAAAAAAAGAGATGCATTCATACATACCTCGAAATACATATACTAGGCAAGTTAAACTAAACATTAGTTCCATTATACATATGCTGATTTAACTATTAAAGTATCTCAAAAATACATTTTAGTTATTATACAAACATCGATGGTAGAATCACCTCATGTCATTCCTCTTTCACAACCAGCTCTTTCGAACCCAAAGCCTTTATTACTGTGAACCATTTCCATTCTTTGATAGGATCAGCTATAACTGATATGCGATATATACATAAAAATATAGGGAAAGAGAGAAAGAGAGAGGGAGAAAGGGAGGGGAAGTTGATATGCTCTCATGTTATGCTATTATGCGTTTGTGGGTTGTTTATTGTGTAGCATGGTCTATTGTTCCTCTCCTGCCTTTTGAGGTGAGCAATATTTTAAAAAAATAGTCATATTTCATGCTCCGGATCATTCCGAATTACAAGGAGATTTTTTTTTTTTTTTTTTTTTTTTTATTTAAAAAAAAAAAAGCATTTTGCCCAACGTGGGGTAAGTTTGAACTGCCATACCATGCCATGCCATGCCATGCCATGCCATCCAACAGCGGGCAAACAATAGCCAACACATTGTATATATAAAGGTTTATGTTATATATATATATATATACGTTTAGATAGTCATAACCATGACAAGGAACCGTCCCGTCATTTGTGCACGCAGCCATTTTTTGTTGTTGTTGTTGTTGTTGTTGCTGTTGCTGTTGTTCTCTGGTTGTGGTTTTCTGCTGGATCCTGTTGTCCATAAACAGAGTGAGCATGTCTTTGCATAAACAAATATGTTTGTAAAAAGAAATAAAATAAAATAAAATAAAATAAAAGGGTTGGATTGATTCCAGAGCATCTCCAAGAAGAAAGAAAGAAAGAAGAGTAATAATAAATGACTGACCTGAGTCATCTCCCGAAGTGACTTATACAAGTGTGTATACATCGTAAATATATACATACATGTGCTGAATATCCTTGTTTGTGTCCGTGTGCATTTTTTTTTATTTTTTTTATCTTTTTTTGAGGGTGCATACCACTCAGGGTGTATTTTGGACGAATCGACTTGCAAGCAAGCTCCCGATCATTACATGAAGATGTGCCTTGACCCTCTTCCTACTCTTCCTCTTCACTTTCACATGCTGCCATCCAGGACATCTAACAAACGCGTGTCTACGCCTTATTTTAAACAAGTCAAAATAGCTAAATTATCTGCTGATTCTAAATTTCTGACACTTTTTACTTTTCTTTTTTTTTTAATTCCCAATTGTTCATCTCTGCCTGCAGATTCTGTATGGTCTAATAAGGTAATTTGCGGGGTATCCAATCCTAGGCTCATTCAATCCATGACCTCAAAATGACATCTCCACATCAATGCTTTAATGCTTCTTTATCTTTATGGCTCCTCCGAGCCGACATCCTCTCCTTAATCTATTGACAAACAATACTCCGAGCCCGAAATATAGAATCAATGGTATATATCTTTTTTCCTTTATTTCTTGCGAGACATTAGAAATTAGTTGCAAGCTTTTTTTTTTTTTTTTTTTTTTTTTTTTTTTTTTCCTTATCATTTCTTCCCCCCCCTCCCCCCCCCTCCCCCCCTCTACTTCCTAAAAGCATAGATGGATATATATATATATATTTTTTTATCTTTAATCATCCTTTTCATCTCCCTTCTCTTCCCTCACTTTGAGACAGTGGAGATGAGACAATCGTATGAGGACTCTTGGTTTCTGTCAAGGCTTGAGTCTCAATCATCCTTGCAATATCATCCAAATCTTTCATCATCTGTGGATCTCGATACGATGTTGATGAGGTCCCAGTCATTGGCCTAACACCAGAATTGGACACTAGACTCTGTCCATGTGCTTTCCCTTCATGAGCGGCTCTTCCTTCCTTTCCATTTTCTGCCCCATCCCCAGTCATTTGTCCGGCATGTCCTGCTGGAGAGAACTTCAATGACGAGGAGGCAGCCGCGAACGAATTGGCATTGGAGGCTACATGTGATGCCGGAGCCCCGACAAGGATCGAATGCGATCCATGGACTCGTGTAGGCGTCAGTGGCTTATACAGTCCGTCCGCGTCCAGATCTCGTGCGTTAACCAACTGTGTTCTAACCCCAGGAGAGGATCTCTCTATCCAAGCTTCCTTCTCGGGCACACTCTGTGGGCCTAGGGGCTGTCGTGGAGAATTGTTGCCATCTGCATCAGGGGCCAAAATAGTACTGATGACCGGTGTATGGATTGTAGGGACTCGACTCAACGTAGAAGATACTTGACTTTGACTCGAAGGGTGTGCAGATGACAATGCTACTGAGCTTGACGATACTTTGGATGAAACGGGTCCCGAGGATTTGGAGGTAGGATATGAATATAATGACATGGGTGATGTAGGAGGATGATTGTCTTGGGAACGCAATGGTGAATCGATGTAGGATGCATTGACATTAGCAGGGTATTGATGTTGTGACATTGTGGGATGATTGAGGTGTGAAAGCGATGCTGAAGTATAAGCGGGTGATAATGAGCGCGTTGATGAGAGGCTATCTTCTGCTTGGTATAGCGCAGCTGCCAGAGCGGCATCATCTAATGTCCCTTGATTCGGTAATGGCGGGGGAGCGTATACTAGGTTCACATTATTAGGTGGGCGAGATGCGCCGTTGATTGGTGGAGGAATTACATTAGGCACAACATTCAAGGGAAAAGCGGCCCCAGCTGCCAGTGCCGTGGAGCTGGACGGAGGTGGGAGTGGATAGGCGTCTGGCCTTACAACTGTAGCAGGCATCGCACCACCACCGTAGCCATCTGTAGTATAGGCCGCATGATACATAACTGGCATCCCTGAACCTGACTGTGATACAACCTCAGGGCCAGAGCCTGTGGGTGACGGATGCTCAGAGCCTCTGCCATGCATCAGGTGATTCACGTCGCTCTGATTGTTGTGGCTGTAATGATTATGGTTTCCATGTTGCTGATTCCTCTGATCTTTTTCATATAAAGGTTGCTGAGGAAAGTTTGACCCATTTTTCTGATTGCCACGACGGAGTCGCTTTTTTCTATAAAAAAAGAGTCCCAAAGCCAATCCTACAACCAAAAGAGCCACTCCTGCACCGATTCCACCTTTTGCCCCTGTAGAGAGTCCGTCTGATTGGCCTGCATTGTCAGTACCGTTACCTTTATTATCCTCGCCTCTGTCATTTGTCACACGTGGCCAGATGCTGTTTAGAGGCGCACCTTTGTATTGTGTTGTCCATGTCCAGGTATTTGTGTCAATGACAGCCATGTAAGGTGTAACATATGTATAATTAGTGCCGTCTATACGGAAACCTGTACATCGCAAAGTAAAAAAAGTAAGGGGAGACAAATTGATGCACCATGGAGGAGCGTCAATTGTTTGTGTATTATGGGCGCATAGATTGGGCGAGAGGGAGGTTAGAGAGGCATAAAATACGATTCGTTAGTGTCATGATAGTGTCAAATAACTTGAACACTTGAACAACTTCGTGGAACCATGACCGTCAGCTCTTTGATTTGTTTGCTTTTTTTTTTTTTTTTTTTTTTTTTAGACTAGTCTATTTGCCCGTCTTCTGTCTTCGTTGTTATTACAATAAATACATTTTATGCATCCCCCCTCCCCTCTCTTCCCCAAAGTCATTTTCAGCACATCTGTTCAACTGCCAGTTTAGTATTTGCGATCAGCAAATCCCATGCACACACGTTCTATGAATTGCACTCTTAGTATAACATCTTGTGAATCCCGAAAGTCTTACCTCCGATAATGATAACCTGTCCATTAGGTCCTAACTGACAAGTATGTCCCGCTCGCGTCATGGCTGCAGGGGGTCCATTAATGGTAATAGATGTCCAAGACCAATTACCTACGTTGAGGAGCCATGCATCGCCATAGAAGGTAGTAGGGTCTCTACCGCCCTGAATGAAAACGTCTCCGTTCGCTAGTACAACTCTGCATCCTTGGTAACGAGCCGCAGGTCCGGTGGAAAGCTGTTGGGTTTGCAATGATAGAGTTTCACGACTGGCTCCTCCCGAGACTAGATATCCAACATTGAGTGGTGTGCAGGCGGAGGCGTAGCCCTGAGTGTCCATTCTTACGCAGCCTGCCATCACAAGTATCTTGCGTTGTGTCGGAAGATAGAGCACATAGGGTTCGTAAAGTGTTGGGATCGTTGCCTGATTAAAAGATAGGGTCCATTTCATCTCACTGGGACCTTTATTATTTGTATCCAAAACACTGAGTTCACGTAAGAAGACATCGCGGTTGAAACCGCCATAAATATAGACCAAGCCTGTGTGGCGATCGAGTGCCATGCCGACGTTGCTGCGTTTGTAACCAGTCATGGTGCTCATGCCTGGAAGTGTAGGGGTGATGGTCCATTTAGCATGGGCGACATCATAGATATATGAGAGTGGGCCATCAATGTCTCTGTTTCCGCCTAGAATAAGTTGTTCTCCATTCATACTAGGTGTTGCCTCAACCATTGTGTAAGTGAGATACCCAGGAAGGGTGACCCATGGCGGGGATGTGGTGTCGAAGTTCTGGGTAAGATCGATGCGTAGGAATTGGGAGGTGCCAGCGTTGGTCACAGCGAATTTGATGACGCCCCCATAGAGGTAAAGAGATCCATCAGATAGGATAGCAGAAGCTGCGTAGGATATGGGTTTATAGTTCGAGGCGTTCTGAGCAGCTATTTCATGGCTAAAGATGAGCAGCAACAGGAGGCGAGCGAGGCTCAGGAGAGATATGCCGTGGATGACCATGGCCCTGAATAAGAAAGTGCTGAAATGTCGTCGTAGACAGACAGACAAACAGACAGAGAGATAGAGAGAGGAGAGGGAGAGAAAGAGAGACAAATCTATTATAGTGATGGAAGAGCAAGTCTATGTTGTGTGAACGGTCAGGGTAAGGGTTAGAGAGAGATTATGTGTGTGTGAGTGTGAGTGTGAGTGTGAGTGTGAGTGTGAGTGTGAGTGTGAGTGTGAGTGTGAGTGTGAGTGTGAGTGTGAGTGTGAGTGTGAGTGTGTGTGCTTTTTGTTTGTAATTGTTGCAGGACAGTGCGTGTGAGAGTGCTCCTGAGAAAAAAAAAAAAAAAAAAAAAAGAATTGGGTGGCAGGCAATATGAGAAGAGAGAGGTGATGATGTAGATAGGAGAAAATAAATAAATGAAAGGACAAAGTAAAAAAGTAGATTGTGCAAAGGGAGGGGGAGGGGGAGGAAGGAAAGATGAACCGATTAAATGAATTAGATGAATTAGATGAATGATGAGAGGATGAATCTCGGTTTTCCTGAAAGAATCGATTGAGGTGTTCCTTGAAGAGCAGAAAAAGAAGAAAGAAACTGTCTTTTTTTTGCCATCTCTTCTTGAATGAACCTGAAAAAAAAAAAAAAAATCGACTAAAGAGAAAATGCTGTCATCCATAACTGTATGGTTTATATTATACATTTTGTTTATTTCGTTCAAATATAACTTTTTTTTTTATTCATGAAAAATGAGCCCCTACAAAAGGTACATGTACACTGGGTAAGGTGCCAAGAGCAAAACAACCAATGACTGAGCCTAGACACTCTCCATCCAGTTTATTCATCTTTACCTTTTGTGCATGTGTTCATGAGTTTTATGAACCCGTTCATCTTTTCATCTTTCTGCGCTGTGCCCCGCCCTCTCTCTCTCTCTTTTTTTTTTTTTTTATTTTTTTTTATTTTATTTTATTTCCTATTTCTTTCTTCTTTTTTTTTTATTCTCAATCACCCTTTATCTCTTTACGCCCAAAACAAACAAAAGATCGATAAAAAAAAAAAAGAAACGTTGAAAACAAACCGATCACAAGCAAATGCTTAAATTAACTGCAGTAACGAAAAATCTTTATTCCTTGTTCTTGACTTTTTAAGTTGATAAGCATTTCCACAACATGGTTCAACTCCTCCCCCTTTATTTTACTTCTTTAATTCTTCAAGACGTCTTGCTCGTTTTATGAATCCTCATTATGGATCTACAGGAACCAAAATATAAATATGTATATATAAAAAGACTAATCATTCAATTTATTTATTAATTCTAATACAATCAATCCCAAACATCCTGCTGCGCGATGCTGTAATAAAAATACACATCCAAGCTTTTTCTTTATTTGTAGCTTCTTTTGTCTCTCTCCCTGCTGTGCTCTACCCCAAACAGACGCCCACATCCCGTCTCAATAATTAAAAAAAAAAATTATTAAATCAAGCAGAATTAAAATAAAAAAAAAGCTTCTGTAAGTTATACTATTATATTATATTCTACAAGTTCAAGAACCCATTCATAACATCATCTTCATCCTCTTCCTGCATCTCTAAGCTTCCCAGACCACCATCTCCATCACCGCCTGAACCATGATCATCGTGACCAAGTAGCCGTCCTTGGTTTCCTTGCTGTTGATGGTCATCATGACTACTATACTCCTGGTTACCATAAGAATGGCCCTCCATAGTCGTATCCATCTCTAGCCCTGTCATACCCATACTGCCCATCCCTATCAGATCATCCTCTCTATCATCTCCATCATTCGCTAAAAATGAATCGCTCTCATCCGGAAGCGATGTCATGGGCAAATCGTTGGACGTACCCTGATTATTTTGCCCATGGTTTGTCATCACATTGTTGTTCAGCATTGGCATCGTAGCTGTGTTTGAGGATGGGGATTGATACTGATGATGATGTTGCTGCTGCTGCTGCTGCTGCTGCTGCTGCTGCTGCTGCTGCTGCTGCTGCTGCTGCTGCTGCTGCTGCTGTGCTTGTTGTGGTGTAGTGGGTGTCTGTGGCGTCTGCGGTGTCTGCGCTTGCTGAGCTTGCGTATGGAGCAAGAACGGCGATCCTAACTGAGCATGTGACTGAACTGGCGTTGATCGAGAAGCTGCTGTACTGATCGCTGGCGATCCTTGCCGACTTTGGGTCCCTCCATTGGATGTCGCTTGACCTCCTCCTTGGTCCGCCGTTCCTGCAGGACTCTGTCCATGATTCAGTGCCCTATGTAATCCGTTGAGATTTGCTCCAGTAGACGGAGGACTGAACAAAGAAGGATTGGACTGCCCAGGACTCATCATGGGACTATTCTGCCTGCTATGCCTCTGTTGCTGTTGCTGTTGCTGCTGCTGCTGCTGCTGCTGCTGCATCAGCTGTTGTGTCTGCCATTGTTGCTGTTGTTGTTGTTGTTGTTGTTGTTGTTGTTGTTGTTGTTGATGTTGTTGGAGTTGCTGCTGAAGTTGGCTGGGGTGATAATGCTGCTGTTGCATCATGTGCAATTGTAGTTGGCTCAGCTGCTGTTGTTGATGAGGCCCAAGTTGCATCTGAACACCATGTGGGCCTAGCATTCGTCTTCCCGAAAGCGGCATTCCTCCTTGCATCCCCTGTACACCCTGCATCGGCACCCCCATTGACATTGTCTGCCCCATCGGGTTTGTTCCCAACATCAACGGCTGGCTCATTGGTTGGCTAATGGACATATTAGGCTGAGCGTTCGACTGTACCCCACCTAAAGGATATCCCTGCTGAGGTACCATCTGTGGGCGCTGCTGTTGAATCATCATAGGCCCTGACATCGTCATCCCAGGATGCATAGTCTGCATAGACTGCATGGGTCCCAAAAGCCCCGGTCTTGACTGTGTTGTTGTCATAGAGTTCGATACTGCTACAGCTTGGAAAGGGGATGGGCTGGCGGCTCTAAGTGGTGAACCAGGCAAAGCAGCAGTACGTGAAATATTTGAATCCTGCTGTTGACCTTGTTGCTGACCTTGTTGCTGAAGCGACTGCAATACTGCTTGCTGAGGTAACAACGGTGACGGTGCTGATCCAGGTGTCTTTGGTGGTAACGATTGGTGCCTGACAAGAGGGGAGCTGGTCTTGCTACCCGTAATGGACGCAGACCTGATGCCAGGAATATGGGGCGGATGAGTAGAATGTGGTGTGCCAGGGACATGAATAGGGGATGCCATTGAGGCAACAGAAGTATCAATAGACAATGATGCAGAAGAGGGTTGTGTAGGAAAATTTGCAACGGCTGGACTGTTCGGTAAACTGCCAGCTACAATCCGGTTAGTCTGTACAGCAGATAGATCGTTTTTATGGCCAGTGACGGTGGGTGTGGCCGGCGCTGATATTGTCTCTGAGTTCTTGTTTTTGGCTGACCCCACATCATTTAGAGCTGATACACTTGACAGTTTAATGCCTTTGGTATCAGACAACGCTTCCACAGTTGGTGATACCATGTTATTCGTTGCACCGTCTGATGGCTGTGGAGTAGATGTAGTACTGCCTTGGAGAGAATTATTACCATGTACTGCTGCAGAGTTTACCACTTGTGGTGCGGTTTGGCCCGTTGGTTGATGTTCTATTACAGCGTGAGGTGTCTGTAATGTACTTCCATGGGACTGTGTAGGGCCTAAAGGCTCTGGTGTGACAATTGCAGGGCTATTGAGAGCCACTGAAGCTGCCGGAACGCCTGGAGTAGACATTTGATGAGAAGATTGTGTAATATGCAGAGATGAAGGTAGAGCATGATTCACTTCCGATCCTGCCTGCTGTTCCTGTGAGATTGCTTGTAGCAGAGGTCGCTGCATAGGAATGTTAATATTCTGCCCATTAACAGCTAACATTCCATGCGTCACAGGCGATGCCAGATTAGCTATGGAAGTAGTTGCGGAGATAGGTGTATCTAGTATCTTAGGCGTCGAAGAATGAGATGGTGATGCAGGGGTTACCGTCGATGTTACTGCAGTGTTGGTGCTAGCTGTATTGATGGATAGAGATGTAGGCACTGTGGAGGCTGTGCTATTAGGCGCCTCAAATTTCTGTCCAGGTGAGGTCTTGTCTTCAGTTACTTCAGGCTCGACTAATGCTAATCTCTTCTGTACGGCAGCAAATGCTACAGCAACCCTTGGGAGCAGCGTCATCGCTTTTACAGCTGAGGGGAAGCGGGCAGGGGGAAGTGGCGAGAGATCAGGTTTTGGTGGTGCAGTTTTCATCATCTAGAGTCCCCCATAGTAAACGAGGACAGTGAGTCAGATGCTGTATGGGCCATAGAAAAGAAACGAAATTTGGCCTGATAATGGGCATAGCCATACTCTACTTACCGATCCTCCTTTTGTAACTCCCGACCAGGTGGCCAGATACGACAGTGTTGCTTGAAGCCGAGCTTGATACCTATTTGGTTATGTAATAAGAAAAGGGTTAATCACTGCAGCACAAGATTGAATCTAGGTAAATCAACCTGGAAAAACACTTTAACTTACAATAAAAAATCTGGGTCCATTGTTAGATGATGTGTTTGGTAGTCAACGCAAACGCCTATCAATGCTTTATTCAGCTCCAGTAGCTTATTTCCAAAGAATTTATTTAATAGAGAAGAGGAATGTAAGTTATCGAGAAGTCTGCTTCTATTGCCAAAACCTCTCTCGTCCCCTTCGATACTTACTGCCTGCACTACTTGTTCGTCGATATCCAACTCGACAGGTGTGGAAGGATCGACAGCCAAGGTAGAAGGCGCGTTAGATGGCGCTTGCTGGATCTCTGTTGAAAGGACACCAGATACATTATTGAGCATTGATTTAACTGAATGCGCTTGCGGATGGTGTGATTGTGGAGCATATTGTGGGTGCTGTGGCTGAGGTTGAGGCTGAGACTGTGGCTGAGACTGTGGTTGTGGTTGAGGCTGTGGTTGGAGCTGTGGTTGAGGTTGTGGAGGTTGAGGTTGAGGTTGAGGTTGAGGTTGAGGTTCATAGTGCTGCTGCTGCTGCTGTTGTTGTTGTTGTTGTTGTTGTTGTTTTTGCAATAACTGTTGTTGTTGATGTATTTGAGTCATGATGTGTCCTTGCTGTATTTGTAGTTGCTGTTGTTGTTGCAACTGCTGCTGCTGGAGTTGTTGTTGCTGCTGTTGAAATTGCATTTGTGCCATCTGTTGCTGTTGAGGAGACATATTCTTCAAAGACGCCCTTTGTTGCATCAGTAGCTGCAATTGTTGCTGTTGCTGTTGAAAGTGCTTTTGCTGCAGTTGATTAATCAAGAGCTGTGTGTGATGCAACTGCTGCTGCAATTGTCGGAGCATATTTAACGCCATCATGCCATTACCTTGAGGCAATTGACTCCCAGGCTGTGATACATGAGGTACTTGGGTATGTGCGAGAGGCTGAGTCTGGTTTGATATTTGGGGCTGTTGTAGAGATTGCATCTGTTGTTGTTGTAGCTGTTGTTGTTGTAGCTGTTGTTGCCTGAGCTTCTTTTGAATCCGTGCGCTAGGTATGGCTGCTGCCGGTGGTTGTAAGCCTTGTGTAAGCGGATTAAATGTTGGTGATGTAACATCAATCCCTCCAGTCCACCCTCCCGGATTTGTAACAGCTGTCATCGCAGAAGTTGTCGAGCTAGCCGCCACAGTCAAGGGAGAGTTTATAACAGATACTGGTAGAGATGGTGTTGAAGAGGGAGCAGAGGCGATTGTGAATGGTGTCGAGGTCGGAGTGGCAATGCTTGAGGTGGCACCCACAGCGCTCGCAGGTGTACCAATCACAGACGGCAATGTACTGACAGCTGTAGTGCCTGCACTTACACTCGCTATACTTGATGGTGTGCCGTCACCTATTGACGTGAGCATAGTCGGTGCTCCTTCCATGGCGACCTTCGCTCCTGTTGACATCGCAGTCCCTGCAGCGGATCCAGAAGGAATTGAATTTTGATTCTGCTGAAACATTTGCTGTAACTTCTCCTTTCTTGCATTGATATCCAGAGTCCCTTCCCCAATCATTCCAGCATTGAGATTGTTCTTATTTAGTTGTGCCTGTAGAGCTGCTTGTTGTGCTGCCCAGATATCCTTTTTAGTCATTGGCGGTGGGGGTTGCGGATTGTAACCCGTGCCTACAAGATTCAGTCCTGCCACCTGTTGAGGATTGGTTAACCCTGACATAGTATTGGGTGCGCCTCCAATACTTGGTTGTCCAGATTGGGGCTGACGATGTTGTAAAGCTTGATAAAGCTGATTCTGTGTTTGAAAGGGTTGAGATGCAAAGTTATTCATTAAGCCAGGTCCTGGAGACTGTGCGAATCCAAGTGGTTGATGGGCTTGTTGATGAAAAAGGTGTTGTTGTTGCTGCTGCTGCTGTTGCTGTTGCTGCTGTTGCTGTTGCTGTTGTTGCTGCTGCTGCTGCTGCTGTTGCTGTTGTTGCTGCATCTGCATCTGCATCTGCATTTGCATTTGCATTTGCATTTGCATTTGTGCTGGCATTGATATTTGCTGCTGCTGCTGTTGAGGCATCGTCTGCATCGGAAGCTGTTGCTGGAACTGTGGCATGGCCTGGAAGTTATATGAGTAGGCTTGATCAGCCGAACTCAGAGGGTTTGTCTGCATGGTATATTGTCAATTCCAGGAATGAATAGCGGTTGCTCTGGAATCAACCCTTCCTTCCTCTCTGTTCCGATGTTATTTCGTCTTAGACTACAGAGCACTGGCAGCGAGGACTAAACAATGGGTCTCTTTTAATGACCTTTCCGAATTCAAGTAAGCAGCAGAGATTGTTCGGATGACGAAAACTCTGTGACCAAGCTGAGAACTGAACTGAGTGGTATGCAAAGCACTGTAGGTAGGTTAGGCGAAGGATGGATGTCTTTTGTCCTGGTAGGTATTATTAACAGGTGAGATTTCCTTAAGTCAAGGTGGTGAGGGGATGTTCCTGAAGCGATATTTTTATAAAGTAAAATGGGTTGTCGCAAAAGAAGGACGCGTCCAAAAGTGATATAAAAAAAAATTAAGTAACCTATTCTAATGACGTGCCTAAAAGTGCATGTACACCAGATCCACGTTAAGTAGTTGTAGGATAACGAGGTTGAATGAAAGAAAGGAAGCGCTTTATGATGGAAAATGTAAGTGACATGTCGCCAACGACAAAATGAACACATTCATTTCAAAGAATGTGGCTTGGATTTTCTTTTTTCCAAATAGCCAACGGACAAATGGCAAAAGACCCCATTCTGATAAATAGCAAATATATCAAAGTTCATTTGTATGCCTAAAAGTAATATAAAAGGACTATGGATGTCTAGATATATATATTTAAGTAGAAACAGTACGGTGCTATACGGGAAGCTAGGCCTGTCCACTCAAATAGGATCTAGAAACAGGTTATGACAAAAAGAAAGGAGAACAAGAGTAGATGGCACATCGCTTTATCTAATTTTGCTTCTTCTCAAAGCGCTGTGGCTGTTGCACGCTGAGGTTCCATGTGACGCCAATGAAGACAATGGGGATCACGATTACTACGATCAGCAATCCCATGAAAATGCCTTGCGAAAAAAATGTGTAGTTGTGGAAGATACCGCTCTGTTTTTGGGACGCTGGATCTCCTGGCAACTGACGCGCACTCAAACGGTGCTTAATGGGGAACTCTTTAGTCTGGCTTGACGAATAAAGAACCAGAAAGTTATCCTGAAATTTATTGCGAATTTGGCTGATGATCTTGTCAAGGCTTTTATCTACAACCATTGGAATGAAACATCAGTATATCATAGCTTGAAGTAAAAATTTACCAGGACTGTTGCTACATACCATTTTCGACCACGGAACCCGAGTCAAGCCTCTTGTAAATGACGGAAGGGCCTTCGAGAGTATTGACGGTATCTGTTGATAGTAGGCAACGTATATATTTTCAATGATATGCTCTGATGTTGCGATCCCGAAAATGATTACAAATTGCGTATTGTTAGATAAATCATCGTACCATCAGCTTCATTGGCGTTAACAAACGATGTTTGACATTTCTGCGATAGACTCTCCGCAAGCTTTTCAAGATCCATTGCGCCATCAATGAACGGAATCTGGACTGAACTTGGGGCCTCCTGAACTTGGTTCTAAAGACAAAAAAAAAAAAAAAAAAAAAAAAAAAGAATCAGTAATGTATACGTTCTGTAAAAAAGAGTAATACGCCATTATCTCTACTTATCCCGTGTGATGCTATATTCTGTGGTACCTTTAACCTGTCCCGTCCTCGTCCCAAATCAGAAGAATGAAGCTATCAAATTGAGCCATATATAAAAACAGCAGACACATTGTTGAATGGTGAGATACTGATGCCTTACACTTTGGCCTATATGTCATGTACTGCTCGCGCCAATGCCTGTTGCATTCTCCATTGTGCCCTTACCCCGGGCTCATCAACGACTAGAATCACTTTGTGGGAACAATCAACAAGGTCATGCACGCCTCTTTGAAGATCCTGAACAGAGATGACTTGGGTATTCAAATCCTTGGTAACAGTAAACCTACGATACGAAAATATTTGCCATATCCTGTCAGTGGCCTAAATTATACGTTCTGCGTTCGTCAAGTCGTTGGTTTTTTAATGGGTAAGGGTGACATTACTCTTGTGGTGACCAAGCTAGGAACGGGCTGGTCTTCTCCACAGCTGATACTTCATAGACTGAGGCCAATAAAAGAGATAAGAAGAAGGCAGTACGCATGCTGGCGGTTGAGTTATGGTAAAATTGATGAGCGAATCAATCAGTATTAGCCAGTAAATGAAGACAGGTAAATGAAAAGGAAGAGAAGATTGAACTTGTGAATGAGTTGGTCTGGCAGCAAAAGTATATTTTAGTGTCGTTGGCTTGGGGTTCGTGACCCTTTTAAAAGGGGGTCAGTTGTAGATGGGTACAAATTTAGCTCAAATCGATTGAGTCCAGCACAAACAATCTTGGCTGAATTACATCAGCAGAAAGAGGTGCAACACGTAAATGCTTATTATATACAGGTCCGGTCATAGTGGTAGCTCGCTTGCATGCGGACGTGGTCGATTCCATCCAAGATATCCCCCACTAGCTGGGGGATATCGAGGTCGTTGTTTGTTGAGAAGGTAGCCACAGACTACGTTGTGTCCCCCATGACGTCGCGGTGCTTGTATGTTTTGCAAGTCCTGCAATATAACCTGTGCATCCCCACTTGACCGACCAAACTGGACCTTGCTTGGAAGTATAATATTCATTGATACCAACGACTATGTAATCTAGACTTCAAACCTTTACAGTATCATTTTATAAAAAAAACCGTTTGGTGCAATTTAATCTAAATGTATTGATGTATTTAAAAAGGGCCAACACAGTGTTTACCTTTGCATGACATACAAAAGCAGTGTCCCATGGAGGGAAGACAGCTTCATGCTAAGGGATAATTGACCGAGTCCTACTCCAATAACTACCTCGTTGGCAACATCTCGCCTTTCTCTAATAGTTCCGATTGATTTGAGCAGACAGTAGGTGATTTAAACTCCGTGTCACGAGCTTTCTTAGCATCCCATTGACCATATTTTTCGCCTCCATCGTAGAACTCGCAAAGTGCCTCCTTTGCTTTCTTAAACTCCTTATAGTATCTATCGATATTGCAGCCATCTCCTCGGGCTGCTGGTAGGCTAGCCCCAGTATCGCGGATTGATTTTGTGTGGAAGGAGCGGTGTCCTTTCTATATTCTAGCCAACGTCGAAACTTGAGTATAGGCTGGTATACTGTCTTTTGCTTCACTGACAGGTTGTGGAAGACTGGTCGTCTCCCTTGTCATCCTTACTTTTGTCAACTACAGGAAGTAGTACGCTGGCTCCAATAACACGAGCTTGTCCAAGGTCGAGCAGTAGAATTTTGACATCTAGTGATTCACATCAAAGCTTGGTATATAACATCATCCTTAGACTTGACGACATTCCGAATCTCCGTCAAATATCGATTGACACCACTAAGGACGGAAGTTAAGTGATTGGGCAATTTATTCTCAGGCAACCTCTTGTACCAGACACACACACTGTAATCCCTTAAGTTTGTAGGCCGACAATTGAACGCGGAGCCCATCTGTTCGAATAAAACCTGTTAAGACATACTCAGATCCGCGGTATCCCTTAGGATCAAAGTTAGCTCGGCGAATGTCTATGATTGGTGAACATCATCTAGGGACATCATTCTGATCTTGTCTTTTAGCTCTCGTGGCCCCCTTGCCGGCAGTGATCGGTCTTCCATCAGTCGAAATGAATGTAGTCACGATGGATCCTATAGGTTGCAAATTACTGAACGCGTTCTGCATATCGTTCAGGCTATATAGTTCTGAACTGTCAATTCGAGTCTTGAACTCTATTTTCAGTCTCTCGTTCTTCCAGAAGATATTGATTAGTTCACCTTTCGTAAAAGATACAAAAGGCAACTGCATTTTTGGTAGAGAAGCTATCTTTCGATTGTTTTTATTCAGCTTGTCCAAATTCACAAAGCTTCCAATTACAAGAAGAGCAGACTTTACGTCGATGTCACAATCCGCTGGAAAGGCCCCTTTGTTCTTCAAACGTTTAAGCTATTGGCTATTCGTTAGGTAACCTTATTAACAAGAAACAGAAATAGAAATAAAAAAAAGAACATGTGTCTCGATAGATTACCTTTTTGTGAATTTCCCAGCTACTTTCCCTGTACATGTGCGCTTGACTTCAACTGAGAGTAATGACGCTACTGGACACTAAGCAAACGACACTCTCTTTTGATGCTTGCGGTCGTACGAACTGCTTGTTGGAGCCAAGCTAAGGCCTCGTTCACCAACTCTTCATCCTCCAAAGCCCCCTTCATATTAGCCAAAAGGGCCCTAATATTTAGGGTCGCAATGGGATGTTGCTACCGTACGGCGCAGGCGAGGCCGAACTTGTTCATATTTTTCGGATCTTTCCGCTCGGCTTTTGCTCTTATAGTGACATGCTTCTTTTTCTTAACTGAAAGAGTGCTAGTGGCGACATCAGGACTCTCTGGGGCGACCTTCTATGCCTCCAGCGAGTACTATTGCATCGTCGTCGGGGCATCGTATTCTATTTTAGATGTAGTTATACCAAGAAGTCCTAAGTCTGAGGTCTAGGAAAGCCTTGGGGCTCGGGACTCAGGCCGGAAGGTGTAGACTGCTCCGCCAAAGATCGGTCAAAACTATTCAAAGACGAGAGGCCACGATCCCACGAGACAAAGTCACCCTAATGACCGTTAATGGTAGATCGCTTAGGTCTCTCCGAGCCGTCTCGTTGTTCGTGCAAGGCTCTGTTCGAGACGGACGAAACGTAGACTGCGCAGGGAGATGGCAGAACACCGTGGGGTTGTCAAATTGGCAATATTTCGTCCCAACTGCTACCGCCAGGATGTCCTTAGTATAGGTGGTGAAGTCTTTTGAAAATATATTCAATCATCTTATCTTCCCTATTGTTGTCCTTGAGAACAAAGCTCCGATAAACTTGATTGGAGTATCCTTTTCACGTCACATATCCTGAGTGGCGTTTTTTCCTCTCGGCAAAAGCACCAAATCGCAACTCTTTAACCTCAACGGCGTCCAGCTCAGGGTTGTCAACAAGCTTCTCTTACAGTCTCCCTATATCAGGCTCCTAGGCTGTTTCTGACAATAGTAAAATTAGGTGGTCGAAGGCCATGCCAAATTTATTTTATTTTATTTATTTTATGTTTTGTAATTAAACTGTACATACTGGTGAACTTGATGGACTTGAAGGTCAGGTTCAGGATTCGTTTTTGTGGAGGAAGGAAGGAAATAAATGAGATGAATGGGACAAAATTGCAATAGGCCATGATATAGATCCAGTAAAATTCGAGAAAAAGTACAAGGATGGCATGATTTCATTGGATGGAATGAAAGCGGCACGACCCATGGACTTTCCTTAGAAGAAAGCCTTTTTTTTTTTTTTTTTTTTTTGTTGTAGAAATCTAAAAAAGAACCAGTTGACGAAGTTGACGAAGAAAAAATAAAACCACAGACAAGACAAAACTTAAATACAGATAAAATACAGTGGGGAGCAATGTGATGCAAGGACGACGACCATACTACCCCCCCCCCTCCCTCGGACCGTAGAACGGGCAAATTTGCCCATTTAGCTTTCATCAACTCACGGGCAGGATACTCTTGATTATGTCGCGCTTGTCAGCTTCTGACGTATTCTTGGTCACGCACATTCCATGGAAACCTTTTTTCCTGGAGCGTTTGATGTATGCCTCAGTATTTTCAGCGCAATGTGTGCTCGATATCCAGATACGCTTGCCATCCCACAACAAGTCTAACACTTTAAGCTTTAACAATTCTTCTGTCTCGTACATTATTGCACAGACCTTTCACAAGCTACATATATCATTGGTGAGGTCGGTATCATCAAGGCAAACCACCCTGGATACACCCTTGATGAACTCCCGTAGAACTTGATTGTTTACATCGTGCATGTCGTCCATTATTATGCTGGTCATTTATTCGCAGAGCGGACTGAACTCATCAAGGATCAAGATGACATTCTCTCCATAGAACTTCATGTCAAGCCTTTGCATTGACTCAGCTTGGACCACAACTTTGTCGCATGCAATCTTGCCCTTGTTGTCCTGGTAGTCAGTAAACCCGAGGGTGCACTGTAAGCATGTTGACCAATGCTCGTCTACATGTGGCTGTAACAAATTTGAACAAAAGTATATACTTATTGAGAATCCACTTTGATCAATGTGAATAAATGTTACGCTTCATTCTGATACAAAATCAATTTCATTTATTATCTGGAGTTTTTTTTTTTTTTTTTTTTTTTTTTTCTATTAGAGTGTTGTTACAAAAAAAAAAACAGTAATCTACAAAAATCATTAAGGGAAATGAGAAGGAGAAAGAAGGAGAGAGAGAGAGAGAGAGAGAGAGACGGATGTGTAATGGTTCCTTTATCCCACTACCTCCACATTCCACTCGGCGCATTCGCGCTCACGAGTATATACGACCTTGTATCCTGTACGGTACGCAATGCCGCTAGCCCGCTCTACCAAGAGGATATCAAGCTCGGCCTTGGCATTGCCATGGTTGTCATGTGCTGCACGGACCTCGCATGCATATGGGAGCTCAGCTTCAAGACCCATTGGTCCTCTCACCATCTTTCGAGGCTTTTTGTTCTTCAATGCTGGGTCCATGGAGGCTGGCAGATGGCTACCACCATAGTAACGTCCATTCGCAGCATTGATCAATGGTTGTGAGCCATTAGGGGCTGTGTCCTTGGAAGATGTCTTGGTAGCGATCTTGGGCAGCTGATCCTCCATCGTTCTAGAATCTGAGGTTGCCTCTTTACGAACATCACCAGTCTCGTTATCACTGCTGATATCGCTCTCATCTTCTTCATCATCACCACCGTCAGCAGAGGCATCGATCCCTCCATTTTCAGCATAAAGCCGATTCTGTTCTTCCCCATCGATCACATCCCTCAGCTCTCTGCGGCGCATGCGGATAGGACCATGTTGTGCCAACCACAACTGGACTGGCCCTTCCTCATCTTTCATGGGCTGACGAATGTCCTCGCAACGCTTGTACACATACTCGGATAATGTCAATCGACGCTCATATGGGTCATCCTGCTGTTTCTGAAGATGAGCCTCTTCCTCAGCTGTGATCTTCTCAAACACATTCTTAACCGGCATGGTCATTGTGTTGGCCTGAGGGTTGTATCGAGGACAAGACAAGACTGTAGGGACCTTGGAAGGATCCACATCTGTATCCACAGATGCAGGGATAGGACCAAAGTAGGTGTAGTCGAATTTAGCTACAATAATTAGCAATATTTAAAAAGAAAAAAAGAGTGTTAGTTCAGAAACTCTAGAGACGAATCATAAAAAAAGGTTCAATAAACAAATGATACAAATATAATATATATATATATACATACCAATACCGGCAATAGTCCAGCAGACAAAGTCATCAACGGCAACACTGTCCTGGCTCCTGGCAACACGACGAGGCATACTGTTGTTCTGGCCGTTAAACTCTGCCTCATCCTCGTTCATCATCTCATCCTCCTCATCCTCCTGGGCATCCGTCATATCCATGATGGAGGCCTTCTTGGACGAAGTACGATACTCGAGCAAAGGGCTACGGTCCATGGCCGCCTGAAGTGGGATCTTGCCCTCGATCTTGGGGGAGCCGATCGAGGAGGCACTCAAGTAATAGGCCCGGCCATCCTCATGATGAACGCGGTCAGGATGCTCAAGTACAATCTTCTGCATCTGACTCACAGGACCTGAGCCCGAGCGCGAGACCTTGCCGTTCTCCACCTTGCGGATGATCAAACGATCGGTCATAATGCCTGTCAAATCATTGATCAACACGATCTCTGAACCATACAAAACAGGCTCCGAGTTTGAGAAGACATAGACGGGCTCTTGCTGTTGCAGCTGTTGTGGGTGACGGAATTGGAATGACGCGTTCTCAGGTGAGGACATGGCCATGTTAGAAGAGTCGCCATGGCTCTGGGCGGACAAAGATCTCATCGTGTTGGTGGCCCCAGATGGAGAAGCCATGGGTGCCTGGCCTGAAGAATCACCCTTCATGCGAATGGGCACAAACTTGGTGGAATGTGTTGGGGCTCTGAAGACACCCATGCTAGCAGGAACAGGCTTGACTGAGGGAGCTGGTGGGGGCTTGACCATTTTGATCGTGAATGAAGACCAAGAACCAATCTTGGCGCAGATGGCATTGTTATCGACCGCCATGTATTTTGTGCGGACTGTCTGAGCATTGATACGGTTCAACAATGAGACACTCATGCCGTTCAGGATGAAGCACGAAGCATTGCCAGCCTTGGCAGTCTTCTTTGAGGGCTTGGAGATGATGGGGATCGGGTTGGAGTCCATGATGGCCGTAGGCATGGTTGAGTGTTTGTTCAAGTAAACCTGCAGACCCAGCTTGAATAGCTTTGAGCTGTCTGAGCCAGTACCTGTAACATGAAGGTTACGGAACGAGCACTTGAGATTATCATCGAGTGAGCAATCTTGCTCCATCAGGTTTTCGCCTTGAGGACCAGTGACCTTCTCATGAATGACCGACATGGTCACATGGGGCTGTTCTGCACGGATCTGTTTCGCATTCACACCCGCAGAGACATGAACCATGGGGGGTGGGCAAAGGTAACGCTTCTCAATGCCATACGACTTTTGAGCGATGGCACCATGCCAGCAACGAATAGTTGTCATCTGATAGCGCTGCATCTTCGTCTTGGGATGATTCCTCTTGGTAAAGGCAGTGCCATCCGAAACAGAGGCGATCTTTTGGACTGGTCGCGATGTCATTTGGCTTCGACGTGACAACAAATGCAACTCTTGAGAAGATCCATCGTTGAGCTCCATACCAGACTCGGGGCCTTGGGCCTTGGGGACGTTGCTTCGGACACTCTGACGAACAGGAGAATGCTCACGATCCCACTTGCGTTTGGCTTGCGTAGCAGGGGGGGTGGGTGCTCGCTGGGGCTGAGACATGTGCGCATGATAGTATGGTGGCTGCTCCTTGGGCTCAATCTTGACATAGGCTTGACGATCTGGCCTCTTGGAAGCAGCACGGGGTGAAATTGAAGGCTGTTGTGGCTGATGCTGTTGTTGTTGTTGTTGTTGTTGCTGCAGGGAGTCAAAGTTGTAGATTGAGACAGGGGCAGGAGCAATTGAACGGGGCTGAGTGGATTTGATCTTTGCAGGGATAGGTTGCTGGTGTTGATAACCATGGCCATGGCCATGGCCATTTTGTTGGTGTTGATGTGAATACTGGTGAGATCTGTTGTAGGATAGAGGCTTTTCAGCAGGTGAGTGCATAGGGGAGTGCTGTTGGTACTGTGCACGATGATGAGAAGAGTCAGTATGCGAGGGGCTTGAGCGCCCATTCGAGGTCGTGTCTGAGGGACTGTAGGAATGGGATGCATTATGTGCAGGTCGTTGTTCAGGCAAGGCGGTGTAAAGCGAAGGCAGACGATGGTCATCATACTGTGGCTGTTGCTGTTGCTGCATTTGACGTTGTTGTGCCTGTCGGGCCTCAAAACGATCAAGCGCGACACCAATGGATGGTCCATCACCATGGTTACCAGTGGTGTTACTGGGAGCCACATGACGTGCCGAGGAGTAATAGCCGGTTCTATCCTCACGATCTTGGCTTGTTACATTGCGGAAATAACGCATGTGGCGACCAGGAAGATCTTTACGGTAGAAGGGTTCCTCAGGTGCCAATATTGGTGGCAAATGGTGTTTATTGACGTCATCGCCATAACTCCGACGAGGCTCAGAATGGGGGGAAAGACGCGGTGAAGGAGGATTGTGCTTAAGATAACCATAGGTTGGATCGCGGCGGTACTGGTCATGGTATTGCTGCTGGTCATGAGTATTGGAGTGGTGATCGGTCGTCAACAGATGATCATTGTGGTCTCTGTTAGTGTTGCGTACTCTGCCCTCATATCCTTCGCTATGTCTAACAGAAGGCTGAGGATAGGAAGAATGATGGTGTGGATATGCCTCTGGAAAAGGTTGGTAAGCACGGCGTTCTTCATTGCTGTAGTCACTGTTGCTATGACCACGGCTGTGGTTGTGATTGTGGTGGTGGTGGTCATAATGTGAAGGTGGAGTTTGTGGTCGAGGATATTCTCGCTGTTGAGGTGACTGATAGTGCTGTGACATGTGTGAGGGATGAGCAGATTGGTGATGGTCATGGGTCTGTTCGTACTGGTGGTGTCGCTGTCGGTGGTGATGGTGGGGTTGGCGTGATGGTGAGGATCCACTAGGGTGTGTTGGAGGAGAGCGGTGAGAGTATTCGTGAGAATGTTGTGAGTGGTGAGGATGATGAGGGTACGAGGAAGAAGAAGAGGAAGAAGGTGATGATGAAGATGATGATGCAGAGTGATTATAATAATGATCGTAGTGCGATGCAGGCTCGATTGCCGACGCTGTGGCAGAGGCGAAGACGGGCTTCATATCTTGGACTGTAAGTATATAAAGAGGATCAAGAAGGAGGAGTTGGTTAATAGAGAGTTCACAGGGATCGGAACAAGTTGTGTATGAAGACAACGATGGATGAAGGCACATGAGAGCGAATGTGAATATTGGCAACCACAGATGGGCTTTGCGACCAAAAGATGTGCTTGTGTACATGTGTGAGAGAGAAGATGAAGGCATCACACGAGTTTCACACGGCTTTAGAGCAGGAACATGAGACATTGAGAAAGCACACGGACACACATCCCATCTTTATTCTGACATAATGAGCTGCAGATAGGGGGAAGGAAGAAAGGAGACAGGGTAGAAGGTGGAAGGTGGAAGGTGGAAGGTGGAAGAGGATGAAAGGACCCTGTTTGGGGGGTGTGAGATCAACTTCTGGCTAGATAAACCTAGAGCCATCATAAGACATGACCCACCAACGATCAAGCGACGTTATTGAAATAGCCATATATTAGCCAGCAAGCACCAATCAAGTTCAATTCGTGACTTTATCATAGGAAAAGAAGGGGGAATGACACACAAACAGACTTGAAATAAAAAAGAGCGGCAAAGAGTGAAAGGGAAAAATAAAAAATGCAAAAAAGGGCAGAGGAGCAGGGGTAAAGGAGGATGATGGGGACAGTAATAAGTCTGTTGTGAATGAGAAATCTGAGCACCAACCATGGTAGAGAAAGGGAAAAAAGGGGGAAGGGGAAAGAGAGAAGACACTGAAATGCTTAATGCTTTTGGCGAAGCAGTAATTTTAGTGTAGTAAAGATGGAATGCAATTGTGATAAAGCAATGTGGCGCTATGCAATTGACCAGGGTATGGTCTGTCCATACACTTCTTTACCCTCTCCTCTCCTCGGGGACCATTAAGTTGTTTGTAGCGAGGAAGAAAAGAGGGAGGAAGGAGGTGGAGTAGAGACCCCAAACAAAAGAAGAAAGTAAGATGACCAGACATCAGACATGAGACACAAATGTCGATATGCTGAAGTGTTTATGTATAAATGTGCATGTGTCTACATGAATGGGGTATGAGAGTGTGCATGTGTAAGAAGGTCAGGGACAAACAAAGATGTCCCTCAAGGCTTACAATTATTAGAGAGAGAGAAGGGAAAGGGTATCGATTCGTATCTAATTGCTGATTGAATGATTAATGGATAATGGATGATCAAGAAGAGTGATAATGAAAGAGATCCGACTCCCAAGTGAGAATAAGAATGAGAATGAGAACAAGAATGAGAATGAGAACAAGAATGAGAATGAGAACAAGAATGAGAATAGGAATGAGAATGAGAATGAATGAGGATGAGAGTGAGTAGAGTGAAAAATTATTAAGAGTAAAGAAGAAAGATGGATGGGGGGGGAGGGTTGGTAATTAAAAAGGGTTATAAAGGAGAAAAGGAGGAAAGAGAAAGGAAAGAGATTTTGTGAGAAAAAAAAAAAAAAAAAAAAAAAAAAAGACAACGACCGGAGAAAAAAATAAAATAAAAAAAAAATTGGACAGAGTCGAATGACCGTGGGGGATCACCCCTCTTTTTTTCTTCCCTTTGCTCACATCCTTTTTTACAATACAATACTGTCAATACTCTTTAGTCAAGGCATGAATGAATACGATTCATTGCAAAAGCAAAAAAGCAACAAAAGGCAAAGGGCAAGTGCCACCAAAGCCATTGAATTGAATCGACCCCTTCACTATTGAATCGTTCCTCATAACAAGGTGCATGAATATTTATGGCAAACTAAATTGTCCGCAAAATGTATCTGTGTGTTTGTTGACACATTCACCACGCACAAGGCGTTTATTTGCCTTTGAACAAACCGTTTTTTTATTTATTTTATTTTCCTATTGCTCTCTTTTCTCTCTCTTTCTCTCTCTCTCTCTCTCTCTCTTTATTCTATTTTATTTTCCTTTATATTTCTTTCTCTTGCTTGCTTGCTCATGCTCTGTTTGCTCTCTTTCTCTCATGGGATGACAACCAAATTAAGACCGCATCACTGTTGGGAAAATAGGCAAGTGAATTGACAAATCATTAAGAGAGAACTCAAATAATCCTAATACACTAATCACAACTAATATTTATTTTCCTTGACTTGTTGGAAAAGGAGATTGTGTGAAAAGAAAAAAAAAGTATACACATCCTCTACGGCTCTCTCTCTCTCTCTCTCTTTTTATTTCTCCAACGTGTACATGTAGACATGTAGCCTATTTAGTTTATTACCCTTACCATTCTTTTATTTAGCAGCCCTCATAGAATCGTGTCGGTATGTGTTCTCATAGCTTTCCTTTTCTCATCCAATGAATATGAATAGTTTTTCATCAGAGCATCCCCCCCTTCCCCTGTCCTCTTCTTCTATTGCTTCCATCCTTTACCTCCCTTAATCCCAACTCCACTCATAAAAGTTTGTCGGCTCTTCTATCCTCTGACCGTATCTCTGCTCCCCTTCGTCCTTCCATCAATTGTTCTCCATATTAGTTGTTATATATATATTTTGATTAATGCCAATGTAAATTCTGTTTAGATGCATATCCAGAATACCAAGAGCGGGCATAGCAGAATATGCAGCTTGACACAAGACAGAAAGAAAGAAGAAAAAAATATTTTCCGCAATTGGGGGCGTTATTTGTTATTTGAATGTGTATGTCTTTATTATGTGTATTATTAATACTATTCTATACATTATATTATATCACTCTTGTCATTGTCATTTCTTTCTTTCTTTCTTTCTTTCTTTTCTTTTTGTTCTTTGTGGACGCGGTCTGGCTCAGAGATTGATGTGATTGAACAGGGTGTTCAATAACATCAATAAAAAAGGTAAAGTAAAGCAAAGCAAAGCAAACGCCCTCTCTTCACGACAGCGACAACTTCAACACGCCTAAACACCAAATCCGTGTGACACACAACTCTTTCCCTGTTGGCTTTGCATGCCCACGGAGGGGGTGAGAGGGCTGTACATGTAGATTTCTAACGACTTTTTTTTTTTTTTTTTTATTTTTTTTTTTTTATGTAAAGCTCATCCGGATATCTTGATTTTTGCTAACAATTAAGCGCGCATTATAAAATATTACAAATGATGTGGAAAAAAAAAAAAAAAAAAAAAAAAAAAAAAAAAAAAAAAAAACTGATAATAATGCAAGGGGAGGGTAGGAAAAAATAAAACGTAAAAAGATTATACATTAGGCATGTGCGCAGAAAAAAAGAAAAAAAAAAAAAAAAAAAAAAAAAAGGGGGGGGGGAAAG